GTAGTTATTATTGATATATCACTAGCCACCATAACTAATATAGCATATATACAAATCAAACTAATTTACATATTTATTTTTATTTTAAAAAATCTTATTTTGATTAAAAAAATATTAATAACTTAACTTGTAGAGTGATTATTGAGAGTGGCCTCTATGATATATTTGATAAGAGAATAGATAAGAAGATTGAATTTACAAAAAATGTGGCAAACTCTTATAGATTTAATCAAGAGGAAGAGACTTACAATATCATAGTTGCTTATTGTTATTTTTGCTAATTGATCTTACAATAACTTAGGTTCAACAACTCTTAATTTTTATACATTTTTCTTACTACTTTGCATATAGTAGGTACTCTATTTATTACTTTAAGTATTAACACTATCATTTTCAATGTAAATGGTTGCAAATTTAACAAATATATAGTTGATATCAAAGGTCTTGTTATTAACACTTGGGTTGATATCATCAATTGTGATAATCTTAGTATGAAAGTTATGCTTAAACATAATGCTCACAACTTCCCTCTATACCTAGTTGCAACTAAAACTCCATCTACCATTGTATAAGACCTTTTGTCTTTAGTGCATAGCATTTGATGAAGGAATAATACAAAACCTTCTATATTAAATTATTAAGTCAACACTACATTGTAAACTTAGAACTTTTATCTTGAAAAAATAAGAGAAAATTAGTTTTAGCATCATCATCTTGGTAATCTATTTTTTTGAACAATGAAAATAATGTTTCTTAATATTGGTGATCATTTGACATAAACATGCTTACTTTCTAACAATTAAAGGAATATTGTTTCATTTTATTTAATTTATAGCGATGTTTCAGGGACTATCATTTATTCTCAATATCTTGGGAGTAAGTTGTTTCATGTTTTTATTAATGATTGTATATGAACTTTATTGATTTCCTCACTGAACCATAAATCACGAGTAAGGTATTTTAATACTTTTATTCATAAATAAAATTAATTTAGGACCATGCTTAAAAATATTAGATTATATAATATAAAATATATTTATAAACTAAATGATAATAATTCTTTTTCAAAGAGAAAGGATAAGTAATGAATCCTCATGTCTCAACAATCCACAACAAAATACAGTCATAGAAAAGAAAATGAGCACATCTTAGGAGTGACAAAGTCACTCTTATTTCAAAATCATGTAGCTATTTTTTTTTGGTGGTCTTAATTATTGTACACCTCATTAGTTGATTGTCAACTCGAGCTATAGGGTTTAAAACGCCATTAGATATTATATCTCATTATTATATAAACACTCAACATAAGAATGACCTCATACTTTATTTGAGGGTGTATGTGATGTTCACATTCAACATCAAGTTAAATACAAACTTGATTCTAGAGTAATAAAACGTATATTTGTTGAAAATTTGAACATAAAAAGGGTTGGAGTGTTATCACCCCTCAAACAAAATATTTTTTTTCATTTCAACTGATATTACTTTTAATAAGCATGAGCCGATAAAATCCCTCGTGAGAGAAAAAATAGGACAATCAATGATGATAAGGAGCACATCTACATGTTACTAATTGCACCTTCAAAATATTTATATCACCATGAGGGACATCTATATAACCCTAACCTTTAGATTCTTTAAAAACAAACTTAATGAACCTTTAGAAGTCACACAAGATACTGATGATGGATCAAGAGTGCATATCATCTTCTACTCAACATTTTGTATTGGAGTAGGTAGTGAAGAATTACTTATTTCTATTTCCTAAAGACAAAATGTCTTAGAAATCTAAGATATCATATCTCAATTTTTTTATAATATAGTATTCTATCACGTCGTATGAAATATTTCTTTCCCCCTCAATACCAGATATATTCTATCTAATGTATTGGAAGTGATTGAGAAAAACCAAACATGAGAAATATTCAAAAAATCATGAGGAAAAAAGATAATAAGATGTAAATGAGTCTTCACTATAAACTATAAATCTAATGGTACAATAGAATGGTATAAAACTCGATTAGTGGCCAAATGATACACCTAAATTTATGTGATATGCTATAAAAATGAGTATAGTTAGAATTTTAATTTCAGTTGTGATAAGTTATTTTTAGAATATCTAATAATTTGATGTAAATAATACCTTTCTATAAAAAGAACTAGAGAAATAAATATAAACGAATGTTCTCTTAAGATATGTCAAAGATCAAAACAAGGGTGTGGCATGTAAGTTAAAAAATAAATTATATAGTCCTAAATAGTCACCTAAATCTTGGTTTAGTAAGTTTACCATGGTAATTTGTGATATAAGATATAGATACCATAATATATTTATCAAATACACAATCAATAGGAACTATGCTAATATGTGTCTTAGCATAGTTCCTATTGTCCTCTCTCTCGTATTGTCCTCTCTCTTCTATCGCCTCTCATTCTCTTTACTCCTTTATCTCTCACACACTTTATTTCCATTTTATTTATTTAATATTTTATTTCATATTTTTTCTCTTTATTTCTTTTTGTGCTTTCCTTTCATTTTCCTTTCCTATTGCTTTCTCGTCTTTTATATTTCATCCTTCCTCTCCTTTCATTTCTCTCATCCTTTTATCTTTCATAATTTTCCTCTCTTCCCTTCTTTTATCTCTTCCACTCACTTATTCTTCTCTCCTCCCTCTCGTCTTGTCATATCTAATTATCAACTTGTCTCATCACATTCTCTTCATTCAAGCAACTAGAGAAACTCTTAACCGTCTGTAGATCCAGACATCTACTTGCTCCAATCGAGGTCTCTTGCCACTGTCCCATTGCTTGAAGTCCTTGATGTGCTAGAAAATTAGAGACTCTATCCCTATCTTCTCTCCTTATTTTATTTTTCATTTTAATCTCATTTTATTCTTTTCTCTAAAAAATAATTAGTTTGTCTTAGATATTTTCATTTGATTATTTCACTAAAAGTATTTATCTTTTGAGAACACATGATTTGTATTAAAAATAAATCAAATCATTCATGTGGATTCGATCCAAAATCATCTAGTATTAGGTAATTATATTTTAAGAGTCTAATTGTTAAGTTAAGATTGAGTACACCCTTTAACCTAAATTTTTTTTGATGCAGATTAATATGCCAGTGGAAATACGCACAACACTAGTTCTATCTCCTACTCCATCTATCACTAAGGTGATAAAAATGTTGGCAGCTTCTCTAGCAACAAGTTCTAAGACTTCCTTGCAACACCAAGTGAAAGCTGTCTAAGCGATGACCTCCATGCTTCATAGATGACCACACTGTCGCTACAAGTGTTGGATCTGAGTTTCATGCACTGAGCTCTGTCAAGTTAACCTCATCATCCATCTCTTGAATGTTGATGGCGCATGTCTTGTCGTTGTGTCTCAGTCCATATTGTAGTTGCAATGCAGATAATAGCTTGGGTCCTTGACTCACTGGTGTTTATAATGAAAATATCAAACTATTGGAGGAAGATATCTACTTGTACTCAAATGAGGAAATCTGGTGTTTACTTTGAAATCTTCCATGGATAGCACCATAGAATCCATCAGTCTTTCTAACACAACAGGGTCGTCCCACATGCAACCCCAGTCAAGATACGCATTGCAGAGTCAACGGCCCTTGATGTTGTCATCTTCTCATGAAAATGTTTAGGCCCAATCGAGCAGCTCATTTCTCCAAGAGAACATTGTGAGGTATCTCATTAGCAGCCATGGTAGAGGTGGATTTGTCATTTACTGGAAGCTCAACGTAAATGAGCCAACGCACCTCTGAAGTTTTGGCCCTAGGGAATTGCTATAATGAACTCCATAATTGGAGATGATTTAAGAAAGGAATACCACATTTTTGGATGGTATTTTATGTGCAATCATGGCAACAATTCCTCGTTTGCCTCCATTCGGATTGACGTATGCAGTACACTCCCTTTGCCCAATCGGTGCCTCCACAGATAGCACCCACTCTTGGGAGGGTTTGAGGTCGTTCCCTTCTCTCAGCCGCCTCTGCCCTAGGCCAACCTTGGCCCATTGCCATGTACTTTATCAAAACAGCAGCTCACAGTGCGGCCATTGTTATCGTACTTGCTTTGCTTCCCCCTATTCCATTGTTTGCCATTGCCCTAGGTGTCGTTAGGCTGGGTTTCTAGTTCGTCAAGGCAATTGGATGCCCCTATGGAAGACTGGATATCTTGAACACCCTACTGTTAGGATCGAAGTGGTGATTCAATGGGGGAACCGAGAGATGGAATCACCCCCCCGATCCTAACAACTGGTGTCAAAGCACAGGTGAGAGCAGCGTGAATGGACAGATTTGCTCGAGTTGGAGCTACGGCTACAGTAAGATGCTCGCGGGGGAGAGGGCGATCATGTTGGCGTCAGAGGCCGCAGTACTGCCACAGCTTGAAGCCGTGCAGTGGTCCACGTCGCTTGAGGCACGCGCCTAGCGCGCAGTGCTATGCACAGTGATGTTGGCGACCAGGGCCGGAGGCACGTGGTGGTATGCAGTTCTGTACTGAACGACACCGACACAACTGGAGGCACATGGTGGCGTGCAGTGCCCTGCGGAGCATCGCTGGCACATTGGAGGAGCTGCAGGAGAACTGCAGCAGCGCAACTTGCAGCATGCACTGAGCTGCGGCGAACAGGGGATTTTCCTGTGGAGAGCATACACGCGGTGCATGCTGGTACAGTCAGCGCAGGCGATACGTGCTGGAACAGCGCGGGCCTGAGCCCTTGAATCGTTTCTCCATAGCCTGAAGACGATTTAGTACCTCTTCTGTGGCCATACCCAATACAACATTTACTGTAGAATTAATTGGACCCAGAGAGAGAGAGAGAGAGAGAGAGAGAGATGATCCGATGGACTTCATCAGGGAAGCAAACATACGAAGGATTAGTAGTCCATTCGTGAGGGATCATAGCTCAAAAAATTATAATTCGGGACAGAATATAAGTTATTTGGATGCATACCAGCCATATTAGTGCAAGATGTGGAGTCAGTCGTGCTTCAGAGTCTTCATGAGGAATGCCTTAGTGCAGACCACGGTGACGTAAGCCAGAAGGGTCAGAGTGATGCCTCCCAGGAGGACAAGGTTGTCAAAAGCTGAGCTCTGGACCTTGTAGATCCTCACACTGATAGTGTTCCAGTAGCTCTCTGTCCACACTGGGTCAACTTGGCCCATAGGGTCAGCGGCATGGCCGCCCGTTATCCTCCACGATCCATGTTCAAACTTCAGTCGTGGAGAGTACGCAGGGACATACCTGAAACCATGATGCCACCGTTGTCATTACAGGCATATAACACACATCAAACCATATAAAGCATTTAGTTGACCGGTAGATTTGAGTCCCAGCGTTGAATAAATTTCATCATAGAATGCTTGTAAAATGACCCGGATTGGAAATCGGAGAAATAATGATCGGTGGAAGTGGAGCAACAGGTTTGAAGAGAGTGGATGGAGGAACCAGTAGAGGAAAAAAAATAATACCAATAAAAGAAAACTTGGAAGAACGGACACGATATCCAGAAGGCGGTCAACGGGAGCTAACAGAGAAAAACCAGAAGAAACTGACCTTGTTGAAGATACCACGCATCTGCCCTCTCCATCTGCTTCCATTCCCACACAGACTTCATCTTCAGCAGAGCATCTCCCTTCAGGGCAGGTTGACCTGCCGTTACTGCCCTTTGAGGTGGAGGTTTTATCGGCCAGGAAGTTCCAAACGAATCGGGAGGTATCGTCCACATTGGCGAGTGATTGAGTGTCGGACGGCTGGTTGAGGAAGACGCCCACGTAGTGATTAGGGCACACGGCGCCAGGGGAGATTAACTTCTTCACTAGGTCACAGGAGAGGCCTGGGTCACAAGATAGGAGACAGCCCACCAGCTCCTCCACCAGAGAAGCGTTGACTTTGATGGAGTTCAGCAGCGTGGGACTCGGCTGCATTTCGCCGTGGGCAAGGATGTAAGCAGCACGAGCGACCAGCACAGCGGCAGCTTCCACCGAGGAGGCGTTAATGTTCCCTGCATGCTCAGAAGCGTATGGATGTCAGTGGGGGGGGGGGAAGAGAACTGCAGGGATGAACGGAGAGGAACTTGGATCTCACGTGGATCATCCAGATGACTATGATAGAATCTGTTGGTAAAGGCGGTGTCAAAGTCTTCCAATACGACTCCGGGAGTTAAAGAATTCTGCAACGAGGGAAGAACATGAAAAATTACAGATCAAGCCAACGCGGGCACATTTATATGGTCAGATTTTGTACTGATGCCAAGAAAACGAAACAATTTCATGACAGAAATAGAAATTAACCCATCCACAAAGTTTTCTGCCCAGTTGACTTTTTACTGCGAGGCACAATAGATCCTGATGATATTGAAATAACCACAAGCTCGCGTAGTGATGAAAGATCCAGCCAGCTGAAGCAATTGGCAATCTACTCGTAAACTCTAAAAGATCTGATAAAAAGAGACCTTAAAAATCTGGACACAACTGATGTGACCAAAACCTACCAAGATCAGACACGAGGCAGAGTTCATACCATTTCCTCGTCAAATATGGCGAAAGAGATCTCCCAATTTTCACTACAAACCGGAACCTGAAGACATTCTTCTCTGCCCTAGTCTAATGTGTGCATACCCACAGAGCTAGAAGCTATAACCTCTCACTACAATGAAAAGATGACTTCGAGCAGTTAATTCCTGGCAGACCCCAGATAGAGCAGTCTTTAACATACAAGCTGCACGGAATTTGTGCCCGCATGACAACCTGGTTCACTCAGACTATGGTTTCGGTCATTCTCATGGTTCAAGATCCATGGCTTTAAGTCGCACCACCCCTGACTATGTTATACAAACTTTCACAGGTATTGCCGGATTAAGCAGTCACACTCTTCTATCAAACCACCAAAGAACGGGATTCGACAAGTGCCCGGTTATTTTCAATGCCCAAATCTCTGACAACTATAGAAGAGATAATGGCTGGTACCGCTTCAACTTTCAACACCATTCCAAAAATGTCAAATTATTTATCTTTTTTTAATCATTTTTTTTTTCTTTTCTGGTAAACTGCACCTTATTTCAGCAGCTTATTGAAATTCCAACAGATCATGGCATCTTTATTCCGTTTCCAAAAGGCTAACTGGAAGAGATGATTTTTCTATAAAGGGGAAGAAAATTGCCAGTATAACTTGATTGAGTTTACACACAAGAGAAAGCAGTTCTAAATCTTTTTGCCTTCTCAAAACCGAAAATCCACTCTCCTACCTAAAATAAGCGATTTAGAATTTCGTTGCATGGCCCACGTAGATTATGCAATCGTAGAGCAGAGACCATATACAATAATGCATTTGAATCTAGCAATTTCTTCAGATGGGCAACTGATGAGTCACAAAAATCGAAATTATCTGAGAGAAAGACTGAAAACATACTTGAGCCAAAATTCTCACGGGTACTGACCTTACTAAGAAATGACATTAATGAAGATGGAGGTACACCGGGATTTGATGTGCTTGATGCGTTGACCTTAATGTTCTCTGAACTAAGTGATGCACTCGCTTGTTGCAACGCGGTCAGTATTTCTTTTGATCCAGACGTAACCTAGAAACAGTATTCATAATCTCAATCAGGAAACAGCAGTTGAACATTTCGTCCTAGCATAATTCGAAACGTTTCCATCAATCATCATCAGCAAGTTCATTAATTTAAATACCAACACACCCCAGGCATTCAAGATCCGAGAGATCAGATAGCCTGGCGCACTACGGACATCTGAAAACAAGAACTACGGGGAAAAAACCACAAATTTCTCCACGTGTGACAGGACTAGAATGAACCAAAGTTAAAATTGTGTGTGCGATTGTTAGCAAAAACTCAACAAGGGGAGAGGGTACTGACATATAAGCAGAGAGACATAAGATAGAAGGCCAATGATACAAATAACAGAAAGATGCTGAACTAGAAAAATTAGAAAGTCATACTGCAGTAAAACTAACAAGAAAACAACCACAATGATGGGCCTGATAATGCTACTGAGAGATTATCATGATGGATGTCAAGAAAAACTGTTATAATCATTTAGGCACATGACCGTTTGCTAGACAGGTTGAAATTCAAGGTGTATGTGCAAATAATGTTACCATCCTTACCCTTTCTGCATGTGCAAATAATGTTGTGACCCCCTCACTTGTGCCTTTGCCAACGGACCCGATCTCCAGGACCTAAGGACAAATACAAGCAGAAAATAATTTACTGAGCTTTTCTACTCCCTATGGAAATGAGTCGTGAAGAAGAAAGATGTCCTGGATCACAAAAAACTTCATTTGACCGTGGGAAGTAAGCATCAACAGAACAGAACAGCAACATCACATGAAAGAGGATCCTTTTTACCATACCATCACCAGATGTAGAATATAATCCCAGATATGTCTATTAACAAAAAATCGTGGATTGTTCCCTAAGTTTTTTTCATTTGTTGGGGTGTATTCAGATACTAGCAAAAGATAGTGCTAAAATATTTAGAACGAAAAAAAATTACCCATGATAAACAGATGGATCAGATGGGACATGGAATTTAACATGTGCAAATTTGATGTGCCCAATTCTTCCTTCATAGCAACCCCGTGAAGTTAGGAATAATGTCCATACGCCTTTCCAGCAAGTATCCACGCAAATATCAGCACGATATTGCACCTCTTTTAAAAAGAACACAATCATTTTCATATAATATTTATTATCCCATTGAAGTTCTGCACATATGTTTGACTCAAGGAAGATAGTTGTTGAGTTTTCATTCTTTTCTTTTGGGTACTGGATATCATGGATTTCGATTAATCTTTCAAGATTGTGGAGAGCCCAAACAGGTTTCCCATAATTAGTAGTTTTGATATTTGAGAAGATGAGTACATTCTACCAGCTTCATATTCTGCCTGTCAACCCTATCTCCACTTTCTACCTAAACGGGGTAAAATCAATTGTTCTTACCCATTCACATGAATGTTAATATGATTTATTTACTCCTCGTTTCTCCACATCTTCCTTCATCAGATCAAGCGGCGGTCCTGTCAATATACTACTCCAACTTGTTTAAACAGGTTCTTTGTTAAGTAAAAAGATTATTGTATGATGATGCAATTCTAGGAAAAGTGAAAAGTGGTGACCAGTAAGATTACCTGTTCAATCAGAGTACTGTTAAGCCCTTTCGTAGCATCTGCCCCCATTTCCAGTTCGAGAAGAAATCTCCGGCTACCAAGGTAACCCCATGCTTCTCCAGTGAAAACAAGGAATACAAGCTTCAGGAAAACACAAGATACAATAATAAGAAGATGTGAACCTACAATAATAATGAGACCAAATGTAGAAACAATAATAAGAAGCATTTCACTACATGCTGTTTAAAGTTCTTAATGAGCTTAATCCACAAAGACGAGGGACAATGTGAACCTCATAGAACGTCTGAAAGATGATTATCTATTCACGTGCCAAACAAAATGAGAAAATGAGGCTGAAAAAAATGCAGTGAAATTTTCGTGATAGGGTGAAAACCAATTGGAAATCATTCGTTCTTTACCGCATGCAATCTCCATTTTTTTTCTTCACTTAGTTTATTATCATCATTTGAAGGCTTACAACCCCATAATCCGATAGAGCCCACTTTGTAAACCACAAAAAGTTTTAGTACCATGTTGAGCAAAATATAGAAAGCCCCAAGGGGGTATAGAGGAAAAAAGGAAACAAGAAGACCCATTACCTGTTTCTTAAGCTTACTTAAACCATCAATACGTGAAAGAGCATCAACAGCAGCCAGCAGTGAAATCATTCCCTGACCATAATAATAAAAAACTAAAAAACAGTTCCAAATAAACGAAGAGGATAAATTTCGAAGAAACTTACAGATAATGGAAAATCAGCACCGACACTTTTGTCACGAAAAAAAGATGCTGAATCCTGAGAAGCCATGACAAATATGAGAGGCTTTGATGGTCCTGCGGATGTATTAACTGGCGGCAGTGAAGACCAGACACTGCCCCTCGGTTATCAGAAACATGAAAAAGGATGTTAATATTTAAACAAAGCCTGACCATCTTTGTTCCAAAGAAAATTCGAAGTTTTTCCACTCGTGAACAAAACTTAAATGGTCATTAAGACACACCAGTGAACAAAATTCTACCAGTGGAAATGTACAAATTACAAAGCAACCGCAAGCTAAGAACAAGTCGAAATAGGTTTGGAAAGCCCCTCCCAGAGAGTAAACATGAATAATACCCCAGCACATAATTCTGGTTAGTTTGTCAGAAAAATATGCAATGTTCATTTAGTCAAAAAAATATTATGAAGTAGCAAAGTCAATAAATATTCATCTGCCAAATTAATCTAAAACTGTAACCAGAAATAAAATCTTACCTGTATCCGCCTAGAGGAAGACAAGAGTTCTCCGTAAGACAAGATTCCGAATCGTGAGTCCCAACTTTGGTAGTCTGAAGTTCAAAATAGAAATTTCAAAGTCTTCAGGACATTCCCAGTGTTATTCAGTTATCAATGGTATCCGGAAAAAACCAAAAAAGAAGGATGCAATCCCAAACCTGCATCACCAAATCAAACTCGGCAACATCTATAGGCTTTGCTTTATTACTCTCACCATGCTGACTAACAATCTGCATGGGAACAGAAACCACCAATGACGAACAAATAAACAGAAGAAACACAAAAATTAGGTACTGATTGTAATCAAGTAATGAAAGATATGGCCTATATCCGTAGTCTTGAAAGCAACAAGGTACTATAGGATGACAAGTGAAACAGACATCTTATCTTAAGTGCGACTAGAGATACCTACAACTGGGACTAGGGATGAAACAAAACGAACATATTATTATCAAATTGCACATTCCTAGAGTACATATTTCGGCATGAAAAATATTCCCTGAACAAACAGTAGCAATGAAAATCGGTTTAATTCATCTTCAGCTGAACAGTACTATGTGATTGATTAAATTATGAAATTATTTGTTTACCATCGAATGAAAAAGTAATGTAGATGGAAATTTCTTAACCGACATTACCACAATGCACTCATTGTTCTCTTAGTAAAATGAACAACAAATACTAGGTATAAAATTATTGCATTGATGATGTCACTTTACAAACGCCTTACATACACAAATACTCACGTTTTCAATTTTTATACATGTGATTTTCTTGGAATGCATGAAGTTTAAAATATGAAATTGACCAGATATCCAAAACGACTTTTGTGAAATAATTTCATTAGATTATTAAGTAAAACTAGACTTTACCCAGACTCCAAGCCTTGCCTGCACAACTTTCGTTGTAAGAAATACCCATTTGCACAATAATCAAACAACGTACTGCAAAATTGATACTCTTCAAAATTCTAAATAGATTACCTCCTGTACGGTCAATGTACTATTCTTGGATAGTAAAAATACAGGAAAGTTATAGCGGTTCCACATTATGCCAGATCCCTGATGACAACAAAAAATTCTGCCATTATTTCTCCACGAATCATGGAATGCTCTCATTATTTTGATTTCAAACAAGATGTTGTCCCACAAACCACGGGTCAAGAAACTTACCGTAGGGTTCCACTTATAATTGGGACTCTTGTATGGGGCAAATTCTGATTGTGGAAACATTCCAACTGGCGAGAATGCTATAAATTCAGGGAAAAGAAACTCAGACAATAGCATTTGCATATTGTTATTGATCAGCTGCTGTCATAACGCAGAATGATAGTAGTTATTGCTACCAACCTGATGAATTAAAGATATCCTTAGATTCAACCAAAACGGCAGCAACTTTCACAGCAAAACTTTGATCACTAGAAACCCTGGATAATGACCAACACAAGTGAGCATTCGCTGTCAAAATGGTTTCGATTTAGTTGACATACACACAATTTCTCACTCCATCAGAGTATTTTATCACAGATATTAAACCTAAAAGCACAGTCTATTGTGATTACATACTCAGCATTTTCCACCAATGATAAAAAATGGCAAGTTATGTAAAACAGCTCATTGACGTGAACTTCACAGCTCTAAGTCTCCAGCAACAAGCAACCTGCACATGTCTATGCTCATCCAAGGCGATATGCACGGACTTAACAGGGAAAAAATGCAACAAGCCTTTTGAATCTCACCCTATGAATAAAGAATGTTTCCCATCCTTGAGTCATCATAGTAAATTATTCTAAATATAAGGCTGAAACAAAACATGTACACAACGAGAGTTAACCATACTGATAAGAATCATGCCTGAGAAAGAAGCTCTGCATTTCATTTTCAGCAATCAAAAAGGTAGATGGTTGAGACACTTGATTATCAGCACTTTCCCATTTAACAATTGGAGCACTGACCTTCATACGGCCCGGATCTGATGACAAAAGAAGGATCAGTTGACTCATGAAATGCATCTCAATGGAGAATAACTTGGTAGAGTCTTTAAGATGTTGTGGTAAAGAAACAAGATAAATGCCTTCCAAAAGATGACAAGAAATACATCACGAGAATTATAATGTAACTGAATCTTCGGGATTGCTAATAATTAACAACACCAATGAAAATGCCTTTAAAAAGGACAGCATCGTGAAGACATACTTGAACAACCAATTTCACCAGAAATGTTCAATAGCCGTACACAGGGGTAACCATCTATATTTAGGTACATGGCCTTCTCAAGATCTGGAACTGATTCAAGACTCTTTGCATATCCTGAAATTATGAGTATTATAAACATATTTGTCAGTAACTGATGAGATTTAGAAAATAAGATGTGAGGAAAAAAACGTACAAAAAATAGAGAAAAAAATGGTAAGTATGAGGATATTCCCATTTATCACCAATTAGGTCATCTAATACGGTGTCAAGCTAACTCCCAAACATGTATCCACCACCCTGTGGGCAATAATTAATCAATTAAATAAACATACTCTCTAGAACTTCACAGCAGAGGATATGGTGGCTGAATTCAATCAAGAATCTATCTCAATGAACACGAAGGTTGCTATCATCAAAAAAGTTGATAAAGTTCTAACAGACACCAAAAAATCATTGAGAAGATTAAAGAATTGACATTTTGAATATGCCCAGCTTATTTATTTTTCCCAGAACAATGATAATGGTGCCACATTGTAGATATACAGTATTTTCCAAAGCAAAGGGGAACTGAACAGCTGATGTAAGCAGACACAATTTAACCTTGTTCCTGCAGAAGATATCAAAGCAGTAAGATAGATACCTTTCCCTTTGCTACGATTAGAGCTTAACAAGATGCAGAAATGAGAGCCAATTCACATCAATCATGTATCTACTAATGTTTACAGGGTCAAGTAATTTAGTGGGATTCTTTATAGGATCTTATGAAATCCTGTGCCATCTGCCATTGCTCTAATTGTCAAAGTTTCTATTTCATATTTTGGAAGGCTGATTTCCTCCCTTGATTTAAGGGGCTAATTGTAGCATATTCTCAGCCCTCCCTAACGTGACTGTGGCAACTATTTTTTATATCTTTACCATCTATAAGAAGCTAATCAATCATAATAAATGGGGAGGACGTTTTCAGCCATTCATGTTTCCTCTTTTCTCGTGTATTGCATATTGACATCCAAATCTTACAATGTCCATAAGGTTAAAGCATGATGAACTTTTGATTACATCCTTCCCCACATTTTACGCCATTAGCAAACGAAAACTGAACCGGTCTTGCATTGCTATACAGATGTATCCTAATCTCAAGCAAGCTTAGCATATCATCTAATGGAAGGAACCATTGGAAGATTATCCCCCTGAACCTTTTAATGAGAATTAAACTCTCTCCCTAGGAGATCAACGAAATTGTCCCCCACAAATAGCGAAAGAACGGTTATCCCAACAATATTTCATATGGCTGACAGAAATATCTATTGGATGTGCCTCAAAATCAACTCAGAATTCTATGTATGCTTAAAAAATAGAAAAAACAGTCACAATAACATTCCACCGAAAATATCTTAGGATCCTAGACTATTTATGTTACGAACCCTACATTAAGATCCTAGCCCATTTTCCAAACTATAAATACTAAATTAAAATCATACAACAATCTGAGAGACACATACAATTTTTTAAAGAAAAACTTAAGTTGGCTCCCCACTTTTTGTCGGATTTGGACGTGTAGATTAGACATTATTACGCACCAAATTTCGACTAGTCAACAATGAGTAATAATGTTTCATCTATGTTTTCGATAGACTTCATTTTGGAGTTCTATACGTGGCTTATGGTGCGTCACAGCGGACATGGAAGTGTACACGAAGACATGCACCTGGAAATGAAAGCACTCATAGGCAGAAATTAAATCAACGTGATAAATACAAGTGAGACGAGTAAAGTGACGCATTTAAATTAACGTGAACGTCTTATATTTCCATTTTTTTCTGTACCAACTGACGCATTTAAATGCAAAAGAAAAACAGGCGCGACAACCTGTAAGAGCTCTGCTAAAACAAGTCACATAACTCGAATCTGGCTTGCCAATGTACGGGAATTACAGCTCTCTAAGACCAGCTGTATGTTTAAGGCATTGAAATCACTAACATTGACTCAATGTCTAGGGTGTACCCAGGCGACATCTCACAATTCCTGGTTATAAGGTGACAGCTATTGGTCGGTGGGTGGGGAGGCTGGTGTCATGCATCAAATTCTAGGCGTCTGTCCCCTCTGAGTTGGAACGTTCCGCCAGTCCTCAAAGCATACGGCTGAAGGTATGTATCCTTCTAAATGGCGGTTCCAAATCCAATAGATGAGACAGAGAGAAACAGAGAGAGAGAGAGAGAGAGAGAGAGAGAGAGAGAGAGAGAGATTCGCGAGTATGTATGACCACCCCTCTAAGGTATCAGAACAAGATGGAGAACAAAACAATTTACGAATCATCAGAGGGGGGGCAGCCGCACACCAGTGAGAAAGCTGTGCATAACCAGGAGCGAGAACAGGAGGATGCCGTGGATAGCTCGCAGGCGCGACATGCCGGATGAGGCCGGGGAAGGACTCCCGTAGCCGGAGACGGTGGTCGTTCACGTCCGATCGCAGCGCAGGCCGTCGTCCGAATCTCCGCCAGTAAGCCCCACGAAGAACATCTCTCTTCCCCGATCTCCCTCCCTCTCCCACCCTTGAAAACCTCACCCTCCGGCTTCCACGTCGAGCAACAGTTCTGCGAATACTGCGACTGGGCCCAATGGCCCCCGAGAGATGGGCAAAACTACTTGTACTAACCGGCCCACTGTGACGCCCCTCATCTTGTAACCAATTCAATCCAGTTCGGCCCGCACGGGCCGGCCCACTTTTCTTCTAAATTTTTTTCCACTTTGTACGGCCCATTTATGCCCAAAAATATGCGACCCACAAACACGAAACTGGTCTAACCAGTTTTCCCATATCTCTCCCTCTGTCTGTCTCTCTGTCTGTCTGTCTGTCTGTCTCTCTCTCTCTCTCTCTCTCTCTCTCTCTCTCTCTCTCTCTCTCTCTCTCTCGCTTAGAATAGTGATTTCTGAAAATGGAAAAATTGATTTTTGATTTTATTTATTTATGAGGTTGCTTGTGCTCCCAAGATATGATTATTATAATTATTATTTAGTCATCGGCGTGCTGAGCTTCTTCTACTGCACACCGCCGCCGGATTGGATCCCACGGGGGCTCCGTTGGCGACCCGGGGAGACCCGGCGAGTCAACGAGACCCGGTCCTCTGGACCGGCGCCGGCGAAGCGAAGGGGGACCTTCCAACGGCGTCCGAGCGTGCCCGGCACGGTGGGCGCCGCCCGACTCGGCAGCCGCAGGGCGGCGGCGGGTGGGCACCGGCGAAGCCACCACGCCTGCCGCCGCTCTCAGCGGTGGCCCCTCGTCTCCGGGTGCTCGTCTTATCGTCATCGTCATCATCATCATCATCGATGGCAGGGCATATCTCTCTGGAACGAATCGATAGAGATTGACTGGTTCTTCGAACCAAGAATTAATGAGGTTCCGAGTTAGGGGAAATCTACAGAGGGATTTCTCCCCAGTCAGTCGAGAGATTGATCAGAATGTACAGGTTTCCGCCGCCGGCGGGGGGGATCCAGGCAGAAAAATTGGGATCGATCAGGCGAGGCATTGCTCCGGAAGCAGCAGCAGCTTCTTCAGCACGAGGGAGGACTCCGACTGGTACCGGGTGAGGAAGGGGTGGGCGAGGAGCTGCTCCACGGTCCACCGCCGGTCGGCTTCCCGCTGGAGGCAGCTTGCGACGAAGGCCCTGAGCTCGTCGGAGGCGGAGTCCGGCAGGCTTGGGGGCTCCCCGAAGCAGATGGCGCACATCAGGGCGGCCCAATCGGGGCGCTGTCCCTCCTGCAACAGGGGGAAGTGGCCGAGGTAGAGCTCCAGCACGGTGAGCCCCAAGCTCCATACGTCACCGGCGTAGCCGTCGTAGCTACCGCCGTAGGTGTCGGGATCGAACCGCTCCGGGCTCATGTAGGCGCAGGTGCCGACGTATGAATTGCAGGGGGCGAGGGACCGCACCATCATCTTCGACACGCCGAAGTCGGAGATCTTGATCTCGCCGTCGCGGTTGACGAGGAGGTTTGAGGGCTTGATGTCGCGGTGGACGATCTTCTGCGAGTGGAGGTACGAGAGCCCCTGAAGGACCTGCCGCGCCACCTCCGCGAGCGCCGCCTCAGGGAGCCGGCGGTGCCGGCGGAGCAGGGAGTCCAGATTCCCCGCGTCCATGTACTCCAGCAGGAGCGCGAAGTCGCCGGAGGCCGCGCCGGACTGGACGATCGAGTGGCAGCGCACCACGAAGGGGGAGTCAGTGCGGCGGAGGATCTCGATCTCGCGGTAGATCTGCCGGCGAACGGCGGCGTCGGACTGGTGGTGCGGGTGGAGGAGCTTCAGGGCGTACAACTCCCCCGTGCGGACGTGCCGGACCTTGTAGACGATTCCTCCATTGCCGTGCCCAAGAACCTGGACTCTCTCCAGGTCCGCCAGGCGGTGCTCCGAGCAGGAGGCGACGGCTGCGGCGGCGGCAGCCGGAGGAGGGACGAGCTGGATTCGCCGGCCACCAGCAGCGGCCACGGAATCCTTCGGAGGGAGCTCAAGCGTCAGGCTGAGCTGAGGCCTTCGATCTCGAATGACGGCCATGGACTGCCGATTAGAGAAATATCTCTTCCAGCTCCCTGCTCCCGGAGAACGGCGCGGTCTTTATAGCGGCAGGGAGTTAGCCGGGGGCAGAACGGCAGTTGGGGGTCACCGCACCTCCTCCCCTTCGCGGGAGAGGTAATCACACCGAGCGCGAGCGCGATCCCCCGCCCCAGGATTGCGCAGACGCCGCCAAAATCGGGGTGACGATGATTCGGATGCACGAGTGGCGGTGACGACAAAGGGAGCGGCGGCTCACGCGGGGGACCCGCACTCCAGCCAGCAGCTCACCCCCATCCCCTATAATACTACAAACCGGTGGATGCCGTCACCGCCGCCGCCACTGTCGTATCTGGGATTTCACGGCTCCTTCTTAGAGGCTTCTTACTGTCACTGAGCACCCACCAGGTTGGTTCCGAAGAGCACGTGTTTGAAAATGTTTCCGCAGCCCTTGCTTACCGCCACGTGTTTAGTACGGTCTTTGATCCCACGAGGTAAAATACCTCGGCGTCCCAATGGCCTCATAACAACGTTAATAAGACACTAATCCAATATTATTAACGTCAGGTTGCTTTTAAAAAGTTGGATAAATAAATACAGCTGGCAAGGGCGGCGGACGCATTGAGGAACGCCACGTAGGGCGGCCGCCGACGCGGTCAACGTAATTGGCGGTGAGTTTATGCGAGCTTTCGACAATCACTCCGATAGCGGAAGATGTCGGAAGAGATGGGGTGGGATGTGGTGACTTCAGAGGTTTGGTGAGCGTAGGAGGAGATGAGGTGGCGGATGCATTAAATCGGTTAAAGTTATCACGTCAGTGATGTATGATTTATAGGCTGATTGGAGACAAATTGTATTGAATTTGGCTGTCGAGGGGCCCCCTCGATTGGTCGTCGAAGGTCGTGGTGATCTTGGAGATCGTTTGGAAGCGCTGTTTGGGGAATCGGATCTACTCTCGGATCTTGCCTTGCGGGCAGGGCGAAAGAGATGCGGGGAGGAACAGCACGTGTTCACGGCGGGGAGGATCGGGAGCGCGATTAGAACGTGACGTCGAGGGCTATTGGTTGGGGCCCACCCAATTTGGGCGGCGTGAGGCTCGCAGACAAAAGCCACGAGGGCAGTAGTAGGAGCAACGATGGCCGTTGGCGCTTCGGCCACCCAAGAGGTCACTTATCTACTTGTCGGCGGGTGTTGATGGGCCGGGCTGGTCCTGAAGACCAGCCCAACACATCTTCCCACCGAAAAGAGGACCGAAGGTCACAAAGAGAATTCTCTCTCTCTCTCTCTCTCTCTCTCTCTCTCTCTCTCTCTCTAGAAAACGAAATGTGCGGGGAAGTATCATCTAAGCTGGGAAATGGGGGGAGAAAGCGAAGGTCATAAGGAGAACTCCCTTTCGGCGCGCTTCAGGACACCTGTCACCATGGTGAAGAATTCTGGTTCCATCCTCCTTATATCCTCAACAGTCGTTGACTCATGCTCCTCGGCCTGAAGAACAGATTATAGCATTTTCCACATTAATAATCATATAATTTCATTCAATCACCAAGTACAAAAATAGCCCCACCACCGTGACGATGGAACTACTTATGCTTCTTTTTCGGAACAAAAAAAATCAAAAAAATAAATAAATGTCATGGTTAAATATTCGGCCCGACTTAAAAAATAGAAAAATATCATGTAAATAAAGATGGATAAAGAGGCAGATTAAATTATCTAAAGAAAAAGATAAAAAAGTGAGGAAAATACCTACCTCTATGAACTTCAAGAGTATCAGATTTGCCACGTAGGCTGGCTTTGCTTGATCCCACCTGAAGATCATAACAACGGGTCAAATGGGTACATACATTTTAATCAGATTAATATATATATATATATATATATATATATATATATATATATATATACCTGACAAGCATCAGTTCGTTGACCGATCGCCACATCTTTCGGCCGGCCTCTTTTGTTGACTGATCTCTTGCGCTCCTACCATGCCAGAGTTCTTTGACAATATACATGACTTCCTCAGCATCCACCTTAGAGATGAGGATCAGGCGGAATTAGGTCAAGTACCAAACGGTCGCCCCCCAAGCTTTCATGGCTCATTAATGTTGAAATTAATCACTTACATCTCCACCATAAACATGAAAGTTTAGCATTTTAACCAAGTTAAATGATATAATGAAATCATAAAAGTATTGAGCATGCCTGCCTCATAATGTTATACCAGGACTTGTGCAGCAGAGCCATACACTGCCTCCTCATGTTCTAGAAGACGCTGATGAAGAATCCTGTAATGATCAATATCCAAATTCACCACAGGTTCTGTTTGGATGCACAAGCCTGCAAGCTCTGTCACAGCATACGACGCCATTACTTGCCCAAATATTGCTGGTATAGCCCCCAAAACTGGTATTATACGGACTCTGAAACCCGGTACTATCTGACATTTGTATGAAGTAAACCATAAAGTTAGTGAAGAAACAAACCATGTCGATTTAAATGGAGACATTCTTCAGTAGAAATTTCTTTTATTTATTTATTTATTTATATTTTACGATTAAAACTGATAGGATGTAAGCCCATGGCTGGACCTGATAATCTGCTGGGTTCTCTTCTTCTCCAGTTGGCCCCTTAAATGGCAGGAGCTTTGCCTTCGGTTTCTCCAGAGAAAAAACCACAGATATTCCACCTTCAATGCCATGCTCTTTTCTCAACCGATATCTTACCTGTAAACAATGTTTTCAGAAATAGTTAACCTAGAAGCTGAATCCGAAGAATACGTCCTTGAGGACATTGAAATAGATAAATCAACGGACTAGGTTCTTTTACGGATTATTATTCTCCATTGAGACAGTAATCTTATGTAATTTTCCTCGCTTATGTGCTTTTGAAGCTGAATACAACTAAATAAGAAAAATTAATACATATTTCTTCTTGTCAATTATAGCACAGTGAGACGGAAACGGTAAGAGAATTTTTATAGCATAATAGACATTAATCGATGTCAGAACAGAAACTAGAAATAACCATTCATATGGAAATGTCAACCCCCCCCCCAGCATGGACCACTTTCACTGCCTCATCTTCGACCACAAACTAACTCTCCCATTTCTCATGCAATTTTTACCGGTATTTCAAGAGCATTTAAATTTCAAGAACTGATGTGTGAAAACAGTAGGATTGCTAATATGACTAATTATCATAGACAAAGAATCCGCGAGAAAGCAATCGAACGATACAAACTTTCATTAGTTATTAGCGGCGAGCTTCTATAAGAATACCATGAAAAGAATTACAAACAATATACATCTGAAGTGAAAATCAACACTTAAAGAACCAACGGAACTAAAAGAATATGATCGCAATGCTACACGCATATTATGTTTCAACAGAGACAGACAGAATCCCATGGCATTGATGATAGAGAAAAAAATTCAGCATAAAGACGATATGATATGAATTGAGTATTTGTTCATGTAAGAGATATTACAGCTCGAGAGAGAGGATCGATTGATGATTCCCTAATGTCAGCAATACGAATTCGTGTAGGATCAGCTCTCGCACCAGCGCCAGTAGCAGATAGCACTCTCAGTCCTCTACGCACACATGCAGCAAGAAGGGCAACCTGTAATAGAGAGTAGTGAGGATTTTGCCATTGCCATGTTGTAGCTGCGGGATATTGATACAAGAAAATTTAAAAGAATAAATACATGCACCCACATTGCATCAGCCAGTTGACCTAGATTTTTTTTTTTCCCTCCACACTGTTCATAACTTTCTTTTTTGGTTACACACTCTGTTTACTCCTTTGTTGAACACCCACATTACACACTCTGTTTCATCAGCCAGTTATATGTAGCTATTTGTAATGGATTGAACATGAATGAAGCCACATGAATAGCATCTATTCAGGATCTATTCAGACAAAAATCCTTAGCCTTTTTAGACTCAGCATTCAAACAAACCTTTTTAAGGTTGCTTGCAGAAATCTCTTTTAGAGGTATCCTTTCAAGAAGACGCATGCTTTGTGTTGGAGAGTCTATTAGAATATAGACGAGACATGACCACTGCCATTGCGTGCCAGAGTGTAATTTAGAATGTGCACTGATCAAGTTGGCTTATAATAGGTTTTATGGTGTAATGTCGCTCTCTTCTCGAATCTTCTCGAAATATAAATAGGCGAGGGAGGGGACTAAAGATTATAACCTTAATATTCTATTTTTGGTATCAGAACCTTAGCCTAAGAGTTCATAGGGCTTACCAAGCCGATGTTGTAGCTCTCAACATATCTGAGAGCGAGAGAGGCCACAGTGGGAGCTCGTCTACGTGCTGCTCAACTGTTGTTGACTGCTGCTGTTAACGTGACATCTATATCCTCCAATCCAGGCAGTTCAAGATCCCTGTACATAATTGACTCGACCTCTCTACCATGGGGAGGCTCCTAATCACCAATGTCTATGTTCCCTGACCTCTAAATCTGGAAACACCCCAACGTCTACTGCTCTGACCTAAGTCATTTAGAATAGGAACCATTAAGTCGGTCCATATTACGTCTAATGGTGTAATAGAAACAATAGAAATGATAGAAATGCTTGTTGACTAAATCCATCTCTAGCTAGTTATAGAAACAAATCATTTTTAAAGTTCTCCTCACCACTCTTATCCCACAAAAACAACCGAAGTAGCAGGTCCCTTTGAGGTCTACTAAGTCATTGGTAGGTACTGCGTGGGTCTTAGACAATGGGATGAGTCTCACCGATGATCTAGTAAACAGAGTGGATGCCATTTTCCGCGGAGCAATGAGAAAAGAAACGAGAGTGGCAATGTGATCTTGACAATGTAGAAAGAGGTAAAAGAATGTAATCATAAGGAGAGTATTACTATATCAAATAAAAAACTGAATATGCAGTAGAGTAAGAGAATAGGAAGTCTGAAAATCGAACCATAGTAAGCAAGTCATAAGAGAATAGGAGTCAAGTATGCCATTATGATAACACAAAGAGGAAATTGTCACAAACAATACTGAAAGTGGCATCAGATAAATGACATTACTTTTGTGTCAATATTGTCAATGCAATCGAGAACAAAATCAGGTTGGCCAGACAAAATCTCTTCTTCGGCAGATGTATCATACATCTGTACTCTCGCATCTATTTGGCACTCTGGAAATATTGATGAAAAATGCTTTTTCAGACATAGGGCTTTAGGCGTGCCAACATCATCCCGAGTGGCCACAGCATGCCGGTTAAGAGATGAAAGTGACACCTGTCCATCAGCATAGATTGGAAAACCATAAAATTACAAGTTGAGAAAAGTGCAATACTCTGATGATGATGTTTAAACTGATGAAAGCAAACCAGATATTGGCAGCATAAGTTAACTAAGAATGCATCGAATATACACATGCATGCTATACGATCTGGAAACTCAATCTATATAGCATAAAAACTGAAACAATCATAATATCACGTGTACGGGATATTTTACTTCATAATCAATCTCCCAAAAATAAATATCCATCATTACCTTCAAATCATGCCCAGATACAAGGAAAACATATGACATCAGCATCAAGAAAATCTATTAATTGTATCATATACAATTATAAGAACAACATGATACTTGGATTAAACTTGCCACTATTGGTTACCAGGTCCTGATTCATCTTTTGGTTCCAAGTTACAAATGAATTCACATCATTACATTCAATTTTGCAACTGCACAGGTAACATTTGATGTTGACAAGTGTAGTGCATTTTGGGTAGTGTCATCCGACTGGTCTGGCTCGAAGTTTGGCAGATCCAACGCCTTTTAACCAGGCATGCATAATAAAAACTGCACAGAAACGAAATTTGACCCAACTTGACCAGGGCTTATGTTCCTCTGGTTCATGATTGTTATTATCATGCTTATTTACTTCGGCTTAACAAGGTGAGATAATTTCTACTAAATTTAAGATTCACTCCCAACAACATTGCAAATATAGGATGAAGTTGAGAGTTGGAGGCCTGTAACAGATAAGGCAAAGGAAGAAAGACGGTAAATTATATGAACTGCATGGATTTCATAACAATACGTAGAGAAGACAATAGACAAGGTTTATTTGTTATAAAAATGATTTCCTCGACGTTGGCCAATAAATTCCAACCGTCGAATGTGCAAACTGTTTATACTATCCAAATGAATTCCCATTCGACAGTGGTTTTCAAGATGCCCACAGTTACTTACGTTGTGGGAGTTGGCACCAGAAATGAGACAGGGATGATACAGATGTTTTGCTCTGGTCACCAGCTTTCGTGTGTTACATTTATAGAGATTTTCTCAATATTAGCTAGTGAAATGATAATATACAAGACCCAGGTGTCATCTACATTCTATTTAGACTAAAATTCATCACATATAGGTCAAGATATTTTACTGCTTTTTTAAAGTCTTCAACTGCCTTTTTGAGAAAAAGTAGTTTCCAGTTGGAGTTTAGTTAATGAAAGTAAAGTTCCTAAGTAGAGAGAAAATTCAAACAACAATTTCTCCTTACAAAGAAAACCTAACTATGAGCGCGTTTAATTTCGTGGAAAAAAAATAAATCACAGACCTCTGATGTGTTTGCTGAGCTACCTGATCGAAATCCACCAAGAGAAGTTTGCCTACTCCAGATCTCAAAAGCATAGAAGCAGCATGACTCCCGACTCCCCCAAGACCAATGATGACAACATATGATTTAATCACTTTTCGTTGAGATTCAATCCCAAAGAATTGAATATTCCTGCGTTAAAAAAAGCAATACTCAAAATTAAAAAGATTAGCTCCAATGCTGTTATTATTTCTCTGCATTTTGTGTACATAGGCACATCCTCCAAGATGGATGCATTCTATTTAAGATAGAAACGATACATTGAGCCTTATTGATCAACTAACAAGACACATGAAAAGTTACGCAACATCCAGTTTAGGAAAGAACAAGCATATTAGCATGGATATCCTAATGCCAGTATTGTGTACCTCGTGAGTTGTTCAGAAATAATTTCATCACTGAGAAAATCTCCAACAATTGATTTGCCTTCGACCCTGTGGCACTGTTGAGACGAACTGGGTTTTCCTAAGATAAAAATAAAAAATAAAAAAACGAATTATATATTTTAGTTGGTATTTAAGTACGTGAAATTTCAAGTGGACAAAAGGTTTTTTCTGCTTTAAAATGTATGAGTTGATGAGTACAACCAAGGAAAAAGCTTCTTAACAGAAATCTAACAACGGCCTTATCAAAATACATGACAATAAATCACTTAATTTGGTGAAAAGTAAAGAGCAATAAAATGGCTATAGTCATAACAAATAAAACTTCCAAATGGCATTTTTCTGATTTTTAAAGAAGAATCAAATCGACCATCTAAAGATATATGAGATAAATGAGGAAGACGAATCATCCAAAGCAAGATGATAAACCATCCATGAGAAATTGATCGACACAGTCTGAATCAGTATCTTCGGTGTACTACAGATGAAATTTATTATTTCTTTTGGTTCCATTTCATAGTTAAATAATTAACTCTCTTAACACTTGTCCACTCTGATGCATGCCCACACATATTTATTACTTTCATCAGTGAATATACACAAGTGCCTGGTTCTATCTTCTAAAGTCCAAAGAGGAATATACTCACAAGTATTTTACTCAATGATAGCTAATCAATTTGATGGATTGTAACAAGGAGCTGTGAGCACCCTAATGGATGAGACTTTAGATAAATATGCATAAAAAAGACTGAGCTTAAACTTATCTAATAGTCAATCAATTTTTAATTATTTAAAAAAAAACTCATTTCAATGAGAAAAGTCTGTAAGAATCCATGAATGTTTGATCATTATACTCTCGGTGTCAAACTTCTATTCAGGAACCATGTTCAATCATGCGGAATATACATTTTATAGTCATCTTCAATTGTAAAGGTGAAAACTTACAATCATTTTTTTTATATCCAATTCTCTTTCGCTGTTATTCAGCTTCATTGCCAATTAGCACTGCTCTTCCTCTCTCTTCACCCCCCTATTTTCTCCCTCACAGTACCAATCTTTCTTTGTATCACGCTTGATTTTAATGTTGCTGCTCTGTGTGAACCTACTCTGTTCACGTGTGCTTGCAACAGAAGAAAGTTCCTATTGAATTCTCCTTTGTATCTAGTGGGAATTGAATGACTTATTGCAGGGCTTGTATCGAAACAATATTGTTGGGTCTGGTGCAAAAGAGAACCATAAGCTATCTCAAGGACAACAAGTTTTTTTGTGTACACACCACATGCTCAGTTTCTCACTCATTTACATCTCTGAGTATCTTTTTCAATCATTAAACCCTTGCAGCATTTTTTCTACCGTAGATATATAATTAATAAAATAGTCATGCTTAAACCCCCTGGTCAACTGTACCTTAACGAGAAAAAAAATAGACGAATACTCTTCCAAACAGATAGCTCACAGCCTGGTCCTCAACATCAATTTCATTAGGCAGTATCTTTAATATAATCCATAAAAAAGGGTTAGGGAATTATGTTGATCAATCAAAGGCAATCAAAGGGATCTAAATGTACCACATTTGCTGCTATTGGTAGGCAGCTGAAAAGTTATAAACAATGAAATTTTTTTATTTGGTATCGCAGTGCTCAAAGTGATTTAGTTCACATACTATAAGTCGTGATCAGAAGTGAGATTAGTTGCATTTCATTGGCCAGACTCTGTGAAGATCTCTTAAAAAGGGGTTTGTCCCTCTAGGTGGTAGACTCCAGACAATTTTATTTACCATCAGCGACCCCTTTGACTTCACCATTTTCCCTTGTGAGAGAGGTAATCAATGTCTCATTATGATTCTTTCTTGCTTGTTATTCTCTTTTCTTTTGCTGATAAGCAAAAAGAAATCACGCATATGTCACCAATATCTGATTACCTGGAGAATAGTAACCTAATTACACAAACACGGAGAATTCTAAAGCATGGAGATCAATTTCAAACAGCATTTTCTAGAACCATTTTAATCATCAGGAGACCTACAAAAAATGAAAACCTAAAACTGAATAATCGAAATGGATCATTTAAATCAAGGAATATATAAATAATTCCACAGTAAACAATCATGATTGCCATAACTAATTTAGCACTAATTTACCATAAAAACTGAAATAAAAAGCATAGCAAAGAGAATGAGCGCCGATTTAGACTATTAGCAGCAGAACACCTGTACCATCAATGATTCCATGGTCATTTGACAAACTCCGTGACTTGATTCCACATCTATTGTCAATCCATCTGAAAAATACAAAAAGTACGTGGTAATGCAAGAGAAGACTCAAGAAAAATAGATGTAGAAAGTTTTTATACATTAGTCTATTTGTGCTCAGAGTGATACCAAGTAAAAATTCACAAAAATAATTCCACTTTCAAAAATTTCAGCATAAACATTCGAAAATATATGGTCTATAAGACGTTGATAAACTATAATAATAAACAAGGTCCTTGTGAAGTAAACTTAGCAAATATTTCCACCACTATATCCGCAAATTCAATGCAATCTAGTGAACTTCCTGACAAATCATAATTTCCAGTGAACTACAATAAAACCCCTCTCCACCATAAGAAAAGGAAAACGGTCTAATTTCCATGAACTTTTGCAATAATTTCACCATTATACATTTTATCGGTGGCATTGTTAAGATTATAACTTCGGTAAGAACGCCCTAGCTACGTGGGTGGTCGAACTGCAGACAGTGGACAGCTTTGGAAACTAATTATGGAGATAGTAACAAAACAAAGGTCATCAGCGTCGATAATTGGGTACTAATTAGGAAGTGGCCCAATATTGATGACCAATTGTGATTGGTGATGACAGACTCAAAGCAAGAGAGGGTCGATAGTGGCTCAGTTGAAAAAGAATGTTCGAATAAGGATACTACAATCAACATCTCGAGATAACTGCATTATTGTTTCTTACGTCGGAATCGAGGTAGCACGGGTTGCTATATCAAAGGGACAGAGACAGCCGTCGTAGCTCGCAATAACACAACCGAACTGCGTTACCGCTTCTGATGCCATATTTTCGCAAACTCGAAAATGAGAGAGAAAATATAGAAAATGAGAAGACGGAACGCCTTGCTAGACAAATTAGTGAGTTCTGGCCAAAGAAATACTAATCCGAGCTGAGTGGATTCAATGCAGCTTTAATATCAATCCCGCTTCTGAAACACCCGCCGCCGCGACATCATTCCGTACACGATTAAGGCATATTGTGTCTCCTAGGAGAAAGGAGCTTTATATTCCCAAGAGAAAAAAACATGATCTGTATACATCAGAAAAATTCATCCCCCGAAAACTTTTCTTCAATAACAAAACACAGACGAATGACACTCGTTTTCAACCACGCAACACGTAGACAACATCAACAAGAATATCTAGTAAGCGAGGCTTACCCCAAGTAAAGCCCCAGGAGGGAAGAAAAGGAAATCGGAGGAGAAGAGGTAGAGCACCTGGAGTAGAGCTTCAGCAGGGCGACGGTCGAAATGGAGCCCAAAACCGCGCCGGCACCGATCAGGAGAAACTGCCTCGACCGCTCCGCCATCTTCGCCGCCGTCGACAGCGGCGTTGGGCCGTTTCCCGCCCGCGGGGTGCCGTGTAACGGCCACCAAAAGCCTGCTTCCAAACTTTCAAATCCCCGTCTGTGAGAAGAATAAGGTTGACTCCAGCGCCCTTTATACGAAGCCCGCTAAGAACTAGGTCTATAATTGGGCCTATTTGACCCGGTTAAGAAAACCGCAACTAGATCCGAAACGGATTAGTAAATACCCGAGAAACGGATCTACTTGCACCCGAGATTGGCCTTGGCCTCATTATAAAAAAATGCACTTTCTTTTATATGTTTATTATTATTGTTTTATATAATATTGTAATTCAATTAAAAAACATAATATTTATGCGCATTTAATTCCTGATTTTTTTATGTAACTATTCAAAAGAGGAGAGAGAGAGAGAGAGAGAGAGAGAGAGAGAGAGAATGTGCCACAGTCCTGGGTCAGGCATCTCTTTGCTAAATTTGCACCCAAACACAGCTATGGAAGCTCTTATAGGAAGCATGGACCATTTCCTCCCTCTCTTGACCCTTGAACAAAGTCAAACCGTGAGGGAGCTAGGATGAATCGATAAATAGTTGACTTTCGAGAGTCCCATACATCAGGAACATTCTGCTAACCACTGGTCAACGCCCACTCCCCAGCTTCTTTCCCGAGCTTTGGAGGAGGAGGTCCTTCTGTCACCAAGAAAAGAAGATTTGGAGCGGCAAAAGATTCAGGAGCTTCCCAACTTACTCTCAATGGAGAATAACCACGATAGGGTGAAGGATTCTGCATGATTATAAGCGTTGACCAGATATTCCAGGGTGGTTCTACGCAAAATCATTCTGCAATGCTCCGGAAGAACTCCACTGGATCAGCTGCTATTATTATCAGAAGACAGTGCCTGGTCTCCCACCGTTACAATTTCCTCCGGTAGAACAGGAGCTGCTTGCTCCAAATTGATCTCACCCTCTGGTAGCTCGAAATCCAACTCAACGTCTGAAAAGTCAATGCCAGTTGAATCTGGCGTAGGATCGTCTAGAAGCTGAAACCAGTCAAAATCCACGTCCTCAACATCGGGAATCTCCATCAGAAATCTCTCATCTGTGGGCACAGTCGGACCCGTCTCCAAAGATGCGCCGTCTTTAGCCAAAATCAGGTCGTTGATCCCATTCGACAGTTGACCCAGCGCAGAGAAGGCCTCAAGCTCTGACTTTTGGGCGACGGCAGGAGGGTAACTGTCTGTCTGGCCTTCAGCTGACGCCCCGAGAGAGTCTGCGCCCTGTTCTAGAGCCGGAAGCCTCCTCCTCTTGTTAGCTTCGAATATCAACCAGCTGCTCCCGCTCTGTTGGACGAGCTGACTCAGAATTCCCGGACTCTGGACGGCCATCGCGAGGAACGACAGCATCTGCTGCTGCTGCTGCTCGATCAGCTGAATTCGATCTCTCACGTGATGCAGCTCGTTCTCTGTGCTCTGCTGGTGCTGCCTCAGCTTCACCAACTCCTGCATTAGAACGGCCTTGTCTCTCTTCAGCCTCTCGATCTCTTCCTCCAACCCAAACTTTCCGACCTCAATGCACGCCTGAGATGGGGCGCTATTGTTTCCCTTCTGGGAAACCAAGTGGGAGCCACTCTGCACAGGTTTCCTTCTGAGTATGCTCTTCAGAATATGCTTCTGACCTCTCAGAAAGCCCTCATTTGCAAACTCCAGCCGATCATGGTTGACCTTATGAAACCCCTGCCGCCGCATTTCACATGAAATGGAAAAAAATATTGCATTCATTATAATCAAAAACCATAGATTAGAGGGTATGATGGTCAAAGTATTGCAACCCAAGCACATTGGACTTTGTACCAAAGCCATTTTTCAGTAAGTATGGTAAGAATCATATCAGTTCATCGGCAATCTGGATGAATGAGAAGAACACAGTAGGTTCTCATGAAAGTAGCCAGGAAGGAAAGGTCCGCCATGAATGGCAAGCGAAAGCTAATGTGGACAAATCAAGCGCTACAGATGCCATCGAGAATGGATAAATCTCGTATACAAAAAAGAAACAGAGAAGTAATTGAGAGTAAGAAGATGCCCAGCAGAAGGAATAAATTATCTATAGAAAAATAAATAACTATTGCATCCAACAGAAGTAATGAAGCAGCTGGTACTGATCGAAGATTGGCAGCATGAAATTGCCTAATATTACGACAATGGCCAGCACAATCGGTGACAAAAGTTTCATGTTCCTTACAGATCATCAAATCGGAAATATGAAACTGGAATATCATCATGTAGTTCTTGACCAGAAAAATTCGATAGCTACTGACGATATCAGTAACAAAAATGATAATATAAGTAGGGAGAAGGGGGAAAATCCAATGCAATCACCCGGGAATTCGCAGATAAATCGATCTCCAAAACTAGGATCCCTCATAAAATGGGTTGTAGGGTGGCCTCACGTAGGTGTTAAGTTGCCGCACGAAGCTGGAGAAGTTATTGTGCTTGAAGTACTTGGGGAGGAGGACGCTCTCGAAATTGTGGGGGTCCCACACCACGAAGCTATTGCCCGTATCATTCCACGACACCGTCGCATCGGTGGACGGATCGTCCACCATGTCATAGCACTTGCTGAGGAATGGCGGAAGCTGCTGATGCAGAAGAGCAGCCGCGGCCGTCGCCGGGGTATCGGGGGACGTGGAAGGAGCAGGCAGGTCGGAGAGATTCGCAGCAGTTGATCCCCCATCCTTCTTGCCGTTGCCGCTACTCCGGCCCCCTTTCGCCATCCGCGACACGTTACTGGAATGACCGTAACCCTAACAAGGTTTTTTGCAAAATCCGGGGCGAACGGAGCCACGGATGGGAGGAAACCTCCCGCCATAACGATCCCTTTCGATCAAGAAATATATAGCTTCTCTCACGTGGAGTTCCATTTCTGTCGGGCCGTGTGGGCAGGCTTGCGTGTCTGCGGGCCGGGCTAGGAAGACCTCAAAAACTGAGCTTTTGGGCGGGCCAACGAGAAGAAAAGCACCGTAGGGGAAGGGGTCACGCTGGTAGAGAAGGGGAAGATGGGGAAGAACGGGAGGAGAGAGCTAGAGAGAGAGAGAGAGAGAGAAGAAACGCTATCAAACGCCTACAAAACTGTCCATCAGGTAACTCATTCATAGTTTCTCACATGGCTAAATTTTATGGCCACTAGGTTGACCAGCCATCTTGAGAATTGACTTCGTGGACGCATAAAAAATAATTTTTTATGTAGATGAACGAAAACATATATAATCTTATGTCTCTAGATATTTATCGAATATATTAGTGAATGCAATGATAATTTTATTTAATTTAGCATCAATTAATAATAAATATAATTTTATAAATAACTTTTACAACAATCCATTGCACCTTTAACTTCTATATTGCTTCCATTGGTTTGCCATATTTAGTCATTAACTTTGTATTGTCTTACTAGAATATGTTGCTCAAATTGATCCATTGACATCCTCGTAAATAAGTAAAACGTTGGATTTTATAAAGGGTGTTTTGGTTTTTAGCCCCGTATAAATCAGTCTAATTATAAATAAACCCCTTGTCTTTTCAGTTATATTCCTAACTCTTTATCAATTCTTATTCTCTTTATTTTAATTTCTGGGATTTAGTGTACTTAATCATTGTAGATTTCTCTAGTAACATTATCGCACCTATTGATAAACATTATCTTGCTACGTTTTATTATCAATAAAATGTTACTACTATTTTCCTAATATCAAGTTACATGATAATAATTTAATATGGGAAATAATACCATGACGAGAGAGAGAGAGAGAGAGAGAGAGAGAGAGAGAGAGATAGAGAGGAAAGGGCCAGACGAGAGAGAGAGGGAGAGGGGGAGGGAGAGAGAGAGCCGTGATGGTGGGTATGAGGGTAATATAGTATTTTTCATTTGTGGTTGAGAATTAACCCCATATTGTTTTGGACAAAAATCTTACACAAGGACCCAAACTGAATAAGACGAGTTTATGGTAAGTTATTCAAATGATTCAAAAATACGAGGGGCTTATTAGTAATTGAATTAATTTATGATGAGAAATACCTAAAAAATCCATCTTCCAAATTCTTATCCATCAACACTCGAAAGAATTCAAGAAATTATAATTAAATTTACAAGTTTGTGATATCTACTTGAATCATTTTATATCAAATTCGTCAAATTGAAATTGTATTAGCCGAAAAGAAAAAGTAATAAGTTGACACATAGGGGCGCTCAAACATGCTAAATGCTTTTTACTAAAAAACACAAATAGACTCATAAGAGATATAATTAGAATAATACACATTAAAAACGTTTTTTTTCATTAATATATTTATCTTAATCGAATAAAATGAGAGGGGTATACATAAAAATTCACTTTACCAGATATCTTTCCATGCATGATTACTAAGAAACGTGACAAATATGCAACTGACCCTCGTCAACGTCTTTGCCAAGGGCACATCCTTGACGCAGACAAGAGATTCCAAAGGCAGTACGCTCCTCGACAAGATAGAGATAGATAGATAGATAAAGAGAGAGAGAGAGAGACAGCTAGAAAGCTAGACAACGGCGAGAAATGCAGTGACGAGTCTCCTTCCGTATCTCTGCAGCGGACTGTTCGATGGGCTCGCCGTGTCTCAGCAAGCGCCGAGCTTGACGACGCGGACGGCGTGGCAGTTGGCCTCCGGGCAGCCGCAGCCGTAGGTGACGCCGTTCACGCCGCAGACCGGGTCGTAGATGAGGCACTGGATGTTGCAGTTGTTGCGGGGGCGGGCGCGGCGCGGCAGGTGGCAGAGGTTGGGGACGACGGTTCGGCTCTCCGCCGCGTGCAGGCACAAGAGAGAGAGAGCGAGGGTGAGGACGAAGGACCGGCGGAGGGCACCGGCGGCGGCCATGGCTGGCGAGAGTTCTCGGGACGAGGCACGGGCACCCCACCGCGGAGAAAGTTCACTGCTTTGTAGCAGTTGGGAAGTCCCATTTTTCTTGACGCACTTAATGAACATAAATTAGGGAGAAAAAATAGTTCCAAGACCGTTGACTCTTGGCCGAGGCCACTTCGATTTTCTTGAGGGGATAAGGATGGGAAGAATCTTTGCGCGTAGGTTCATGGAAATCCATAGCCTCGTTAGCCCTTTCCCGATTGGGTTCAGAGAAGCAGCTGTTTTTTTCTTCTGCACGAAGAAAAATTCGCCATGGATGGCAAGCGAAAGCTGATGCGGACAAGTCAAGCGCTACAGATGCCATCGAGAATGGATAGATCGCGTAAACAAAAAGAAACAGATAAATAATTAATAGTAAGGAAATGCCCAGTAAAAGGAATAAATTATAATAAATAAATAAAAACTATTTTCTCCAACGGAGAGTAACGAAGCAGGTGGTACTGATCGAAGATTGGCGGCATGAAATTGCCTAATGTTACGGCAACGGCCAGCACAATCGGTGGCTAAAGTCCTCTGTCGGGCCGGGCTGGGCCGCTGGCAGAGAAGGGGAAGAACGGGAGGAGCTAGAGAGAGAGAGAGAGAGAAGAAACGCCACAACATCGCCTACAAAACGGTGTGGTGTCTTGAGAGTTTCTCAACATGGCTACATTTTCTATGGCCACTAGGTTGATCAGCTATCTTGAGAGTTGACTTTGTGGACGCATTAAAAAGATATTTTTATGTAGACGAAAAAAATAATATAATCTTATGCATTTAAATATTTAGCAAATATATTAGTGAATATGATGATAATGTTATTTAATTTAATATGGATTATCATAGATATAAATTTATAAATGAATCGGCCTATTTATAAATAAACCCATTGTCTTTTCACTTATATCCCTAACTCTTTATCAACTATTATTCTCTTTATTTCCATAAAATATTATTATTATTTACCCAATACTATGTTACATGATAATAATTTAGTATGGGAGTGACATCATGGCGAGAGAGAGAGAGAGAGAGAGTGAGGGAGGGGCCAACCTCACGAGTCCTTTTGAGCAATATCTGTTGTAATCATTGTTTGAGGGGATGACAATGGAAGGTCGATTGGAGGGAATGGAGATATCTTAAGAGAGAGAGAGAGAGAGAGAGAGAGAGAGAGAGAGAGAGAGAGAGAGAGAGAGAGAGAGACAGACAGAGACATAGAGAGATAGAGATGGACAACCATGATGGTGGGTATGAGGGTAATATTATCTTTCTCATTTGTGGTTAAGAATTAACCCAACATTGATTTTGACAAAATTCTTACACAAGGACCAAGAATGAAAAAGACAAAGTTTATTGTGAGTTTTTCATACAATTGAAATATACGAGGGTCTTCTTAGTAATTGATTTAATTCATGGGGAGTAATACATAAAAAAACCATTTTCCAAAATCTTATACATCAACAGTCGTAAGAATTCAAGAAATTATAATTAAGTTTACAAGTTTTTAATATCTACTTGAATCATTTTATATAAAATTCGTCACATTGCAATTGTATTAGCGTGAAAAGAAAAAGTAATAAGTTGACTCGTAGGGGCGCTCAAAATGCTAAAGTCTTTTTACTAAAAAAGCACAAGTAGACTCATAAGAGATATAATTAGAATAATACACATTCAAAACGTTATTTTTTATTATTATGTTTATCTTACTTGGATAAACTGAAAAGGGTATACATAAAAAAACGGTTTACCGGACTACTTTCCTTATATGATTGCTAAGAAACAGGGCAAATATGCAACTGACCCCCTTCAAAGATGACGTCTTTTGCCACGGGCACACCTCTGACGCAGACGAGAGATCTCGACAAGATAGAGAAGATAGAGATAGGTAGATAGATAGACACATAGAAAGAGAGAGAGAGAGCTAGACGACGGCGAGAAACGCAGTGACAAGTCTCCTTCCGTATCTCTGCAGCGGACTGTTCGACGGGCTCGCCGTGTCTTAGCAAGCGCCGAGCTTGACGACGCGGACGGCGTAGCAGTTGGCCTCCGGGCAGCCACAGCCGTAGGTGACGCCGTTCACGCCGCAGACCGGGTCGTAGATGAGGCACTGGATGTTGCAGTTGTCGCGGGGGCGGGCGAGGAGGGGCAGGTGGCAGAGGTTGGGAACGACGCCGCTCAGGCTCTCCGCCACGTACAGAGAGGAGAGGGAGAGGGAGAGGGCGAGGGCGAGCATGAGCACGAAGGACCGGCGGAGAGCACCGGCGGCGGCCATGGCTGGCGAGAGTTGTCGAGACGGGCACCCCACCGCAGAGAGGTTGAAGTTCACTGCTCTGTAGCAGTTGAGAAGTTCCATTTATATTGACGCATTTAATGAACATAAATTAGGGATAAAAAATCATCCCAAGACCGTTGACTCTTGACCGAGGCCACTTCGATTTCCTTGGAAACCACGACAAGGATTAGAGACCGTATTAATGATTAATCTACGATTATCATCTAGCTAATTCTCATGGTCAATGATTATTATCTCAGTAAGTCAGTCTCTCAGTGTCCGGTTGAATTGACTGCTTTTTATTCCAGTGGGAAAGCTCCGTCTCATTTGAATGGATAAGGACGGGGGGCTGCATCGCATTTTGTCAACGAATATTTGTCAGTTCGTATGAATCTATCGCCTAGGTCCCAAGTCAACATCTCATTGACTTTGGTTTGATTTCTTTTGTACCTTTCCGTGAATCATTTGTCTATCCTTAAGTTGGTAGATTTTTAATTAAGCCCCTCTATGTTTCACTCTTGCCTTTAGAGCCTATTTGCGAAATATATAATTACTACTGGATGGCCCATCAATTAGCTTTTCTTTCAACATCTATTAATATTGTAATATTTTTTTTTTAATTTATTTAAATATAAGCATTCCTCCTCGTTAGTAAAAGGAGAGACGCTTTCCTAGGATTTGAGATTTTCTATTAAAATTTAGGGTTCAAGAGGGTGAAGAGAGAGAGAGAGAGAGAGAGAGAGAGAGAGAATCTTGAAAATTATCCGAGAAAAAGAAAAATGTGAACTTTAACTAAATTATATTTACCCTGTTGAGCCACAATATAAGACATGGACACTGCAGGGGGTGGACGTGCGAGGGGCAAATGTGTAATATGAGCTTCATCGTAGGGGCTTTTTGGTAAAGAAGCAGATCTTCACATCGTATGGTTAGGCACAGGAATCTCTGCGAGCGGTGTTCGGTTAGCTGACAGCGAACGTCTCTCTCCTTCTCCTCCCACCTGCTCCGTCCTGTGTCGGTCTCTGCTTCGTCTCCTCGTCGTGGAGAAGAAGATCTCATATAGCTGTTGGGTAGCGGAGGGTCTGGGGAGGGGCCACTATGGCGTTGTCGATGTCTCTGTCCTACGCCGCGGGTGGCGGAGTGTGCCTGCCATCGGGGGAGTCGCAGCCGTGTCGGCGGGGCAGGGTGCAGATCCTTCCGCCGCTCCGGCGTGGGTATCGGGGAAGCTTTGCGGTGCGGGGGGAATCTGGGTTTGGTGGGTTGGGCGGTGATGGCGGAAATGTGGAGCCGGATCTCAGTGTCAGGGTCAACGGGCTCCAGATGCCGAACCCCTTCGTAATTGGCTCGGGGCCTCCGGGGACCAATTACACCGTCATGAAGCGGGCCTTCGACGAGGGCTGGGGTGCCGTCATCTCTAAGACTGTACTGGCTCTTCTTCTTTTCTCCTTTCTTTCGTGTCGTTGCCGCCAATTTCCAGGGGATGAACACAGAGCATGATGTTTCTTATTCTGTCGAGCACATACTTTTTCAGTAGGATTTTATGAGATCCATCATCTAATCGAGAAAGAAAAATAAATGCTAGAGACAATTCTGCGTGTGGAGGGGTAATTGTTATCTACGATATGCCGCTGCTCCATTTTTCGCATGGCTGCGGCTGATAAATAAGGTCTTATCCTCCTTAAAAAATCAACTGATCAAATTCTTCTTAGCTATTATGGTTTTTTTCCTATTTTTTATTTTCCTTTTAGATGTACTACCTTACTCATTTCTCTGACATATCTACTTCCGATATGGACTAGTGACTGAACCTTCTTTGCAGATTGTAATACTTATTTATTTAGCGAGGTGCATAAACAATTGAAACTTCAGGAGACACTGTTGTGTGTCGGCTGCCCTGATGATTGAGGGGATGATCCATAACTTCGTGCAATCCTACTTGTATTCATGCTCTTTGTATGGTAATTGGTTGCTTCGTTCAACCACTGGGTGTAAGGAAGTCAAGGCTATGCTTCTTAGTTCAGAGGATGTCCCTGAGCATGGATATCATCACATTGAAGTACGGGAAAAATTGGTTTTGGGCAAAAGAACAGATACTACTCCCCGCATCATATTTGAACGAGTCATATGTATTGTAGACTACCGAATGTGCGTGCCACACCGGTTGAAACCATATGCCTGAAGATTTTTAACCTTCTTCGATTCTATAACAGCTTCAGTTATGGTAGAGGTAACAAATAAAAAGTATTATTACTTTTCTCGGAGCCAACCTGCAAGTGGGTGTGGTATATGATATAAAACACGTCGAAAACGAAAGGGAAAAGTTTTGCTGACCACACTAGGAGACAGTTGTTTAGGGTTGGAAGGCCTCATGATTAGGACTATGGTTCACGTGGCTTGTCTTTTTTCTTTTCAATTCACATTAAGGGGAATTTTTTATATTATGTTCACAGTTCTTTGATGGTTTCAAAGTAAGCATTTTTTTTCTGCGCTTGCTGGCTGCATATTTTCTAGTTTCATGGATAGCGTTTTATTTATTTTCTTAAAAAGTAGTATTCTTTTCATTTCGACAAAAGCTTATTTATTAATTATTAGATATTTTAAGTTTTTTCGCAAAATTTCATGGTCCTTTTGGTTCCTAGTCACTGTTGCTGGTCTAAAAATTGTATGACATGGCGGATTTTATACTCTTTAAACTTTCTTTTTAATCAATTATGCTAGGTATCTCTAGAAGCCTCAAAGGTTGTGAATGTAACTCCAAGATATGCTCGGCTTCGAGTGGGTTCAAATGGAACTAAAGGGGAAATTATTGGATGGGAGAATATTGAGCTCATCAGTGACCGACCACTTGAGACCATGTTGAGTGAGTTTAAGCGATTGAAAGAAGAGTACCCGGACAGAATACTTATTGCATCAATCATGGAAGAGTACAATAAATCTGCTTGGCAGGAACTTATTGAGAGGGTTGAGGAAACAGGAGTAGTAAGATGCTGTTCTCTTCTTCTTATAATCTTGACGTTACATACAATCATGTCATCGTTTATTTAATTTAATAAAATTTAATTATTTTATTTTCTTTCAGGATGCTCTCGAGATAAATTTTTCCTGTCCTCATGGCATGCCAGAACGTAGGATGGGTGCTGCAGTCGGCCAGGATTGTGCGTTGTTGGAGGAGGTATGCGGGTGGATAAATGAGAAGGCCACCGTCCCAGTATGGGCTAAGATGACTCCTAATGTTACTGACATTACACAGGTATGCATCATTGAACACGTGTATGCCCTTGAACGAGTCCATGGGAGAATGCTCACTGATGATGAAACTTTTATGTACAAATGAAAGGAGTACATAACTGTATTAGAGATATCCGTGTGATGCTCTTATACAACCTTTGATAGTTATGAAGCTACTCCTATTTGTATTTTCGAGTAAAAAAGCTCTACCGAGCAACTAGCAAGTTTCAGTGCTTTTTTCCTATCCCAATGTTATCTGAAATTGTTCCTCGTTATCTGAAATTTTTCGTGATTTCCTTAATTCTCCATTTTTTATTCAAATTTCAAGATTTTAATTTATATTTTATGACACTAGTTTCTTGTGAAAAAGACAGATTGTCAAAATTCAAGTGTAAAGCCCATTCGTTAGAACTTGATTCCGGATGGTTTTGAATTCCGAGTTCAGTAGGATGCTTTCATCCAACTTTATATCAACTCAAACAGACTCCAACCACTTGGTCTTTGTTGAATTTTTGAAGAAATCTAGCTTGAGTCTTCTCTCCAATTTTTGATATTCGTTTTATTTGGATGTTTGTGGATCAGCGAGATTATTCAGTTGATCTTTATAATGAGATGGTCCTCTCGGAATCAGTAATATCAAACCTGATCATGTAATGGATGATTATCTACATGACGTTTTCTTTTCCTTCTGATGGAACATTTGGGCTGTTTTCATATTTGACTGAGATTTCGGCGAAAAAAAAAAACTCCCTGAATTGAGATGAATTGCGATGAGATACGTGAGTCCTGATAAGACAATACGACCCACAAAAATGGATTAGCTAGGCCCAAGCTTCTGAAGCTTGGGAGAGAACAAGGGGGAGAGTATGTATTTTTTCATACTTTTTCAACCATTTGAACACAAGAACATGGTTTCCTGACGGGTCTTTGGACTGAATTTTTTTTATGCATCTTGACCATCCAGCTCCAAACTGTGCCATCAAGTAATTGAGTTTAATTTATGCTTAATTATTTGGTACTTTTTATCTTTTAGCCGGCCAGAGTTGCTTTGAAGACTGGATGTGAGGGAGTTGCCGCTATTAACACGATAATGAGTGTCATGGGGATCAATCTCGAAACTTTACGCCCAGAACCTTGTGTTGAAGGGTTAGAATTCTTCATCGGCACCGCAACATTTTGATTCTTTTTGTCGCTCATATATATCTCGATGGAGTATATAATCTGACTGAAAGCAGGTACTCTACTCCTGGAGGCTACTCTTCGAAGGCGGTCCATCCAATTGCCCTTGGAAAGGTTATGCAAATAGCGAAAATGATGCAGTCGGAGTTTGGCGACAAGGGCTACTCCCTTTCTGGTATTGGAGGGGTTGAGACAGGCAGTGACGCTGTTGAATTCCTGCTTCTTGGAGCGAACACTGTTCAGGTTGGCACTTCCCCTCTATATTCCAGTGCATAGATCTTGGGGAGTAAAAATTATGATGGATCGATCTCCAAAAATTATTAGGCGTTTCTTTTTCAATAACTTCGTGTATATGCCCACGTCTGCTTGATTATTATGGATTATAATCTCTTCGAAACTATCAGGTGTTTCTTGCCGTGAAATTTATGCATTAAAATATATATTTATTAGAGATAAACATGCACACATACATACATACTCCACAGGTTTCATTTTTTTTTAAGAATATCGAGGAAATTGAAGTGTATTCAGTGCTTTTGTAATTCACGCATCCTGCTTTGTGGACCTGTGGATTCCTGAAGCCCTGTTTTCTTTGCCTAAAGTCAACTACATTAGACCCTGACGTTTCGATGCATTCATGAGCTCTCAGCTGCATCCATTCTAAAGTGCGATGCCCGCATGAGAAATATTATTATTTTTGAGCAATATTATAAAAATATAACCCATCAATACGTGTGTATTTTTCCATTACGACAACAAGATCATATACGTTCTTCCTCTGCTTTCTTTCGTTGATCGTCTCCCCCAGGTGTGCACCGGCGTGATGATGCACGGGTATGGCCTTGTGAGGAAGCTCCGCGACGAGCTGAAGGATTTCATGAGAAAGCACAACTTCTCCTCAATCGAAGATTTCAGAGGGTGAGTGAGATCTTCGATCCTGCTGCTTCCCTGATCAGTAATCTGCAACCCATCGTCAACGTTTTGTCTCCCATTTCGTTCCCACAGTGCTTCCCTTCCTTACTTCACGACCCACACCGACCTGGTGCGGCGGCAGAGGGAGGCCATTGAACAGAGGAAGGCGATCAAGAAGGGGTTGCAGTCGGACAAGGAGTGGACTGGCGACGGCTTCGTGAAGGAGACGGAGAGCATGGTTTCGAACTGAATCCCCGTCGCAGCTGGTCCGGCCAGACGACGAGGCTCACACACTCGTGACCCAATAAAGATCGGATCGCGTTTGGGGTCCCTGCCGTGCTTCTTTTCATGCCCAATAATGAATTATGTGGAATGAGCATGTTCTTGTTGTGTGTCCGGGACGCAGCTGGGAGAACTCGTAGATACAAAAAACAGTGCTTTCTGTTGCCTACAGTGATTTCAATGAAGAAGTATTTCGCAATAAATGGTTTCAGATTGATTCCCCATCTCGGGCCATCCTCTGCGCTTTGACTTGGGAGAGAAACCCTGTTGATGCCGCTCTGGCCGACCCTTGATGCAGAGACTCAGAGATTGATTCCCATCCAGAATGGATTAGCGAGAGAGAGATTGGTGGGTGTGAGAGTTCCTTATCTGAACGACGTAAATCCTCCAGAATGGTTTAGCTTCACGTTCTAACATATCTTACCGAGTTTTATCTCTGAACTACGCCACCCGAATTCCCACGCGGGGCTTCCCCTCTGCTCGAGGTCTGGCAGTGTGCCGTGCGTGATGTGACTCAGTCAGTCGCCCTGTTCTGAGAGAGCGAGAGAGAGAGAGGATCTATTTTCTCTATTTTATCGTCCTCTACTGCGACTTCCGGGGCTCCGGGGATAGTAAATATGCCTGGTCCGGGGTCCTCTCCCTGTCGGGCTCCGACAAGGAGAGTTCTCACGACAAAAGTTTTCTAGCTGAAGACATGAGCTGGGCCGCAAGTGCAGAACCCAGACGCTGCAGCAGTGCCACTGTTCCCCTTCCGCTCCCCGCCCATGAACAGCTTCCCGTCCGTATGTCTGTCTTCCTGTCTTGACTCATCACTCTCTCTCTCTCTCTCTCTCTCTCTCTCGCCCTCTCTCTCTCGTCGTCTATTTGCTCGTCTTTGTCTCTGCGGGTGAATGCTTCATGAGTTCTAAGCATGTGAGCTTGTGATGTTGCTCTAGAGATTTGGCTCGCAAAACCCTCGTTAAACTCGGGAATAAGAGGGCCGGTTACAATGGCAGGAGGTGGTAGATGTAGGGAGAGAAGGCCGTCTGATAATCCATCTCAGCGTGGCGAGGAAGGAGGAGGCCGGCCGCCCGCGGCAAAGACGCTTGGTGGGTACTACTCGGCTGGGTTGGCCGTCGCGCTGCCTGGCGCGTCGGCGGAGACGTCGTCGAGCAGGTAGCAGATACACCCCGCGAACGCCGCCGCTTCCTGCAGCGGCTTCTGAATTGCCAGAGAGAGCTCCACCAACGCCATGTAGTACGCTTCCTGCACACGAACGAATCACCTCGTGAGCTACATGGGACTGGTCCTGGCGCTCCCCCCCGCCCTCTCGAGCAAGAGGAAGAGGATAATTGTTACCATGAACGGATCGTCGGAGCAGGAGAAGGAGAAGAGAGGATTGTTGTCATGAACAGGTCAAAGGAGGAGGAAAAGGAGGATTCCTACCATGAAGAGGTCCAGCTCGGAAAGGTCCTCGGGGGCGGCAGCGACCGATCTCTGGGCTATACCTGGCGCGATATTCGCCGCCTCCTCGCCGCCGGAGCAAACCTGATACACCATTTCAACCGAGAACGAGAAGAAGACCTTTGATCAGAGGAGAAAGAGAGTGAGATCCCCCGTCGGTACACATGCATGACCATGCAGAGAGGCCGTGCTCGAGAAAGGAAGCGAACAACGAACCAGACCTTCAAGCAGCTCAGATGGGCTTCCTTGACTAGGCTGAACATAGGGTGGCAAGAGATCTCCCTTTTCAACTCCTCCTCCCCCTTCTTCCTATTCTTCTCCGTTGGGCTCCCCTCCATTCTCCCTCTGTCTCCCTTCCTGCCGGCCGAAAGGATGAAGATCTATGATGAGGCGGGGGAGAAGTACAGAACTGCTCTGGGTGTAGAAAGTGGGTGACCCAGCCCTCTCTACCTCCTTCCCCCTTTTCTTCTGTTATTGAGCCCATATCCCCTCCTCGGCCCGTAAATATGGCCCGATAGATTATTTAAAGGCCCAGCTTCATCAGGGCCCAAACCCCCTATTCTTTCTTTAATCAAAGAAAAGCCCAGGTGGGACGGCGGGCAAGTTGTATTAGTTTACTCGTCGTTTGGATGACCGTGAAAGTGGCCTTCATCCACGCCTCTTTTGTCCTTTTCTGCCGGCCCCACCACGATCACCCATCCCCAATAATTAAATAGTTTGTGCCTGCGGATATTTTACCGCCTCTCCCAGTGCCCCGCCTCTCCAAAAGTCAAATGGAATAAAAAATCCCGCTCAAAATTTATTATACCCATTATATATATTACATTTAAAATCTCTCTCTCTATCCCTCCCTCTCGGAGTACCGACACGCTGCAGACCAGGATTAACTAACTTATCCCTCCACTGGAGAGCCCATATTAGGAAATATCTCTCTCTCTCTCTCTCTCTCTCTCTCCTCTTGTCGGGTGTGGTTAGAGCCACAGAATAATACAAGGAGATAAGCTTTTCTTCGCCATTTATGGGAAGACGGCGGGAATATTCCCCCGGGCTGGCGGGGGACTACTATGATGGGCTTGATGGGCCCGGCCCGAAACCCTTCAGTGGGCCCTCCTCTACCATTTCTGGAGATCCGTTAAATAGATCCGTGATCCGTTCTTCTTCCGTTGCCTTAATTCGGCCAATTAAAAGAATACCATCACGAGGGGGTGGGGGCGCCGGCTCCGGCCTTATCCGAGAACCTCGGGGGGCTTCCCGCCACCTGTCGGGGGCAGCTAGCTGACTTTTTCCGAAATTGAAATTTCGATAAAATAAAATATTTAAAGATATTTCTGTCGGCCTCGAACGACATGATGCCACGTGGACAATGTCTGCGGTCCCCACGGCTTCTGGCGTCCGGGCACTCACCGTGGACGCGTCTCCTGAAACAGCTGTAGAGCATCATTAACATGTCCCGCCGCGTGTCAACTTGTCCGTGTTCCCCCGCCGGTCAGATGACCCGCGGTTAAACCCAAGCTTCGAATTTCCTCTGTTTGGTAATAAAGATCATAACTAAAAAAATAAAAGTATTTAATAGGGTCATCTTCTTCCTGGCTCCGGCGCTGCGACGGCGGAAAGGATCCGGCCGAAGAACACGCCCCCCTTATAACTGCGAAGATCGCTGGGACTGTTGAGTTCAGTTCAGTCGGGGGATTAGAGGAATTGGGTGGCGATTTCTGTCCTTTGGATGTTGATTTCCTTGCTGTCCTCCGGAGTAATTGCATCCGGTCCAGGAGATCTGATTCTTTCTGCAGCGGGATTAGCATCGGATTCCTGGTATTCGCTCCGATCTTATCTTCTTCTTTACCCCACCCCCCATGGCTACTGTAGGAGAAAACCTGGAACCCCTCGTCCCATGGAAAGGGAAAGGGAAGGGGCCACGCGCCGCCTCGTCGGTGTTGACGGAGGCTGCTTGATTTTGATCTCCGAATCTCTGCTGTGATTCTTGATCGTGTTGTCTCTCCGGGGAGGAAATCTCTGTCTCGCCCTCGCCCTTGTTGGGATTTGATTGGAATCCAAGCTGTCGGAGTTCCTGCCCGATCTCCTGCTTCTCCCTGTGATCTGATCCTCTCTAGGAAGAGAGAGAGAGAGAGAAAGAGACCTGATTTTTCTGCTGCGATAAGATAATTAGGAGCTCGTCGGTGCCATTGCTTCAGCCATTCTTGGTCGTCTCGGTGAGATTTTTTTTCCTCCTTTTTCAGGGGCATCTTCTTCGTTAGAAAGGGGGTTTTAGTCTGTTGCTGCTCAGAGCGGAAGCTATGGTATCTAGATCGTACTCAAATCTGCTGGAGCTGGCGTCGGGGGACGCACCTTCCTTGGGGCGGGTGAGCCACCGGATTCCCAGAGTGATGACCGCCGCCGGAATCATCTCCGACATCGACGACGACGAAGACAGCTTCTCCGATCCATCCTCCTCCGCCCCGCGCGACCGCACCATCGTGGTCGCCAACCAACTCCCCGTGCGCGCCCGACGGGGCCCCGACGGCAAGGGCTGGACCTTCTCCCTGGACGAGGACTCCCTCCTCCTCCAGCTCAAGGACGGCGCTCCCGGCGACGACATGGAGTTCATCTACGTCGGCTGTCTCCGGGAAGAGATCCCCCCGGGCGAGCAGGACGAGGTGGCGCAGACGCTCCTGGAGAACTTCCGCTGCGTGCCGGCCTTCCTCCCCCCGGACCTCTTCTCCCGCTACTACCACGGATTCTGCAAGCAGCAGCTATGGCCGCTCTTCCACTACATGCTCCCACTCTCTCCAGATCTCGGCGGGCGCTTCGATCGTTCCCTCTGGCAGGCCTACGTCTCCGTCAACAAGATCTTCGCCGACAAGATCCTGGAGGTGATCAACCCCGACGAGGACTTCGTCTGGGTCCACGACTACCACCTCCTGGTGCTGCCCACCTTCCTGCGGAAGCGATTCAACAGGGTGAAGCTCGGCTTCTTCCTCCACAGCCCCTTTCCCTCTTCAGAGATCTATCGGACCCTCCCCGTCCGGGACGAGCTCCTCCGGTCGCTCCTCAACGCGGACCTCATCGGCTTCCACACCTTCGACTACGCCCGGCACTTCCTGTCCTGCTGCGGCCGCATGCTGGGCCTCTCCTACGAGTCCAAGCGCGGCTACATTGGCCTCGAGTACTACGGTCGCACTGTGAGCATCAAGATCCTCCCTGTTGGCATCCACCTGGGGCAGCTCGGCAACGTCCTCGGCCTCCCAGAGACGGAGGCGACGGTCTCCAGCCTCATCCAGCAGTTTCAGGACCAGGACCGCACCCTGCTCCTCGGAGTGGACGACATGGACATCTTCAAGGGCATCAGCCTCAAGCTCTTGGCCATGGAGCAGCTCCTCCTCCTGCACCCCGAGTGGCGGGGTCGCGTGGTCCTGGTCCAGATCGCCAACCCCGCCAGGGGCCGGGGGAAGGACGTCAGAGAGGTCCAGGCGGAGACCGACGCCATGGTGAAGCGCATCAACGAGGCCTTCGGCATGCCGGGCTACCACCCCGTCGTCCTCATCGATAAGCCCCTGCAGTTCTCAGAGAGGATGGCCTACTACGCGGTGGCGGAGTGCTGCCTGGTGACGGCGGTGAGGGATGGGATGAACCTAATCCCCTACGAGTACATCATCGCTCGGCAGGGCAGCGAGAAGCTGGACAAGCTACTGGGCGGCGACGCCCCGAAGAAGAGCATGCTGGTGGTCTCGGAGTTCGTCGGGTGCTCCCCGTCTCTGAGCGGTGCCATCCGGGTTAACCCCTGGAACGTCGACGCGGTGGCGGAGGCCATGATCTCCGCCCTGGAGACGGCCGAGTCGGAGAAGCAGCTGCGGCACGAGAAACACTACCGGTACGTCAGCACACACGACGTGGGCTACTGGGCTCGGAGCTTCCTACAGGATTTGCAGAGGACCTGCAGAGACCACTCGCGGCGGCGCTGCTGGGGGATCGGCTTCGGGCTGGGCTTCCGCGTGGTGGCCCTCGACCCCAACTTCAGGAAGCTCTCCATGGAGCACATCGTCTCCGCCTACCGGAGGACCAGCGTGCGCGCCATCCTCCTCGACTACGACGGGACGCTTATGCCGCAGGCCTCCATCGACAAGAGCCCCAGCGCCAAGTCCATCGACATCCTCAACGCCCTCTGCCGTGACAAGAACAACGTGGTGTTCCTTGTCAGCGCCAGGAGCAGGGGCACCTTGAGCGAGTGGTTCTCCCCCTGCGAGAAGCTCGGGCTGGCCGCCGAACACGGCTACTTCCTCAGGTCGGTACAGTAAGCTCGCCAACCTTCTTCTCTGTTATTGGCGGCACCGCCAGTTTTACGAGAGATTCCGTTGATGGCGCAGGTTGAAGAGGGAAGCGGAGTGGGAGACGTGTGTCCCGGTGGCGGACTGCAGCTGGATGCAGATCGCAGAGCCGGTGATGAAGCTCTACACTGAGACGACGGACGGCTCCACCATTGAGGACAAGGAGACCTCGCTAGTCTGGTCCTACGAGGACGCCGACCCGGACTTTGGTTCATGCCAGGCCAAGGAGCTTCTCGACCACCTCGAGAGCGTCCTCGCGAACGAACCAGTCTCCGTCAAGGGCGGCCAGCACTTCGTCGAGGTGAAACCACGGGTAAGTGGTACCGGCTGCTGCTCCTCCCTCTCCGGTTCCTTCTCATCGTCGGGCGATTGAGCTCAGCGCCGCCCGTGGGGCTCTTCTTCTTCTTCTTCCTTTTTGAGTAGGGCGTGAGCAAGGGGCTGGTGGCGGAACGGCTGCTCTCCACCATGCGGGAGAGGTCCATGGTGCCGGACCTGGTGCTCTGCATTGGGGACGACAGGTCCGACGAGGACATGTTCGAGGTCATCAGCACTGCCGCCGCCGACTCCTCCCTGGCTCCGACGGCGGAGGTGTTCGCCTGCACGGTGGGGCGCAAGCCCAGCATGGCCAAATACTACCTCGACGACACCGCGGAGATCGTGAGGCTGTTACAGGGCCTCGCATCCGTCTCGCAACAGGAACCCAACAGCTCACTGGCCCTCATCTGAGAAGGAAGGGGGACCGCAGGGTGACCGGAGAAAGAGGATTCTCCCGGGGGCGGACGTCTGCAGGATGTACAGACGGCCTCGGTGGTGGCCGTGGTCGACATTATCGGTAGGGTAGCTCGATCTCCCCTCTTTCTTTCTTCTTTCTTCCTCTCCTCGATCAGGTTAGGGTTTGCGTTAGTCGGGGGGTGGGGGGGAGGGGGGGGGGGGTGTTCTATCAGGTGGTATATAGTTGTAATATAGCTGACGGCATTAATTCGTATAGAATTCCTACTACTTGAGCAATTGAGAAATTGTCTGATTAATTACTTCCCTCGTTGTGCAGTGGCGTTCACACACGTCGATTCGCCAAAGCTCTCCCTTTCCATTCATCTTCCTCTTAGTAGGCAGGGGGGGAGCCAAAACAGATACAGCGAGAGCGAGAGAGCGAGCGACACAGCGAGAGCGAGAGAGCGAGCGACACAGCGAGAGAGAGATGCGGGCTTATCATCCCGTTTGATCTCTCCCGAGATCCTCTCTAAAGGGCGCTGACCCGTCACCTGCAACCTGCAGAGTTGACACGCTGTTTGCCTTCCCTCCGGCGAAGACCAACCGTTTGCGTTCTGAAAGAGACGTGGGCTTAGGCAGACTTCTTTGTCATTTTAGGAGATCTTCTTCAAGAGTATGAGGCTTGAAGGCATAGAGCCTGTAAACTTGATTATGTAATAGTTCTTCTATCAGAAAACGATCACCAAGTTTCTAAACCAAACTTGCAAAATAATCTTGCAAGTTATTTTACCAAACTAATATATGGTCAACCAGAGCTTTTTATTAGTAGTTCTAATTAAAAAAAAGTAAAAAAATCCTCGTGTAGTTAAAAAAAAGGAATAAGAAAATATTTATTTTTTTATTGTTATACATGCTTACTCGATAAGTTTGGATACAAATCACATCATAGAGAGTAGAAACATCATTATTTATTCATGATTTCTAATAGTAATTCAAACACTCCTTGAGAATACGTCAGAATGAATGGTTGACTTGGGATTCATAATTTCGCGCATGAAAATGTTTAATACTTTACTTATTTTTATGTTACAATGTGTTTATACATTCATATTTGTCTTTATATGTAATTGGAATTTCAACTTAAAGATAAAAGGCGACCTACACCTGACATCGTGTGCACAAAAACTTTATAAATATGAAATAATAAGGGAGAAATTAATAATTATAAGAAGAGAATAGGAGACTGATACGGATCTGGGAAGATAAAATACTTTTAAAAATGTGAAAAAAATTGCAGAACAAGTTTGAGGGATAATCATCAGAGAGTTAACAGTCTTTGTCCATAAGATCTTCTTCTAAAAGGAGAGAATCACAATAACCTTTCTTCTTTTCGATAGTGATATATAGAAGTAGCCTCTCTCTCTCCCCTAAAATTCGAACATTAACGCCGGCAAATTCATAAGCTGAGCTTGTTAACTTGGTTATATCATTTTGACTAGCGACCCCTCTATGTTTGACTTTAGGGTGTGACTGCACCACAATTTCTTCCTGATTTCCCATAGTGGATAGAGTTTAATTTCTCTCTTCACACTGAAGCCTTCTCGTGCGGCCTGCCCCCCACGACCCGTCTTACAGGCCGTAGGATGGAAAGTACTCCACCTGTGGCGGAGACCTTCTCTCATAGTCGTCCCGTCGGCATCTTCTTCCTCGCCGGCGAGGCGACGGCGATCGGTTCGCGCGGCAGAATGCGGACGCTTCGTATCTTTCACCCGCCTCACCGGGCTTACATTCACCGCAAGGCGGAGGCCAATCGGAGGCTAGGAACCCTCTGACTTGACTCCATCCTCAACGAGTGGCTTGGATCCAGATAAAAGAACTAAAAACAGGTTTCGAACTGGTTCTCTGAGGGCCACAATAGGCCCGGCAGTCTCCATGCAGCTATCTTAGAGAGAGAGAGAGAGAGTAGAAATCCAGGTGTTGTAAGATGAACACGGAAGGTGTTTGACGAGGTCAAATATAGTTGGATATTCCATGTTTGACTTTAAACCAGTTTAGAATCGCGGCAGAGGAAGGGTGCTTCCAATTTTTTATTGTTTTTGTCCACTTCGGTGGATAATTGTTTAAACGACTATCGAACTATTAGTCTAACCACGGCCACGCCGACCTCCATTTATGTGGGCGCTTGGCATCGGTGCGTTTTGTACATTTTGACTTGTTCTTGTGTTACGATTGAACGGCTCTCTCTCCCCCCCCGCTCCCTCCCTCTGACTCTGATAGCGAGCGAGCGAGAGAGAGAGAGAGAGAGAGAGAGAGAGAGAGACAGAGACAGAGAGGGAGAGGCGAATGACCGCTGCATGATGCCGTAGTCGGCCCACCACCTCATGAAAACCACAAAGCGCGTAGTCGTCCCCCTCAATTGTGATGCGGTGTACCATACGAGTTGGTTGCACGTCCCTCATTCCCTCACAAGGACCGGCAAGTGAGAACACCGAGAGTGCATGTGGAGGGATCAGAAAAAAAGGTTTTACCGGAATCCGGTCGTCATGACTGAGGAGAAGGGCAGGATCCAGAAAAGAAATGCAACCTTCCACTTCGTCCTCTTCCTTCCCCACTGCACCCCATATAACGAGGGATCCCGGCACATGTTATAAACTGTATCTCTCCACAGGGTTTCGGCGGAGATCTGCCCTTCTTGCCTTGAGAGAGAGAGTGAGAGAGAGAGAGGAGGAGGAAGAGGAGGAAAGATGGGTGAAGAGGTTGTGGAGAGAGCGCTGAAGTGCTTGGGTAGGGGATTCGACGTGACGAGAGATTTCAGGGCTAAGTACTGCAAGGGAAAGGAGAGTCTAGTCCTGCTTCGCAAGGAGACAAGGGAGCTCCAAGTTCCGGGCTTCGGAACTGTTCACGGCGTTTCCGTCGATATCAAGTGCGATAAGGGCGAGCGCACCCGATACCGGTCAGACGTACTCGAGTTCTCTCAGGTAGATCACAAGTTACCATATATGGGTACTTCCAGTGGCTATTAATCGGTCTCTGGGTCTCCTTCCTCCTCTTGTGTCCAAATCCTAGACCTAAAATGTCCGGGGATAGAGGTTGCTCTCCCGGCCAACAGCCGGCTCCGGTGAAGACACAGATTAGGCCAAGGTTCACGAGCCTTCTGCTGAAAGCGGAGAACGGAATTGAATACATGCCCTCGTTCTTTAAGCATCTTCCGGCTACCCAATCCTCTAATAACTAGTCCTCTCTGGGCTTCTCTCTTCTTCTATGATTCTCAGTTCCTGAAAATTTCTGTCCATTGAGAACTTGCTAGCTCGATTTTCCGGCAGAAATCCTAAACCAACTCGAGTATTTTGTTGAGGAAGCCGTGTTCTTCCTAGCCTTCCGGGATTCTCCAGTTCATGGAGAGGTTCCCCCCCGGCTTCGAAGCCTTCTCCTCACCGTACATCAACGCAGCAATGGCGTGCGGAGATAGCCTTGCGGATTATCAAGTTGGAAAACGTGGGACCCCTCTTTTTCCTATTAGCTTCTTGTAGGTTCGAAAGGAGCACGTTAGTTGACTAGTCAAACTTAGACCTTCTACTTTGTTCCGGTGGACTTGGTGAGAAACCTAATCTTCTCTTCTACCCGGATGATCATCAAATCTTGACCATGACCTCAAAGTCGCATCTCGATGGCGAACGGTACCTATATGATGAGCTCAATCATAGCCGGGATCCATAGGGCCAATCTCGGATCTTGTTCTTTCTGCTCCACGAACTGGGATAATGAAACGGGTGCGTGATCATGGTTGGTTTACTGAATTGCAGATGTCGGAGCTGATCAACCGGAGGAGCTCGCTGGCCGGGAAGATCCCCTCGGAGCTCTTCAACTCGATGTTCTACTTCAACGGTGGCGACTGGGCCCGCGATGCCGCCCAGACAAAGTGCCTGGCCCTCGACGGCTTTTACATCTCCCTCTTCAATCTCCGGATCGACCGGTCGTCCTTCACCCTCGCTGACCATGTCTCCGACGCCGTCCCTTCTGCCTGGGATCCCACCGCGCTTACCAGGTGCGTCTTTCACGCCTCCTGCTCTCCACAATAAGCTCTCAGCCGGAGCCGGCGGAGACAAAGATCATGAAGACGTCATGTGTGGATGCGCTGTTGTTTTTCTTCGGCAAAGTCAACGCGGTCCATCCACGGCCGAGCTTCTACTTAAGTTTGGCGCGGTCACCCTTTGGTTTAAGAGAAATAACTCCGTCTTTACCCACGGAATCGACGATTCCCAAGTTGTCTCATGGCACTTTTTTTATTGCTTATCGCCGCCATCATCATCATCATCATCATCTCTCTCTCTTTCTCTCTCTCGCCGCTATAGTCACCGATCGATCGATCTTATAGGTTGTGATTGCGTGATGCAGATTCATTGAGAACTATGGAACCCACGTCATCGTGGGGTTGAGCGCCGGAGGGCAAGACGTGGTGGCGGTGAGGCAGGAAAAGTCCTCCTCTCTTCCCCCGTCGGAGATCAAAGAACATTTGGATATGCTCGGGGATCAGCTCTTCACCGGCTCCTGCATGCTTCCATCCCTGCAGATGAAAGCCAAGGAAAACCGGCCCAAGGTTACCGCAACCTCCTCCCGTCCTCTTCTTTCTCTCATCTCCGCCTCAGTGTTGAGAGAGAGAGAGGCCTGCTGTTTATACGCTTAATGCTCCACAGTGCTACAAATTTGAGTCAGCTGATGGATTCATACAGGTTCCCGAGGCTTTCAACGTATTCACCCCACAACCCGTGCTGCCAGAAGGCTTCACTTCGATTTCTACCAAGTCGGTAAGCCATAGCCCAAGAATTTTACGCCATTGAATTCCGAATCTTCGAGTAGCCTTCGATAATCCGGAAGCCTGACGATTTCTTTCCAATGTTGCATGGTTTTGGCATCATCTCCTCTCTAATTGCTTCCTGTTTCCTGTCTCTTAGGGCATCACGGTCATCTGCTCGAAGAGAGGCGGGGACACCTCCGTGAGCAGCCACTGCGAGTGGCTCCCCACAGTCTCCTCGATGCCGGATGTGATAAACTTCACCCTCCTCCCCATCACCTTCCTCCTCAAGGACGTCCCGGGCAAGGGGTTCCTATCCCACGCCATCAACCTCTACCTTCGCTGTACGTCTCCCTTTCTTACCAAAGACCTAATCTCCATGCGACATAATCACAAGGCTCGCCCCTATAAAATACTACGGAAAATTATACTTTTAGAAAATTTCATCTCCCTGTTTAGTAAAAATATCCATTTCTGCGAACTCTAACTTCTAGGGATAACAATCTGGACATTATCATCACTATCACAAAAATGGCATCAAAACAGTCACAATACACCCGATGAGCATCCACTGAAAGAGCCCACAACGTGACGAACGACTTGTCTTAATCAATGGCGTGGAAGTGTTTACGTGAGGAAGACCCTTATGGACTAAGGCCGCCTCTTTCCATTTTTTTCCCTTTTTGTGCTTCTCAGATAAGCCGTCGATCGCGGATCTTGAATACTTCCTAGAGTTCCAGTGCCACAGGGCATGGGCTCCCATGCTCAACGACCATCCCCTGGGCCCCAGCTCCAACAGGTCCCTCGCAAAGACGGCGCTGCAGTTCTGCCTGATGGGACCCAAGCTCCACATAAACACAGCCAAGGTAGCCAGCCAGCCACTCGTCTTCCCCACCTCCCTGCCCCACACAGCCCACAAATGCAGAGATCTCACCTCCTCTGTGACCTCAGGTGGTTGTGGGAAGGAGACCCGTGACGGGGATGAGACTTCACCTCGAGGGAAAGAAGAACGATAGGTCGGTAGTAGAACGGACCGACAAAGTTTTCTTGATATATGGAGATCATGACTGAATGTAAGTGTATCAAAACGCAGGTTGGCTGTTCATCTCCAGCACATCTCCACGGCGCCGTCGTTCCTCGGGGTGGAGGGCCAGATGCGGTGGAGAGGCTCCGAGGATATCCCCGACGGGGGGTACAACGAGGCGGTGAAGTGGAAGATGTTCTCCCACGTGTGCACCGCGCCGGTGAAGTACGATCCACGATGGGGCAGCGGCGCCTTCATCGTCGCCGGCGCGCAGCTCCACGCGGTGGCGCGCGAGTCCGGGAACATGCTCCACCTTCGGCTCCTCTTCGCGGAGGTCCCTGGCTACAAGATCCGCAGATCGACGTGGGAGCGGAGCGGGCCGCAGTCGTCGCAGCTGTCGCAGCGGCTGGGCGTGTTCTCCGCCATCAGCTGCGCCGAGAGGGACACGCCGGTGGCGGTGGTGATTGACTCCGCCGTCTTCCCGGGGGGCCCCCCCGTGCCGGTGCTCGCGCAGAGGCTCCTGAAATTCGTGGACACCGCCGAGCTCTGCAAGGGCCCCCAGGACTCCCCCGGATTCTGGCTTGTCACCGGCGCCAGGCTCGCCATGCACCTGGGCAAGATCTGCCTCCACGTCAAGTTCTCTCTCCTCACCTCCTGCTAGCACCATCCCCCAAGCTCAAGGCCTGTCAACTCCCATCTCACTCTTCCAAGTGTCGATAGCCTCCCCCCGCTGTTCCACACCCCTTTCCTTCTCCGGCATGCTCTTCATTCCACAGGAAACAGTACAACAAGCCGGGAGAACTAATGGTGTACAGAGATAGATGGGGAGACGGTCAAGGCCGCATCCCGAGGGACGCCGCCAGCCTGGCCGACAGCTGCTCGGCCGACCAGCGACCGGCGTTCATCTGCTTGATGACGACCAGCTTCTCGTGGATGCACCAGGGGAAGCTGAGAAAGTGCGGACGGGCCAGGCCCTCGTTGTAGCAGCCCCAGTAATCCGGGTGGTAGGTCACGTGGTACCAAGCCGATGCCTTCGCCAGCGAGAGATCGTAGTCTTCCACGTCCTCACGAGCGCCGCCCCGCCGGTTGAACCAGCCCCTCGTCTCCCTCCTCAGGGACTTCACGGCAAGGCGGACCACCTCGCCGTCCCTGTACCTGTTGAAGGCCTTGGAAACCTTCGTCACACCCCCGATGAGGATCTCCGCCTCGGTCTTTATCTCGTAGTAGTCCATGAGGTTGCCCAGCTTGAAGTCGTACTGCCCCTTGAAGAAGAAGGCGTCCTCGAGATGGTCCCTGAAGCCGTTGACCTCCATATCCCGGTCGTAGCACCTCGCGGCGTCCCTTCGGGTGAACTCCATCGGGAGGGCCGAAGGATCGTGGTCCCTGACCGCCCTGAAGAGCTTCCCGATTACTCGCTTCGACTCGTAGGCGGGCTTGTTGAGCTTCTCCATGAAGTCCGGGTATTCCTTCACCGTCAGGCGCGTTGGGATCACCGCCGGGACCCCCGTCTTGGGAAAGTCAACGGCGATCGAGAACAGCTTTGCCAACTCTAAGCATGGGTCGCTTTCGGCCTTTCTCGGCTCCTTGTCCGCGAAGACCGTGTGGGCATTTGAGATGACGCCCAGGCTATCGTTGACCAGGTAATTCGTGAAGTATTCTTGCATATCCTGCGCACCAGAAGATCGCACAAAAAATAAACTCTTTTCTGTACCACTCCACAACGCATAGAAAAAGCCAGAAACGATGAGAGATGATACCTCAATCGTGACGTCACGATCAAGGATGTTCTGTGGAGCCGGCGTATAATCCATGGGCGGAACCTGGCGAGTGGGGATGAGCTCGGGATCCCAGCTCACGAAATAGACGTCTCCGTCCAGATCGCTCCCCGAACACTCATTTGGATGTGGCCTGCAATAACACAGTGGTCGACGGATTTCAGAGATATTATATAAATCGAAACGAGGGACGAATTAAAAAACAAAGGAATAACGAGAAATCATCCATATATGTATATACAATACCTCTTTCCTTTCTGCGGGAAGACGACGCAGTCGACCATGTGGCGCAGGGCTGGGATGTCGACGGCGAGCAGGGTGCGGAGGTCGCCGGGGTGGAGGCAGGGGTTCTTGGAGACTATCACCTTTCCAGTAACGACGACACGGCCGGCGCCGCCGCCGCTGCCGGATCTCTCGCTGAACATCTGCAGGCCCCCCTCGCCGGGAAAAGAAACCTGGACAAACACCTGACCGTACTCCAGCGTGCGGGTCTCGTCCATGCAGCCGATCATGGATCTCCCCATGGGGATGAAGATTCTGCTCCTGGTCCTCAGCTCAAGAAGCTTGCATTCCCTGAATGTTCGGAGCATCATGGACAGGAAGGGCTCCCCGCGCGGGCTGTACCCGCAGGAGAGCATCTCCTTGAGGATGCCCGCCATCTCCCCCTGATTTATGGCGTCGAGAACCCCAAGGGCCCTCACCGGGTCCGTCAGAGTCTCGTCCAGCCGCGCGACGAGCTCCTTCTGCTTCGTCTCGAAGACCTGGTCTCTGACGCCAAGGGTCGACATGAGGGTGATCAATTGGCGGTTGAGATAGCAGGCCTGAGGCTTGCTGTAGGCCAAGACGTCCAGCTTCGTGTTGTTCGAGTCAAACTTGGACATGCTCTTCCGCAGGGATAGCTTCACGCTCGAGGTCGGGTCCACGGCGACGACGCCTTTGAAGCCGCCGTACCTGATCTGGAAGGCCGACGGTGTAAAGATCCTCAGGTTGCACTTCTCGGCGATCTCCTTAGCGAATGCGGCCGATATCTTCCCGATCCCATCGGAGAACAGATAACCCGCCTCATTTTCCACGTCGGGGATCATCTCGAACTCGTGCTTGCCGACGGCGAGGGTCTCGGTCGACGAGCCGAAAGACTGGCCCATCCTGGCGGCGTGTTTGGCGACGTTCCTGATGCCGCTGAAGGTGCCCATCCATCTCCTAATGTCGGCGGCGCAGAGCCCCGGCCTGGAGGCGAACATCCACGTGGAGCTCTCCTTCAGTTGGCTGGAAGAGAAGGCCAGAAACTCAAACCTCTTCCCCCCGACGGCTATGCCGTTCTTGAGAGTGAACAGTATCCTCCGATAGACGTCCGTATGCCTGTCGGCCGATTCACAGATCACGCGCGGCAATAAGTCATCGGACCGCATCCTCTCTCCGTCCTCGTCGACGAAGGAGACCCGCATGAAGTTCTCCAGGTCGTCCTTATAATGACGGATGACCCGGTTGGAGACGTTGACCTCTGGTCCGTAGAAGTAAACCTTCGAAGGGGTGATGTGCGCCCGGTAGACGTAGACCAAGCCGGCCCGCAGAGAAATCCTGACCGATATCGTATCAAGCTTTGATTCCCGAAGCTCCTCGTACTGCTCACGCAGCCACCTTGCAGGAGTAAAACAGCAGGTCTTCGAATGAGAGAGACGTTCCAGGGCATGCTCGATGTAACTGCGAGGGATGAGGTCGGGGTTCAGCAGCCCGAAGAACTCGTCGTCGAGCGTCGGCCCTGAGAGCGTCCCGTTCTGAATCATGTGGTTCACTTTGAAGAGAAATCCGTACGGCACCGTAAGTCCGGGGCTGGGTTGAACGATCGGGACAAGGTCCAGGCCGTGGGAGTAGGAGCAACCGGACTCCAGCTGTAGATCAGAGTCGAGCTCCTTGAAGTAGGCGAAGATCTGAGAGATATCAGGAAGACTGCAGTCGTAGGGGAGCTCCAGACAGAAGGCGGAGGATTGTCCTATACTGCAGGACGGCGTGAAATCCGTCGCCCTTATCCAGCGATTATCATTAGGATCCTTGAAATAGTTGTACCGACGGTCTTCGTAAGTGGTCCTAGAGCTATTCTGCGGCAGCACGTATATCCGAGGTGCAGCCACAAGCTTCAGCAGAGAAAAGCCACCTTTAGCAGCGAGCGAGAGAGAGAGAGAGAGAGAGAGAGAGAGAGAGAGAGAGAGAGAGAGAGAGAGAGAGAGAGAGAGAGAGAGAGAGAGAGGGAGGGGGGCAAACCTGGAGCATCAGGAGGTCTTTACGCTGCTCTCGGGAGTGGTGGAGCCGGATTTCCCAGATGCTTTCGAAAGAGCACTCGAGCTTATAGTCGCGTCCTCTCCACGAGAGGAAGAAGATAATGTTCCTCATATTCCGGCTGAAATTGAATCTGACGTCTGAGCAGGCGAGGAGAACGGACAGCCGATCGTCGGAGAGCAGGCAGCCGAGATGGAGAGTGCTTCCATGGAGCTCGAACATGGGCTCCCTCGGCCTCAGCACGATGTCTCGCTCCATCTCCTCAGCTTTCAAGGAGGAGCCGGCGTATATGAGCCCGCTCCTGCCCGTGGCCAGGATGATCTCGGCGAATCGCTGCCCTGTGAACTGAACAATAGCGTAGGCTCTCGAGTTCCGGCCGATATTCCTAGGGAGCCGGAACTTGAGGGCGACGACGGTCCCGACTCCAGTGTGGCCCTCCAGAAATGCCTTCACCTCGCCGGCATCGGCGCTTAGAGGGAACCCCCAGACTCGAAGTGTCTTGCCTCCCATCTTCTCGAGCCCGAGTATGTTCCTCCAAAGCTGTGTTAACCAGCTCATGAAGAAGATGAGCATGGACACTCCGACCTGCAGGAGTCGTAATATCATAAGAAGAGGGTTCTGGATGTAATCCCCGAGCCAAGTTCAGTCGCTGTTAAAAGAAAAGAAGTACATACCAGAAGGGAGGGAACCATCAGCTGCGAGGAAGAACAGACGTGACGGTTGGTGGAAGACGAGGGCAGGGGACACTACACGCCGTCGCCCAGCCCCCTCCCAAGGCAATGCAGCTTCAATACCAGGAAAAGCCCCCAGCATCTCGGCGCCGGAGACGGCGAAGTTGTTCCGCCCCGGGCCCGGCGAGACGGAGGACCCTACGGTGGAGGTTCCGGCAAGCTCCATGACGAAGAAGACGACCAAGCTTCGAATCCCGTCCGGAGCGGCGCGTACCCCTCCACCTACCGCCTGAATCAGCGCGGTAACGTCAGGCTCGTGGCGTCACTTCCCGGAAAAGAAAGATTCAAGGGACCTTTGGGGATGATCCTTGACGTGCCCTCCCCCCCTCCTGCGAGGCGGCTCCTTGGGGATCGGGCAAAGAGATGGCCGGTCAAGAGCAGCAGCATCTTCCTGTACATACTGAAACTGTGCCGGAGCAAGGCTTCACTGTACTCTCTGGGTATTCACTGCCGGCCCCCAGAGGGAGATTTCGCGTTCTTCCGCGGCAAAATGCAGATACAAATTTGGATACCTGCGAGAAAGGCAGAGCGGTCCTCTAATTCACACCCATGTTCCGCCACTTCCTCCCAGTTTGTCCTCCCTTGAGAGCGAAGATGGTCGTAAGAAGGTATCAGATGGGCGTTTAGAAAGGAGGGATTCGTTTCTAGTTCTTCGGGTATGGAAAGAAATCAGGCAAATGGCAGATGCTTTGGGGATAAAAGGAAAGAACAGATTACCTACTTGGATGAGATGCTTAGTAGGTCACCCGGTGGATGGTGAGACAGCCCTGGCCTTCTTGTGATAGGGTCTTCGGTGAAGTCAGGGTAGATCTCCTGCTTGATCCTCCTTGCATCATCCAAAAGGCCAGAATCCTTCTGGCTCGGCTTGTCTGTCGGGGACTCGATATCATCAACTGCAAATCTGCTGGGAATGTAAGTGCCTCTGCCGACAAACCCTAGAGTCCGTCCCTGTACTCCGTCGGAAAACATCGCGGATTTGCGGCTGGAATGCGGAAGATCAGACAATCCGGGCACGAACTCAGATAATCTACCAGCGGGAGCAGAACTCGCTAATCCCCAGCAACCGTTCGTATCCAGAGGGACTGTGCAGGACGGTACTGCAGAGGCGAGTGATCCAGAGACGAAGTGCCCGTTTGGCACAGCAGCATTCTTCGGGTCGCCACCAGCCATCCCACCTGAGACCATTGCTAAATTTGTTGACTGAGAAGGAATACGATTGTAGTCTGTGATTTCGCTGGGTTTGCTACCTCTGGAATGATGGTTGGTGTTGAACATGCTCCTAACTTGAAAGCTAGCTGATGATGATTGAGGGGGAACAAACATTGTGATCTGGTCGATGTGAACAGTAGTGCTGTCGCCTGGAAAGCCAGTAGAGGTCTGAGATGAAGCAACAAGACAAGAAGTCGTCGCATCGGCTCCCTGATAGTGTTCTGCGAGAGGATTTGGTTGTTGTTGTTGTTGCTGCTGCTGCTGCTGATGCACCAACTGAACAAGCATATCGCCCTTCCGAGGATTGATTTCGACTGCACTACTGATGCCATCCGTATTGAGAGGATTAGGCGCCCAGACTTCAGATCGAGAAGCAACGTCGTCAATAATGACTATGGCCGATTCAGGAAACTGCTTCGTTATGCTGGATTGACAATTTAATAGAGGGTGGCTGAAGCCTACCCCATAGTCAACGGGCATGCACTTCGGATCTTGAAGAGAAGCATGTGCAACAGGCTGCTCGAGTGTTGGGCAAATTGCGCTGTTCAATGACCTGCCTAGCAACTCAGCGTGCAGATCCACAAGTGTCTGCGGTGAAAGCTGACCCGAAGTAGCCAAAGATTGAAGATCAACCCCCCCAAGTGAACCCACCCTTGTGCTTGCTTCCACAGTACCACAAAAGGAATTCGGAACCCCACCATGGTGTTGAGTTACTCCACTTAACCTTTTCAGATAAAGCCTGTATTTCTGCATAATTTGGTAAAATATTGAGAGGCTGAAAATTAGATGAAGCATTAGACGGCCAAAGACGTCTGTTAAGGCCGGCAGCAAAGCGAAGGTCACAGAAAGTGAAGAAAGTCAAAGTAAAAAAATCACAGTAACTGTTCATAAGTTTTCCAAGGAACGGCAAACAAAGTGAGAAAACAAGACAACATCTTGAGAAAGTATGACCGATTTCTAAAGCACAAAGTTCCAGTGAACTCTCAGTAATACCACATTAGCATCAAAGAAATCAACACAAACGTGTACTGCTCCTAGGGACAGTGAAAAAAAATCATCTTCCTCTAACTATAAAGTTCTGCGTTATATGCGGGATCTTCCAAGAAAAGGTAGAGGCGTACTCAATCTGGATAAGTGGGGATTACCAGCAATGAGAAGAATCCGGAAAGGGTAACCCTTTGGAAAAGGAGTCACTGCAAAACAGAAAAGACAGTGGACGCAGCAAAGCGGTAATAGAAAAATACAAGCTGCAAAGTAAGCACCCCATGAAGGTACTATCTCGAAACCCATCTCCCTGAGTTCCATAGTGTTTTCTACCAGTACACATGCCTTCACATTCAACAAAATAAATAAGAGAGGAAAGAAGATAGAGATAAATTGAGGAAGGAAAACACAAAGGAAAAAACACAGAACAACCAAAGATGGAAGATAGGAAAATGTGATAACCCATAACCCTTGAACCGGTCTCATACCCAAAAAAGAAAAGAAGGAAAGAAAGGGGAGAGCTCAGGATACATGACCTAGAGTTGAGACCACCCTCTAGTTTCCACTGTGGGCTAACCCATTAAGCATTGCCAACAACTAACCATTATTGACTAAGAATAGGCGACAAGACATGTCGAAATGACAACCATGATATATCACAGTGTAGGAGAACAGGAACAAGGAAAGTAAAGATCCATGGAAGGCATTAAAAGTCACCACATAAAAGGCCTCACCGCCCCACTTTGCCTCTAGCAAGTTTTCCATAGGTACATATATGCAGGGCTCAGCAGGAGAAGGAAGGCATCACTGTCCCAGAACAGGAGAACGGCCAACAGTCATCGACCACCCGCCATGAGGTGTTCTCAATGGAACGGCCCAGACCAACGGCCGGTCTAACGACCTCCAACCAGTCACGTGCCGTGACTTGAGCAAACCACCGGGAAGTGGTCACAATGGACTCATCATGTGACCCAGAAACCAGAAGGCCCAAAAAAAAAGGGGTACAGAAAAGCCCAGAAGAAGAAACGCAACACCTCAAGGCCAGAAGAAGAGGAAGAAGAAGAGGAAGAGAAGATGAAGCCCAAACCATGCCATGTTTGGGCCCAAAAACGCCTCAACTTAGTAAAAGGGACAAATCTCATGTGAAAATTCCAAAACCCCCCAACTCCATATGGATCCAAGGAACGATCCAAAAACGTTGTATTCCTTACGGATCACCAATCAATAGAATGCATGTGTTTTTTGTTTTTTCAAAAAAGTTCTGCGTTCATCACCAGAAGTTTTTTTTTTTAAGGAAAGCTAATACCACCATGCATCAATCGTCAAATGAGAGAACTTGGGGAGATAGGGGACTAGCTGCCAAGCGTCACCAAGTCGCTTACAAAGCCTACGCATGTTCGGAGGATGCCCTCAAGCCTGGACAACAAAGTGCTAAGTGTACAGTCTAGACAACATGCAACACAATTGCGTGCTAAAGATACATATGAAGCTGATTTTTTTGAAAAGTATCAAGATTTAACGTATTCTAATTGACAACACTTGCCACTATTTTGAGGAGAGGACTGAATCATTTTAAGACGTCAAGAGAGCCCCAGAATAACTGTTATCTAAGCACGCAGTATAATAAATATCTGATAACTCCAGCAATTTACATTTAGTCAACTGAATAGGCAGTCCTTCATATTCCAGGCCAACGTGATTTAAGAGGCCGTAATCAAATTAAATACAACCCAAAAAAAAATAATCAGAGCTTAAAGGTATGTTTAACTCTACACTAGCATGGTGCTGATAGATGGGGTATTTCACAAGTCGATTGACAGAGGATAGTCTCGTGTCCTTGAAAGCAGGAAAAAGGCAGCTGCCACCAGGACCAATGAGCGTAGAATCTTCGAAGCAGGACCTATCTATCTACAGACACAAAAGAAGAAGAAGAAAAAACCACGCAATGCATCATACTAATGCTGAAGAATGGTGAAATTACATATAGCTGGCGTTTTGGTTGATTTTCAACATCATCATTTTTCATTACTTTATAATTGGTTCTCAACACCTCCTGTTAGGAAAATTTCTAAAAATATCATTTACATCAATCATTCAAAGCTTTAGTCGCCATTTCATTGATCTTCTGACATGGTTATGAAAATGTTAACATCAAATGACAGGTTTTCTAGGCACCAAGTTGCCTAACAGAGCAGGGTAGTCATTTCATTATGTTCCCGAGAGAGTGACTTTTGTTCTAAACTTTGTTCCATAATCTAGCCTTTGCGTACAAAGTTCATTGATATAAAGAATTGAAAAGATGAAACTTAATCCTCACCAATTTTTCTTCTAACAGACTGATTTCGAAATCAAACAACATAATAATTTAAAATTAATCGTAGCCACGGTATCTCTTGACTGATGCAAATAGAGTTAATTAAAATAAATAAAATAACACATAAAGTCTAAAAAAACCAAGTTGGATTTGGGTGAAGAGAAAAACCTGTAGGTGGCTAGCAACATTTTCTCTAGTTAGGCCAGGAACATTCATTAGCTCAAGGATTCTCTTAGGAACAGCCTCTACAAAGAAGCAAATCCAACACCGTTTAATAGAAAAGTCATGCATTACTGTTTCAGCTATAATTTTAAATTTGTAAAGGTAGATGAGATGAAATTCTTACTATCAATTCCAAGCTGATTCACAGCACTCACAAACTGCTGATGGAGCTCAACTGACCAAACTACGCGTGGCTTTTTTGATATAGAAGAATCCTCATTTTCAAGATCGCCATCATCTACATCTTCTTTAGCATCTCTTTTCTTTTTACGGGCTTTCCAACTGATATCAGCTGCATTGTTAGCTGATGAAGTGTAGTCAACATCATCACTCCCTCGTTTGAGCCGGTCAGATTCTTCCACACTATCTGATTGCTCATTGTCCTTATTCTCATTCCACCTTTTCCTAACGACATGTTGCCATATGTTTTTCAACTCCTCAAAACGAATAGGCTTAATTAGGTAATCACATGCACCATGCTTGACCCCTTTCATTACCATAGAGGTTCTTGAATCAGCAGACATCACTATTATAAACAGAAATCCAGGTCACAGATAAGAAAATATGGTTAACACAACGTGAAATAGTCCACTAACAAGTATGAGATAATAGACAACAGATTACTCACTTATTACAGGAAGATCCATCTCCAGTCCAACGAGTTCAAGGAGTTTAAATCCATCCATGTCAGGCATGTGTACATCACTTATAACCAGATCAAAATGTCCTTTTCTCTCCCGAAGGAGAGACAATGCACTCACTGCCCGAGAGCAGATGGTAACTACAATCAATTCGAAAAAAATAAAGAATCAGACCTCTATAAGTAATATAGATAATAGACATCAAGAAATATTTTTTCAGTCGGAAAAAATAACAAACTGCATGGTACTGAGGCGCGATCATAAGTCTGGACAAAATAGTGAATTGTCAGTGCCAATCAAGTTTTCAGCACTAGATCCCGTGTATTTGCAGGCCAATGTCAAACGTTGATCAGTGAGTTGTTTGCAACTATAAAAACAAAAAATGCACACCAAATAATCCACATGCATTTTAGTTCATACAGCACGTCTTTGTGACAAATGACTAACACAAGATTCAACATGTGAAAGAAAGCTTATTAAACAAAAAATTCAATGTGCAGATATTATTAGTTTTCACTTTCTAATAGAATGTTCAAAGGACTACTAACTTGTGATGTTTGTTCAAAGCTCCTTTCTCCCCTGAAAAGAATGAGTTCAAAATCACTTAAGGAATATCAGAATGTTCTACTCTCACTCGTGCGAATTGGACTATAGATTATCAAATAATTTAAGGCTGTTAAGATCCTGCAAAAGGAATAGATAATAGTGAACCGAATTCTACACTAAACCGAAGAAAGAAAAAGAAAGAAAGAAAAAGTTAACATGAATAGCAGAACTCGAGACTCTTCAAACAGACAGGAAAAACAATTGTAAGCTGATGTTTCCTCATGAGCACAAACTATCCACCACGTCCTCACTTGCAGATCTCTCTTACTCCAATTTCTGAAATGTTTTTCAGAGATGAAGGAAAACTCCCTTGACCTCTCTTGAGTATTTTGGGAATTATTTTCACAAAGAAGCCATGCCAACGGGTTCAATCATGAAGTACAGGGTTGAAACGAGCCCTCACCTACATGCTAGGCACGATATTCCATTGCATAGCATAAAAAAAATGGCGAGAGTGGAAAGAAAAATAACATCATCAACATGAATTTCATGCGCTTCATTCATTACTTGATATGTAGAGCCCACTTAGGATCATTCATATGAGAAAAAATTAATGCCCTCATCTTTTTTAGCCTATTGTCCAATCATATTCCATGACGAAGAATGATAAGCAACAGTTGATGGTGATAAAACACCATCACTAGGAACACAAGCATCCATTTAAAGCTAGAAGAGAGTTAAAATCAGGAAAGCAGCAGACTTAGAATCGCAGTACAATCAATGATTTTCTTAACTCATCAATAAAAGTGTTGGAGTAAGCATCTTCGAGCATATGAAATCCATAAAAAGCAAATATTTTTAATGATAAATCAATCAATTAACGATGTTCATTTTCATGACTTTTTTTTCTTGTAAAGCACATTTTTAAACCAACCTATGAACAGAGAGATTGGACAGTCGGTGATCATGGCTTATCTTTTCATGAGTAGTCTTATGACAACAATACATGATTGGGACCATTCAATGAAGGAGCTGATAATTTCATGAATTTTCCAAAAGATGGTGACATGAGATTGGCCGGTGTAACTTGCCAGATAAGAGTATTACCAAAAATTTCATGAGGGCAATGAGGACATAATACTAAATTCTCGACAGATTTAGTTTAGGCAACTAGGCTTCAGATTCTTCTCATACCATTTGAGAACATATACAAATGAGGAGAAGAGACAACTTGCAATCAGTATCTCTGACCTTTACTCATCCAATATGCCAAATCCCGCATGAAAGAACAACAGTTTTTTTTTCAGTTGAAATCAATTGAAAGATTAAACTAGGGAAGAAAACAAACAAAGACATCCAAGCGGTATAAGCCATATAAAAACATCAAATTCCGATCCGTCTTAAAATTTCCCAACATATTGCTAACGAGCCAATTTTTCTCTCATAAAGACAAAAAAGTTGCAGAGTTATCCCAGGGGAATCGGTGTAACGAAGAGAGCAAAGGAAGAACACACCGTTGTACTCGCACTTTTGGAGCATCTGTTCCAGTATCTTCAGGCAAGTCGTGTCGTCATCCACGACTAGAACCCTGAGTCCTGCAGGGAACCTCTCCGGTACCTCTTCATCCGCCTTGGTCGGCCCTAAGGTACTTCCCAAGTTGGAGCTCTTCCCCGCCGCCAGTCTCTGCATAGCAGCCATCACCGAGATCCTTCGCAAATCCCAGAAACAGCGGAGATTTCAGCAACCGACACCGATATCATCCAACAGCACCCAATCTCACCGCCGCCGCGTCGTTCCCAATCGTCCCATCTCGACCTCTAAACGACAACTCTGTCCGTTCAAAACGCCCCTGCCGCTGCGAATCCCCACCCCGTCCGATCGCAGCCACCTGGCCAGGTCCCACACGGAGAGACCTCGGTGAGACCTCGAACGATCTGGAGTTACCTGGGGATCGAGGAAACAAGAGGAGATGACAGGTGGAGAAAGCACAGAGAGCAGAGAGGGAAATGGAGAAGACGAGAAGGCCCGAGCAAAAAGCCAACTCCGGGGGGTCCGCGACGGCGAATATTTTTTATGCCCCTCGTTGTCCGAAATTATTTCCGAGGAAAAGGAAGTGGGATCCGGCCGTGATAGTTTCGTTTCCATGGGACCCAGCATCGGGGCAGGGAATCGTGGCAACCCCTGATTCGACGAGGCGACGTGCTTCCGTCATCCTCGGCTCTTCAGAAACAGACAGGCTTCCAATAATTACGTCATAAGTACCAGGCAATCATTTACTCTCTCTCTCTCCCCATAAAAAGATATTACCCATAATACCCTCGTAAAATCAGAGCGAAAAGCGTGTGTATCGGAGATCCCTTGGAGCCCGGTCCAACATGTCGGGAAATCATGTCAAATGACATCCGAGCTGGTCAATCCAACATGTTCTACTTGGAACCACTACATACACAACTAGAGAACCAGGCCCCGGGTTTCGCTTGCCATATGGGCTCAGACCAGCAGAACCCAACACCGACGAGGCCCATTAATGTATGCAGGTAGAATGTACGCGTAAATATTTAATCCATGGAAAAAAATCAAACACCATAAATAACAGTCCAGAGATAGATAGATAGATAGATAGATAGATAGATAGAGAGAGAGAGAGAGAGAGAGAGAGAGAGAGAGAGAGAGAGAGAGAGAGAGAGAGAGAGAGAGAGAGAGAGAGAGAGAGAGAGAGGATCATGGGGAGAATATAAGCGCACATATAAAATTAGAAAGATTTGAGCATCTCCATCACACACTACAAATACAAACAGACAAGAGAAGAGAGAGAGATAGAGAGTTGAAAGCCAACGGTCCATACAAACCAGACAATAACAGAGTTAGCAAATAGAACCTGCAGAAGGCCAGTGAGGTATAGACAGAAGTCAAGTCAAATGCAAACTAATCATCTGGGATACCTCAATCTCCATGGCCTTGGTTAGTGCGTCATCCTTACCCAATATCTGGGAGATGGTAAGCTGATTAAGTTGGTTATTTACATATTTAAGTAAAAAAAGTTTATCTACCTCAACCTTATCATCTTTGTCTCTCAAACTTTGATATTTTTCATTGATTATCTACCTCAAATTCATGACTTCCTTCTGCAGCATGTCACATAATAAATCTGACACCATCTCCTTCGATTATTAGTTTGAGAAGTCAGTGGGCTTCTCTTGAGAATTTATCAAACAGCTGGGGTCTAAGGAACTAAGTCTCCTTTGCATGTTCTAACCCATTTTGGCGCCGAAACAAGGAGATGATCTTGGCTTGGAAAGTGTTATCTTGGATAAAAAGGCATTTGGAGAGACACTGAGTATGGTTTCGGCCCACCCAAGATTGGGTTTGAACATGCAAAGGAGACTTAGTTCCTTAGACCCCAGCTGTTTGATAAATTCTCAAGAGAAGCCCACTGACTTCTCAAACTAGTAATCGAAGGAGATGGTGTCAGATTTATTATATGACATGCTGCAGAAGGAAGTCATGAATTTGAGGTAGATAATCAATGAAAAAGATCAAAGTTTGAGAGACAAAGATGATAAGGTTGAGGTAGATAAACTTTTTTTTACTTTAAATATGTGAATAACCAACTTAATCAGCTTACCATCTCCCAGATATTGGGTAAGAATGACGCACTAACCAAGGCCATGGAGATTGAGGCCACTGAGATTGGCACCGTGAAAGGCTGTTGCTGATGCTCCTGCCCTCCACAAGAAGGCAACCACTACCATTAGAAGACATCCTAAGTAAGCCGAGAATTTTCATAGAACATCATGTGAAGAAATAATGAGAAAATGGGGGGAGAAATCAATAATCCGCAGTGAGATGTGCATTCAGCAAAAATGTCTTGTACCTTGTAGTGAGTTCGACAACAATACTAATAAATTTCTGCACTTCGCATTAAAGAAGAGTATGATTGATTCTATCTGAATAATGTGGAGGTGCTAAGAACCAAATAATATCAAATGATAAAAAAATGAGGTTAATCATATATAAGTTTGGTACATGGTAAGGAAGAAAATAAGGGGTGTTGAATTCATGTTTGCATTAATTAGCAACCATGAAACCACTCCTAACCCGTGGGCAGCCGATCGACCCCACACTGAATGATCACACGCGTGTGGCCTTAGACTTTCGACAACATGCCAAAGCAGCGTTCTATTTTGTCTAAGAATAAGGAAAGGAAGAGAGGAAGGATACGGGAAAGCTCAACTCATTACATCATGCTCCACCAGGCTGAGGGTGGCCCCTCTTTATAGGGGAGAGACTAGTTAAGTCCCTTCCTCAAATGAAGCCCGCACCCATTGTCATAATATGGCTTCCACCAGCTAGATGAAGCTCGAGTTATACCTTTCTATAATTGGATGTTGCCATGGCTGGCAATGTCTTAAACTGGGACGGCTTCTTTTGGACATTGTCATAATCGGCGACGTCCTCATCTGAACCTTCCTTTCCAAGAACCTTTCTTCACTAGACTTACCATAACATGTTTAAAGTCAGTTATATCCAGGTCGCTCACGCAGACGCCAACACGGTGTGTCTACTCACCGTGTGCACCTGTGGCGCACCCATCTAGGTACTGTGCCATAAGTCCCCTGTGCATGCTCTTCATGCATGCTGGCATATGCTCCTTGTACCGCTCGCCCATTGTGCACATATAGCTGCACAAACTTGTCGCTCATGCCCATTGATTCACGCTTGTTGCGTATGCCTGCTCTATTCTTACATTACATGCATGCTATGTGCGTGTGCCTGTGCATGCCCTAGATGCACAGCGGCCAGAGCATGTTCACTAAACACACTTTTGTGACACACCGTACCAATGGCGGGTGAGGGCCACATGTGCGTCACCCCAAACTAGGAGAGCCCAATGACGTCTGCGCACCATCCATGTGCCGCCACACATGTTGGTCCTTGTCGCCGCACCTGGCACACATGCGGTATTGTCTCGCAACAAGAACCACATTTGGTGGAGCTGGGGAATCACAGTTGTTCTATGGGCCTGACTTTGTAATTGCTTTCCATTTGTTAGCCACAACACCTGCAACCATGTGTGAAGTAACCTTAGCCCCTTATAATTTCTAATAGAGCTTTGATCTCCTCTAATGAAAAACAAAAAAATACAGAAATACAGTAAAATAATTTTGCCACGTTGTTGATATCATGACCTTAAAATATTATGTAACAAGATATTTATGACGGATAACAAACTTTTTTGATCTCCTGAACATGGCGTTTTAGTCCTGCACAACGTTTTCAGCTACACTCCTTTCAAAAGTTCAACATCTATCCTTTTGGATAAATTTTTTCAACTTTCTCAACTTTTTGTTCATGCAATTTGTCCAATATCATATTTTCTTCATAGTAAAAAAAAGTCAACATGCTCAAAATAATGAACTAACAACATTAGTGAAATATGTCACAATATTGAACTAAGAGAACTTGAAGGAAGATGCATATTACATGAAAAATATCAATATTATTCACTAACACCTACTTCATATTTAGAAAGATTATCCATCGTATAGATGTTTGCTAAAACTATCTCTATAATTCTTTCCTCTTTTGAATAAGACTATCTCTATATAATCCTTTTATTTAACATGCAGATGTTGCATTTCGTTGTCAATTTGAAGCTTTTTAATCTACATGTAACCAATACTTAATAAAAGAAAAGAAATAGCATGTTGCCAACACAACTCATAATTACTAAACAAATGGAAATTTTATAATAGTCGTAAAAAAGTAGGCATGAATAAATGGCAAAAAATCCATAATATCATTAAATTCATGAATCATGTTGAAAAGATAAATAAAATATAATTTAAGGGAATAAAAAGAGAATAAAAAGGTCAGAAAACAAAAGAGGTGAGTTCAAGAATCATTAAACTCAAAATATTAGAAATCATTTGGTACTTAACTATCAATAGAGAAAAAATGTCTCAGGTCAAGTAAGCTTGATATCAGCCTTAAGAACAGCCATGATGGTTTTAATAGGAGGCATGTCATAATCATTTTGTGCTTCATGAAGTCCATATCATCAATAGTTAAAATCAAGGCTACTCACTGTTCAAGTTAGTGATGCGACAACAACCATCCAATCCACTGGAGGTAGCAAAGCAAACCAAGTTGACACATTCTTCACTACACCCAAGTTTGCATAGGTACGTTGGAATGCTAAGTTCTAAGGCCTTATCAATTGGTACCTTGATACTAACTCTTTGAAGTTAGATTTACCACATACTGGAGGATGTGAGACCCCTTGTATGGAGGGACGAGATTCGATGTGTAAAACTACAACACTATAGTAATATCATATGATACTTGATGTGCACTTTAGGCATTGTTATAAAATGCGTCAAATTTAAAATTTATAAGCCGATTTCACTGAAAAATATATTTTTTAATCTAATGATGAAAACATGACATTCCATAGGGAAGAGTGATAAAACCAAGTGTCATTTTGATTATTTAAAAGTTCATGTAAGATCTAAGATAATACAAAGAATGAAATTGTAGAATAATAAAGGTTAATTTAATATTTTTTGAGTTTTATTTTTTCTTATAGACATATAAAAGTTTTAGAATCTTATAAATTATTTGTGTATTTATTTATTGATAAGTAAGCATAAAAAAATACTTTAAAAATAGGCAACATTGACTGAGTCAAAGGTTGTGTATGAAAAGAGAGAGAGAGAGAGAGAGAGAGAGAGAGAGAGAGCTGTGGGCCGCTAGGACATGCGGTTCAATAAGAGAAAAGGGGGAATCACAGAGAGGGGGGACAGTCGGTGGAAGCTCTTTTACCATGATGATGCAGATGGACAGAATTCTACCAGTAAAATGTCAAATCAAAGATTTATAGAAATATCGTAAGGACCCAAGTTCGAAATCCAAAAAAGCTCGAACCCTGATCAATTGAATGGTTGAAATTAATTAAAACAACAAAAATAGAAGCAAAACTCAATTTCTGGGGCATGACTTGATAGGTTTTTGGCGCCGCGCTGAGGCTAGAGATCGAAGTCTCCGATGCACAACTTGATCACTCCTGAAGTCTTCGTGCTGAGTCCAAGAGTGGATGCACGTCCTGTTCCACCCAAGGAGCTTTGTGCTGCTGCTCCAATGGATGCAGTTGATGAAGCCCAACGTCTGTCACCCACTAGGAAGGGGAAGATGAAGGAATTGGTCTCCGATGTGTAGTTGAGAGCACCCTATGACTCTACGCTGTGCTAAGGATCAATCTGCAACTTGACATATCTTGCAGCCCTGTGTTGAGGTAAGAAATAGATCCTCTAATTGTTGTCATGCTAGAGAGGAACTCACAGCCGCTGTCATCACCATGAGCGTCACTACCGCCGAGCCCAGATGCTCCACTGCCTGTCACATAGAAGGGGACCTCACAACACAGCCATCATCACATTCAACTCCTCTCTCCGTCTCGTTGAAAGGGGCTGTCCGTGCCCTAGTGCTGTCCATTCTGTTTGGACTTGAAAATCTTCTCCCCAAATGTTTCTGATTTGAATCCCCATTTGTCTTAATTTTTCTTATTTTTAAAAATTATTTCACATAAATTCATAGAAATTAAAATTCTTCCGAAAATTTACCAAAAAATCTCGTAAAACTTTAAACTGCAGAAAATTATGGAAAATTCAGATAAATGCCTTGAAAAATCCAAAAATTCATAAATAGTGATTAAAGTCACGTGAATCATGTTAATAAATATCTCAACATACAATTCAGAGATTAAAATGAAATCTTATGCATCTAAACGACATATATTAGTTGAAATTCATATTAATGAGTCAAAACACATTTTTCTTGGATTAGCCTCCTAACCATGCACTTGTCTATGAATTAATGCAGTAATTATAAAGATATAACGTGGATTAACACATAAAAATGTAGCATTATCTCTAGTCCACATGATGTGTGTATTAACCTTGTGATGTGAACCTAAATCATTTGTTTATGTCCACGTAGATAATTTTCTCCAAATAAAGTTTAACTCAATATCATCACAACTAGTGCAAAGTGGGTGGGCTAGTTAGAGATAAAAATGTGGAAGAGTACGGTGAATTTTATGCTCTAATCAATAGATGACTTTGACATCATCTTATGTATGCATTTATTGGTGCTAGCTTAGATTGATGTTTTTCCTCAAAAATGGAAAACTATACTTTCTAACATGAGTGACATGTGTACAATAGAGTCTATGGATCTTCAAAGACGTTCCTCATTTTGAGATGTCTTACGACATTTTTGTCCTCTTTTAAAAGAAGGTGGAAAAATCACTCCAACTATATGTTAGTTGTCAAGGCTTCTTTTATCTTATATTTGACATGAAGAAATTGTTTGACTAGTTACATGGTGTTAAATATTTATCATTAAATATATAAGAAGGGAGATAAAATGTCATATAACAGTCTCTGGTTCATAAGAAATGATAATAGTGTTGAATCTTGGAGAGCACAGATCATTGCTGGTTAAACAATACACACAATTTGAAACCTATAGTTGAACTCTTAAAATATATAAATTAATATAATGTCATTAAAAGTCAAATCGATATGAATGATTTGATCTATTTTTAACACAAATCTCATGATCTACAATTAAAAAAATTTCTAAATAATTATCACTATCGATGGGAGCATGGTTACTTATTGGACAAGAATTAGTAATTAGTTTTGCCTATTGGCTTCTAAACCTTCATCTATTTTCTAAATCATATAATATATTTTCTCACCAGCTTCATCAAATTTGTCTCTAACTTAGTGAGTCTTTCCATTAACATGATTATCATGATATCAGATGGCATTTTCTCAACGGTCGAGCCAGATTTTCGAACGGATATCTTTTCCTGTGGCCCAGAAAAAATTGGCTTGACCGCCCAGTTTGTTGGCCCATTAGCCTGCCGATGCCTTTGAAGAGCTTAGACTCTTTATGCCTACATCTCGCCCCACTTGAAATTTTAAATTTTATTGCCAACCGTTACCTATTTTCCCTACCCCCATTTGGCTCTCTCTCCGTCTCTCTATCTCTTGAAATCCCACCTTCCCTCCCTCCCTCCCTCCCTCTCTCCCTGTCGTTGCTCTCCTGTCGCGCTCAACTGAACGACTCTCTCTCCCTCCCGCCATTGCACCCGCTTTGGGAGGCAGAACAACCGTGAAGGAACGAAAAAAGCGGAGACTTAACTGTTTCAGGGCGAAGAGAGATGAAGAGAGAGACAACCTCTCTCTCTCTCTCTCTCTCTCTCTCTCTCTCTCTCGCTCTCTGTGATCCCCTCAATCTGTTACGCAAGGCGAAGGATTCGGCGGGGAGGGAGGCTAGTGTCGGTGAGGTAACAGCAAATTGGAAACTGTAAACACCGTCCGTCCTCCTGCAGCCGTGCGTTTCAAATTTCCCGCCGCCCTCTAACGTCCGCGGGGTATGAGAGTTAACAGGTTTTGGCGGGAAGAAAGGAACTATCTCGCCTTCTTATATCCCGTTCTCTTCCAACCCTCCGCCACCGCCCTCTTCTCTTCGACCATGGACTGCGCAAACCTACCCGACGAAATCTGCAGCGAGATCCTCTCGTGGCTGCCGGCGAAGCAGGTGGCCAGATGCCGGAGCCTCTGCAAGGGCTTCCACGCCGCCACCCTGAGCCTGTCCTTCGACCTCCGGCAGGCTCGCCGCGCGCAGGGTGACGCCGGCGTCTTCCTGCGCGGCTATTTCGGGCGGTCCCAGCTGGTGTTTACGGACCAGAGCTCCGGCGTGCCCCCCGAGTCGGTCCAGTTGCTGAGCGACCGCAATAAGACGATTCTCGGGTCCGACGGCGGGCTGGTCGTCCTGCTCGAGGATGGGCAGGAGGGCCCGGCCTCCTCGAGGCTATTGCTCTACAATCCCGCCCGGCGGACGTCGTTGCCCCTGGGGCTGCCAGGCGACGCGAAGATCCTCAACAACATGAGCGCCGGCGCCGCCGTCCTCGGCGACGGCGTCGACGTGGACGTGGTCTGCGTCACCCCGACCGACTACTGGAGCTCATTCCTGGAGTGCTGGCTCTACTCTTCGTTGGAGCGGAGGTGGAAGCTGGTGAGCGACAACGTCTTCGTAGGCCCAAGAAACATCAAGGTCGGCCACCCCGTCGTCGCGTCCAACGGGCTCATCTACTTCGCCTCAACCTGCGGGGGATACATCAGCCAACACCCCCCCTACATCGTTGCCGTCGACGTCAGAGTCGGGAGCTCCAAGATCCTATCGCTGCCGGAGAAGGCTGTCCTCGCTTCGGACGACGGCGACATAGAGATCGCAGGCTCCGGCAGCGGCTCTCTCCTCAGCCTGGTCGTCTACAACGGGGCATCCGAGTTCACCATCTGGGACATGAAGGACCCCGAGCGGTGGGTGTGGGAGGAGCGGGCCCTCCAGGTGAGCATGGCCTCCATGGGGCTTGAGCCGAGGCCCGTCGGAGGGTTCTCTCTGGTCAATGGTGACATCCTCGTCTTCACGGCGGAGGAGTACGTCTACGTCTACGACATGCACAGCGGCGAAGGCCCGAGGTTGATCAGTTGCACACCTGGGTGCGGTTCCCACATCTGTTCGTACGCCAACACCCTCCGACCATGCGGGAGATCAGAGCAGGGCTGAGGTTACCCCAGAAGTCCATGCGTGCGTATTCTTGAAATATCCTACTATTCAGACGGTCGTTTAAAATGTATATCTGGGCCGAGTTCAATAAAATTTCGAATCCTTCTTCTGATGGATCTCCAAGTCAGCGTGCGTCCACGAGCCCACGTTTTGTTCTTCTTCCCAGCCGACCGCCGCCTTTCTCTCTTTGCCAGTCCCGTGTAGCAGATCCCAGTCGCTGTCTGAACACCGTCCCAAACTATGCCTGCACGCGGGCGCATATCTGCAGACTCATTATCCTCTAAACGGGCCACCCCTCCATACCTGGAGATGCATAATCTTATAAATGGGAAAGAGAAAGAAATAACGTCGAGGAGTAGAGGAAAGGAGTCATCGAGATAGAGGAAGAAAGGTGGTAAATCGTCCGCACATAATGAGCCCGGGATTATTCTATTTGTAATATGGCAAATAGGATGACATAACTGAGTCTCTTAGGCTGTAATATGTCTATCACTCTAATGCTTCTCCCTCCAACTTACAATGAGATAATCATCAAGAATTTGTCTAGAAGAAATTGAAAATGAAATGTGGTACAAGCTGTTGGTAATGAAATCAGACAACTATTGAGACAATAGAACAGAAGACAAGCTATGAGTGCCAAGCTGAAGATGATGCTGAACAACGTGGAAGTTAATCTCAAATCTTTCATGCACTTACGAAATTTTGAATTATGGGTAATTTGTGCGGCACTAGTTATCAAAATAGTGAGGAGTTGGGAGTAGAGTGTGATGCTCCCATATTTTAAAGTAGGCAACAAAGCCAAATTATTTTCAATGTTGTTGATTCCATTGCTCAATATTCCATTTTAATGGTGCTAGGTGCAAATAATATATTTCTTACTTTTCTTAGAAAATGAGATACTTGTGAGACAAAATATATTCATGTTCATTTATATCACTAGTTCAATTATCATCAATAAAACCACAAAGAGTGAATGAAGATAACAAATAATACATAACACCACAGCCTAATTAATTGAGTGAGGGGCTGAACATAAATAACTCACAAGATGCATTGCAAAGTAAATATTTGAATGTGCGACTACCAAATTGTTAAGAGAATCAATAATCTCTTGACAACAAGGCTTATTCACTAAATTAGTGTCTACTGAATTTGTTCTGACTAAGTACTAAGAAGGAAGAGTCAATTTATTTCTTATATTTTTTCTATTATATTTTATTGTTATGTCTGCATGTACGTGTCAATATGCATCTTAACACAATCTCTCAAATATATGTGCACATTAACTTAAGTCATTTCTCTTTTCATCATGAGGTCATTATGAGGAACACAAGTTTTTACACTAATTCACCCTTTACCATGCTACATTTTAGTCCTAAAGTATCTTGTTACTATATTTTATTATTTTCTTCTAGAGATATAAATGATTGTTGAAAAATATATATGTTCTATCTCTACAGATGTCACACCCCTCATCTATAATTTTTGACTCTCAATGCCTAATGTCTAATCAATACACTTATCTCCTCAGATAAAACTTCTTTGACTTTCTATACTTCATGTCTTAGCCTAACCCTCTCTTCACTCAACACCTAAGTTACCTTAAGGATTGATGAAAAGAGATGACCTTTAACATAATTTATTGATTTATATCATTGTAGTCATGTGAGTATGAGGATACTTTAATTCATATATTACATGCAAGATATTTTTTCATGATGATCCTTTAACATAAAAATATTTTTCAATCAGTTGCAAATCTTGATGCAAGATATCACGTTCAACAATCATTAGAGTAGAAAATTTTAAAGAATGAATCAGAATTTTACCCTACTCAATCATCTACAATAATAATCAACTTAAACAATTATGATGAAGGTTGTTTCTCTCCATTAGCCCTAAGGTAACCAAGGTGATGAGTAGAGATAAGGTAAAGCTAATGTACTAAGAACAAAAATTTGTTCATGAAAAATGTTGTTTTTTGAAAAAAATTATACCTTGCTGTTGTCTTTAGATATCATCAAAGTGAGACATCAGAGTGACAACATGACAAAGATAAGAGTCTTAGATTAAGTTGTAATAGTTCATAAGTTATATTAATATGTGTTCTGATATATATACAACATAATTAGAAAATGTAGGAAACAAATTCACCTCCCTCTTAGTACTTCACTTAGCCACACTAAACCCAACAAGTTAGACCTCTAAGTTCTCATATTGAACAACTTTGACACCATAATCAATATAAACTTCTTAGCACATTATTAGGTGATGTGTTCCCTGATTAACACATTCTTTTTGTAGGTGAGCCTAGTCTCTATTTTGTTTCTAGAATATAGGGGGCTGAGAGGGGTGTTCTCCTATTTGCATGTTCTTCTTGAAGGTGAGTAGTCTCATATTCATTTCTAAAGTACAGAGAGGGCTGAGAGGGGTGTTAAGATATTGCTTGCACTCCAAATTAGACAAATGTAGAGGTGGGATAACAAATTCCTCCTCGACACACTTCAGAAGGTGAGTAGAGACAACTTGCTCATGCAGATATTTGGTTGACCGAGACAAGGGTGCCTATGTAAGTGTGCACGATGGGTGCAACACTCACAGAAGAGTCAACTAGCACAATGTGGAAAAGCATAGGGTCAAGGGCAATCATTGTGGCACATATGGGCACAAACATTGGTGCATGAGCATGCATGGGTGCAGCATGCACACAAGTGGAGGTACACAAGACATGTGGTCATCTCTAAGTCATATTTAGAGATGATAACTTTAAAAATTATAAAATTGAATTCACTTTAAGACAAATCAAGTAATTATGGAGAGTTCAAGTCTTATCCACAAGGAAGATAACAAATGATGATAATTTATTTTGATATCTAAATAAATCAAAATATCAATAAAATAAATAAATAACAGAAAGGGAGGATAAATAAGATATTTTGTGTTCAAAAAACTTCGACCCAGCTCCTCCATTTTGTTCTCAATTTTGAATTATCTAATCTATATAAAAATAAGAAAAAAATAGTAATCTAGTTTATAGATAGTAAGAAAATAAGATGAAGATAGAGAGAGAGAGAGAGAGGGAGAGAGAGCAAAGAACGTGAAGAGAGAGAAATGACTCTATTAACATATTCTCTCCCCAATAGAGAAACAAATAATTTATTTAAAAAATTGAAGATAACTAAAAAATGTAAGGAAAAGGGATTGTAAATAGGTTTAAATCAATTGAACACATCAAAACATTAAGAATACAAAATTAGGACCAATTAAAAATAAAAACTCCACCTTTGACACTAGGGATGAGGTAAATAATTTAATTCTAAATTTGAAACAAATTAATCATTTTTTATTAGCAAAATCTACTCTACATATGAAATTAAGGCTAATAAAAACTCAAAAACCTCAAATAATGGATAGAAGATAGATCCAAATCAAGCTTCTCCTCTGAAAAAAAGTGATGGGCATACAAAATGGATAATTCCATTCATTCACCAGTCACTTGACTAAATCGAAGAAATAAATTCAGAACAATATAAAAATCAGATTTATCAAAGATAATATAAGAAATTGATAAAAAAATCTCCCTTTTTTATCCTAAAGCCAAAGTTTTTATGCTCCAATTAGATCTAGAATATATTACATTAAGTTGTAGTAATCGATGTATTCAAAACTATTTTTTTTAGTGAGAATCAGTTTCCATTTCTTCATCTATTTTTTCACCTATTTTTCAGCCATTTTCAGTTGTTTCCAATTGTTTGGGCATGTTCGCCCATTTCCTAAATCATTTTAATTTAGACAAATAAGATTCTTTAATAGGCTCATAATTATCCATCAAAACATACTCCAAAAATATTATGAAAAATCACTAAAAATTAGGAACTTTTTATCTAACTAATAAATTCCAACTTTTAAATTTTGATTTTAAAAATGACATACTTAAGGGTAATAATTTCAAATAAATAATCTTAACATATAATCAAGGAAAATTTAAGATATAAATATAGTATAAAAGTATGTAAAAATCACACACTAAGCATGTATTTCACACAATTAGTCTAAAGTGTACTTCACTTGATCTTTCATTAAATATATATCATTTAGCATGTACTAATGGGCCAAATATACTAATTATGCATCACTTATCACATCTAAATGATGTAGTATTAGCATGCATCACTTATCACATATAAATGATGCAAGTGTGACTTATGAGGAACATATGAAAAATCTTCTTGATCTACTAGATGACTAGATAGATAGTCTACCTCCTTACACAATCTACATCAAAAAATCAACCATTAGACCATCCATGTATTGGACATATGTCACTAGTATGTGTCCTAGAAAATATGTCATTTGAACTCATAATAAGCTAGTGATTGCTAAGTTTGTTGGAGTTACAAATTTGGCAGGTGTTATTCTAGCAAGTGCCGCACTAATGTGACCTAATCGTTGTATAATAAATTACATAAATTTTAAATATATAAATTAAAATGTATTAATATTTAAATTAAAAAAATATCTCAAAATAAATAAATAAACTATAATTTAATAAAAGGTTTAAAAAATAGTGAGAAATTTCTACATATATCATAATGATATAATATAATGTATATTAGTATTTTAAAAATATATAAAATAGTACACATTTTTATAATTTTTTAACTAAATAATGAATATAAAATATATTTAAAATTTATAAAAAAATAAAAATAAAGGTATGTACATTAAGATGACATCAGCACCCCAATGAACGTGATTTAGGCAGAAACAAAGTTCTATCCAATAGTTCTTAGATAAGTAATTACATATGATTTAGTTGATAAAATTAAGATTCGTAAAAATTAGAATAATTGTAATTAAATGAAGAAAAATTTTGAAATTTTAAATTACATGAATTATCACTAAATGAAGTCAAAAATAAATTGAAAGTAGGAAAGGTAGAGTTATGACCTTGTGACAATGATTGTTGTAATTTTATGCATTTGAAAAAATGATCGAATAATATTTAAGGCTTCAAAGTCTCTCTTTAGGCATAGATGATTTGAATATTCTCTAGATCTTCTTTCAAAGTTTACATCTTAATTGTTAGGATGACAATGCATCAAAATCTTGAATGTTTGATGAGACTATCATATAATATCCATGACCTCAATGACTTTTTTTAGTCATAGACAATATGAGAACTCTTTAGATCTTCTCGTAAAGTTTAGAAATCAATGAAGTGAGTTGTCAAATCATCTCTAACAACTATCACTTGGTGAAATAAAAAAATGATAATTTTGTAGATCTCTAATAGTTGTCACCTGATAATTAAATAGAGGTGGAGCATCTTAGGGAGGTTCATGTTTAAGTTTGCACAATAAGAAAAGACTATTCATTGCATCTAAAATGTTCTCAAGAGGTGGTGATGTGTCTCATGATGGATTGTCCTCTTTCCAATGATGCTTATTCGTTGATCAATTAATTTACTTGATAAATTGACAATCTTTTTATCCATAATTATACAACAATTTTAGTAATTATGCTTCACACAAATCAAATTGATGATATTTTCATCGATGATTGAGTAATTCTAGCGACTGAATCATTAGTAGACAATTTATATAAAAAATATGATTTAATCAAATAAAAATATAAGTTTAGACTTTGAGTAGATTTGAACTCTTGTCGATCGCTCACTTGTATGAAAGAGAGTGAAATAAGTACAGAAATATCCTTATAAAATGATGTCATAAGGGTATTAAAATGATCTCATTATCATAAATAAGAGATATTTTAGGTATTAAAATTAATGAAAACCTTTGAGAAAGTTATGATGTCCATTTAGTCTCACATCAATTATTTTTAAAGTTTTGAGATAGATATATAATAATACAAGATTCAAACTCTTTTTCGTATGTGTATGACCACTCTTTGCCTCACGTATGACTAGTCACTAGTGACTTGAAAGGAGAATGATGCACACATATTCTCTACTAATGCTTAACAAACTCAAGGCCCCTACTCACGACTCTACTTGACTATACTTTTGCCTCACTTGTAGGCCCCCTGTATTTTTTATTTATATTTTATTTATCTTTATTTATCTTAAAAACATGATTATATAAATTTATATAAAACTATATAATTAACCAAATATATATATTAACTAATTAAATAATGATTTTTATGATTTAATATAAATATAAATATATTTATTATGAATTAAAATTTAAATTATATTATTACTTAATTATTAACTCATAATAATAAAGACATCATACACCAAGTCATGTGAGAAGATGTGAAGCATATAGAGGAGGCACACAAAGAACTAATACATAAGTCATATCAAAGGAAAAAGAGCTTATATGAAAGTTTACATGACAAAGAATACCAAGTTATCAACCAAATGATGCTTTACAACCTGCCTATGATGGACAAGAGCATCAAGAGGTTCAATGGTCATTCATACATGATCCCACATGTACAATGGACCATTTGACATCTTGGACAGTGGGAGAGAGGGCCTATTGGCTCAACCTACCATTGAGATATTAGCCAAATCAATCAACCTTTCACATTTCAATGCTAAAGCCCTATATTGGTAGTGAGAAATATGTCTAGAGAAGGCATCCTCAAGGCATACCATTACACACCCAGTGCAAATATCAAGTTGAGATAGTTTTGAACTTAAAGGGAGACACCACTACTACCTCGTCAATTGGCACCTCTACTACCTCTAAGATCAAGGAGGGATAGATGCAGACAACTCAAGGTGACTCAGCACCTCTACTACCTTAGCAATCGGCAAGAGATACCAAAGAGCAAAAGCACAACATGGCGCTAATCTCTATGGTGGGTCTCATGAAAAACTACCTCAACATTCAAGTTCATACAAGGACAATGAAATCATTAATTAGGCAGTGGGTCGTGAGATTGCAGTGCACACTTAAAGGGTGTGCAGTTCCACATGCATGTAGGCACAAGAGATGCATTGTGACATTACCTAAGCTAAGGTGAGGGTACTAGACAAGGCATGTTGCAGGGCATGCCCTACCTACCTATGGAAAGGTCTTAATGAGGGGAGACGTGTGCTCACATAAGTTCAAGACATGTGTGATTTCCAAACATGGTACACACCGAGTTACTATTAAGCATGGTACATGGATGGCACAGGTTATAAAGACATAAGGTACACACTGCGGCACAACACAAGGTGTAATTTTCAGTACGTAATGAGAAACAACTGCACCCACAAAGAGATGTGTACATTTGGTGGGGGACTATAATGGCATATTAAAGGGTGTCCATAACTATGATCAAAGAGTGTGAAACTCATTCCCTATTAGAGGGGTACATCCTCAAGTGAAGGGAAAGGTTCCCCCTAGTGTATACTCTACAAGACATGAAAATAACTCTTTATATCCCTAATGCAATCATACCCTTGTGACACTACTAGATGTTGGTTTAGCAAGGTTGCAGCCGACCCAAGGTAGAAAAAAAGGTAGGCTTATCAGACCCCCGTGACAACTAGGCCCAACACTAGGAAGGTTATTCCTTCCCCATAGAGTAAGAAAACGAGTTCGGAGAACTAATATGTACAGATACATGGTGAAACATTCAAGCCCGTATCTTGAGAGATGCCGCCAGCCTTCCCGACAGCTGCTCGGCGTCCCGCCGGCATGCCCTTCTTCCTCTGCTTGGTGAGGATCAGCTTCTCGTAGACGCACCAGGGGAAGCTGAGAAAGTGCGGCCGGTCCAAGCCCTCGTTGTAGCAACCCCAGTAGTCTTGGTGATAGGTCACGTGGTACCAAGCTGATGCCTTGGCCAGTGAGGTGTCGTCCGTCTCGTCTTCAGGAGCACTGCCACACTGGTTGAACCACCCTCTCACCTCCTTCTTCAGCGACCTCACGACCAGACGGACTGCCTCTCCATCCTCATACTTGTCGAAGGTCTTGGACGCACTCATCACTACCCCAGAGAGGATCTCTGCCTCGGTCTTTATCTCGTAGTAGTCCATGAGATTGCCCAGCTTGAAGTCGTACTCCCCCTTGAAGAAGGAGGCGTCCTCGAGATGATCTCTAAAGCCGTTGACCTCCATGTCCCGGTCATATGATAGCATAGCGTCCATCCTGGTGAACTTCTTTGGCCGTGCTGAGGGATCATGGTCTCTGACCGCCCTGAAGAGCTTCCCGATCACACGCTTTGACTCGTAGGTGACCTTGTCGAGCTTCTGCATGAAGTCCGGGTATTCCCTCACCACCAGGTGTGGGGGAATCTCTGCTGGCACACCCGTCTTGGGAAAGTCAACGGCAATTGAGAACAGCTTTGCCAACTCTAGGCACACTTCGCTTTCAGCCATTCTCGGCTCCCTGTCCGCGAAGACCGTGTGGGCATTTGAGATGACCCCCAGGCTATTATTGACAATGTAATTCGCGAAGTATTCTTCCACATCCTGAACAGAAGATGGCACAAAAGTAAACTCTCTTTTGGCCGACCCAAGATTCATTGTACAACTCCACAACTGATGCTGCAAGTCAACGCACGAAAACAAATGCCAGAAACGATGAGAGACGGTACCTCAATCATAACATCACGATTCAGGGTGGCCTGCGGAACCGGTGTGTAATCCATGGGTGGAACCTGCCGAGGGGGGGTGAGCTCGGGATCCCAGCTCACGAAATAGACATCTCCGTCCAGATCACTACCAGAGCACTCATTTGGATGAGGCCTACGATAACACAGTGGTCGACGGATTTCAAAGAAATTACATAAAACAGAAACGAGGGATGAATTAAAAAAAGGAATGTCAAAATGATCCATATATATATATGACCTCTCTCCTTTCTGAGGGAACACGACGCAGTCGACCATGTGGTGCAGGGCTGGGACATCGACGGCGAGCAGGGTGCGGAGGTCGCCGGGGTGAAGGCAGGGGTTCTTGGAGACTATCACCTCCCCAGTGACAACGGCCAAACTGGAGCTGTCGCCACTTCTGGAGCTCTCACTGAACATCGCCAGGCCACCATTCTGGAGCTGCCTGTCGCTGTGACAAGAAACTTGGACAAAAACCTCGCCGTACTCCAGGGTGCGGGTTTCGTCTAAGCAGCCCATCATGGATCTCCCCATAGGGATGAAGATTCTGCTTCTTGTCCTCAGCTCAAGAAGCCTGGATGCTCTAAATGTCCAGAGCATCATGGATAGGAAGGGCTCCTCGCCCGGGCTGTACCCACAGAGGAGCATCTCCTTGAGGATGCCCACCATCTCCCCGTGATTTATGGTGTTGAGAAACTCCAGGGCCTTCACTGGATCAGTCAGCATTTTGTCCAGCTGCGCCACAAGCTCCTCCTGCTTCCTCCCAAAGACCTGGTCATTAATGCCAAGGGTCGACAGGAGGGTGATCAGCTGGCGGTTGAGATAGCAGGCCTGAGGCTTGCTGTAGGCCAAGACATCCAGCTTCGTGTTGTTCGAGTCAAACTTGGACATGCTCTTCCGCAGGGACAGCTTCACCCTCGAGGTTGGGTCCATGGCGACGACGCCCTTGAATCCACCATACCTGATCTGGAAGGCTGATGACGTCGTGATCCTCTGGTCGCACTTCACGGCGACCTCCTTGGCGAATGTGGCCGATATCTTTCCGATCCCATCGGAGAACAGATAACCTCCGGCATTCTCCACATCAGGGATCATCTCGACCTCGTGCCTACTGACGACGAGGGTCTCGGTCGATGAGCCAAAAGATTGGCCAAGCCTGGCAGCATACTTAGCGACGTTCCTGATGTGGCTGAAGTTGCCCATCGATCTCCTAATGTCGGCAGCACAGAGTCCAGGCCTGGAGGCAAACATCCACACAGAACTATCCTTCAACTGACTGGCAGAGAAGACCAGAAAGTCAAACCTCTTCCCCCCGATAGTTATGCCGTTCCTCAGTGTGGACAGAATCCTCCTGTAGACATCTGTGTGCCTGTTGGCCGATTCGGAGATCACGCGAGGCAATAAATCAACGGACCGCATCCTCTCTCCATCCTCGTCAACAAAGGAAACCCGCATGAAGTTTCCAGGTCATCCTTATATTGGCGGATGACCCGGTTGGAAACGTTGATCTTTGGCCCGTAGAAGTAAACCTTCGAAGGGGTGATGTGATCCCGGTGGACGTAGACCAATCCGGGCAGCAGCGAAATCCTGCCCGATGTCATCTCATGCTTTGACTTCAAAAGCTTCTCATACTGCTCAGACAGGAACAGTGCAGGAGTAAACCAGCAGGTCTTTGAATGAGAGAGACGTTCCAGGGCATACTCGATGTAGCAGCGAGGGACGAGGTCGGGGTTCAGCAGCCCGAAGAACTCGTCGTCGAGCGTCGGCCCTGAGAGCGTCCCGTTCTGAACCATGTGGTTCACTTTGAAGAGAAATCCGTACGTCACCGTAAGTCCGGGTCTGGGTTGAACGATCGGGACGAGGTCCAGGCCGTGAGAGTAGGAGCAACCGAACTCCAGCTGTAGATCAGAGTCGAGCTCCTTGAAGTAGGCGAAGATCTGAGAGATATCAGGAAGACTGCAGTCGTAGGGGAGCTCCAGACAGAAGGCAGAGGATTGACCAATACTGCAGGACGGCGTGAAATCCGTCGCCCTTATCCAGCGATCATCATCAGGATCCTTGAAATAGTTGTACCGACGGTCTTCGTAAGTGGTCCTAGAGCTATTCTGCGGCAGCACGTATATCCGAGGTGCAGCCACAAGCTTCAGCAGAGAAAAGCCACCTTTAGCAGCGAGCGAGAGAGAGAGAGAGAGAGAGAGAGAGAGAGAGAGAGAGAGAGAGAGAGAGAGAGAGGGGAGGGGGGGCAAACCTGGAGCATCAGGAGGTCTTTACGCTGCTCTCGGGAGTGGTGGAGCCGGATTTCCCAGATGCTTTCGAAAGAGCACTCGAGCTTGTAGTCGCGTCCCTCCACGAGAGGAAGAAGGCGATGTTGCTCATATTTCAGCTGAAATTGAATCTGACGACTGAGAAGGCGAGGAGCACGGACAGTCGATCGGTGGAGAGCAGGCAGCCGAGGTGGAGAGTGCTACCATGGCACTCGAACATGGGCTCCCTCGGCCTTGGCACGACGTCCCGCTCCTGGCCTTGACCAGGATGATCTCGGAGAACCGCCGCTCTGTGAACTGAACAACAGCGTAGGCTCTCGATTTCCAGTCGATATTCTTGGGGAACCGGAACTTGAGGGCGAAGACGGTCCCGACCCAAGTGTGGCCCTCCAGAAATTCCGTCACCTCGCCGGCGCCGACGCCCAGAGGGAATCCCCAGTCGCGAAGTGTCCTGCCTCCCATCTTCTCGATCCCTAGTATGTCCAACCAAAGCTGCATCAATCAGCGGACGAAGGAGATGACCATCGACAGAAGATGAGGATTCGGATGCAATCGCCGAGCCAAGTACAGACGCTGCTAAAAGAAAAGGAGTACATACCAGAAGGGAGGGAACCACCGGCTGCGAGGAAGAACAGAGGCGACGGTCGGTCGGTCGGAGCGGGAAGGGCGATCCGGCGCGGAGCCCGCCTCAACTGGGGCGATGAGGAGGGGTGGTTCGGGGGGTGGAAGACGAAGGAGCGAGCTTTTCACAGACGGCCCTCCCTGACAAAAGTAGTGACTTTAGATACAAGGCAATAGAAGGACAATGTGAAATTATAACTGATAAAATTAGTTCACCCGTGATAGCCTAGTGTCCTCTAAAGCAGGAAAAGGGACACCTCCCACCAGGCCAGGTCCTAGTGAGCTCCCACCGGGCCTGGTTTGGTATTTTTACAAAAGCCATAACTACATTGAGACAGAAAAAAAGTCAAGGAGACTACACATTGTTTGTTACACCCTCATATTCAAGAGGAGTTACAACGCTATAAATATATGTTGATGCTATAATTTAAGAAAAATAATAGTTAAGTCAATGTCTCAAGAAGTTTGAAATGAAAATATTTAGAAGTTTGAAATCGAAGTAACCCACTCAATAAGAGTAATTTTTATCTCCCAACAAAAATATATTATGTATGTTTGGAAAGAAACATACAAAACTACTTATAAACTAGCAAATACACATATATCCAAATCTCAAACTTGATAGAGCAAAGAACTATGTTGTTGTAGATAGAGGGATGTATCAATAATTGGTCAGAAAATTGATTTATGTATCTCAAATATGATATGATATAACGTATGCAATTAGCATACCTAATCAATTCACAACCTAAAGCAAGTTTATTACTAGGGAAATAAATTTTATTCAAATAGAATGGAGTATGTTGGTACCTGAGGTATTATGGAAGAAATATAGTAGACAAGAGTCTATTTTATAATATCATACCTTTCTTGGTGGATATCTCATAATATGGCAAAACAAGAATTAAAGTGTGGTAGCAAGGTTATGCACAGAAATAGAATTATGAGCAATGCCTCAAGGTACATGAGAATTATTGAGACTAAAGTTAATATTAAAGACTTGAAGATCGAGAGGGTGTTATGATGAGACCTTACAGTGAAAACGAGTTAATAATCAACATTTCATACAATTAAAGTCAACGTGACTAAAATGAAGCACATTGAGATTGATCAACACTTTATCAAGGAGAAACTTGGTAGTTGAACTAATTTGCATGCCATATATGTCTACAAAAGATCAAATTTCATACATACTTTCTAAAGGCTTGAATTGTGCCTTATTTGGGCATGTTGCACATAAGCTTCGAATGTATGCTAAAGATTCACCAGCTTGAGGGTGGGTATTGAAATAAGTTTCAAAAATATATTTTCTTTTAATGTAATAGTTTCTTTATTATTTAAGAACAAACCAGACTGATTTGGTCTACCCATGTACTTGGGCCCAGCATAAATACCATACCCAGATGTTAATTAAGTAAAGTGCGTCTTGTTTTCCACCTTATCCTAGATTAGGCTTTTGTGGTTTCACCACCCATTATACAACCCTCAACAAACATAATAGTAGCCTTGGATTAGGAAAAATAATTACAACCACATCTCTCTGCAGATGCAAATAAAATTATGTGAAGTTTGAAATGAAACATAAAAGTCTAAACATATAGAGTTGTAGTTGAATGAAAAGATAGACCTGCAAGTGGCTAGCAACGTTCTCTCTAGTTAGGCCAGGAACATTCAGTAATTCAAGTGCATAGGATAGTCGTGCATTACTGTTTAAAATATAATTTTCAGTTTGTAAAGGTAGCTGAGATGATATTCTTACTGTCAATTCCAGGCTGATTAAGAGCATTCACAAACTGCTGATGAAGATCAACTGAAAAATATATGCATGGTTTTTTTGACATAGAAGGCATCTTCTTCAGCATCCCTTTTCTTCTTATGGGCTTTCCCACTGATATCAATTGCATCGTTAACTGATGAAGTGTAGTCAACATCATCACTCCCTCATTTGAGCTTGTCAGATTCTTCCACACTATCTGATTGGTCATGGTCCTTATTCTTATTCCACCTTTTCCTAATGACATGTTACCATATCTGACACCTTTCATTACCATAGAGGGTCTTGAATCAGCAGACATCACTATTATAAACAGAAATCCAGGTCACAGATAAGAAAATATGGTTAACACACTATGAAATAGTCCACTGAAAAACTATGATATAATACACAACAGATCACTCACTTATGACAGGAAGATCTATCTCCAGTCGAACGAGTTCAAGGAGTTTAAATCCATCCATGTCAGGCACGTGGACATCACTTATAACCAGATCAATGTCCCTTTCTCTCCTGAAGGTGAGACAGTTCACTCACTGCCCAAGAGCAAGTAGTAACTACAGTCAATTAGATAAAAAATAAAGGATCGGGCCTCTACAAATAATATAGATAGCACACGTTAGGAAATTTTACCCATGTTTACATTCATTTTCAGTCGATAAAATAAAAATTTATGTGGTATGTAGGTGATCACAAGTCCACTGAAAATTGTGAATGATCAATGCCAATGAAGTTCAGCAGTAGAGCTCGTGTATTTGCAGGTCCATGAAAGAGGTTAATCAGTAAGTTGTTTGCAGCTGTTAAAACAAAAAATGAGTACCCAAGTAATCTACAAGAATTTTCGTTCATACAGTGTAGCTACGTGACATCATTGACAAACACGAAATCAAAAGCAAAAGAAAGTATAATGTCCAAAGGACTACTTTACTTGCGATGTGTTCAAGACTCCATTCTCCCCTGAAAACCAGTTCTAAGGAATGCCAGAATTGACTATTCCCACCCATGCAAATTGGAGTATTTATTATCAAATATTTAAGGCTGTTAACATCCGCAGAAAGAAATACATAATACTGAACTAATAAAAAAAATAAAAAAAATAGTTTTCATGAATTCAAGAACTCGACTCTCTTCAAACAGATAGGAAAAAATATTAAGCTTATAATTCGTCATGAGTACAAACTATCGACCTAGTCCTCACTTGCAAATCTATCTCTTAAGCATCAACTTCTGAAATGTTTTCCAGAGATGAAGAAGCCAACTCTCGAGTATTTTAGGAAATTTATTCATAAAGAAGCCATGCCAATTGGTTCGATTGCTAAGTACGAGGTTAAAAACAAGCCCTCACGTACAAGCTAAGTATGATCATCAACATACATTTCATGTGCATTGCATTATTTACTTGATGTGTGGGGCCCACTTGGGAACATTCATGTGACAAAACAAAGAATCACCGCATCTTTTAGAGCCCACTGTCCATGATGAAGGATGGCGAGAAACAGCTGATGCTGATAAAGAATGACGAGAAACAGGGGACACAGGCATCCATGTAAAACTAGAAAAGAGTTAAAATTGGAAAGTAGCAGGCATAGAATCGCAATACAATCAATGCTTTTCTTAATTCATCGATATCTGTGTTGGAGTAAGCACCTTCGAGCATATGCAATCCATAAAGAGAAGACTCTCAATGGCAAATCAATCAAGTAACGATGTTTATGTTCGTGACTTTTTTTCATGTAGAGCACATTTTCAAATCAAACTAGTTCCTTGTACAGCACATTTTCAAACTGACAGATTGGACACTCGGTGATCATGGCTCATCTTTTCATGAGAAACCTTATGACAGCAATACAAGGTTGGGACCGTTCAATGAAAGAGCTGACAATTTGATGATTTTTTCTAAATGCCTGCCTGCCCGGCATTAACTTTCCAAAAGATGGTGACAAGAGATTGGCCGGTGTAACTTGCCAGATAAGAGTATTGCCAAAAAATTCATGAGCCCAAATGAGGACAGAATACTCAATTATCGACAGACCAGCGTTTAGTTCAGGCGACTAGGGCTCAAATTCTTCTCATACCACTTGAAAACGTATACAAGGAAAAGAATATGCCAAATCCCTCATGAAAGAACGAACAACATTTCTTCTGTCAGTTGAAATCAATTTAAAAGGACACGCCTGTAGAATCTCTTACAAAGAAATATTAAACAAGGAAAGAAAACAAACAAAGACATTCATGCACTACAAGCCATACAAAAACATCAAATCCTGATCCGTCTCAAAATTCCCAACATATATATACCAAATGAGCCAATCTCTCTCTTATAAGGACCAAAACGTTGCACAGTCATCGAAGGCACGTCGCTGTAACAAAGAGACAGTTAAAGAAGAACACACCGTTGTAGTCGAACTTATGAAACATCGGTTCATCCACGAATAGAAGAACCCTGAGCTCCGCAGCGAGCCTCTCCGGCACCTCTTCATCCGCCTTGGAGGTCAGCCCGAAGGCACTTCCCACGTAGAACCCCCGAGAGCTGAGTCCTTCCGATCTGCTCGACCTTCCTTGTCATCCCGGCCAGATCCACCTATTCCTCGGACATAATCTCGGTGGAGGGCATAATCAATTTCGCCGTCGCTGCCCCCGCCCGGAGCCAGCTTTTCTTCACGCTTCTCGTCGTCTCCTTCTCGCCTTCACTGTCTCCGCCTGGAACAGTTGGGAATGACGTGGCGGCGGCGAGATCCGGTACTGTGAGATGATTTCGGTCTCTGAAATCGCGACTGTGTACGGGATTTGCGAAGGATCTCGGTGACAGACCGGCGGCGACATGTTTCCTTCCTCTGTATCCGTCCTTGAAGCAAAAGTGAGGGGCGTCCACCCCTTCAGAAACCGACAGAGATCCCTTCGAGCCCGGGCCAGCATATCGGAAAATCCTGTCAGATGGGTTGGCAATATCGACATTTATCTTCGAGTTCTAACAACTACACGGGCAGCTTAACTAGGATACCGGGCCCGATCAATCGATTTAATGGGCTATTATGGGCTTCAGAGGAGCCGTACGGGTTAAGACCAGAGAAGGCCCAGAACCGATCAGGCCCATTAATCCCCGTAGGCAGAACGTACACGTAAATGTTTAATCCATGGAAAAAAATCAAACACCAAAAGTAACAATATATATATATATATATTGAGAGAGAGAGAGAGAGAGAGAGAGAGAGGAGGGGGGGCCGTGTCAAGAATATAAGCCCTCATCTAAAATTAGAAAGATATGAACATCATCATCACACACTACAGATTACAAACAGAGAGAGAGAGGTGGAAGCCAGCGGCCTATACAAACCAGACAAGCACAGATTTAGCAAATAGAACCTGCAGAAGGTTAGCCAGCTCCAAACATAAGTCAGGTCAGATGCAGACCGATCTCCTCCGGTGGTGAACGCAGGATGCCCGGGTGCAGGTAAAATTTCCCTAAAAATCAAATCCTCCTTTTTCTTTCTTTCTTTTTTTTTTTTCGAAGGGGAAGAATGCCCCGCCATAGCCAGCCTCATTGGCTCCGGGTAAGCTATTGGAGGTTGCGCACCAACCCAGCGCGAGGCAGAGTCCTGCGCATGTAATAGAATCATATGGGGGATGGATAGAAGTCAGAGGGTGATTGATGTCAACAGAGTGATGATGAGTCATTGGGTAGGACGTGCGCACCTCCCGGGAAGCATCTGAGGGCTATTTATGGGGCCCTTGGAGCTCCCGAGCTTCTTGGCCCTGCTCTCGTGCACCTTGTCCACTCTCATGGCGGCCACCTCCTTCTCCATGGCGGCCACCTCCCTCCTCATCTTCTTCGCCTCAATCTCCATGGCCTTGGTTAGTGTGTCAACCTTCTTCGCCAACATCTGGGAGACGTGAAGCTGCTTGAGTGTGTTGTTCAAATACTGAAGCAAAGGAGTAAATAAGGGCATCTACCTCAATGGCATCGTCCTTGTCTTTCAAACTTTGATCCTTTTCATGGATTCCCTTCCTCAGATTCACGACCTCCTTCTGCAGCATGTCGTATAATAGACCCGACACCATGTCCGATTCTGGGTTAGAGAAATCAGCGGGCTTCTCCTGAGGATTCTCTTTCCAACTGCTCGGGGGCTCAGGGCCTCCGGCAGTATCAGAGGATTTGTTCAGGGGAAAGTTTAGGCTCGGCCCATTCACAAGGGATTTGCTCCTCTCCAGTGATCTTGACCCACCATCAAACGACTTGGAAGTCCCCTTTGCGTGCTTCAGAACCGTGCTGGCGCCGAAGGAGAAAGAGGATCTCGGCTGAGAAGGTGTTCTCTTGGATAAAAATCCGTTTGGAGAAACCTTGGCGACGTTTTCGGGCCCCCCAAGGGACTGGCGTCTTAAAGGGCCGTTGCTGATGCTCCTACCCTCCACAGGAAGCCGGCTGCCGCCACTGGAAGACGTCCTCAAGCTTTCTTCCAGAACTTTCAAGCGTAACTGGTACTTGTCCTGAAAGCAAGCCAAGCCGACAATTCTCATAGAACATCATGTGAAGAATCACCCAGTGAAAAAAAAACGGGGTCAAAATCAATAACAAAGCATTGGGCTTACTTTTAGCAGTGCCTCGGACCTTGCAGTGCGTTCGGCAACTGCGAGCTTATCACGAAGCTGCTGCATTTCGCCCTGAAGAAAAGTACGATGGATGCCATGTCAGCAGCGTGGGGGTATCAAGAACCAATGAATATGAGGATGACCATCCATAAAATTCATTCAGAGCAAGGAAGAAAAAATGGGGCGCTGAATTCATGCCTGCATGAACCGCCGATCTTCAAGCCACTGCCTTACGGGCATGACTTTGTCGTTGGCATCCTTCCATTCGTTAGCCACCACAACTGCAACCCTGTTTGCGGTAACCTTAGCCCGCGACAATTCCCGATCAAGAGTTTTCATCTCGTCCTATGAAAAATAAAAAAAAGGTAGAAAATACAAGAAAACATTTTAGGCGTGCTGTTGATGCCATGAACTCAAAATATGGTCTGAGAAGATATTTTTGACAGATAATGATCATACGTTCATCTCCTGAACTTTGCGCTGGTAATCCCGCACAGCATTTGCAGCTGCACCACCCGCAAGTACAGCCTCTTCTAACTCTCGTACAGTCTGGCTAAGTTTTTCAACTTCGGACACCTTTTGGCGATGAAGTTTGTCCAATATCTTATTTTCCTCCTGATAGAAAAGTCAGCATAATCAAAAATGATAATTTTATCTTACAACATTGATATAAGAGGACTTGAAGGAAGATGCATATTACTTGGCAAATATCAATCTGCTTCATTAATTCCTGGTTCTTATTTTGAAGATCATCCACCATAGAGGCTTTTGCTAAAGCTATCTCCACAGTTCTTTCCGCTTCTAATAAAGCAGCTTCCTTTGATTTAGTAAGCCGATCTAGTGCTTTATTGTCATCTTGAAGCTTTGCAATCTGCAAGTTAATCAGGACTTAATCAAAGAAAAGAAATAGCCTGCTGACTACACAACTCAAACGCACCCAACGAATCGATACTTCTGAAATAGTTGCAAAAACAATAGGCTCACAGAAAGGGTGCAACACTGCAGAGGAAGATTAATGGTAACCAGACTATTAGAAAAAAGGGAGAGAGAGCTCTAAAAAGGCAGGCAATCACAAGGGATGAGTTCAAGAACTATAACGCACAGAGCTCAAATATCAGAAATCAATCAGTACTGAGTTATCTGATGGAGAAAAGAAAACACCTCCTGTCGGGCAAGCTTGAGATCCGCCTCAAGAGGAGCAAGGATGGCCTCAATGGGAGGCATATCATCATCCTTTTGTGCTGCATGAACTCTTCTGAGGGTAGCTTCTGCAGCAAACTGGGCAGCCATTGATGCCTTCTTCTCATCATTGATTCTCTTTATTTCAAGGTTCTGGAAAAAGAAAATTTGAGCATTGATCATATCCTTACTAGGGAAAAAAAATTGACACAGAAAAAGGAAATGAAACTGCGGAAAATCCGTTGGAAATTATGATCAGCAAGTTTCTTGGCGACTAGTCGGAAGGCCCTTTGTCCTATTCCGACGCATGGGATTTAGCAGTAAATTAAAAAAAAAAAAAATCCTCATAAAGTTCAAAGGCAACTGTTTTCAACAGGACAGGAGCTCCATCAGAGTCTCAGTTCTGATGGTCTCCTTAAAAAAACAATTAAGATTTGTTCAAAAAGTTTATCAATTCCACCATCAAACAGATGCATTGTGCAAGAACGACGAATTGAAAAGTATACCCAAAAAAAATAAATTAACACCAGTATGTTTATTAAACATGAAATGCAACGTGAATTGGCTCAATCTGTCCACCCATTTTTTCGCCACCGGAGACTAGGGTAAGCACGGGAATGCCAAAGAGCCTGTCAAACAGTGGTCGAGTCATAGGGTCTATCTAGTAGATATAGTGTATCAACACATGGAATAACACTTTTTGGCTCCCTGGTTAGGTGATATAAATCATAGTCCTGAAGGGATATGATGGAGGAACAATCCCATGCTTACCCTTTCACCCAGATATGTCTGAACTAACATGCATGCCGCCATAAAATCGTAAATTTCTCCTCAACAATCAAACATGAATTGACAAGCCATTTAGTAGGATTAAATTTCAGCACGTGCCAAAACCTATCAGAGTTCATTAAACTGAATTAAAAACAAACTAGCGATAAAGAAATAATTAGCCATTGATAATACGACATATGGAATCCCGTTCAGACAAATTAAAGAGATGTTACAAAAAATCTCAGATGTCATAATTATATTTTATTCCTTACGTTTCATTTTCCCGGGTAATCACATAACAACGAGCAATAACAATGCCAACAACAATCTGCAAACATGCTCACTGAGAGAATATCCTAGGTTTGTCTTAAAAATTTTAAAATAGTAAATAGGTCACCCTAGATGAAACCCAATTAAGGAACATACATTCACCAAAAATGCCAGTTTGAGCTTAATCATGATGCCACAATTGTTATCGAAGAGATGATGTGATTTTTTTAATGAAGCAACTAAGTTTGAAATGGCATGCATGGAGTTCGCAAGGCAAAAATATGCCCACTAATCCGGAAAGATAAAGAGAGAAAAAAGAGGGCATTGTTCTTTATAATACCTTGCTTTCGAGAAGAGATTCAGTTAACTTGAGCTTCTCGTCCAATATTGTTAATTCCTCTGTGACCTGGGAATTACATTGCAGCATTAATGTAATAAAATAATCAGTCTATCCATGGAAAATAAGAGTACTTTCACGCATAAGGGAAGAAGATATTTCGTTAAAAGACGTACTACATTGTTGCAGAAAGACATTAATCACGTGAAAATGATACATACAAGCGACTTTGATTTTTGTTACTGTCGGTAACGATAGAATCGACCAAGACAATAAACCCAGAGCGACTGCACAGTGACCTTGGCAAACAACGACCAGATTAAGAACTTAAAGATCGTGGAAGTAAACGTCATCCATACACAGCACATGAGAATAAACCGTTCTCATCGAGAAATAACATAGGCAGGAGCTCGAGGAAAAGCAGAAAAACTGGGGCCCAAGCGCAAGCTACACGGGACTTACTGGGTGGGGCTTTTTAGCGTAATTGGAAGGATAACTTGAGGGACAGAAAACTAAGATTAAGATGAGCACCAAAAATGCACACACAGCGGGAAATAACTAGATTCAAAAGTAAAGATTACAAAGTCTAATGCACTACGGAGTTGCTCTTTTCCACCTTCCAAATACGATATCAGTCGAAAATGAAAGTGCACCGCGTGAGAAATACCTCTTCAACTGCCTTCTCCCTGGCACGCTCCGACAACCTCAACGCCTTGATTTCCGCCTGAGCCTCGCACAATTCCCTGTCCTTGTCTGGAATTGTCAAAGAGAAACATCAGTATTCGTGCGAGAGCACGCCGATGACTTCAAGAAAAAAGGAACGCCGACGGATCCGAATTACAATCCCACCTCTAACTTCGTTCTCGAGACGGCTGAGCTCGACTCTGACGGGATCCGATCCGTGCAGTAAGTTTATGAGGTCATCCATCTCTGAGGTCGGCTTCATCGAGGCTCTTCTCCTCGAGCCCCCCACCTTCGCTCCCTCCCCCTTAAACGACCCCGACACTGTCAGGTGCGCAGCCTGCTCACCTCCCCCAGGCGCCGGAAGCCTCACATTTCTACCGGCTGAACCAGTGTCGTCCGGCAATCCGCCCCCGCCGTCCCAGCCGCGTCGATCGCCCATCCCCAGATCCAGCTCCCTCACATCCAAAAAACGGCAACCGAAGGTAAAAACGAAGCAAAATCAAAACCCTAGGTGCCCCCTCTGGTTCAACGCGGGAGCCCCGACCTAGGTTTCTCTAGGAACTCTACCACTTCGATTTGAGGACAATCGAGAAAGAAATCCCAATTCTCCTTCCCCTCCGAACCCACATTCCTGGCGGCGTTCTCCACCGCACTCCCTCCCTCTCTCAGCCCCCCTCCCCTCTCTCTCTCTCTCTCTCTCTCTTTCTCTCTCTACATCCGCTCGCACGCTAAAAGAGGTCGTCGTGTACAGTACAGCGGACTGTAAAAGGGCGGTATTTTATATTATAATATTTAAACGTCGAGATTTAAAAACCCCTCCAAAATTTTCAAGGAAAGAATAATCACGCGACGATGAATCTCTCTCTCTACAGTTGCCTCCCGCCGTCCTCTCTCCGGCGACCACGCTTGCCCTCGACGGCAGCGACCGGGGGGGCACCGGACGACGGCATCAAGAAGCCATATCTCTCGGAAGGTTGAAGAAAAAGGAAACCCTTTCAACTGGTGGGCCCACAGGGGTGGCCCAGCTTTCCATGGATGGCCCCAAGCATCCCTCCGCGGGGCCCACCATTTTACTGTGACAATGATACTGGTTACTGCACCGCAACTGCCGTGGAAAGGTAGCCCCCGACATGTGGCCTGGCCTGCGGTATTTAATAAACTGCGGAGGAGGAGACCGAGTGGGTCCCCTCGGACCACTCTAAGTCTGCGCCTAGGCCCGGTCCTCAAGTGTGCTATGACCCCGTCAACAGGTATCCATTAAAGAGTTCGTCATTTTTAGAAAATTATGAATATATAAGGCAACATTTGGCCGTAATGTGCGAGGCTTAAGGTTCCTAATAAAGAATGATCGGAAAATAATGCCCCCAAGTCAACGGAGAATATTTTGGGGATATGACTGAGGTCAGTGGTAGTCAACTCAAGAAGCATGGAAGTGGAGCAAGGGGGCGGCTCGAACGCCCCGTACGCACGTGGCTCGTTGTCTGAACGCCCTTGAAGGACGCTTGCAGCGTCTGCATGGCCGATGGTCGCGTTAATTCGGATCATCGCCGATCCACTGACACGTGGCTGACAAGCTTCCCACCGTCAGATGGACCCGAACGCGTGATTGGCGCCAGTAGTCATCATAACGGTCAGATGATGTTCTCGGTCAACACCTTCAGAATTAGTGAGGTCACCGCATTTCATGGGTCGGCTTCAACGTGGAAGCAGCGTATAGATGGCCCAGCAGCGGTGACGAGAATCATCTTCTGTGCACCTCGGCTTTCGCTAATCCATGCGCGTCTTTCCCGGGGAAGATGCCTTCCGAGGAAAAGGAGGCGGGGCAGTGGGTCCCACCTCAATGCCACACCAAGTACCGTTTCGGGCCATATTCATGAGCTCGGGGGGCGGGGGGGGGCGCATCCTTTGGTCAGGGGGGTCTAACCCCCGGGTACATAATGAGTCAAAGCAATCACAGCTGTTTCGTCAGACTCGAAAAATCAACACTAATATAGTACTTCAGTAAAATATTGGAAAAATCTTTGGAACCATATTTAGATAGTGAGTCAAAAGTAGACGTGATCTACAGAAAGATTCTAGAGTTCCAAATAAGAGAGACAGATAGGGATAGAGAGACAGAGACAGAGACAGAGAGAGAAGATTTGGGGAGGAAGCAGTGTCAAAGGTCTACTGAATAAAGTCAATAATTTAGGGGCCTCTTGCGTATGCAGTTGGTGATCGTCCATATGAAGCACAGTGTCTGATTCATGTGCAAGGTAAGGAAGAGAGATAAATTCCCAATAATATATAACAAAGATTAGATTTTTTATCCCGTAGTTGATGAATCTCTCGTTTAAGCCATGGAATGAGAAAAAGCCCTCCCCTTAAAGCGTTTTGTAGTTGGTTGCATCTGTCCGCCTTTATCCAGCTTCTACTCTACTCTCTTCTCCTTCCTCTAACCACACGCCATCCCGAGTGGGATGAGGTTGGCTGCTCCCGATCCGCCGCCCTCGCGAAGCACGCGCAGAGGCTCAAAGTAGGCAGAGTAAAACAACCCCGCCGCCGACGCCAGCAAGCGGAGGGGGAGGGGTTGGGAGGGCGCCGCTCCTCGGAAAGCGAGAGCGCGGCGGCGCTCTTGCAGGCCATGCCCCGCCGCCGCGGAGCGCCACTGCACGACGGTGGATCGAGTAATCATTACGAAACCGCCTTTTCAGGCCTTAGCTTTCTTTCACGTGGGCACATGGCGAGGCTGCTGATCAAGTGACCCACTAATGAACTAATAGAACGCCGAGAAAAACTAAGGTAATCTGACATGTCAGAAATATTAATACGAGATGAAGGTCTCTACACTTTATTAATTATTGTTGTTTAGCAGCAACATGATCCAGCTATCCAACACATGTAACATAAGAGAATGCCTGATTAATATAAGTGCCTTCACTTTGGCGTTAGACTAATCAGATTATCCAGACTTAATGTGCCTTTAAATATTTTACAGTTATTGCCCATATAAATAATAAGGCGCAGATGAACGCAGGCCGTCAATGATTAATCCACTAGATGCCACAGGTTTTGAACAGGGGTAGGAATTTGATAACAAGTCATATGATTATTCTACTAACGAACACGAAGATCTTCACCAAGCTTGAAGACACGAAGAACGAGACTATCTGGTAGAGATTGCGGAGGGTCAGGGAGGTGACATTAACCATTATCTACTAGAGAAACTGAACATCAGAGAATCACAGGTGCAAAACGACATGGGAAAGGCCCAAGGGACTGATAAAGGTCAATAAACTGCGATTATTTACCAGAAAAACTGGGGGAGTTACGATCACCCTCCCCATCTGCCTTGGAAAATGATGCTATGGAGGTTTGATCAAAGGAACTCTCCCAGTTCTTCCCATCAAAATGCCTGATCTCAACATGAGAGAGTGTGCCAGGGTCAACACACCGGAAGGTCACCGCAACGCCATCTGGATTTGAGCGGGGAATGTAGAAGGATGTTATGCCGCAGACTCTGCAGAAGGTGTGCTTCGCCGTGTGGGATCCAAAGGTGTAGGTGGTGATGAACCGCTCCGAGTCTCCCATTAGCTTGAATTTACTAGAAGGGACAATGAAGTGGGTGTTGCCTCTCATGGCGCAGTCGGAGCAATTGCAGTCCCAAGCGACAACACTTTGTGATGCATCGACTGTCCATCTGACTCGCCCACAGTGGCATCCTCCATGGTGGGTAACTGTCTCTGAGCTCATTCTGTGTGGAAAAAATAGATTAAAATAGTTAATTATATGGTTTCAGTAGGAAAAAAAAAAAAGAAGAGAGAACACGGAAATAGTTTTCAGAAGGGGGAAAACATTCCAATTTTGATGCCTGTGAAGATGGACACAAATTTTAGGATCTCTAAATGGGACTTATGTGGACAAGTCTCATCCCTGTTGGAGAGAGAGGGATTCGGATTGGGTGGCAGAAATAAGAAATCTTACGAATTATCCCACCTGCCATTCCATCTGAGTTAAAACATCCCTGTTGGAGAGAGAGGGATTCGGATAGGGTGGCAGCAATAAGAAATCTTATGAATGATCCCACATGTCATTCCATCTGAGTTAAAAAAGGGTTTTGTGTTTCCATCCTTGGAATTCTCCAGGGGGAAGATCCGTTGTTTCAGAAACTATGAGAGTATGGTACAGAGTAGGCTCATGAACTGATTTGCCATGATAATCGCATCCGATAAGTTCCCTTTCCGTTTAGAGCTCATGGAAAAAATGCGTATATTCTGCGGAGAACTTGTAGATCAGCCTTGTCCATTCACATTCCTAATAATTACTCAAATACAGATTGAGAGGGTTGCCGAATGAAGTGGCAGTCCGAGAGTACTTGCCCAGTAGTATAAAAATGTCATCTCCACTGGAATGGGTGCACTATATGAGTCTACAGAAAAACTTACTTGACAGGCAATCAAGTGATGGAAACTAGGCAGTGCGAAAGCTATACTATTCAGGACGGAAAATAAATTTAAATAGATTATCCACTGTTTCACCCAACAGCAGAAACTCATATCACCTCAATAACCTGCAAATAACCAGAGTGACAAAATATCTGAGTGTCTCGATTAAATGACCAATTGTGCGACTGGAATGAGAACCACCTCGAGGAGGACGAAACACACACCATCACCATTATGGAACGAACTCATAGCGCTATTATCATATTGCAATTAGCAATGATCGAAGCATGTTGAACATGCCCTGCCCATTAGAAGAGAGAACCAATGGCCTAGCGCTAAACTGGCATCTGGCCTGGCATGAGAAGAGAGGTTCTCAGAATTTTACACTAAAATTGGCCTAGAAAGCCAAAATGAGAGGAATCTGTACGATAATCGATGAAAAAGTAAGCATCTAAGCATCCTGACTGTGTGAGACAGAGGATCTATACCTGTCAATAATTCTCAAGAAAAAAGGCATGGATTTTTTTGCCGTATATATACGGTAATGTTGGAGTTCGAAGCCGTAGCGGGAAATAATACTCCTTTTTTTAAGGACAACATTGCTGGTGCTTATATCAGAACAGACAAATGAAGTCTCTTATTGGCGTAGTATCTTTATTTGTTCGTCCAAAAAAGTCCAGTTTAACCAAGAAGTCTGGAGCGAGGAAGCTAATCATTTTCGGAAGAAACAGTCAGTCCAGTTTCGATTGACGCAATAGAAACCAAAGCAATCGACGAGGCCGAAATAAAATTTCTAATATAATGGGCGAGGATCATGCAAACGGTTGCCCCGCCTCACTCAAGTCCCCTGCATAATTTAATACGTTGACCCGTCCGTTTCCTCTCCATGCTCGTCTTACATTCCGACCACAAATCGGCCAATCGGTAGATAGAGAGGGCAATGGTAGACAGATAAATCAGAGACACAAGCATCGATATGGAGTTCACAAATTTCATACGAATATATAAAAAGGGCGGAGGATGGAGGACAAGAGAAACCGCTTCACGGAAGAGGCTACCTCCAGGGAGAAGGTAACGAACAGCCACGGCCTCACCACGTACTGAGCATGGGCGGGAGGGACTCGATGCCGCCGAAGCCGGCAGTTGAGCGTCGGAATGCCGACGTACGGAGCGCAGCTCCTCGTGCCTCAAGGACGATCAGGATGTCCTCCCCCATCTTCCTCGCGTGCAACGCAAGCCTCTATGGGCAAACCCCTTCGGGCCCGGAAGCCCTGGAAATGGGCTCCGGGCCGGGCTTTTAAGCCCCTTCTCAGCACGCCTTAATTTTGATTCGTGAGCCTCGAAAAGTTAGTTAGGGCCGAGAGTAGTTTAATTTTGGGCAAAAATCTTGTGTCACAAAGCCCGTTAGTGAAAGTCTGGTCGGGCCAGAGTTGTTTGATTTTGGGTTTAATATTTAGGCCCGAAACTTATAAAGGAAAGGCCAGTAGAGCTCCAGGTTGAGCAAGGGAGAAATATTCAGCTTAGGGGTTTTTCTGCAAATTCTAGACCGTTTTCTCCCACCGATTTATCTCAGAGCGGTCATCAACGGCCTTGTTGCATCTCTTCCGCACGTCAGCGGTGCGGTTGAATCCCCGTCGGGGATCTCGCTCTCTGATTGCGGCTGTCTCCACCTTCTTTGCGCGGGGTTTGTCCAGTTGTCAGCTTCTGAACCTGTAGTTTTCGTGCCTTCGGCCTCCAGCCAGCCACCGACCCGCTGGGCAGGGCGAAAACCTAAAGCCAGGATCTGCGAAGACACGGCGGGATCATCTCTCGTCGACGACCGGTTCCTTTTGCTGGAGACCGACGGAGCCAAATTTTTCGTCGCGGAAGAGAAGGAATTAGCCTAAGTTCTCTCGCCAAGTTGCGGAAGGAATGGCGAAAACTCGAGGTCAACTTGACACCGATCTGCCCGTTTTTAATCTTTGTTCAGCCTGCTCCGATGTCTTCTGATTGTGGAGAGAGTTGTCAGGATTTTTTCTTAGAGGGACACCTTCCTCCAAATCAAGAAGGAGAGAAGATATAAAAGATCTCAGGAAATAAAAAATGATTGAAGGGGATGTGGCAAAACATGCTCCGGATACAGCTACAAATTCGTCACTGAAAGACAATTTTTAGTTTTTATTAATGTTTTCCGTTGATTTCTCCTAAAAAATTATCGTAGATCACCTGCTTCCACCGTCAGCCTCAAAATTCTAATTTTTCAAAGTCCTGATGTGTACTTAATTACCAGTGTCTGGGGCTAAACAGGATACATAAGCTAGTGGTAAAATTATGGTTCATAAAGTGTGTAGGGCTACATACCTTAAATTAGAAAGAGAGAATGTACAAGTGGTAACCAAAGAGAATGGTCCGAAAACCTCCAGAGTAGGACGGAAAGGTGCTAGTACCCCAACATTCCCACAGTAATGGAATCCTCTCATTCCTTCTTTCAAAAAATTTCCCCCATTGCTTTTTATCCAATCACTCGTCCTACTGGTAACTCGACCAGCTGAGGAGATTTCTTGCAAAAAGATACGCCTACTTCTTTCTGTCGATATAATCCAAAGTATTTCATGTCGGATAAGGAACCAAATCTTGTGTTCTTCTTTCTGTTGCCATAGCTAATCAGATTAATGTCGTTTTGCCATTGAAAACTTAATGTGTGATAAGTCATCTGCAAAGTCCCTTTGGAGAAATATCATCCAAGATTTAAGTTTCGTTATGATTCTCCATCAACCCCAAAAAAGATTACAAACAATAGAATGCTGTCCAGAAAAGTAGTTAGGTGATCACAAGGTGGAAGGTGACTCTGCTATATCCTTCCTGTCAGGCTCTGAACTTTTATTGCTCGACTTAGTATCTTGCGGCTTCATCAGCAAAAAAATAATAGGATGAATTGTGTGGAGAAAAATATTTTTTTCTTTCAACTCCACAGCCCTGTATCTCCCTCGGATCGGATTGCTGACATTCCTGGAATTAGACTCACAACATTGGTTTGCCGCTGGATGCCCCCGTACCTTAGATTTCTCCTCAAACTTGGACAACAACCTTCTCCCCTGGAAACATGATCAAAAGCTAGTGAAAAAACGGCCCTTGTCAGACAAAAGTTTAACTTTTCTTCGAGTATGGTTGTCAAAGGAGCAAAAACAATAAGGCAGAATAATATTTAAGCTCATCGTCAGACTCTTTAATGTTCATTTTCCCCATCTGAATGCGCTTATCCCGTGATTTCTCTCATGTTTATTTTTATGATGTGTATAAAAATAAGCTTTCTTATATTTTTGCACCTGTGGCAACCTGAAACATTGTGTAATATTTAAATCATATATTTAATATTTAAATATTGCATAATGTTTTATTGTTTTGTAGAATATTTTTGTACATTTTTCATGTGATTCCACATCAGAAATTTGAAAACCCATTTCAAGATATTTCTTTCTTTGCTTGAAGTTATGGGTTTATATCCTAAACATGAGCTTGTCTGTAGTATTTCTGTTTGACTACATCATGCAAAGGCCATTCTCCTCTCACATTGATGCCCACCTGAGGTCTCTTAAATATTTTATCTACAGCCTTCAGTTTTCTATAAGCTGCGAACTCTGTACTGCATAGCATTCATCTCCTCTGCGCATTCCTCCACTTGGATGCCCCATGAACGTGAATTGGACACACTGGCACTGATTTTTTCAAGTAGACGGAAGATTGAGTAGCACTAGTTTAATACAGACCAGATATTCCTATTCATCATGTCCACTACCCAAATATTCCTCAATTTCCATCAGTCCTTCCCTTGTTTTCTTGCGATTGCCATTGGCATATGTTTTTTTTCTTGTTCTTCTATCATCTGTTCTCTCTTTTGGGTTTTTTTCACAGACAATCCTCCAAGGAATACATCTGTTGTTGTTGTGGTTTTGGAAAGCAGTGAAGTGTACATTATCATCAGCTTATCGACCCGGAATGACACCCAGGTCATATATATTGATCCTACGACTGGGTCATTACGATACCAAGGAAAGCTTGGGCATGAAGTTTTTAATTCTGAAGAGGAAGCTTTCAAATATGTAACAGATGGATCAAGATGGGTCTGTAAGAACGTAGTTTATGCAAGTGCAATACTTGGTTATGCTGCACTGGGTAGCTTTGGGATGCTTTTGGTTGCAACAAAACTGGAGGCTACAATTCCAAATCTCCCTGGTTGTGGATGTGTATATACAGTTGCTGAAAGTCAATGGATTAAGGTTCCACTTCAACATGCTCTACCTCAGGGTAAGGGGGAATTAAAGAATATTCAGGAACTGACTGATGTTGACATTGATGGAAAACATTATTTTTGTGAAACGAGAGATATTACCAGTCCATTTCCAAGCCGAAGGCCTTTAGATAATCCAGATAGCGAATTCGTTTGGAATGAATTTCTGTCAAAGAGTTTCAAAGATATTGGACTGCCACAACATTGCGTCATTCTTTTGCAGGTATTTTATATTCTTTCTTATCTGTGATCTTGCTCTGTTTTATGGTTGTCATTGTTTCAATGAAAGAACGAGAGATGGATGATTATTGGTACTAAGAATATTGGTGAATGCCATTTTCTCTTACGTGTATTTCTCACTGAGGTAATGCTCAACTCAATCCGTGAATGGTGATCCATCTCATGTTTGCTGTATGGTTTGACGTTTTTCATGGAGCAAGAGCTTGAAATGAATGCTAGAGATGTCTGACATTAGTGACCGTACGAATTGGCACGGCAATGCTAGAACTTTTGAAGTGCAATCTTTTTCAATTTCTCAATCTTCGGAGTTCATCTTTCTCCTTGGAATCTTATTATTTGGCTCCCAAGACATCTCACACGCTAAGTACCAGAAAGGAGTGGTGTAATGCTCCGGTTGTCATAGGCAGTGCAGCCTTGTTTCTTATAGCATGATACTTCAGTTCTATCATGTTAATGTGGAGTTTATCAATAAAAAAAAAATTCGTTAGATATCTGGAAGTTTGAAAAACATTTCTAGGACAGTTATTGATTTGGAATTGATCTTCAGTGGGGTGGTATTATCCTGGCCAAGGTTCATAGGCAAGGGAGGGGCCCTTGTTAGTCCATTGGAGTCTTGCTGAGAAAGAGGAAAGTCAATGCCTAATGGCATATGCATCTCCAGCAGCTACTTTTTTGGTTTCCTTGCTGAGGACGCACGTTGGGTTGTTTTCTGCGTATGTCAAAATATTTGGGGTAGGCAACAAGGTATTGTTGGTTACCGCCAGATTCATGTGGTGTTGAAAGCATAGCTAGCCTTTTGGAGGAATTATCAGCGGCAAATAATAAAAGACGAAAAATGAAGTTCTGGTTAGATTGTTTACCATCAGTGCATTAATTTTGTTGATTACTAAGAGCTTGAGTGAGGCCATTCTAGCGGAGGCTTCTTTTAAATTGATTGTGATTTATGGGTGATCATCGGGTGAGTAGACCAAAAATTGACCTGATCCAGTGTATTTTTTGAAGCCTTCGTATGATAATGCTTAGACGAATCATTCTTTTCAGGGACACTTGGTTCCAGTCGAGTGTGATATTTGTTATGTTTACCCATTTGTCCTTGTAAGTACTCATTTATTACAAGAGGATCGACGGCATAGCAGGGTTCCAACCGTCCTGGTGTAGACATGGGAGATGTTTAAAAGAATGGTTTTTGGAGAGCACGTGTTTGCGCCCCATTTTCTTTTGCATATAGTAATGTATTTGTCTTGCCTATCCGCATCCATGTGATAAATTTTTTTTGACTTAGAATGTGATAGTTGTATGGTATATTCCTTTTATAACTAGTATCTATAGGGGTTTGCAGACAGCCGAAGTTTAGCATTGACGGGCCAACAAGGAGGGACTGTTGCACTGGTAGCACGGCGAAGCAGGCTTCATCCTGGCACACGTTATCTGGCCCGAGGCTTGAATGCATGCTTCAGCACAGGTAGTGTCTCTATCCCATGTATTATAACTAGTTTTTAAAATTTTAGGAGAAAATAATCATATCCTGTGGTACCGTTATTAGGATTAAAATTTCAATGACTGAATCCTCAAAATTTCTTCTCTGAATTCCAGTTCCATGTACTCTGATATTTCAACCCATCCTTACCGTAAATTCCATGACATTCAGATCTTTTATTAACAAAAAGGATCAACCATCAAAATTTGATAACTGATATAGAAGGATGGGCCCATAATTAAAATCAATATTTTGATTTATAATCGGTTAAAGTATATGTACACATTTTAATAAGATTGTTCGGATTGCTAATGTCAGGCTCACAGCCAAAAATATTTTACCTAGTTTGCAGGTAGAGGCGTCCATATTTACCTGGTTAGGATGTTATGGACAACTTAGGCTGCAGTACATAGCCAGCCACTCTCAAATTTTGTTTTTCATACTGATCTTTTAAATAGTGACACCCACAGGAAGGTCCAAGCAATTTATAGCATAAAATTGATGATAACTTAATTTTAAATCAATTGAGAATGCATTTACGTCTGTATGAGTAGAAGCGGCTAATTATGAGTGAAGTTTTGGAGTTTAAAGAAAAATTGTGGATGGAAACATCTAAATGTTTGAGAAGGGACGTGACAGAACCAGGATATCCAATCAATAAAAGGGTTCGAATTTTTTTTAGTTGTGATATTGGCACACGGAGTGATACAATTACATTGATCCTTTTTTATTTTCATCTATTGAAAATGAGGCTGTATTTGTTGGATGTTTGAGTGCTTGATGTGAAGTTTCCCTGCTCTTTAGTGGTTCCCCTATTGATTTTAGTGGAAGTTTATCATCTCATGTCTAGCCGTCCCAGTGGACACTTATCATTGTAGAGACGTTTATTTGGTCTCTTTTACGGTTTTAGAAAAAGAGCGTTGTTTAGGTTATGATAAACTTTTTTTACTGCTCAACATTATTCTAACACTGATACGTAAACCCACAAGAAACTTATATGACAGGATTTTTAAAAATTGTGTATGGTATATTTTTAACAGGAAATGAAGCAGAGTGCGAGCAACTAGTATGGGTCTCACAGGGGACTGGGCAAAGTATTCCTTTCAGCTCTTATATCTGGAGACGAGGTACCATACCGGTCTGGTGGGGCGCTGAGCTTAAAATCACTGCTGCAGAAGCTGAAATTTATGTGTCATCTCAAGATCCTTACAGAGGAAGTGCGGAATATTACAAGAGATTAAGCAAGAGATATGGTGTACGGAATTCAGATTTAATGATAGTCAACCAGAAAAAAAACTCTTTAGTCCCCATTGTGTGTATCAACTTACTAAGGCATGGGGAAGGGAAGCCAGAAACTATTTTGGTCGAACACTTTGCTGAGTGTTTAAATAATATTAAATCTAGTGGAAAACTTTCTTTTACTCAGTTGTATTTAAAAAATTTTGACTGGCATACTAATGTGAAGTTGAAAGGAGAGCAGGAGACAATTGAGGATCTGTGGAAGTATCTCAAGACTCCTACCGTGGGTATTGGATTCTGTGAAGGAATGTATTCTCCTTCTCTGCAGCAGCTTGCGACATTTAAAGGCGGGTCTATTGTTGAGAATGATGATATTACAGGGGGTTTCTGCTTGACAGGTCTTCAAAATGGGGTAATACGCTTCAATTGTGCGGATTCTCTGGACAGAACAAATGCTGCTAGTTATTTTGGATGCCTTCAAGTTTTTGCTGAACAATGTAGACGACTAGGGATTTCCATTGACAGTGATGCGATGTCTACCGTCTCATCAACAAACAGTAACTCCTTACCACCAGGATGGGTGCAGTACACTCATGCTGAGACAGGGAGGACCTACTATGCTAATCACAACACAAGAACCACTACATGGGAGCACCCATGTAAGGAGAAGCCTTGGAAAAAATTTGATATGTCATTTGATCAGTTCAAGAATTCAACAATGTTATATCCGATAACCAAATTGGCTGAACTCTTCCTGCTGGCTGGTGATATCCATGCAACACTTTACACTGGATCCAAAGCCATGCATAGTCAAATACTTAACATATTCAGTGATGATGCTGGCAAGTTTAAGCAGTTCTCAGCTGCACAGAATATGAAGATCACACTACAGAGAAGATACAACAACGTGGTTGTTGATAGCTCCCGTCAAAAGCAGTTAGAGATGTTCCTTGGAATAAGGATGTTTAAACATCTCCCATCAGTTCCTGTTTATCCTTTGCAGGTTGGGAACAAAATTTTTTAGTTGAAGAATTTTTACAAGATGCTATTTGGTCTCTACTGCAGTTTAGTCACTACTCTCAGAGATATTTTCCATGTCTGCCGTTGGTTGGCATGTATAATGCAATTATTTACTCAATTATTCTCACAATAAAGCATACTTCTCGGCTATTCATGCTAAAAAATTGAGGGATTCATTGTCTTAGCACCATCGTGAAGAATCTGCATGTTTCTTCTTAAGGTTGATGGCTTCCTGTGCCCTACAAAATACATGGAAGCATAAGCTTACAGAAAAAAAAAATGTTCGTTGATTGGGAAATCTAACTTATATCTCAGTGTTATCCTGACAGTTTTAGATTTATACTTTATGGGTTTTTTAGTGAGAAGACTCTTCATTTATGCTTTCTTCCTTTTTCCGTTCAAGGAAATCTCGTGATACTGCACTTTTTTTTCTACTATGTTGCCTCAGCATTTTTTTTAATCAAATGTTCTCGATTTTATATTTTTTCTCTGTATCTACGTTATGATCGATTTCTTCAGTTTACCATAGGCTTATCTCTCTAGGTTGCGCAGGCATTTTGTGAAAAGGGAAGTCAGAATATGCCTCATATAGGGGAGCACAATTTGAAAGTCAATGATTGCGGTTTTCTCAAGGTTTTTTTATCTGTCACGTTGGACCCAATGACCAATTGAGTAATGTCTGGGACCTGGGATAGAGATCTACCAAAGTCCATTTTGATAAGAGTTCAATTTTCTCAACAGTCTTCTTTAATCACATACTAAGTAATTCATTGAGAGATTGATTTTAGTAACAGCAATCCAATGAGAGAACCGCCACAAAAAGCTTGATACGAAGAAATTTTAGGAATTTTTATTTTGATTGCAGGTTGTAGCTGCTAGGAGTTTTTGTGAGCTCTTTTCGTGGTAGCTGAGACATGCCATTTTTCACATCCGCGTTCATTTGGTTTCCTTCCTGACAATTATTCATTCCAGGTTTCGTTGTTCTTGTTCATTTATCAATTCAAAGTCATACTATTTTTTTTTTCAATTCGTGAACAGTACATACATTTTGTGATCTTAAATTATCCAATTTTTGTCCTACTGTTAAAAAAATTATGAATTTTTTATTAATTTACTTTAAAATATGATTCCTTAATTTTCTTCTCAAGGCAACATAAACTTGCTGCCCATAATAGCTGGAACTTTGGTGTCCATAAGATTACATGGCAGCAGGAACCTGCTGTCTGTGGTGATTTGCTTTCCAAATCAAACAGTTGATGAGCTTGCTGTGAAATGCCTTAGACCATTCAGAGTAATTTTTAGGCTATATTCAATTCATATAACTTTTAGCCTTATTTATTAAAATAATAAATTTACCGAAAAATATGTGTCGACATTAATAACCTTCTTCTCTTATCAAACTAAATTCAAACTAAAAAAATCAGTTTTTTATGTGAACCGCTCATTGTTGGCAAAATTGTCATGGCGTCGATATTTCTCTCACCAAGCACAACATAAATCTCTGGGTAACACTTCTCTCATTCAGCTGGTGCTCGAATCTGTCCAATCTTGAGCTAGAGGGTTCCCCCAAAAGTTTGAAAAATATGAAGCAATTGGCGGTATGAGATCAATCAATGCTACATTTGTTAGAAAATCTGTATCTCCCTTTTATACCTAGTATCCCGTCTTCCCCTCATCAGTAGAGAGAGCATTTAAATCTTCCCTCCATTGACAACATTTGTACTTTGAGATTATCTTCAAGTTCACAAATTTAGTACGAATACCTAGTTCCATTTTGTTTAAATAATGTAATGAAGAATTTAGAATCTTTCATTGTTTAACGGGGATAGAATACTATTTCAATAAACTAGGAATGTACAACTGGTTCAGAAATTTAGGGATAGAACTAGTATTTCAAAATTACTGATGGAAGACAATGATTCTGTTGTAGGATCTGTCATATGTATGAAGATAATGCATTTTGTCTTTCAGAATTAGAATGGATTTGATGTGCAAAACTCGTGTGGTTCTCTATTCAGAACATTGTGTGGTGCAATCATTTTTTAACAAGTTAGGAATTTTTGTAAAAAGCATTTTTGGCTCATGGCCTTTTCTCCTTAATTACGGTTTGCCTTGATATTTGTATTCATAAATGTGCGAAGCTTTCATGCAGTTTATTGACATGGAATCTACATAATTTAGTATTCTTAATAATAATGCGCCATGTTAAGCCTTTTGTCATAGTAACATTAGGAAGCATTAGTTTTCGTTCTGTAAATGAAATAAGTTGCATGATTGAAAAATGTTTAGAAATTTCCTATGCCATTACCTAGTTAGGAAATGAAATATTTTACTGCCAACTAATCAAATCGGCCCTTTTTATCGACAGGTACTTTCCAGACCACCTGCATGCTTTTTAAAACCATTGTCAGAAATGTTTCCAAGTTTGAAGAGTGAACCAAGCCTTCTTAGTTTCAAAAAGAAGGATATGACATGGGTAAAATCTCTTTTCTTCTTTAAGATTAAATTTAATTTTTTCGTTGATTGGGGCAATTCATGTTTGCCATATCACTTTTATTGATGCCTACTGGCGATAGTGTGTCTGAGGATTTAACCCCTATGACTGCTTGAAAGTGGAGAGGAAGGGTGGTCAGTAACCAGGTTTCCTGTTATTGACGAAAGCAATTTGACTGCATGATTTCCTTTTTGTTGCAGGTTTGTTCTCCAGCAGCAGATGTTCTTGAACTTTTCATCTATCTCGAGGAGCCTTGCCATGTCTGTGAACTACTTGTCACAATTTCTCATGGTGGTGATGATTCTTCGTTTCCAGGGACAGTAGATGTGCGAACAGGGTGCAATTTGGATGCTCTTGATCTTGTCGTAAAGGTTCGCCCCCTTAAAATAACTTATTTTCGGCAATGTGTCATCATGAGCTTTATTTTGAGCTATTGTTTCCTCTCTTATCTTGGTAGATAATTGCAGACATCCGATGTCTAATTTAATTCCCCCCGCAATATCCTTAAATTTGTGTTCTGTCGTCTGGTCTTCACCAACCAGCAACGTATGACACTGTTGCAGGAATAAGAGAGATGCTACTTATTCATGCTCATTGGTTTTGATCCTTGCATCATATGTTTTCATGCTGCCTAGTTTCAGTGGCACAAGATATTTCGACTTTTAGAAGTATCCAATAACTGGTAGTCTTATCGCCACTCATGTGATTTATATTATTTATTTTTTGTTTATCACATCCTATGATGACATAAAGCTCTCTCTGATGTAGCAGAGCATCGTCCTTTGATGCTGTGAATTTCTTCCTGGCTTGTTCACCTGGTTAATGATTTTAGTTTTGGAATAGGATATCCTAGCGTTGCGTTATAGTAGTGGGGTTTATTACTATCACCAAAGATTGGTTATTGCTCACAGTTCTATGACCCCAGAGTTCGGAGGATTCTGTTTCCAGTGTTATAACCGAACCTTTGTACCTTTGGTTAGACTGCCACGCAGTGTAAACCACTGCCTCTCAGGCCGCCCAATCTAATTCTATCCCGCAATGATTGATGAAGCATTGAAAGTCACAGCTATATAGGCACAATATAGTGCTGATATGACATGACTTGAACCATGAAATATGGACAGGCCAATTAGATACACCTGGAAGATCAGTGTAATTCACTTAATAGGCACCCTCTTGGGCACTAGACGCTACTAGTCTCCACCAAGGAGTGGTTTTCCCACCTTGGTCCCTACCGTCTTAGAAAGGTTGTTCTGAGGATAATTTAATCAAAGGTACATGAAGAAGAATAGATACTTGCTGACCTTCAGAGTCTTCGTTGACCATGCCAGTAAAGATGCCCTTTTTAACACGTTTTCTTTTCTGCATCTTGAAACCCATAATGTGAAAATAAATTCCTGGTGCACTCTTGTACCCTGCATAGTTCCTGATAATGTTTTTTACTAATGTCTGGCGTATACAAAATTTATGATCTACTAGGATTTCAATTTACAACAAATACCAGAATAAGGCTACCGTAAAGAAACCTTCGCATGAATTGTCTGCTGCTAGATGGTGCTGAAATCATCATTAAAGAAGTCATTCACTGTGCAATGGACCCTTCTTAAAGCCCAAAGCAGTTGTACTCTTAACATCGACAACATGTATGATGTGCTTTCAATTGTCCACAGTTTGCTCCAGGTGACATAGTTACTATATACTCCACCTAATGATAGACATGTAGCATGGATTTTAGTACTCACTGCAAGTCTCTAATCATCTTATTTCTCTTGATGTAAATCGCCAAATATGATCGTATACGGTTGAGCAACCCCAATGGTCGTGCCTCGGAAATAATAAAAAAAGCACAGCAAACAGTCAGTAATGGAGTACTCACATTATGTTTCTTAAGAATGCGACATTGAAGGATAAAGTAATATGCGGTTTGATGTAATTCCATGAGACATAAAATTTGGATAGAGAAATCTAGTTCATGCTGTGGTACCAAAAAACTAAATATAATTTAATCTTATGATTGAATGGTTGAGTTATTTGGCGTGGAAATGGAGGATTTTCCTCCACAAGAAGGATGCCATTAACTCTTGACTGTAACCTAAGAATAAGAAACAAAATCGAAGACTTTACCCTCCCACCCGTATGGTCAACTAGATATCAATATTGTCCTGGAAGAAAAAGCCAAAGTGGTGTTGGAAAGAAAAAGGGGTTGCTTGCTATCAAATATTTCTAGAACATGGTGGAGAAAAAAGGTGTCAGAAGTACGAAGGACAAGTGCCAGACAAGGTTAATACCTTTCTATGGCTAATAAAATGTTTACCACAAAAATTTGAAAGAAACCCATGAGTTTTATCTCTAGCAGGAGGTTTACATATTTGGCAGCAGTTATTATTTCATACCCCAATTCCTATGTCCTGAGCATGTGGATTTTCGTTCTCGGAAAAGATGGATTATAGTAGGATTGTAGTTGAGATTATCTGAGGTCCTCGTATGATGTACTTCGTCATTGAAGAATTTTGTTTTATTATGATTGCTCTATGAGTACCTTTGTAATCATTGAAATGAATTGACTTCATAGTTTCGTTTCGAGGGTGTGGGTGATTTAATCTTGACTTTGATTTCTTTCTTTTTGCAGGGAGCTCATCTACCTCGATGCTCGAATGGGACAAACATTATCTTACCTTTGGCGGGCCCAATGAATGGCACGGATTTGGCACTTACAAGAAGCGGCTCCAGTTATCATGATCGAGGAAATTCCTATCTTCCTTTGTTGTATAATTTTCAAGAACCAGAGGGAAATTTGAGCTTTCTCACTCGCATTGTTGTGCTTACTTTCCATCCTTTGACTACTGGAAGAGCTCCAGTTGCCCTTGGTGAGGTACACATTTTGTTTCCTTATTTTCAGATAGATGAAGTTATTTTATCAACAAACAAAATTGCGACATTGTTAATCTACTGTTATAGTCTAAGTTAGTGTTTTAACCTGGACCTATCTTTATGACATTCCTCGTCATAAATTGTTTCTGCAGTATTATTATATGTGGTGCTGTTATTCCTGGCTTACATTGCTTTTGGATAGGATTGGTCACTGTTCCCACATGAGATTCAGCGTCTTTTCTTCTAGCTCAAAACATCATTTGATATAACCCTTCCTGGACCTTCCTAGACAATGATTGTCTAGTGTTTTGTAGAGGTACGTTGCATTATAGGCCCCGGGTTTTTTTTCTCATAATTGAGTTTTTTAACTGTACTCTTTTATCCTAGCTCCGAAGGATCATCTAATATGATCCCTCCTGGACCTCCCTTTTACACACGCACATATTATTGTAATATTTTTTTAGGGGAAGACGTCGAATGTTTGTGGTTTTGTAGGGTTATGTTGCAGCATGGTCCACAGTTTTTGTTTTGCAAACACAATTGTGTGGGAAAAAAACGCAAAGCTCTTTGCCCATGAAAATTGAGTAGTGTAACTCAATTCTGAAAATAAGAAAGAGAGACATTGGACTGTGATGCAACATACCTCTACAAAACCAGATGAAACCAATGTCTGTACCCCCTAAATATTTTACAACGATATGCTCTTGAGCAGAATGGAGGTCCAGAAGGAATCGTATTAGATGATGTTTTGGAACCAGCAGAAAGTTGTAGAATCTTATGTGGGAACATGGAGCTCTATTGTACCCAAAAACAATGTAAGCCTAACTTATGCATTCAATTTGTTTATTTAACAGGATGAATGTGGATATAAGGAGCGTATATTTACACTAACATCGAACAGTTTCCGGGTGGAACGAAAGCATATTTCATTCCATTGAAGAACTTTGAGAAAGATTATGACTTACTTCTCGTTACCCAATCCACTTGCTATTTTTATGGAATAACCCATTCGATCAAATGGACAAATGTCATGGAAAATTATGCTATTTTCCCAGTGAAGAGCTGCAAATGTTTCAAATGGTTCCAATATAAGTCTTTTATTAAATTTGACCTGGTTGATGGTATTTACGTCATCAATTGAGAAGAAAGTGATATCCACCTAGTAGAATCTTGTATCATCAAATTCCAATGATCTTTTGCTTCTGCCAAGTATTTGTTCCCAATTACTTTCATTAATTATTCAGTAGACTCGTTTTTTCATCCAGGAGGATCTTTATGAGGACTGTATTTATTGTGGAATCATAATTCCCATTTCCTTGATGATCATAAACAAGTCTTCAAATGTAATACAAATGGGCTAACTGTTCCCTATAATCCCATGTCTTCAATTACTTCATGCTCTTTAGTTCTTTTGCATCTGACATCCGGAAAATTCAGCATAACTGTGTGGGAGGTGTGGATAGCTAGTGGCTTTTTTCCCCCTGTAATCCACCCTTTGGTACCTCTCTGTTGCCCCTTTCACACATAACAAGCTTCCTACCTGTATTCTTCGTCATCACCTGAATAGGGATGTTAAACCATGACACTGGGCAGGCACTTTTGTTTTTCATTACTAATCCTGGTACTTTTTTCCAATTTTACAGTTTGAGGTACTTGGAGTTTCTCTTCCTTGGAGGCGCATATTCTCTAAGAAAGAAGCAGGATCAAACTTTATTGAGGAAGTCCAGAGGCATCAAAAAGAGATAAAGTCTTTTCTATCTGTTTCTGACGTTGATCAGTTTAAAAACCCTTTTCTTGGTCCGGACATCAGCCATTCTTCTAGTGCATCTTTATGTGGTGGGAGTGTTGCTCTAAGAGACCAATCAAAAAATCTTGACCTTGGATTTGATCTTCTCACTGGCGAATCTGTGTCCTCTCAGCCCACATTACAGCCAGATTTGCCAGTTGTGCAAGATTCTTTATCTTTTGACGATGACTGGACAGACTTACTTGCCATTCCTTCATCTGTTGCCACATTAAAGGGATCTGATGTCAGACACGAAAGTCAGTCACCTAAATGCAACAGTGGTATTCATTATTACCTGAATTGCTTTAGAGATATCTCTGATAAGGTGAATGCTGTTTTATAACTTAGATAAATTTTATGATATTTTTCGAATACTTGGAAGACTTGTTAAACAAATTATTCCCACTCAATTTTAATTGTATTTTTGACAAAAATATTTCTGTTGATCCTTTTCTTGAGTTGTTCTTAATTTGATGTGTAGGTGGTCGTATTATTTTCAAGTAAAATGACTTTGGTGTTAAATTTTATTTTATTTGTGTTCAATGAGAAACTTTAAAAAATCCCATTTCCAGCTCAAATTAAATTGGATGGCACGGCTGAAGTGTATACACTCATTTTTCTTACCTGGAGTAAGTAGCTCTCTTCAAGTGGAATCACCTCTAAAAATCAGCATGTTTACCTCCTCTGTTAAATTCCAGTCTGAAGAAAGGTAACCCTTTGCTTAATCAACCATGGTCGAGTTGCTTATTTCAGTCCATATGAAGACTGCTTCAGGTTTCTGAGTGGTGAAGGCAGTGATAATTCTTACTCGAATACATATGACACCAAATCACCTTTTAGGAAAGCATTTTTCATATCCATTTGAAAACTAGGTCATGATTGAGGGGAAGAAAGTGCAAGTGTTCTAACAGCAGTCATCTTAACAACAGGCGCAAATGTATTATGTCAGTTAACATTGTTATCTTTTTTATTCCTAATGCTATCGATATGTTTCTAATCATCCATCTGATTGTGGGTCCTAGCAAGAGCATTTAGTTCCTCATTCGCAGCCTACTGCCAATACTCTTCCTTCACTACCTGTGAGTTGAAGTAGGAATAGAAATTTTAGATTACGCAGATAAATAGGATGTGGCGGGAAACCTGTATTTGCTGATGAATGAGAGTGATGGGTAGACTTTTGAAAGACGGTGAACCAAGATCATGGTGTGGATACAACGATGGGTGGGCTGAACCAAGATCATACATGGTTTCAGGTCTGGAGACAGCAATGGGTGGGCAACTATTAGCATTTCCACAATGTTCATTTGCAGGATAAATCTTCATTTTTTGATATGCAATGCTTCATGTTTCGCCCTTCGCCTATAGAACTCATCAGAGTTGATTTTTTTATTGTTTTATACCATAGGTGTATCAATTCAATGCATCAAGGATAAGATGGTACGAGGAAATACAATAGTGTGATAATAAAAAAGAAGTGGCATAATAAACATCAACATTTTTGTATAATCAGATGCATTTGGTTTGAGAATCATAACATCTAAATCCTTTTTTATGTACTGCATAACCAAGAAACACGTGCTACAGATTAAGGTTTATGATGGTCAATGGATGGAAGATGGACAACAAAAGACTACCAAGAGCATGAGTTCTGTTATATTCTGGTTGTTTTTGGAAAAGCTGGAAACGTAGATTTTGATTTTTCAACTTGGAGAGATTTGTTGCTTCATCAAGAATATTTATGTCTGCACTGCCTCGTCCAAAATGTTAGATAAACTTGTGTCAAGAAGTGCAGAAGTCCCATAAAAGATTCCTATGCGTTCTTTCAGCATTCCTAATTTGTCGTGGCAAAAATAGAAATGAACTATTGGAAAAATTCTCTCCTCATGACTCAGAATTAAGATTTTACTCTGTTTCTCAATCTGAGTTTTAATTATTTGAGTAAAGGATTTGAGAGCATCAAAAACATCAGATTTTGCATGCAAGAGATAAACAAAGTGAAGCAGCTGAAGTCATCAATTAATGTGCAAAGTGTTTGTAACCAAATGAATCAATTCAAAAATAGTAAGTAAGACGTAAAAGAAATTTTTATCCAAGATGACTATGATTCGTAAGTCTGGTCATACCATTGATTGAATAGTTTCTGCATCAATCACTAGCAAGTTAGAGGTTGATATGTTATTAACTGCCATGAATGTTGGGGAACAAATATCTGCATTTGGCATAGTGGTATGAAATGTTTCAACTCCGGAGGTGGATGTCGTGGGTGAACCTTTAGTACATTGACAGAGGTCGAGAGAAAACCAAATCTCGCACTTAATTGATGTTAGGGTCTAGTATTTATACCAGATCCACCTTACAGGCGAACCAGACCGGGCTGAACCAGTCTTGGAAAAGATAACTCAGTACATTTCAACAGTGCAATCTCTATCAAGATGTTCATATTTTTGACAAGAAAAGATAACATTATATGTTCCTAGTACCTTTTATCCTACGATGCTCCTTAGAAATGAACGTCACATTATCGCTCTTTATTCTGTCATTATGTCCACCATTCTTTCTGCTCTCATACGTTGTTCTCCACATAATCTCTTGAAAAGCCTCCTCCGAGTTAAGAATTGGTTTTCAATTCATCAATTTTCTATGAACTGTTTCATGTTTTGATCAGAGTTGTATTAGACATTGACCTCACATGTTTTCCTCTTGTGGTTTTTGTACCTCTTGTAATGCTGAATTCGGAACTGCAAGATAAAATTAAACTCAAGTCATAAGTTCATGAAACCATAATAATACTCTTTCACGATTTTCCTTCTCTAGTTATTCTCATTAAACTCAATTCAAAGTTGTGCTTTAGAAGAGTCATTTTCTTGATGGCATATGGTCTTCAAGAAATTCCGCGCAGTTGTTACGATACTTTGAACGCTCAGATTCAATTCTAAGTGTGGTTTTATAGTGCTCAGAATCTAGCTCATTATTGTTGCATTATTTTTCTTCCAAGTTTCTTCAACATCACATCAAAAATTCTCACAAGAAGGGTTTTTCCTATTGAAACGAAGGGGCATAATACTTGTTTTTTTCTTTAGTCTCCATGATTTTCTAGAGGATAGTGGATGGGACAAAAATATGGATCTAACCTGTGATTGAATGCCAGAAAGAGCTAACTTTCATCAAAACACGTTTCCTCAAGCACAACTACCAAGATACATTATGTTTGAAGTAGCAAGAAACTTTTGAGGTAGGGCTTCGATACCAGATAAGCGAGAGGACTAAGAGAGAACAGGACAGCGTGAATGAGTTGTAATGCTCCGCTCCTAAGAAATCTCAGAACCTCTTCATAAAGACTTTATAAGATTCAAAAGAGGGAACGTGAATTTGTACAAAGAAGGCAACAACATAGTATTATTGGATCTTATAAGGTACAACTATATCCAAATAGGAAATAACTATTATAAGGAAAAAATAATGACTCAATATTGAGAATAATAATATTCATTCTATCTCATATTTCATAGAATACTATTGTTACATGTCATTCCTGATATCTGCATGATACAGCCCTAAAAGAATTAGTCTTCCTATGAGAGTGTATCAAAGTAGTCGCTCATTGATTGAGAGCCATATTCTACTCGTTGACGGTTGATTGTGAATCGTACGCCCTAATTCGTTCATGTGTCCTTCATAGAAAATAAAAGTGTTTAAATTCCGTCTTCCATTTTTCTTTCTAATATGTTATTGGATCCATTTCTCTGCGTAGTAGATGAAAAATGTAATCTCTTGTCGGTGAATGATATCTGTGAAGTTGAAAGACACGATTTTATCCTCTATGTAATTCCTCATAGAAAATGTGAAATAGACGAGACTTCTCATAGTATTTGACAAGTTAGTGATCCAGGTTACATCTCAATCAGATGGCTTGCATAATGAAATATAAGGGTATGCAAGGAAAGCAATGACTGAACCAGATATTGACTTGCATGAGAGTTCGCTAGTTATAGTCCATATGTGACATTGGATCTGTATAATTTTAATTCAAAGGCTGTTGGTTTTGATATTTACAGAGGTTTGTATGTGGATCGGGTTCTTGGATTCTTTCAAGACTCCTTTTTCACCTGAGCAGTAGAGGTGGCCAAGTTTCGTGATCTTGCTGTTGTCGATTTCAATGCCAGCTAGGTTTTATTCATGTTAGTTTAATGAGAAACCTGCAGTTGTAAAAGAAGGGGGCTTAAATTGAATGAGAATTTGAGTTCATTCCTTCTAAGGAATTTCTTATCAAGTGACTAATATGTTAATGGCCTCGCAACCTTCTGTGCTTTCTCTCCTAGTTGTTTTATTTTCCCTCTCTTCTCTAACGGAATCTGTGAGCATCTGGGGGATTACATTTGCTTGAGGCAGTCTCATTTACTATACTACTGCAGCTATCCGCTGCTTTTGCATTCTGGAACGTTTTGCTGTCAAAGCACTACAGCATCTTATTTGCTTCCTGTGGCATGTACTGATGGTGATCGTAGATCAGTGTGTTCTGGAAATGCATTAGCAACTGCAGACTGACTTGGGAAAGCCTTTTTTTTTACGGAGTTGGATGTGCATTCATGTTAAATCTGTTATGTCTTTAATCTAAGACTCTCTTGCTGATTGTTGACGAGTACTTTTGGGTAGTTGAAATACAGAAACGATTGGCTCTCGAACAAATGTTTTCTCGCAAGTTTATATCTTTTCAAGTTGTCTAATATTGCACCATGATAATTACTTAACCTTAGGTTCCCATTTTGATATTGTATGATGGAGCGTTTCAATTTTTTGCCTCCTGGAAGGTCATCTGTGTATTGATGATTTTGTGTATTTTATTCTTAGAAGCACGAATTGGACTATGAAGATGCAATGAAGCTTGAGATTAAACGCCTTGGAGCTGGTCTTTCTGCCGCTGATAGAGATAGAGCCTTGCGCTCAATTGAAGTCAATCCTGATACTATTGATCCAAATCGTTTAGTCAATGATTTTGACTTATTAAAGTTATCCAAATCAGCAGATATTCTTGCATGGCTGGCACATTCTGCATTTGAGGACAAGATTGTTGCTTCTATTGGTCTTGATACCGCTGACCACATTGGTATTGACTTTTGGAACTTAAATGTGAATGGAGATAACTGCATCGGTTCTGGTTGTGAAGTCCGCTGTGCAGCACAAGCAGCAGAAAAACTACCTTCGTCAAAACCCTCCAATCAAAGTAAACCATCGTTAATTGTATGCTTTTTCTGCGGAAAAAGGTCTTGTGTAGTATGCTGTGCTGGGAAAGGAGCTACATTGCTTGCTGGCTATAACTCAAGAGAGAACAAAAGGTTATCGGGTTCTTCAAGCCAGAGTGGATCAAGCCATGGTGGCCGTAGTGAGGGTTCCTATGGTCCAGTTCCTCCAGATGGATTTATCTGTAAAATCTGCTGTAACGAGGAGATAATTTATGCATTGTATGTGGATTATGTAAGAACCTTAACCAGTTTACGAAGACGAGATCGTGCTGATTCTGCAGCACGTGGAGCTCTGGGCCAGCTTGCAGGCTCCGAAACTGAGGCAAATCAAAGCTCTGGAGAATATGATAGGAGCAACAAATGGTTACGAACGTTACTGAATCAGAAAGAGTCTCTAGCAGAGTTTCCATATGCGAGCTTTTTACATTCGGTATGAATCCGAATCCCTGGCTGGTCCCTTTTCTTACCTTATGAATGAGAAAAAGATAGTTTCCCGCAGCACTGTTGATGAACAGAATGATTAAACGACCACATAATAATGCTTGATTGACCTAAGTTTACTGATATAGAAAACATCTAACCAGTCTTCTCTACCCCCACCTTATTTTCTTCAAGCATATTTAATAAAGATTCAAGAACCCGTAAGCACTTATGTGTTGTTCGCCTGTTCCCAACTCCATACAACCATCTTACATATCTAAGCATGTCTTTTATTATTTTAGTTTCTAGCATATTATATATATATATATATATATCCTTTTTCCTTGGACCTGGTTGAGCTCCTGAATCTAAGGAAGACGTTGTAATCCTTTAATGAATATTTTCTTGACCTTTTTCATTTATAATTTCCCTTGTGCGGCGGCAGGTTGAAACAGAAGTGGGTTCAGAGCCAGTATTGTCACTGCTCAGCCCCTTGTATTTTGGGGCATTGCACTCATACTGGAGAGCTCCTCGTGGCTGCTCGAGCGTGGAATTCTCCATCGTTCTTGGAACTCTGTCTGACGTCTCCGGTGTCATCTTGCTCGTCAGTTCCTGTGGCTATTCAGCCTTCGATCTTCCTCTCGTAAGCTTCTTCTACCAGCCCCTCTTGTTCCTATTTCCTAACTGTTCAAAGTATCTCTGTGCTGTGTCTTGAATGCCCATTTACAGCATCTCTCCGTGGTGCATTTTGATGAATTTGATGCTTTGCAGGTAAATATATGGGCCGGCGAGAAGATAAATAGGGAAGAACGCTCATTCATTGGAAAATGGAACTTGCAGTCACTAAGCGCGGCCTCTGAGCTTCATGGGCCCGAACACCCTGGCCGTGATAGAGATACTCCTAGACACGTCAAGTTCCAGTTTCGGAATCCTGTTCGATGCCGAATCATATGGGTTACATTGACTCTCCAGAAGGCCGGGACAAGTTCTGTTAACCTAGAGAGAGAGTACAATCTTCTCTCTCTAGATGATCCCTTCTCGCAGCCCCCTGCAGGTGGTTCTTTCAGTGAGGCTGCTGTGGGAAGCGACCCACGCATCCACGCCAAACGTCTTATAGTGTTTGGAAGCCGCTTGGTGAAAGAACAGAGGGTCGATTCATCGCAGGGACTCGACAACATGAACGCCAATTCCTGGTCGGAAAGATCCCCAAAGCTGGGTCGATTCAGGGTGCGAATCTCCTACTCTCTTCAATGAAAAAATGGGTTTTTTTTTTTTTTTCTCAACGAAAAACTTTCTGTCCCAATCCCCGCAGGTCCCGGTTGAAACAGAGAGGTTGACTGGGAATGATCTCATCCTGGAGCAGTATCTGTCGCCGGCCACACCTCCCCTCGCAGGATTTCGCCTGGATGCCTTCAGTATAATAAAACGAAGAGTCGCCCACTCACCTTCTTCCATGGACATGGACAAATGGGATCCTTCCTTCAAATACTTGGAAGACAGCAGCATTTACCCACCAGTCTTATACGTCCAAGTTTCCGCGGTGAAGGTACCTACCCCCTTTAGTTACCTCTGAACCTGCAGATGCCATCAATATTGTCTCTTTCTCGTTCTGATTGGCGATGGCGCTTTTGGCGATCTTCCCAGGACAACGGGTCACCGGTTAGGGTGGGGGAATATCGCTTGCCGCAGGCCCGTGTGGGCACGGCCATGTACTTCGACTTCCCAAGGGCTATCCAAGCCCGAGTCGTCGTCTTCAAGTTACTCGGAGATGTCACCGGCTTCGCCGATGATCCGACAGAGCAGGACGAGTTCCGCCCTGTAGCCTCGGGGCTGGCTATGTCGGGCAACAGAGTTAGACTGTACTACTACGCCGACCCAGCCCAGCTTGGAAGATTAACTGCCCTCTCCGCGGTCTGAGGGGAAGACCCATTATGAACTGATTCTCGATTGACAATGATTATGTGATTGTATGGGCACCAGGTTGCTTTTTCCTTCTTTTTTTAGTATCTCAGGGTGGAATGGCCCTGTGAGAGAGGCTATGGGTTTTCCCCTGGATGGCGATCAAATCAGATGATCTTGATATGGTAAAAATGATAAAAACTATATGTGAAAGAAAATATCCACAATATTCAAGGTTAGAGTTTTTTTATTGTACTTTAATGGTTAATTTAGGAAAACGAGGCTCATATGGTTTACCTGTTAAGGTATTTAATGCCCTTTTTTTAGAAAAAAATCCATACACTAGGAACCTCTGTGGCATCTTAATTATGGATGTGGAGGGTGACTAAAATAAATTATTTTATTTACAAGTTAATTCTATTTTTTTATAAAACCTTACTTGTATTGATTATCGATTTTATTATTCGGAAGATTGGAGGAGGTTATTTTACCGGTTTACCGGTTTTTTTTTTTACTGAAAATACTCGGTATTTTGTCCAAGTCAGAAATGGTAAGATTTTACATATTTTTGGTTGCGGGGTGATTTTGTGAAGTCATATATCGTTAGGCAGGAACCGCAGACGGCGCGGTTCGTCCCTCATAGCTCGGCCACGGAAAGATCCGCTTTCAGAAGATTTCGGTCGGGCAGGCGTTCTTGACGGAACTACTGTCTTGTTGTCGACTCCCCGTCGATCTCAGGATCACTTCCCCTCCAGAACTACTGCTTCCCTGCTTCCGCCCTCTTCGTGGTTCCGGCGTGCAGCTCCTCACCCGGGCTGTTCGACGATCCGTCTGGAGAGGGTGAAGCGAAAGTGCGTCATCTCTCTGCCGATGGGATTTCCTATGTCTTGTTACGAACAATTATCGTTTGTGGCTGATCCGTAAAGGGTGAATCTACTGAGGATAATATCCAATGGGAGTCTCGGGGACTCAAGGTAAGCCTGGCACCGATAATTCTCTTTCGTCTCTGGCGGATCCGCTTCGTCTGACGTCGCGTCCACCCTCCTCGAGTCCGAAAAGCGGAGAGTTCAAATTTTCCACATGCTGGAAAATTATGCCCGATTATGGGTTCATAAGGAGACATAATAACGGGCTATAAGATTTATTACGATTGAGAAGAAGTTTGCAACGGCGAGCATCATTTGAATTCGCTATAGACCTGTAATAATTGAAGCCAGGATGTGCAGTACCATTTTCCCAAACATTAAGATTGGCAAAGTCTGCAAACTTAAAGTTCAGTGTAGTTTTATTAAATCAGTAGAAAATGACCCAGGAGATTGGCTTTTGCTCTGTATTTCTCACAAATCGAGTAGCCAAATGTCTGCAATAAAACGACTAACCTGGAACTGGATTTTTCTCTGTATTTCTCCTTAATAGAAATGTAGTCATGCCTAAAATTGGCTTATTCCCCGTATTGACAAATCCAACATCCAAACTGATTCTCTGAAACGAAGGTTGATGACTCAATGTAAACGTACAAAAAAGAAATATCACAGTCCATGCGGTTTGATTGCAGTCATTTCAAGGAAGGAATTTTAAATGATTTTTTTTTATTAAATGAAGACGCTTAAATGTGATCGTCTACCAAATCTCTTCCATAATTCGATGTCATCACAGTGTCAGTTCCTCCGTTTTTATTTTTTCTTTAACATTGCGTTTTTTGATTCATCTCTTTTGACTCCACATCCTGTATTGGAATGCGTAAGTTTTTTTCTTTTTTTTCACAGATAATCCTTCAAGGGATACATCTATTATTGTGGTGGTTTTGGAAAGCAGTGAAGTTTACATTATTGTCAGCTTATCAACCAGGAATGACACCCAGGTTATATATATTGATCCTACGACTGGGTCATTACAATACCGAGGAAAGCTTGGGCATGAAGTTTTTATTTCTGAAGAGGAAGCTTTGAAATATGTAACAGATGGATCAAGATGGGTCTGTAAGAACGTAGTTTATGCAAGTGCAATACTTGGTTATGCTGCGTTAGGTTGTTTTGGGCTGCTTTTAGTTGCAACAAAACTGGAGGCTACAATTCCAAATCTCCCTGGTGGTGGATGTGTATATACAGTTGCAGAAAGTCAATGGGTTAGGGTTCCACTTCAATATGCTCAACCTCAGGGTAAGGGGGAATTAAAGAATATTCAGGACCTGACTGATGTTGACATTGATGGAAAGCATTATTTTTGTGAAACAAGAGACATCACACGTCCATTTCCAAGCCGAATGCCCTTAGAGAATCCCGATGGCGAATTCGTTTGGAATGAATTTTTGTCGAAACCTTTCAAAGATATTGGACTGGCGCATCATTGTGTCATTCTGCTGCAGGTATTTTGTCCTTTTTCTTCTGCAACTTTATTGTATATATATATATATATATATATATATACTTTTTTTTAGTGAACAAAGAATAAGCTTTTGTGCAATATCCTTGAATATAGTAGTTTCTGTGGGTCATAACCTGTACAGATAGATATCCGTTAGAAGGCACTTGTCAGATATTTAGATCTTTGTCTTTGGGTAACGTTATACTAACCCAGTAAGACGAATTAACTCGTAGAGTTTGGATAGTTTTTTGTACTTCCTAAATCCTGATCTACATAAGGTTTGGCTCAGTGAGAGTTACATGAATCAGTGTGGGACTGGTTGAACTCAGAAAGTTCATGGAGCTATGTGTTGAAAGATTTTTCTTTTTCAAATTTTCAATTTCCCAATTTCTTGTCCCTCCTTCAATTTCCCAATTTCTTGTTTTCCATGGACATGGATGTCTTTATTGTGTAAACCCAAGCGATTTTAGACGAGTGATCCTTTTGGTGGCTCAAATGATTTGTGTGGCTAATGTTGTGTTAATTCGTTTGCATGAGCAATATTCGAAACATTTTATAAAATTTATATGATCTTAAAATAAGTAAGATAAAAAGAAAATATACTAGCATGGACTATGAACTCTCTAAACATCTCTTATACATCAGTTGTGTCTTACACCAACCTGGTGTAAGGTAGAAATAAAGCTAAAAAAACCCAAAATAATAGAACCGCTTGCTTCCTCTGTTACAAAAACCTCGGCCACATTTTTATCTTGTCAAAATCCACAATGCTTGTTTCTCTCTGTTCAAATAGTCTTTAGGGAGGCATGGAAAAGAGGCCACAAGCGACGAAATTCTTTGATCGACCCTCCCCATCCAATGTTGGCTATATCATGGCCGACGTGATCAATAAAATGTTTGTATGACCACTATATACCTAATTGTGGCATAAAAATCGCCAAATATTTTTAGAGGAGAATCTAGGTAGCATGTGTTCTAAATTTCTTCCTCCTACCTCATCATCTTCTTCGCTATCCTTCTCCCTCCTTCCCCCACAACCTCAGCGAAAAGGAAAAGTTGAAAAACTTGCCAATTACTGAATATAGATCATCTGGTTAAAATGCCATCCAAGTTATCCAGTTTGGTGACGATTGTGCAAATTACACAGTTTCCATACCGATGCTCGTCCACTATTCAGGGGTGACATCTGCTGGAGGCTGGCTTCTACTGGTGCCCCTCATATATGAAGGTTCGGTTCAAATGATTTCATAAGGAACCAATGCATTGGTCGGCATACGGGAGTGTTCAATCCATGGTTCTCAGAAAAAGGCATTAAACTCTTTTATGTTGACGGGGGAATGCAATCCCCAGAAAACTGAAAAGAAATCTGCAGCTTTCCGGAAGTTGGCCAATCATTCCTTGATTGGCTAGTTCCTGAGTGGATCTTTGGCCAGATGAGAACAGTGAAGAGAAGCTCATAACACACAAGCATAGAGCGGAAGGAGGAAAGAAACAAAAGTTCTCTGCCACCTGCCGCTTTGTATTTGCCATTGCTAGTTACTGTCAGGTACCCAGCCTCCCATTGAATCAGGGGTAGTTTGGGTGATATGGTGTACCGCTGGGATTATTGGAAATTAATTTGTGAAAAAGTCCAACACTAAATTTTTCTGCTTACTGTAACCTTGTAACTAAAAAAAACAACCATCACGTTTTAAATTGAGCCTTTCCCTCGGATTTGGTGGTCCAATCTGATTGGGATCTTCATGGGACTAATGTCTTTATTGACTAAGACCTCTGAATATTATTAGGTACACACTACTGTAAATGTGACCTTTTTATTGCATAGTTTTTTTTTTAATTTGGATTTTTTTATCTTTTTCTAATCTTACTCCAGATTTTGATTTAGAGCAGATCATCCCCAGTACACATATGATAAATTATAAACAATATATATATATATATTAATGTAGACACGTAGGCAACCAGGAAAAAATACCAAAACCCAGGGTCTCTTGGGATTTATACATGTACACACGTAGGAATAAATAAACTATCCCCAAACCAGTGCCCCAATTTGATTCAAAAGTCTGAGGGTGTAGATTTCATTGTCCTCACAACATTGACTGACCTGATCCATTTGCATGGCATTAGAGTCTATTAATTGTATTCCTATGGTATGTACCCATCTTGACTGCTATGATTGAGCCTAAACTAGTTTGGGTGCTGGTGAGGCTCATGCTGATTAGGTGTCTGAACTTGGGCAGTATCCAAAACTTGATTTTATTCCATGACTAGATAGTGCTACTTGTATGTTTGGATGGCAAGCTTTTGCATCATAACCTAGAGTCAAGTGTATTGTATGGTGTACACATTTGATGACATGGAAAATTAATCAAGGATGAAGCAATCAAATATCATTTTTAAGAAACATAGGCCTGCCTGCCAAAAATCTCATCTGGGGCCTTGAAATGCTTGGTTGCTTGTTAGATGGCAATTGATATCTGATACAATGGCCGTGTAGCTTCGACAATTCTCTGCCTGACAATTGGTTACTGATCTATACTTTCTATCTTTAAGGACATCGGATGTTATGCAGGGTTTCAAGGCTAATCTTGGTTTTGTATGAGTATATTGTGTTATATGTGTGTTTTCCGTTTTTGTTGAAGTTCTAGGTGTTCTAGTCCTTAAAAATTTTAGTGGAGCTCATGTCTTTGCATTGACCTTCCATTTTAGTGGAGTATTATTCTTTACTCACAATACGATGCCTTTCTGTGTTTTCTTTCTTCCTTGTATAATTAGTATGTATAGGGCTTTGCAGAGTGCAGAAGTTTCGGTGGAACAGTTCAATTTGAAGAGATGGTGGCACTGACCGCACGGAGAAGCAGGCTTCATCCAGGAACTCGGTACCTTGCTCGAGGCCTGAATGCATGCTTCAGCGCAGGTCATAGATCTGTTCTCAACTAATGTTTTGACAAATACGGTGAATATGGTTATGGAATAACCATATTATTTTCAATTACTTCCTCGCCTAGTTAAACCTGTAACTTCAAATTAGCTGCTGTATATTAGAATTCCCAGTGCTAATCATCATTGATGTGGGCTCTCTGGTTGTCAGTTTCATTCGTCAATTATTTCTCAATGGATTTTTAATTACATGACTGGGAATCTTCCTTTCATCGGTGGCCAAAAGCCCAAGTATTCACCGAACTCATTCCGAGTTTCAATCGAACTGCTGGCACCCGTTTTTCCAAGCTCTTGCTCTTAGGGCAGATAGATGGTCAGCTTAGCTATGAATTTGACATGACACGGTCCCTCTGAAGAGTATGATGTTTGGCTTTTTTCTGTTTAATAGAGGCAAGAACTTGTTTGGATGGTCTTAACATGAGATGATTGTGGTTGTACTGTTGGAAGCCCAAAACACCACCAAAATGATTATTCTCAGTGGACAACTTTGTTTGGCGTCAAACTGAGAACCTTGGTTGTATTCCCTTATATGAATGTCCTCATGTTTTCGTTTTCTGGCTATTCTTTACAAGATTAGTTTACTATTAAATAGAATTATCCTGGCGATATGTGCCTAGATGTATTGATACAGATGACTTCCAGCTAACTAATAGCTCGTGGTCTTAGAGTACTGATATGTTCGCTTTTAAATTCTTGATGGTTCTAGTATACCATTAGGAGTGGGGTGCACTTGTTATGAGACAGGCCTCGCTCTTGACCGGAAGGAATGTGAAGGATGAATCATGTTATGATCTATTAACATGGGACATGGTGAACAGCAGGCTACTTAAAAAATATAAAGTTAACATTTAGTAATATCAATAAAAAATCTGATGCATGGCCATCATTTATTATTCTGTTATACACGAATTATAGCTTTATTACTTAGTTGTATGCATTCAAGATGTGGGTGGTCTTGACTTCTAGCGGCTGTCTTCCTTTTTAAAATTTTCACTAGAATTATTATTTTATGTCCATTTATTTTTTAGTTATCTCCATGGGGACAACTACATTGTAGACCCGTGGTACCCATGGTCGATGTTCTTATCCTGTTGTTTGGGTTACCTCAATGATTTTAAGTTTCCATCTGGGGAAATCTTCTATTGTGATGCGGCATGCTAGGAATAACTAGTTTATCATGATTAGCATTTTGTTGAAATTACGTAATGAATTTCAACAGGAAATGAAGTGGAGTGTGAGCAGTTAGTGTGGATCTCTGATGGAACTGGGAAAAATATTCCTTTTAGCTCTTACATCTGGAGACGAGGTACTGTTCCAATATGGTGGGGTGCTGAGATAAAACTCACTGCAGCAGAGGCTGAAATATACGTGTCATCCCAAGATCCTTACCGAGGAAGTGTGAAGTATTATGAGAGATTAAGCAAAAGATATGATAAACAGAATTCAGATTTAGCCACGTTTAAGGGGAAAAAAGAAACTCTGGTCCCTATTGTATGCGTAAATTTGCTTAGAAACGAGGAAGGAAAATCAGAAACCCGCCTAGTTGAACACTTTTCCGAGTCTTTGAATTACATTAAATCAAGTGGAAAACTCTCTGACACTCAGTTACATTTAATCAACTTTGACTGGCATGCTAGTGTGAGGTTGAAAGGGGAGCAGCAGACAATTGAAACTTTTTGGAAATATCTCAAATCGCCAACAATTGGTGTTGGTTTCTGTGAAGGCACATATTCCCCTTTGCCGCCGCAACTCAGAAAGTGCAAAGGGGCTGTTGTGCATGTTAGTGACGTTGAAGGTGGTTTCTGCTTGAGAACACTTCAAAACGGGGTAATACGCTTCAATTGTGCAGATTCTTTAGACAGAACAAATGCTGCTAGTTATTTTGGATGCCTTCAAGTTTTTGCTGAACAATGTAAACGATTAAGGATTTCTCTTGATGAGGATGTGATGTCTGATTTCCTGACAAATCGACATAAAGAGTCAGGTTCTTATGCACGGTATACTGGTTCTTTACCCCCAGGATGGGAGGAACGTTCTGATGCTGTGACAGGGAAGCCCTTCTATATTGATCACAACACGAGGACCACTACTTGGGAGCACCCTTGTCCTGACAAGCCCTGGAAAAGATTTGATATGACATTTGATCAGTTCAAGAATTCAACAAAATTGTATCCAATAACTCAGTTGGCTGAGCTTTTCCTCCTAGCTGGTGATATTCACGCAACACTTTACACTGGATCGAAAGCCACACACAATCAGATACTTAATATATTTAATGATGACAGTGGAAAGTTTAAGCAGTTTGCTGCTGCACAGCATGTGAGGATTACACTTCAGAGAAGATACAAAAATGTGGTTGTTGATAGTTCACGTCAAAAGCAGTGGGAAATGTTCCTCGGAATAAGGATGTTTAAGCATCTCCCATCAGTCGCCGTTCATCCCTTGCAGGTAGACATTAGTACTCTGATTTTTTTTTCTTTTCTGTCTACTGCAATAAATCATTAAGCATGCCAAAATCCTCTTAAGCGAAAGTGGCATGTGCCGAAGGATTCTTCTAAAGTTATGAGCAGCATCTACTTTACATTCCATGGAAATTTTATCACGTGCTAATTTAGCCTAGTGACATTCATGAGAAAATTATACACACAAAAGGTGAAAAATAAATATTCCTTCTTTGTGAAGCATCATAAAGTACTCTGTCTGATTAGAACCATATTAGGTTTTCTTTGTGCTGAGAAACAAAAATTCGCCCTTAGACAGGCCTATTCTCATATCTTTTGTTTGGTGTGTATACGTCCCTTGGAATTGATTTTTAAAGTCTAGTGCCAATAAATTTTATGTTTAGTCAATGGTTTAACACCGCCCATAGCTTCTAAGCGCATGCTAAAATAATTGTAATTAGATCATTCGTTCTTTATTTTTATTTGGTGAGAGACTATCTGAGACAATGGTAACAAATAATTTGCTTTAATTAAAGGTTATTTATTTATTCTTCATGATGAATCCATCGAGAATGACATCCTTTCATTGGATGGCAGTTGATACGGCAGGATATTTAATTAATTTAGTTGACAAGTTAGCCTCTGTCAGTTAGTGCAGTTGGTATTCTGATCCTAGTGGACTCTATTTGAGTCCCAGTTCTTTCATTCCAAACCTCCAAGGCATTCGTAACCTGCCATTGCTGCCTCACCATTGTGCAACATTGTCTTCTTATATGTAAGGGGGTTCTAAAAGGTACACTCATAAGTATCTGTAGTGTCACTGGTGTCTCATCCTCAGTGACCATAATACACAGTGGGAGATATCCAAACTGTTACTTTTTAGGGGAGACACTAGAAAGAAGTTGGCTCATATAACCAAGACCTTGGCGTTAGGATGATGAACCATCATTTTCCCCATAATACTCATAAATAAGTCCATTGTTGCCAATATTGATGTAGAAATTGTAATATTTAAGCTAATGGAATGCTGAATTTCTTTTCTGTTCATTGATAGGTATTATCAAGGCCACCTTCATGTTTTCTAAAACCACTAGGTAGCATGTTTCCGAGTTTGAAGGGTGAACCGAATCTTCTTAGTTTCAAGAGGAAAGGCGCAACATGGGTAAAGCTCTATCACTTTTCTCTGCTTAATTTTTTGATCTCGTTCTGTCTTGGTTTCCACTTTACTCTTCTCCAATTGAGAATTTAGGTCTAACATATACCAGTTTGGCTGGCTGTTCACGCATGCATATGGTCTGCTCAAGAGAACGTCAGTAAGAGAGTTCCAAAATTTCCAAAAAGGAATGGAGTTTCAGTTTTATTGTGTGGTTGCCTAAAATGGAAATGGAGGGTGACTGGACAACCCATTTCTCCTAGAAATTTTACTGACAACAGTTAGGTTCCCTTATCATTAGAAAAATAGAGACTCTTGATAGCATTTCTTGTTTCGGTTTCAGGTATCCTCTACACCTGCGGATGTTCTGGAACTTTTCATTTATCTGGAAGAGCCCTGCCACGTTTCTCAGATTCTTGTCACAGTTTCGCATGGTGGTGATGATTGTTCATTTCCAGGAACGATGGATGTGAGGACAGGGTGCAATTTAGATACACTTAAGCCTGTCCTTGAGGTAACTCCCACTTTGAATTTCTTACCATGTATTCTTCTTTTCTCTTGATATATAAAATTAGCAAGACATCAGCTATGAATTTTTCGTTTGTAAAATGGTCAATGGATATTCTCTGTCATTTTATATTTTCCTGTCAGATTGGTAAATTGTTTGTCGGGATCAGAATGCTCTTCTATTACACGTGCTTAATGTTAGTTGCCCGTACATTATGTTCCTACTGCATATGCTAGTAAAATGTATCATTTTGATTTTTATACATGTTTTATCATCTCAAGCCCTTTTCTGTGTTGGCTTGATTATATTTCACAGCGAATGACATACACGATGCTGTCATCAGTCATTCTTTTCCGTGGTACTATTGTTCTTCCTAAAGATGGATGATGGAAATAAAGTTTATATTTGTTTAGGCTATACAAAATGAGTTGAAGTATTTTTGGTATAAAACCTGTATTTGTTCGTCCGATTGATTCCATGTTTGTAAATTTTGTTACTGTTTGATGTACGTCATGAGACAGGACAATTTCTTAAGTGCCCTTGTTTTAGTACAAAGCAGTCAATGGCTAATTATCCACCTGAGGTTGAACTATTGCGCAGGTTAACTAAATCCAACCAAATTTCAAGCGTTTGAAGGCTCATTAAAGCTAATTAAAATTCATAGTGTGTATTTTACATGTATATAATACGAAATAGTGGAATGGCTGAACAGGATTACGTACGTGTTGACAATAGATGTTGTTGTTGTGAAGTCCACTGTCTATAAAATTAAATATTGAATTTCCTATTCATTCATTTAAACCTAAATTGAACCATGTGACACTAAACGAGCATATAAATGAAAACACTGAAATTCCTTGTTTCTATTTATATCTGACAAACTACAAAGTTGGGATTAAAATTTTGAAATTGATAAGGTATATTGAGTTGAATATGACGTTAAAAGGTGTAAATTTCCTCCTTGCATCTCAATTTATGTTTCCACTTTTTGATTCAAAGATGCAGGAATACTCTACTGACGTTATCAAATTCCAAAGTACTTTAGTCTCAGGCAAACTGTGAAAGATTCTGTCCCTTCTTGTACAAATAAATAGATGTGAGGAACCAGTAAACTTCGTACATTTAAACTCAAAAGCAAACCATAACTAAATACTTATGGTTTACATTGGGGCGAGTAATTTTGACGTGATACCTTGGTTCTTTTTTATTTGAAATCAATCATGAGAAAACTTTGAAGAGCATTACTTGTTTTACTGAGCCAAAGCAGGTGAGAAACATATTTAATTAAGGCACATTAAAGTCTTAATTTCTTAATTATTAGGCAACGTAGTGTATATTGGAAGTCATGATATGCAAGTATCCACTTTCTAAATTGGAAGCTTATGTCAAACTAATTTTATTCAATGATATTCTTTAACAAGTTACGGACAAATTTAAAATGAAAAAAATTGATTTGTGAAGCAGTTACCATTTTAAAATATCCCGATAAAACGATTAGTATCGTTAATATCGTATTTACCCAACAACTTTTAGATCGTGCATCAAATGACCGATCTCTCAGAAAGAAGCATTTTTCATGCATGTATGGGTAAGTTCGTAGTTCTAATTCACAATTTTTCTATTGATGACTTATGTGATCTCAGAGTAGATTTTTGGAGTTGACTCCTAACATGACGGTAAAGGTCGCAAACAAGTTTGCCAAGGTTCTAATATGACTGAGGCCAGCACCTCTTTGACCTGCTCACCATGTGACCCCAATGCCTTGCCCTCCTACAGTGCCTTGTTGCGTAAGATATTCCTTGATAACCATTGTGGTAGACATCTTTATAGATTAGAAATGGCCAGAAGGTAACCTTACTCCTCAGCATTAATGCGAAGGATGCTCCTTCCACGCATATGTTGATGATGGGATAAGACAGTAGGGGGTTTATTTGATGGCAATCAGTTTCTTCTCCTTCCATTGCTTAAGACCTTACTGCTCTATGGCAAGGAACTGTGTACTTGTATGGCTCTGTGAGGTGGGCAGGAACAGATGAAATCCATCTCCAGCGTAAATCCTTTTCTTCAGAAAGTTATGGTGATAAACGAAGATTTTGTGACTGCCAAAGCTGTAATCCGTTTTTTTCTTCAAGCTCTAATTTTGGCAGATTTCCAGAGGAAGACAATCTGAATCGCTTAATCCGGAAGTTATTTGTTGAAGGATTTATTTGGGTGAAGGCAGATTATTGGAAGATCTTGCCTTACATGAGGCTGAAAGATATAGCGAAAACAGGCTTTTGTAAAACTGACAATAGGGTGATAGCATTTTTCCTGCAAATATAGAAGTTGTCACGAGGCAATGGAAGAGAAGTGGTGCCAAGAATGGAAAAGGAATTGTTATTGCAAGCCGTATAGCCAGTCAATCAGTTTCATGAAAGTGACGTGTTGGAGTTTAATACAAGAGTGAGTGTATGATAATTAAGTCAATATTAGGTGCTCTTCGAAAAATATTAACAAGAGACATGCCCCACGTGGACAGGAGAAGAAGAAGAGGTAAGGAGAGGAGAATTGGAGGAAGAACAAGAGAAAAGGAAATCTAAATGTGCTGCCGCTTGGGCTGAGGTGGGGGGAAAACTTAATTAAAGATTAAAGAGTGATTTTATTGGTCAAAACTCTACTGTATTTTTATTCTATTAACGTATTTATATGAGCATGTAAAAAAGTTTTAGATTCTTTCATGAATCAAGCCCTTCAGAGTAACTTTTCCTTCAGCTTTTGGCTGTGATTTCAGAATGTTATTATGGGGAGCGTAGTTCAATAAGAACATATGGCAAATCAAATGCACGAGTTCTATGTTTTTTGTTCTTAATGTTGTCCTTTTGAGATTGCGGGCAGTAGGACTGATCAGATTGACGAATTGACATTTGATGTCCATTATGACATCAATAACATGTAACTTCAGATTTCTTTTTGAGCAACTCCGTGAATTCTGTGCATCAGTGTATTATTTACCTTTTGGTTTCTTTCTTCATGTAGGGGGCCTATCTACCACGGTGTTCAAATGGAACCAACCTCCTCATACCTTTGGCTGGTCCAATGACTCCTGAGGATTTGGCTGTTACTGGTAGCTGTACTCGTCTTGGCGCCCAAGAAAATTCCTATCATCCTTTGTTGTATAATTTTGAAGAACCAGAGGGAGATTTGAACTTTCTTACCCGCATTGTTGCTCTTACTTTTTATCCAGCAATCATTGGAAGATCCCCTGTTACCCTTGGTCAGGTAAAAAATTAGTTTTATCAAAATTTTCCCAACTTTAAATGTACAATAGGGCCACTTTATCAATAATCTAATAGTTTTTTATTCATGAATTAAACTCATCTAGGTTTACTCGTGCATTGGTGAAACCAGTTTGGTGTATCTTATTGGCATGGACATAAGCAGAATTAACGGAAGATAGAGGCATGCATATTACTTGATCAAGTGAGGGTCATTGATGCCACTATCAGATTGTAAATATCTTATTGGCATGGCCACTTTTTCATAGTGACCAGTGACTTATGGCTAATATTGAATTTAGCCCACAAACGGTTTAACTCAAAAACCATTAACTGGTTAGCTTGGTCAAGATTTTTAAAAACAGAATGTACATCACTGGTGCTTTTGACGAGTTTAGTCGCCAGTTAGTAGTGACGTCAGTGACCATTTATTAAACTAAAAATATAACAAAAAAGGATTGGCACCACAGTATGGAATACAATCCTCTTCCAATTACCTAGCAAACGTCATTAGAGAGTGCGCCTGGAGAACTCAAGGCTCCTATTCACAGACTTCATATGTTTGTGAGTGACGTGATTCCTGATCTTATTCTATCCTGCTGTACTTTGGTGTAGCTACTTTTGCCCAAGAATTGACATGAAGCCTACCAACTGTCCACAGCCTTCTGCCGATTGTGGCGGGTCCATGATACGTCCCAATATTTGTCCTACCAAACCTATCCCCTCCCACATTAAAAGATATACTAGAACGTGGGATCCTTTCCAAAATCCTCCTCAATTTTTGCTTCAGAAATCACTGTCCACAGGTTGGCTTTGTTTGTTGTCATTTACATCTTGACTTTGTTTGTTGTTATATATATTTTTCTGGAACAACATTTTCTATTGTTTTTTAGTCATGAATACACTCCACAACTTTTACAGATTGAGATACTAGGAGTTTCTCTTCCTTGGAGGGGGATCTTCTCGGAGGAAGGTGTGGGGTGGAATTTTATTGAAGAAGTACGAAGGCACAAAAGCAGGTCGAACCCTTCTCTATGTGGCTCCAGCATTAATCATGTTACAAACCCGTCTCATGATTCAGATATCAGAAATTTTAAGTGTAGGTCTACATTCAATGAAAGTGTCCTCCCAGTGGGTCAAAATATTTTCACCCATGGAAGTTATTCTCTAGTTGGAGAATTCAAATCCATTCATCCTACAACGCAATCCAATTTGACAAACATACAATATGCCATATCTGGTGACAAGGATTTAACAGATTTACCTGGAATCAGTGCATCTGATGAGTCACCAAAAACAGCAGATCCCGCAAATTCTCAGCATGAAAATCAGATGCCTAAACACGGCAGTGGTACTCAGCATTATTTGGATTGCTTTCCACGTCACTCTGATAAGGTATGCACTTTTTTTATTTCTTTTCATCTGCATTCCATGGAGTTCTATTTGTTCTCTAGAAAATTATTATTTGTGAAGAAATCCTTTTGAAGGTATTCTTAGCTAATTATTCTTGGGGTTTATTGCCATGGTTTCTGGAAGTTAAGGTATTCTTAACTTAAGGACAGTATTTATTTTTGTGTGTCTAATCAGATTGAGGGTTGATATTATCTGTTGATTGCATTTTATTTAAGGGGATTATGCAACATTGTTAACCTATAGATAAGTAATGTTCTTATCATGATTTCTTTTTGATAAATTCAAGGCATATAATTATTGTACATATATTGTCTACAACTTAAAATGCAGATAGCATAGCAGAGTTTTCCAGTGGTTAGACACACTTTGTCTACTTTACTCTTCTTAAAGCCTCATCCCTAAGCTTTGTTAACTTTCAATCAGTACAACAATTGAACACTAGGGTGTTAGCTCACCTCTTCCAAATTTCATTGCTCTAAGTCAATGTGGTGTTTCTCGCACTACAGCTTTAGGTGACCCCAAGCGTCTGTGAGGCATGATCCTTCAATGATCAAAAACTAATCGCCAATAGTCAGATACAGTTGTTCTAACAACTAATAAGCATCCAAGTCGTTTTCTCTATTTTGTCACATATCATTAACATTATTGGGATTGTATTGTTCTTTGTATTAGGTGAGTTGACTCTTTTTCCTAAACAAAAAATAGACAATTCTATTTGCTTGTGATGCCATGGAAAGGGTTAGTATAATACTGCAAAGAAAAAAATATTTTTTCTAGAAAAATAATCATTTTACCCTTTTCTATTTTGTCAATATGAAAATATGAATGAATCCAAAAGCTAGCAGGAAGCATTGTCCAAAATTTTATTGAAAACTTTGAATTGATGTGAAGTTTAATAACTGGGAAGAATCAATCCAAGGCTCAAACACGTTGATATGATCCTATTCATTGCCACATCAGGTTCTCAATCAATAACCTGTACAAGTTGACTTTATTTTCCGGCAGTTCCAGTGCATTATATCTTTAACTGCAGGTCTTGCTGACAGCCATCTCTGTATCTCTTTGGATGTAGAACGTTGGGAAACATGGTCCATTCTTGCCAGTTAGTATGAGTCAACCTGATACAGGAAATAATGCTAGTAAATCTTTTTTCTTGCTAGCTACTTCGGGCCTTAGGCATTAAAAAAAAAGTATCAAAAAGTGTAGATGCAAAAAGAAAATCTCTGGCTCATTCCAAATGACTTAAAGGTTCACATGAAGGATGAGCTATCAAAATCAAAGCTCCCTTTCTATGAGTCCATTTCTTTTGGAGGGTACCAACAAAAGTAAATTGTGTGGAGACATTACTGTCGAATATCTCATAAATAGTGCACTGTCCAGATTTTTTATCTTTGTCCTACTATCCTGGGTTCCAGGATGTGTTGATACTACTCAAATGAAGACCTAGCCAATTACAAGTATGAACTCTTCCATCTGAGATCCTTCACGTTACTGTCCCCTGTTTTGATGGAGATGAGGATCCCCAATTCTGAGATACCATGTTGAACCTTGTTCCTGTCTCTAATAATAGAGAAGGGTGACTTTGGTATTTATCTGCAACCTTTATTTCTCCTTCACTTCCACGAATTAGACCTAAAATAGGCAAGAATTCTTCTGTGAGTAGGACAATAGGTAGGCAAGGTGTCTAATTTCTTTCTTCCTCTGAATGTTGGGCACTAGATCCCTCCTAACACACTACGGCCAAAAGCATCTGTCAGTATAGTGCTGTAAAATCTTCTAGTATCCTGACAAGTTGTTGAAATTTTGTTTTAGCATTCAGGTTTGACACAAGAAACCTATCTTTATAAAATTATGAGAAAATAGTCTCGCTTGGGTGAGTCATTTTGGGTCTACTATGGAGTTTTCCCATTAAACTTTTTCTGGGACCCTTAGATCCTTGAAATACAAAATATTGGCTCTCGAATCACCAAGTGGTATGTCCACATTTTTTTAGCTATTCTAGAAATGAACAAACTAAAACTATTCAAAATAGTTCCACACGTTATCTCTGGAATTGTAGACTAGGATGTGTTTAGCTTTTAGTCTGTATACTAATGATACCTTGAATCCTGTTGACAGGGACGTAGTTTAGACTTCGTGGAAGCTATGAAGCTTGAGATTGAACGGCTTAAGGCAAATGTTTCTGCTGCTGAAAGAGATAGAGCTTTGGTCGCAGTCGGCATCATTCCTGCTACTGTTGATCCTAATCGCTTACTTGATGATTCCTACTTGTTCAGATTATCCAAATTAGCAGATAGTCTCGCTTTTCTGGGACATTCCGCCTTTGAGGACACTGTTATTGGTTCAATTGGTCTTGATACCATAGAAACTTGTATTGACTTCTGGAACTTGCATATGTTCGAAGACACTTGCGTTGGTGCAGGTTGCGAAGTCTGCTATGAAACAGAACAAAACGCAGGGTTGCCTAGTTCGGTATCTTCTTGTCAAAGTAAGCCCTCGCTTTTTGTATGCACTTTGTGTGGTAAGAAGGCTTGTAAAGTGTGTTGTGCTGGGAAAGGAGCTGCATTACTTTCCGGCTTTAACTCGAAGGAAACAAAAAACTTACCTGGTCCTTCAAGCCAGAGTCCGCTAAGCCATGGCCGTGGTGAAGTCAGTTTATGTTTTTCATCTAGGTCAGATGGATTTATCTGCCGATTGTGCTGTAAAGAGGAGGTTTCTCATGCATTGTATGTGGATTATGTTAGGGTTTTGACTAGCTTGCGAAGACAAAATCGTGCAAATTTTGCAGCATTTGAGGCGTTGAACCAGCTTGTCGGTTCTGAAACAAATAAGTTTTCTCATCAGTCCGAGAGGGCCAACAATTGGTTGAGAAATATGTTGAATGGAGAGGAATCCCTGGCAGAGTTTCCCAATGCGAGCCTACTACATTCGGTATTGTTCTCAATCCTAAAATTCTAACGTGTTATCTGACAGCTTATCTCAAAGCTATATTGTGTGTGAATAAATATGGATACATAGATAATGTATTTCTTAATATCATCATTTTCACTCCGACTTTTTATCTGTTGTTTCTTTATGAGTCTGTAAACCAATTCTGCCTTATTTTATCTTGTGTTTGATCCGGTATTCTGCCCAGCAGGCAAGCTGACAAACACACTAATGTTCCCCTCCACCCTTGGAATATCTTATTTGCATTTATGTTTTAAATTACATTATTTTTTAATTTTCAATTTATAAAGGGTGCTCTAACATCGTTCAAAAGTAGTGTACGTGTAATACATAGTTGGCAATAATTTGAACGAGAAAGAGGCCCTGATATTGAGTTAGAGGTTTTATTTTTTCTGAAACTTTGGAAAACTCAGTTTCAGGAGAATAAAAATCGTGGAAAGGCGGAGAAAAGGGATGTCATTTGGATTCAAACTGAGACAATGATAAAAGAAATATAAAAGGTTATGGAAGTATAAGAAGTGTAGTGCACAGTCCGATGGAGAAAGATAGGTGAACAGTTCAATTATGGCAAAAGTTTGTATTGTCCGAAAAAGATCTGACGCAATATGCAGACCCCATTTCCACATGAAATTTTTTTAAATTCCTTACTTCTCTCATTCCGGCTGAGATATCCACTACACTAAATGACGTACATAAAATGGCATGAGAGCATAAAAGGCTACCCAAACTCCTACAGAGACCAAATTAGCCAAATTTGGAGTTAAATTGATGAACCAAAAATGAGAATTATCAATACTGATCCCATATTGTGATTGTTCAGTGGTCAGCTTTAGTCTTAATTTAGAAAATGATTCTCTACAGAAGCCAAGGCATCTTTGCTCGTATATCATGTTGTCATATTAGGAAATGAAGCACTGTATACAGTTGGTACCGATTAGAAGACAAACACATAGTATTCAACTGAGTTAACTGAAAAAGACTGTCTTCTATGCTAATTTTTTCTCCTCCATTGTATTATTCTATGGTTTTCTCGCAATAGTTTCTCATCTGATCCCACGTTTCTATCATGTGTTGTTTTAGAAATGATTTGAAGTGATTTTGAACCCTTTATTGGTTATGTGACGACTGGAAGTGTCGTGAGATTTGTTGAAACTGTCATTGTACGCTTGGGGAGGGAATGCTCATTCCAGAATGTGAAAGGAGATAAATAAACCCTTACAAAGCTCAGGCTTCAAAGTACTTGTACTTGTCTTCGTTAATTAATGGGTACATGTCGTTTGTCAATGTGGCTAGAAATATGAACATTACCAGTTACTTTCTGATTTTTTTCAGTTTACATCATCCCGTCCCAGATTTGTCTCCTCTTAGACACAAAGTCACACTTTTCCAAGAGGTGTCAATTGACATTTATTTAACGTTTACAAAAAGATATCTTATATGTTCTATTGTCCTCAAGCTTGTGCAAAGGAAGGCAGGCATTATCTCATAACTCGAAAATGTACTGTATGATATTTTGGTGAGATCTGTATCATTTTTAAACCGCATCTGGTTGAGCTTCTTATTTAAACAACGATGATTTGAACATTTAGTTGGTATTTTAAGATATGTTTTACACATGTGTGTGTCATGGCAGATCCAAACTGCAGCAGGCTCAGAACCACCATTGTCGCTCCTCTGCCCAGTAGTTTTTGGGGAATGGCATTCTTATTGGAAGGCGATTCCTGGTTGCAAGAGTGTTGAGTTTCGCATAGTTCTGGGGAGTCTGTCTGATGTCTCCGGAATCATCCTGCTAGTTAGTTCATGTGGCTATTCATCATCCGACTGTCCACTGGTAAGCATATTTCACCTTTTGTAGTCCTTATTTTCCCATTGTTCAACGTACCATTTACTGCTGTGAAAGGGTACCCAAGACTGGTAACATGTTTTTTTATAGGAGCCACCTCTTCCTCCATGTCTGTCCTCTTGGCCCTCAGCGCTAACAGGGACATATATCTTCTTCTTTTTTTACATACATCCCCTTCCTCCTTCGTCTATGACTGTTGCCATCATTCTGCATCGTCTGTGTCATCCGTCCAACTTGGGAAACTTTTGGCTTTACTTTTTAAATCCGATGATATCACATATTTGCCTAATATTCACATGCAGGTAAAGATATGGGCTGGAAATAAAATAAAGACGGAAGAGCGTTCCTGCATGGGAGAATGGGATGTGCAATCATTAATTGCAATGTCCGATATTTATGGACCTGAAACATCTGGGACTGATAGAGATTCACCAAGGCATATTAAGTTCCATTTTCAGAATCCTGTTCGGTGCCGGATCATATGGATAAAGTTGACTCTTCCAAGTTCTGGGCCAGGTTCTGCAAATTTGGCAAGAGAGTGCAATCTTCTATCTCTGGATGGATCCCTTTCCCAACCTCATCAAGTCACTTCTCTCAGTGATCCATGCATCCACGCCAAGCGCCTCATAGTTTTCGGAAGCCGTGTGTTGAAAGAGTCACTGATCGATCCGCCATCTGAGAACATGAACACAAATGCCCGGATAGAGAGATCTCCAAAGATGTGGCGTTTCAGGGTGAGAAATTGTTCACTCCATGCGAGAACAACAGACCCCCATGTTTTTGACTAAATATTTTTCCATCTAAATCGTTGCAGGTTCCAATCGAAGCAGAAAGGCTAACTGGGAATGACCTAGTCCTGGAGCAGTATCTGCCAATTGGTTCACCTCCATTAGCAGGATTTCGTCTGGATGCTTTTAATATAATAAAGCTAAGAATAACCCATTCACCAGTATACAAGGACATGGGCATATGGAACTCGTCTTTAACCTGTCTGGAAGACAGATACATACATCCAGCGGTCTTGCATATGCAAGTCTCAGTTGTACAGGTGCCTATGTTTCATGAATATTCATATTGATTATTATAGAAATTAACATTTCGGTATAAAAAATAAAAAATATTCATCAATTTTCAGTATATAATGTAGATTTTCTTTGCGCTTGAAATGAATTTCTGTGTCTGAGCTGCAACGCCCAGAAATTATTTTACAGCGACGGCTAGCAATTTTCCAAGTTCGGAAATTATTTTACAGTTCTGATTTCGTTCTTGTGATCTTCCCAGGACTCCCGCAATTGGGTTATTGTCAAAGAATATCGCTTGCCAGAGGTACGACCAGGGACAGCAATGTACTTTGACTTTCCGGGAGTTATCCAGGCACAGGCTGTGGCTTTCAAACTGCTCGGTGACGTTGCTGCATTTTCTGACGACCCAACCGAGGAGGAATCGAGTCTCCGATCACTTGCTGCAGGACTCTCCCTGTCAAACCGAATCAAACCGTACTACTACGCCGACCCAAGTGAGGTTGGTAGGCTCGCGAGTTTCTCTGCAGTCTGAGGAGGAAGCTATGGTTTTCCGTCGAGTTCTGTACGTGGTGAATATGTCGGCGGGTCTCTGTCGCGGGTATCTCGGCGGTGTATATGAAAAAATTTCGCCGATAATTCCATACCATACAAAATGTTTGCCGTGTATACTTCATCGGTCTTGAAACCCTAGCCGACCCCATTCCTATACTAAAGGGGAGGAGGAACCCATTTTCTAGAAGCTCTTTTACCCTTGTATAATTATAGAAATCTATATTATTTTTTAGAGTACGGAAAAACCCATCCAACAGAATTTTGCGATATGATTCGTATTTTTCGCTTTTTTCCCCTATGGTTCGAGGATAATTACCCAGGGCTGTGACTGATGCAGAGCCCAACAAGGCCCAGCTTCATAGCTTCATACCCTTTCCGGCTTCATATATCAAAGCCCATTCCGTGGTAAGGAGACCCTCCGGTATTTCGAGTCAGCACTATATGTATATATATCGATCTCTTCACGCCCAGTTGTAAGGTGGGTCCACTGAGGCAAGAAAAAGAACCAAGTTTTTTCTATCTACGCGCCTCGTGGTTTAGAAAAAGAAAGATCCAATAAGTCGCCATTCTGGCTGTACGAGCAGGAGATCGGAGAAAAGGCAAGCTACGTGTAGTTTGGCTCGGTAAAGCAGCTCGCCCGTGTGACAGGCGATGTGCATGTTCATGGAACAGTTGATTACAACTCGCCCGCCCTCGCGGCCTGCCGGAGCACCCGCGGCCCGCCGTCGTCGGCGCCGCCGGTAAGACTCTTCCCCTTCCCCGGGCGCGGCTGAGGGGGGCGCAGAGCCCCCACCTGCACCACGTCCGCCGGCGGCCCGCAAATGCCCACAGCATGCTTCATCCAGAAACCGTTCACCTTCGTCGCCGTCTTCCTCCGGTTTGCCTCACCGCCGATCATGGCCCCCCGGCTGCGCTGGCTCCCGTTTTCCCCCTTGTCATGACGCCTCTCCGAGGGGCCCCTCTCTGGACGTGAAGATCTCGGCAGGTCCGAGGCGCCGCCGACGCCGCCGCTGCCTGCCGCAGCGGCGGCCTCGAGCTTGAAGCGAGACGGCCGGGGCTCGCGCAGCGGCTTAGGAGTATGGACCTCGCGCGCGGGCATCCCCTCGTCCCCCACGCCGCGCTGGTACCACGCCCACGCCGCGGCCTTCACCAGCGCCAGCCCCTCGTCGGAGCCCGTCCTCCGTTTCCTCCTGTCCATCCCCATCGACACAGAGAAGAATCGCCACCCAACGACCTTCCTACTTGGAGAAACGGGAGCAGGAACTGAGGTGTGGGTGAAGGAGAGGACACGTAGATTCCTTCCTTCCCTTCCTTCCCATCCAGGCCACTCGCCCAGGGCGGAGGACCGATTCCTGCCGCCTTCGCTTCCTCCCCCTCCCTCCGCATTGAACTCTTTAAGAGCGAGAGAGAGAAAGAGAGAGAGATGATGCAATTACGAAGGGGGAGACCAGAGCGAAGGTTGGGCCCCACAGGAGTCGCTCCCGTGTAGGTGGGCTTTTGTGAACAAGGAGCCCATGTCATAAATGATGCCCTCCCGCGGAGGTATTCGCTCACGAGGAGCCACGTTTGTCCACGTGGCAGGCCCATGGGCTACTAAATGTCCATTAACAGCCTGAATTTCCTCCCTCGGAAGAAAACTTTATTGGGCCCAATGTAACAGTTCATCTATAATGGCGCATATCAAAGTCGAGATTCGCCGGTAAACTTACGAATCCCTTCGAGTGTACACATTCGTACGAATCCCTGGCTGAGGTAAACTTTATTGGGCCCAAACTAATGGTCCATGTATCATGGCCCGTTATTCAATTGTAGAAATCTGTATAAGGCTCGATAGTCGGGGTTTTGCTCAGCCGCCAGCGATCACCCTCGGTCATGGCCGGCGCCGGGGACGAAGCTCGTACTTCCTCCCGCTCGAAGCCAAGCGAGCAGTGTTGTCGTCTCTAGCTCCCTCCGGCAATTCGTAGTCGGGATCTTCTCTGCTGTTGACTTCTTCCGGTAGTTCTTGGTCTATCCATGAATACCCGCTGAAGTCGCTGTCCGCGTCGTCGTTCCATGGTAGAAGATATTTCCCTAAAGGAAGTCACAGATCAGTCTGCACGATTTTCTTTGGTGATTGATCCGCGTTTAGCTTATGATTCTTATGATGCTTCTGATGCCCCGGATCCATACCTGTGTTCTGTTCTATCGCATCGATCTTCTCTGTTAGCCTCTGCAACAGTCGGTGGTTTAACAGCTCGTAGTCTCTGCGGATTTCGCAAGTTGGATTTTGTCATCCAGTACGTTTATTGCGGTAGGGAGAGGACGCTCTCACCTGTACGTGAAAATTGAGTGCAGAATCTGAAGAGCAGAGGCAATTAGGAAGGAAGATCTGAGGAGGGAAATCCTGGATGCGATTCGAGCTTGCTGGTGAACGCCGTCTCCCCCGAGTCGGATCGTCGCGAACTCTACTATGAATGTGATGCATAATCCTGGAGAAGAATAGGTTTCATCAGCGAGGTTTTTCATCTTCCGTGGGGAAAACGATTGGAGGAGCACATACCGAGGTAGAGGCGAGCTCTCACGTTGAAGGCTTGCTTGGTGCTGGTCAGCAAGTAGAGGAAGAAGATCATGCAGGAGTAGAAAAAGATGGATTTGATGAAGCGCGACTCGAGGAGAATGGCATTGTGCAGGGCGAAGAGCTTCTCCAAAGCTGCGAAGATGTTCGCCTGCTTCCTTTCGAATTCTTCCTGCAGAGGAAATTGAGATCTCGAGCTTGATCCGTAGGTTCGACTGAAAGACCCGAGAACATTCCGAGTATTTGAATTCAAAGAAAGCGTGCCTGAGCTGCCAAGATCGATTGCGAACTTTGAAACAGGCGGTTGTGTGCATCCTGGATCTGTTCCTGACTAAGAAGCAGTTCCTCCTGTTGCTTGTGTCCGAATGCGACCAGATTCTGTAGAGTGCTCCTGGAATGAGAACCAGATGGAATCGATGACACTTCCTTTCTCAGGATTATCTTTTTGATCTTCCCCAAACCTCGTACCTGCTTTCTTCAAGTGCATCGGATTGAAACTTGGTCAGATGCTTCAGTTCTTCGAGAGCTCTGGTTTGCCCATCCACCAGTTGCTTCTGATTATCAAGGGAGGTCAGGGCGATGCGTCCGATGTCATCTGCTGTGTTCTGGAGGTTCCGCATCTTCGAGTTCATCAGGTCTCCGACTTCGTTGATCTTCCTACCCATCTCCGTCGCCTCTGATCTGAGTTTCTCCATTCCGGTGCCCAGATTCTCGTACGACTCCTGCAGAACCGCCATGCCTGACTCCAGCTTCTGCTTCATCTCCACCTGCCCCTCCAGAACCGCTCCCTGGGAAACCCTAATCCCCTTAGTCTGCTCAGAGATAACCATTGATTGCTTCAACACATCGACGATCTGAGCTTCTACGTTACTCGACGCTTGCGCCAGCTTCCGAGTCTGCGAATCCACCATGATCAACGAATCCTGGATCTTGCTTGAGCTCTCGAGAAGCAGCTGCGATTTCCCTTCGATGCTTTCTAACGTATCCTCGGCAGCCTGCGCCGATCTCTTCAGCTCATTCACCAGCCTCTCTGTCTCTCGCTTGAAGGCACCAGCCCTGCTCATGGAGATTCAACATCATCCGGACAAGAGAGAAAAGCAGAGAAGACAGTTCAGATCCGAACTCAACTGCAGTTGATGACAGAGGGAGTTGGTCTGGATGAAGAACTGGAGGTAGATCTCGTGCTCGAAGTCGCTGAGCTTCTTCCTGCAATCTTTCATGGCGGATCTGGCGGTGCAGACGGGGACGGCGGGCCGGCCAGAGTCCCTGATGAAGCAGTCGCTGAGTTGCCATGCGAGTCTGGAGTGCTTCTCCTCGTCGGTGATGATCTCCGAGCAGCTGGAGAAGAGACCGCGGTAGGCCTCCTGCCAGCAGGAGTTCAAGGTGAGCAGCTTCGTCCTCGCGTCTGCCAGAATCTTCTTCCCGCTTTCGTCGTTGAAGGGCTCCACAGAGAACTGGGCTCGCCGGTCGTCCGGCGCCGCCGCCGGACCTTCGGATGCCCGGGAGGCGGAGAACGGCAGCCACTCCAAGATGGCCGCTGACCGGCTTGGGATGATGAGAAGGAAGAGAATCAGTGCGAGACTACGGTTGCCCATCGTCAAGTAGGCGGCGATCTGCGAGAACAGCCATGAATTCGGAGGAGATTATCAACTTCTGACTGAAAATTCCTGCATCTCCCGACTCTACGTGCATGAAATGAAAGGGAAGCATTGACGTTGATGAACTTAGGTATCAGAGACAATACACAGAGAGAGATGGGCGACCAGCGTAAAGAGACTATCTTGAGACGGGAGCCCTCCCTTTCTCAGTCGCAGAATCCAGACGAAGAAGAACCGACGGATCGCGCCCCCTACGAGCCCTACGCACGCAAGAGGAAGAGGCGGCGGAGAGCGCCACCCTGACTTCATTTATAGCACCGAGACCCTCCTTCCCGGTTACGTCGGCGGCAACCCGACCGAACGACGCCGCCCCTGGCTACGAACCGGCGCCACAATTACACCAACCGTCACGAAAGATCATCCCTTGGAATTCTCCTCCTTCCCGGCGGAGGTAGGGCGACGAACCGCTGAAGATCCCATCATCGATCGGATTCAATGCCAGAAATACTCCCTAATTTGCCCCCCAATCGTGTTGTACAGAAGGATCTCCTCTGGGTAATCGTCCCCGTCGCCGGTTAGATCAAAGAACGAGCAGAAATGAACAGTCTTGAGGACCAATCGAGAATGAAGATGGTAGGTAATTAAGGCAATAATCAAACCAAAATCTGACGGTGGGACGGAAATCTAAGCCCCCCCCAAGATTCCCCGGCAGTAAACCAGAAGAAATCCACCAAAGGTCCGAGTAGAACACTCACTCCAATGGCGATGAATGGCGAGAACAAGGAAGCATGCCCCTGTACTTGAAGATTATGTCCTGATTTAGCAGGGTAAGCGAAGGATTCCCCACGGCGGTGAGACCAGAATACTTCTGTACAATTTTGGAAATCTATGAATCGGGAGGAGGGGGGAGGAAGGATCAGTCAGACCCACTGCTGCTTGGTCGCCTCCATCCTCTCCAGCAAGCCGGCGATCTCGGCCTGCATCCTCATCTTCATGTTGTGGTAGTCGTAGTGGGAGTTCTCGAGGGTCTTCAGCTCCTCGAGCTTCTTCCTCCTGCGCTCCTCCGTCTCCTGCAAGCAGAGCTTCGCGAGCTTGGTGGCGTACTCCTCCTCCAGTTCCTTGGACTTGGCCCGGGCTGTCTGCAGGTACCGCTCCACCCCCCTCCGCGCTTCGTCGGCCAGCCGCTGGAACAAGTCCGCCTCGGCCTCTTTGAACCGCACGATGCTCTCCAGGCTGTCGTACCCCTCCTTCGGCGGCTCTGATTCGACCACCTTCGTCTCGCTCTTCTTCAGCCCGTCCTTCGCCGGATCCCTAGCGGCGCCACCGGGGTTTACGGCGTTGTAAGCGGAGCCCGTGGCAGACGGCGCAAGACTGTGGACGTTGGCGTCCTCTCGCCGGATCCACGGGGCTGTCGCCTTGTCCTTGGAGACACGGGCGGTAGTGGAGAACTCGGAAGGCCCGCCTGTGGATTTTCCATAAGAAGACACCCAAAAAACAAATCACAGACTGTCACAGGAGGACCCCTGAACGGCATTAAATTCCAGGAATCCAGGATGAATTGATCCAAAATAATTCAAAAGCACTTCTTTTTTTCCCCCAAAAAAAAATTACCAGAAAAGGAATGGAACACAAAGTAAACAACACTCGGAGAACAATACACTATAAAAAGAAAAAATAGTACAAAAAGCTTGATCCGTGCCCAGGAGTCAACGTTAATAGTTCTGCATGTTCTTCACTTTCATCGGTGAGCCTCCAACAAATCAGGGTCAATGCGAGGGGGGGTGTAGGAAAGCTGGCTGCCAGGCTGAGTATTTTCCTGGATCTTGCATGAAAAAAGCTTACTTTGGAAAAAAGATCCAAAGTACTCTAGTTAATTTAATCATTTCGAGCTCGATGCAGCTTAACCAGTCAATGAACGGGGCATATCGATCATATTCTATGTTTAGCTATTTTTTTTCTGTCCATGGCAGACCCTTCAAGCCAAAGGGTAAAAAAGATAGCCTGATGAGAGTATTGACGGGTGAATGACTTCTCTCCCCCCCCCTGCAGGAAGCACGAATAAACCTTACTGAACGCAGATATCTAGGGAAAGGAGACTCACACGTGAGGAACTGCACCATGCTGTTGCAGGCGTCCGCGGGGGAGATGAGCTTCTTCTCGAGCATGATCAGCATGCCCTCGGCCTTGGCATTCAACTCCTTGCCTCTCAAATCCTTGCTGCCCTGGAAGATCTTCCTGACGCAGTCCAGCTCCCTGGAAAGAGTCTCCAAGCCCCAATCCTTGGCACAGGACATGAAGACATCCTTGACGAAGCCAAACATCTCGGAGGCGTGCCCACAGCCGAGGCAGTAGAACTGCATCTCCGTTGACCCTGGCTCTCCTCCGGAGCAGGGCCCTGGCCTGATGACATTCTTATGGATGCCGCAGACGGCGTGGCACCAGTGGGAGCATATGTCGCACCCCACCCAGCTGCAGGTGTTCTGAGCACTGTCGAAGCTCAGGCATATGGGGCACATGCACGCGCTGCAGAAGCCCTTCTTGGTGGAGCAGATCTTGCAGTCGCAGTCCTCAACGGGAAGAACACTCCGGCAGTTGACATTTTTACACCTCAAGAGCAAGAATATCTCGACCAGCTCGGAGGTCGGGAGCCGGGTCTTCCCCGAGAGGAAGGTCGAGAGGCCCGTCTTCACCGCCACCAGCACCTCGAGCTGGAACCGGTTGGCCTTGAGGAGAATCTCCTGCGTGAGGTCAGATCTCCTCTCGAGTTTCCTCTGGAGGCTGGCGAATTCGTCCCTCTTCTCCGGGGCGCCTATCATGTTCCTCAAGTAAACTCTGATGGCCTCAATGGAATCGCCGGGGATCTCCTGAATCTTCTGTGCCACGGCAGGAACCGACTCCAAAGCTATTTCTTTCAAGATCCCATCCGGCACGGTGGGGAGGGCGGCGTGCCTCCACCCATCCGAGCTCGCGCGACCAGTCTCCTTCGGCTTTGCAGGTAGCTCAGACGGAAAGAAGGAACAAGTATCGGAACTATTTGCCCTGTAAACGCTGTTATTCGCCTCCTTGCCGTTGGTCTGCAGGCGATGGAAACCTTGGTGGTTTGAGAAGTTGATGCTGCTGATATTCACTTCCCCGATGGGCTTGAACCGGCTGTGGACAGACCCATTGGTGCCCTCACCGGCGCACCATATGTGATCGTTCTCCTTCGAGTACTCGAGATTTTCAGTGGAATTGCGCGTCAGGGAGCAGCTGGGATTGTGCGAGAAAGGGTTGGAGTAGTTGGAGTAGTAGGAGTAGGATCGAGAGGCCGCGCAATCGTCAGAGCTCGCCCGGGTATTGTGGGTGTTGATGCTCTGCGTCCGCTTCGCCGGAATTGTAATCAGCGCCTCCTGGGTCGCCGGTGGGGATGCTGCCGGCGCCGCGGCCGTTCCTTCCGCCGGCCCCGATGAGGGCAAGGGGTTGGAGGAGCTGAGCGACAAGCCGAGGTTAGGGAGAGCAAGAGAAAGGCTTAGGGCCTCGACCTTCGGCTTCTTCCCGCGATCTTCGCCCCCGTCTACACCACTAGTTGCTTCCCGCTTCGGGTGCGCTCCACCGCCGCTCAGCTGGAGGAAATCCCTCTCCACCCACCGCCCCTCCTCGTGGATCGGCTTCTCAGAAGCGACCTCCTTACCCTTTACGCCACGCGAGGAGCCGCCCAGGGCGCCCAATAGATTCCTCCCGGGCAGGAGCTGCTGCTCCTTGTCGGCGGTGCCCGCCAGTCTGAGGGGATTCTCACAGAGGTAGCTCAGGGTGAGCTCCTGAGAGGTGGGAGCCTTCTTCTCCCCGCCCTTCAACGGGGTGGTGCTTCCCCGATCAGGGTTATCCAGATCGAGGTGGGGTTTGCCTTTCCTGTAGAGATTGCCCTCCAAGAACATGTTTGATGGCAGAAAGGGGGAGAGGCGAGCTCCCCGAGGCGGGGGCGGCCGGGAAGGGTTTCTCGAGGAATAGGGGGCCGGGTTGATGGTGCCCTCTGGAATCTCTGTAACGATTACCTCCGTTACCACTGCCTCCCTCTCCACCGCTGAAGGCGCCGCCGCCGTCGTCGCCCCTTTCTCCCCGCCGCTGACAGCCTGAAGAAGAAGAAGAAGAAAGGAGAAAGAGAGCGCAGCCAACGGGTATAGTGTCTGTCGCCCTCCCCCTTCACTCAGTTTCACGCTTTATCCTACTCCCCCGGAACAGTTTACGTAAAACCGGTAATCGTCCACGGTGACGCCCCCACGGAGAAGATGACGCGGAAAAGCAGACGGGGGGAGCAGGCTAATATCGACACACTGGAGGACCATCTTAACGGAAAGGGGGGATGGTAAGTCAAGTTGGCGGGCCCCGCCATCCGTAATCGAGGCACGGGTGGGCCAAGTAGCAACGCGTCGTTGACCACTAGCGTCCCTTGGACTCTCTGTCTTTCCGTCACGCGGACAAATCTTTTAAAAAAATCTCTGAGACAAGACGAGACAATATCCACGTCGGATGCCAGTATTTTCCCCTAATTTTCCTCAACCGTTGGATCTTTCTCGGGCGGAGAAAACCATGGATCGGACGACTCCCAATCGGCGTCGCGTGTAAGAATCGGCATTTAATTTTCCCGTAATAAATTGCGACGATATCATTTGTGTTATTTGACTCAGCCGCGTCCAACTGTCGGCTTGACGACGACCGTCAGAGTCAACACAGGCCCATTTTTCTAATAATAAAAGTTGTGTTATTTAGTTATAACCCTTATAATAATCTTAAATAATGAAAGATAATATATTTGTAACCTTGTTCAACTACAATCGTAATCTAAAACCTCCGTACAATTAAAACAAACAATATAGGCCGTATCAAAGCAAATCTAGGGGATTATTGGGCCCGGCCCAAATTTCCTTTCTAAGTGGGCAACATGAGCCCTACTGCTCTCCCTCTTGGGTCAGCCCACTATGTCAATGGATAGGATGGGCCCACCTGTTCATCCTTTGGGAGAAGTATTTTAGCATTCTGAATAAAATATACGCCGTTGAGTAAAACTTTTTAAGGATGTTCACCTTTTTTTAATAATCGGTTTGACGAGTTCTAATGATCGAAGATTTTTTGGGGATTTTTCCTAAAATCAAGATAGATGAGAACTTTTTTGTTAATTTTATATGGGGACAGCTAAATAATCTTTAAAAGCTTAAAGTTTTTTTTATTATCCGCACGTGAATAAAATTGGAATCGGCGTGGCAATCCTCTTGTGCTTAGATTTGCCGTTGGATCCTCTACTCTGGGCCGTTCGAGACTTTCTCTCTCTACTGTAGAAGATGGAATCTGGGCGTGGTCGGCCGTCTACGCCACTCTCTCTCTCACCCCCTTGATGCCACCCTGTTTTAAGGATTATAGCCCTGAAGAAGCCCGGTCCAAATGAAGGTTTATTGGGTATCGGGTGAATGAGAGAGAGAGAGAGAGAGAGAGAGAGAGAGAGAGGAGGTGGAGTGAAGGGGGGGGGGGGAGAACAACAGGGTGATTGAGATAATTGAGGTAAAGAGGAGGGCGGGCCGTTAAGAGGAGCTTCATGGGAAGCTGGAAGGGGAGCAGAAGAAGATCCAGACTGACTAAGACTCCACGACCGTGAACATCATCACTTGCTTCCTCTGCGATTGACACACCTGCAGACGAACTTCCTGTAACTTGAACAAGTTCTTGACGGACCTGCACTCACGGCAGCATTTCTGTGCTTAAATTAGATAAAACAGTGTAAAATAGCCACTCCGGCAATGTGTCAGTCACCAACAATATCCATCCCCCACTGCACCCAAGCTAACAACACTGCGCCCCCCCCCCCTCCCCACATACACAAAAAGGGAAAAGAAAAAAGAATCTCTCATTAGCATCAGTTGAAGTCAGCCTCTAGTATCCTTCCAATTCGAGTATTTACCTATTCTGTCATTAGTCAACTCTCAGATACCCGTGCCCAATGCATCCCTGTTCTATTTTTGATCGGTCATGAATTAGTTTCAGGCTGACCAGAGGCACTGTTCATGCTCGGCTCCTCTATTGGGGGGTTCTTCAGCTTCTCCTGCGCAGAATCCAACAAAGTCACATCAGATTAGCGTGCAAGAAACCAGTACTTGTGAGCCCAGGCTCCAGGGGGAGACGGCTTACAGAGAGAGAGGCATTTTCAGACGCCAGCTTCTCGCATTCGCTTCGTATCCTGGCCAGTTCTTCCCTGAGCCCGTTGTTTTCATCAGTCAAAGACCCCACACGATGCGCCAACTCATCGTACTCAGCCTGCCTTAGATCATCATAGTCAGTCAAGAAGGAAGAAAATAGACAGTAAATTGAGGAAATTCAGATATTTTTCTGAATCTGAACAAGTTATTGGGACCTAATCGATGGGTTGATTCCCTATGGTCCTGTTTCTATCTGCATATATTCTTCTTAGCATCTGAAGCATTCACACTGAGTTATATCTGTGGTTCATTAGCCTGTCTGACCTGTTTCCTTAGTCTTGAGCGACGGGCTGATTCTCTGTTGGACTGCTTCCGTCGTTGCCGCTTCAGCTCTCTTTCATCCTTTGCATCAATATAATTCACAATAAGATAAAACTTTCAGGGATGATGATTATTCAACACAGGGATCTGACAGCTAATGGAGGAACTCGAGGTCCAAACCTGCGACCAGATCTCTTGGGGAGCTGCGTTGCGGGCAGGAGCTCCAGCTGCCGGAGATGGTGTTATGGGAAGCTTGCTTCGTATTGGAGTCACAGTGGTGGAAGGCCCGCCCCAGTAATCCATTCCGATGTTGAGAGTAGTCGTCGGTGCAGTGATTGCACTGGAAGGGATGGCCATGATTGGTGAGACATGGTTTGAAGCATTTGCTTGGGCTTTCCGATTAGTCTTTGATGACTCGCTCCCAGAAGTGCCAGTGTTCTTCGACTCACCTGAAACCAGCAATGCCAATAAGGTAAGAATCGGGAAAAGCATCAGCCACGGAGAAATCGAGTCAAATTAGGAAAATGTGATCTCCTGGAGCCAAGCTGTACCATCAGCCGTGTTCTTTTTGCGGCTGCGGTTCTCCTGTGAACCCTGAAATAGAGAGAGAACCACTTCAATTCTTGAACACATGAGAAAAATTGAGGTACTGCTAGGATTATATGTTTTTGCAGGAAAATAATCTGCATTTAAAACCACCTAAATATGTTTATATTATTGGTTGTAGAAATTCATGTTCATATAATCTGATATAATTGATAAAAAAAAATCAATATCACGTTGATTCCACACCAACCTGAAGAGCGAAAAGGGGAAATCATATGAATAGTCAGCAAGAAAAAAATGATCATTGGGATTGTGAGGCAATAAGGATTAATAAAAAACACAGGCTCTGGGCAGTTAGGTTCTTCACCCGCAGGACACTTAATTTCAAACGATTTATAAGAAAGTATCTGCAGAGCCCACAAGATCAATAAAATTTTCCACACTTCAGTGAGCAATTTAAGGTAAAGGTTAAACATTCTCCTCCCCGCCACTGAAATACCTTCACAACACGTTCACGCAAGGTCTATCTTTAACGGAAAATGGCCCAGAACCAGGTGAACGAACCTTATACTTTAGAGCAACTCTCGAGCCGTCCTAAGAGTCATTGTTTGGTTTCAGCATCACCTTGATTTCGCAGGGATGCTTCTGTAGAATAGATATTTATTGATGTGTATATATATATAAATATATAGATGGATATATGTAGAAGTTCGTCCATACAGGATCGTCAATATGGTTCGTAACATCTTGGCGGAAACATTTTAACATCTCAAAGAAGAGACCATGGTATACAATGTATGTTTTCTAGATATCTTATATCAGTTGCCATCCATGTATTCTTCTCTTATCAATGACGAGGGACACTGAAGACTGAGCAAAAGAGAGATTATTGAAAAAAAAATTAAATGTTTTTTCACAGAAAAAAAATGTGATAAAAGTAGAAGGTAGATATTTTCCTATGCTACATATTGGTCATGATCACAAGACTGTACAAGAAACTAATAGAGTGTAAAGGTTAAACAGCAATAATCTGAAGCTTCCAATGATAAAATCTCTCACTTCCTACTAATTAAAGTAAAAGGTAGATATTCCTTCCAAATCAGATGTAAATGCCATGCAACGTGAAAAAAGATCGTTCTAAATGATCATACGCTCTGTGAAATTGCGTCACTTCCTTCACTTGAATCTTCACTTCCACTTTCAACACTGCACAGCTCACAGTCACAGGTGTAAGTGCATGAACATTAATACGAGAGATACAGAAGAATCTAACAATTTACCTCTCTGATTCAACACCATTTGTAGATCCGCCAGATGCTTTGTCTCTCTCAACACTCTTGCCTGTAATCATATTTAGACTACCTAAGCTTCCCCCGGTTTTCTTAACAGGAGTCCTTTCTTTAACTTCAACTGACTTACCATCTCCTTCAGCGGCCCCCACCTGGATACATGACAACCAGAGTCGATCTTTATGAGAGGCAACATGAAATAACAAGAAAATGGAGAAAGGAGAAGAAAAAATATGGCAAACGACAACTATATTCCTTGGCATTTTGAAACAAGAGAAGCCCATCTGCTGCGCCAGACTTTGGAGGCTAACAAATAGGCAAATTTTAAGCTGAAAGGAATTAAGTTTATCCGCTACACCAACAAGGGATGGCTGTCTGGTAGGACAAGTCCTCAGAATATGGGTAGCAAACACAGAATTTATATGACTACAGTCACCGAGAATCATGTCCAAACCTTCCAGGGTTATTCGCAGACAAGTTTGTGGAACATGACAGTGGCAAGAATCAGTATTGTTACCCCGAAGATCACCAACAACAGGGTGTTATCTTCGAACAATAGCTGGTCTCGTGAAAGCTCAACAAGAGCCACAGGAAGGTAAGAAGCTACAGTCTTGATTCTGCAGCGAAAGAAAATTAAACCATAGAGCAACCTTGGGAGTTTTGCCAAGAGTCTGAAGCATTCAAGATAAAGAGGTAAAGAGGCGTGCTTGATGTTGGGATATATCATACATCATGCACTTCAAGGAAACAATCTGCTAAAGAATGCGATGGAAGAAAATCTTCCCACAAACCATTGAAAATCGAAGGACATCACCTAGAAGGCACATCAATGGTTGCAATAACAGAGACTATATGGTCCATAAAAGAGTGGAAAATTTTAGGATGCCCGTCATTACTAAAAAGTATCTATTAAGAACAGAGTTATTTACAGGCTATTCCAAGTAAATACTGCCCCAAGAGAAAATCGGCAGACCCAGTGCAGATCAGGCTGCAATTTCATCTTAAGTATAACTTTAAAGGAAAACATTTGTCTTTGTTAGGTACAGGCCACAATGGAACTACGCTCCCAAATCATTTACAGAGAGAATGAAAAGTACAAGGTTGAACTCCAAGATACATCACACAACCAACCGCATGACAAATGAGAAACACGGTTCGACAAAAGATTTACTAAAATATGTGCCCCAGCTTAATTCACCGCCGTCGTCATCACTGTCTACTGAAAACTTATCTAATTCACATCAGCACAGAATCTCTCACATGACTCAACTCCATCGTATCGTGTCTTTACTCAACATATCTTTCTTCACTACCTCCGCTTCACCTCATTTTAGTCTTACAATTGTCCTTAAAGCCCCCATGAAAGTATTGACTGTTTCCTAACAAGTGAGCAAAATCTTGGCTGTCTTCTTTGTACTTCCAAATCCAACTCCAAGATTCAAATGCGTTTCGTTTTTCAAATGTCTTCTTTGGTGCTTCTCTACTACCTTTCTACTTGAGTTAAGTGTTTCAATTTAAATTTTATGAGCAACTCTTCACTAGTCCTGTGTTGTGAACATATTTTTACATTCTAAAAACAATATTCCTCCTTCCCTTTCCTCCGTCTATATCAATGACCTTCTTTCTTAATCATGAAATATCCTGCCATCATGCTCCCAAAAAGCCTCCATAGGAAGACCTAAGTCATAATCCCTTATCAGGCATTCACTTTTCATTTGTCTCAAACAAACTTGAATTTCTTTCGCCTTTCTCTACTTCTTTGTCTTAAAATTTCTCTAAGTTTTTTCGATGTTCTTTTTTGGTTTCTCCCTATGGTTTCTCTTTCTCGTTTGATGTGCCTCTTTGAAAAAAAAAATCCCTTCACATGACTCTTCTTCCAAGTAATGAACTTCTACTTCTTCCCTATCTTCCGTGTTTCTTTCTTTCTTGTCCTTAAAGGAAAACGAATCAACATTTTGCTGTCGATGCACTGAATGACACTTGAATCCTAAACCACTCTTAAAAGGCCTCTCAAGTTCCTCTACAATAATCTCGAATAATTTTACTGAGAATTTATTGGTGATCCCTTATTTGGATACGATTTACAACATATTTTAGATGATAAAGTGAAGCCAGAACCAAATCGATCTAGTCATGCAGTTTCAATTGAAATCCCAAAATTTCCAATAAAAAAATACCCTTCATTTTTTCCTAGCATTCTGTTGAGGTACCGATGCAATAAAATGGTAGGAAAAGATTATCAGCCATTTTAAAGCATCGATAAAAACATTTGGAAAAAATTCTAAACTCAATTAGGATTTATAAACTTTTAAAACTTTTAGATATATATTACGATAAGCAATATTAAAGAAACCTAGATGTATGTGAAAATACGATAACTACACCTTGATGCAAAATATATAATTAATCCATCATCGGAACTTATGACATTTATATTTGTAATTGTAAATCCTAACCTCAGATGATAAAATAGATAAGAGGGTTGTTTTGTGGATGATACATTGATGTGTAGCAAAATGGCTAGGTAAGCACATGCTGAGGCTCCACATCATCTAATATTAATTAAATACCCTAAAAAACCATGATGTTCATTTCCTCTGCCATCGAACTGTACTTTTAATATCTATGATCTTTGACCCTTACACCTAGTCTCATGCTCCTGCACTTCATACATATGTTCATTTAAAGCTTATCCACCAGTCCTTAACTCTGAGATTTAGAGCTATGTAGTCTCAATTTACAGGATGAATGAAAATGCCCAGCTGCCCAAGACGGACAACTAACAACCTAATACTCACAGAAGCATCAGTGGTTCCACTCGAGGGAGTCATAGCATATGGGCTATATGGATGAGATCCCTGAGAAAGACCCAGACAACGCAAGTTAAAGTAGGGGTATTTTTAATATCTGGAAGCTATAAAGATGAAATAATTCCACATAACGTGGAAAGCATGCAATAAAATAGGAAGTATTGATTGGCAAATACCGGTGGCATGTTGGGATGAGGATACAGTCCCCCAGGTGGATACATGGCTACATATGGAGGTGTTGGCGCTCCATATGGAGGAATAATATGCTGCAGAAATAAATATGTTAAATGCTCTACCAGACCTTGGGAAAAAAGAGGAGCTGAGTTTGAAACTATAGCAAATGTCTGATTTTTTGTATAACCCATGCTATCTTATGATAAGTCAGCTATTCAAACGAGTTTCCTATGTCTTTGGAAAAAGAAAGAAAAAAAAAAACGTAGACCATGTTCCTTGAAAAAGAGAATTACCTGTGGAGCCCACATATACGGATGCCCTTGAGGACTGGAAGCCACGGGAGAATGGTAAAATCCAGGAGGCACAGGAGTCCCGGTAGAATTATAATATGCCTAAAGGCGAAAAAAAGGCATCCTAAGAAGTAATGGAAAATTAACAATAACGTAACAAGAGCAAAAAAATTCAAGCCGATTATTATAACCTGAAAGGCTGCCCAATCGGTGAAAACAGTTGCAGGACTGGAGGGAGGAGCCTGCTCCTGAGTATCAAAAGCAACAGAAATTTTATCATGAGAGTCGTCAAGATCACACTACCTTACATAAAATTTTAAAAAGTTTCAGCAGCAAACTTGTGTCGAAGACTTGGGATTTTTAGCTGAAGTCTCTTCTTCCTTGTTGCCCATTTTATGCAGATGTAGCAATCTAAAGCAACCTAAAAACGCTCTACTCCTCCAAATCCCTTACTTGAAAACCGCATGGTACTTATACGCTTACAAGGCCCTTTCTCATCAGAGAAGAGTGCTGAAATTTAGAATAAGATAGTGGCATCAACTAAAATAACAACAAATAGAAAGAACTTTTTTCAAAACAATATGATTTGTCAGCCTTCAGTCACAAGTCAGTACTAATGTAAATCTTTACTCGTATAATCTTTTCCAACGCAAAACTTTTTTAAATGGAAGTTTTCCATTAACACGTACATAAAGATTTTAAACCTTAATGTACCGGTTAAAAGGGATTTCCAACTGGCATTTTACATTCTTCCACCATAAAAGTGATGCACTACGAAAAGGTGGAAGATACAGCTGTGGATCATCAATTTTTTATTGGAAGGGAGAAAAGAGAACTGGCGAACAAAAGAAAATTGGGTTAAGACCTTCACAGAAGAACATCCCTCTGCATGTTATGCCTCACTTTGAACATCAAACAAGTAGGATATCACCGAAAAGGATTAACACGTCACGGTAGAGGTCATTGATGCATTTTTCTATGAAAAAACGCACATGAACCAAGGGTAAATCTCTGGAAATTCAACCCCAGAAACGCCAAGAGAGAAGCTGTTGATTGTACTGATGCAGCTGATGAGAAACAGTGGCATCTATCTATGCCCATGAAAATCACTCAACTTTGATGGGTGTGATACTAAGGAGGGCAGGCCATGCAGCAGGACATGCTCCCACGGTTATTCTGGCAGAGAGGTAGGATGTGTGAGAGTGGAAATGCAGCATGCGTCCAAGATGAGGTCATTAAGTTCGGACGAGTTAAAAGTAATCTTTAACAGAGAGGAGGAGGAATCCCTCTGCTCGAAAAATTGGAGTTGAAGAGTAACAAGGAGAAGTTTCCACAATGTAAGGCATCGTTATATTTAGGTAAAAATTGGCTTTGAAACATAAAAGTAAGGCTGATGGCGGTCATTCAATGGGTGAGGAGACGTCTTTGGTTCAGACTGTGGCAAAGTCAGTGATGTATGTTACTTTCGTGAAAGGGAAATGAATGAGATATTATGGCTGGGTTTCACAGAAATAACAGGATCAGTCTCAAAGGAAAGAAGAACCCATTAAACCATCAAGATAGTTAGAATGGTTCAAAGAAGACATGGTGATGGATTAGGTCGGTGACAGGGATTTACTTGTCGTCATTGAGAACTGTATTGGCACCAACGAAAACCAAAAAAAATCGGTTCAGAAACAGCAAAAGCAAGGATGTTCATATTAAAAGGACTGAATTAGCCCGAAACCGACAAGTCTGTAAGGACTGAGTAAAAGCAATTCAAAGGATGAAAAAAAGATGGGAGATAAAAGAAGCTGCCACCTTCTGCTGCTGCCTCCTTCTCTTTCCCCCTATCTCATCTCCCTAAGCCTCTGCCACCTTTCTAGTTTCTTCCTACCATTGTATCTACTTCTAACACCAGTTCCTACTGATTACCTCTTCTAAGATAGGCAATGAGTGAAGAGGATCACTGGATATGGCGTGAAGGGTTTTCTCTCTCAAACCATTTTCTGCTTATGTTTTCCATTCATAAGTAGAAAAATTTACGATAATATTCGTAACAATATCCTCTTAAAATTTATGGTAATCAAATGCGACTCTCCCGAAAAGGATTAACATTAACATTTCAGTGTAAATCACACAGCATACCCGGAAAGAAAAAAACGCAAGATCAAGTTCATACACTAAGATTTTTTCAAGCTACTACCTCATGCGAATTTGCTGAGCAGGAGCGGCATCAACTAGCTCGAAAAAATTTAAGTTACTGTCTCGGTTTTGATAAAGAGCAAGAAGATCTCTTTCCCCTACGGGTGTCAATGTTCCAAACATTTTCAGGAGAAAATCAAACCCCCCAAACGCTCCCAGGAAATTTCATAAACATAGTATGATCATTTTTCGTCAAAGAAATATGAGAGCCTCGTCTCATTCTCAAACCTAATAACGATAATAGTTCAAGTACCCGGCCAACCAACCACGATTTTCGGAGATGTCGCTTCCCTGAACTAAATTAATCCACTCGCGAGAGCGTGAACCCCATAATTTGATCCACCTGAAGCAACAAGGACGTCGGGAGAGGTGTTAGGGTATCGACGAGGAGCACGAACAGACGACCGCCGGATAAGGGCAGGGATGCTCCGTCAAGGAGAGTGCGTTCGCGCGTGTTTGTCCGTGTGTGCATGTGTTAGCCCAACGGCGAGGGACTGGTAGTTGAGCTAGCTTCCCTACACTAATCAACTCACCCCACGTAGCAATGCAGATCGACTGATCAACCGCCAATACAGATTTCGCCTTACCTTCCGGTAGCTCCTCCTCCAATCCGTCTTCTCCTCCCGCAGATTACAGCCGCGGCAGCCGCTGCTTCCTCCTCCCTCTACTCCTCTTCTCCTCTCCTTCGTCCTCTCTCCTTCTCTCTCTCGGGCAGCGACCAACTTCTCTCTTCTCCGACTCGACGGCAACCTCCTCTTCGCACTCCGACCATCCCCTCTCCGGCAAGGCCCCCGAAGTTGAGGAAAATCACTAATTTGTCCCGAAAATGGCGTTACAGCTGTACGCCACGCGGCCGCGCATCTAGCATGTGGGCGTTGCGTGAGCGCCGCCCCGAACCGACGTGTAAGCCGCGGCTCCGCCCCTAATCGGCGTCGCCATCGCTGCGTCAGCTACGACACGTCTTCGCTCCTTTTTCAAGCAAAATACCACGTGGACGCGGTAATTCCGACTGTGTTATTCAACACACGTGATAAGACTGCCTCCACAGGTGCCATAGTCAACCCCGACAAGAGTAATAAGCGCCGGTTTGATAACCGTTTAAAATTCATGTAAGCCGCACCATCCCAGTTTATCTGAGATACGCCAGCTATCCGAGTTTGATGGGCTACGATGGCTGAGTCACGTGAGGCCTGATTAGGGGTGTCAACTCGCACGAAGCTATTTGACCAAAATAATGTCAACCTATGAGAGAGAGATAGAGAGAGAAACTTAATCCGGAATCAAGGCGAGGTTAACTGAACTAATCCTAACTGATTATCAAGCTGCCCACAAAAAAGCCCGGTCTCTCTCTCTCTCTCTCTCCACCCTCCCTCCGTTTCTCCCTCTCTCTCTCTCGTTCCTCTCTCCTTCCCTCTCTCTGTCTCTCTCTCCCCGAGATCCAAGTTGGGCTTCGACCATCAGAAAATGGGGCAATTTACTAATGTTACGCCATACCCAACGGAGAAGAAACTTCTTTTACTACCCACGGAGATGTCACAAGAGAGCCCTTGACCAGATCCATTTCTCGTTTCTCTCACTATGGCTAAATGGCTAAGGGGAGGGGGGTTCCCGTTTATACAGGCACAGTTGGCGAGCAGAAGATGCCCCTAGATTAATTATTCACATTTACCTGAAGGTGTTCTACCCTGGCACGAGGCCAGTCTGATCTCCTTCTCCGACAGGGAGGGTGGCGATCAGTTGGCCACGATATGATGCCTGGAGTCCACGTAGCTCTCCACGTCCCACAGGAAAGAGCCGAACGTTACGGCCTCCAGAATTAATCTCTTCAGGCCAGCAAAGGTGATCTCGAAGAGCTCGTCCTTCGATCCGTCTAGCACTCCCTGGGGCATGATCACCGACGCCGGCCTCCCGAACAGAGCTTCGGTGTGCCTCTCAATGAGCCCTAGCGCCTCCTTGGACCTGATCGTGGCACATTGCTGAAGCGTCTCGGGGTCAAATCCCATGACATAGGACCGCAGCCTGGTGGGCTTGATGCCGTAGCCGAACCCACCAGGGCTGACTTCAGGAGGCGACCAGGAAGTAACCTCTGGGTGTGAGCTCTCATCTTCTTCACCTGAGGGTCTGACCTCATATGGTCCCTCCTGCTGCAGAGTACTCTCCTCTTCTTCTGATCCCCAGGGAAGGGTTTGCATGGTCTTCTCTAGCCGAAACCGCTGGTCCACTCTCTTGAGGAAGTAGCCATACATGACGGACGCCGCATAAACCTGCCCAACCCGGAACTTGCTTATGGGAGCCACGGCGCTGGCATCTCCCAACCGGTTGCCCAGAATAAGGGCCAGATGGTTCTGAATCATCTCGTAGGCTTCAGGTGAATGGAGCTTCCGGAGCTCATCCTCCTGAGGCGGCCACTGATCCACCCTCCCGGAAGGGTCAGAGGACTGCGACAAACCAGGTATCAAGGAGACATCGGCATCCATAAACTTCTGGACGACAAGCGTGTATAGAATCTCTTGCAGAGCCCTCTTCCTCTCGTTAGCTTTCACCTCGGAAATTCTCCTGTGAAATAAAGATGTCAGATCTTACCGGAAGAGAAACCCGTTGGAATGTTAAGGGATAAAGATAGAAAGATTACTTGTACAAAACAATGTCGGTCCCGGAATCGGATGGCTCCTTCTCCTTCTCAGCATCGCGGTCGGTCTGTAGCTGCTCAAGCTGCTGATCAACAGCAGCGGAGAGGAGATGTGGATGGCTGATCAGTATTTGTGAAAGAAACTGTCCCGTCGGCGACTCCAACTGGAGAGGAGCCATTTGAGCAGGAGACGGATCTGCCGTTGATCCAGAAGAAGAAGAAGACGCCCTGACGTTAGTGCTCCTCCGGACGTGCCTCTGCCCTTCTCTGGTAATCGAGATGGATTTGAAGCGCTGCGACGGGAAAACAACAGTAATTATTAAACCTAAATAAAATGCTTAACACATGAAAAATAAGAAAAAACGAAGATCGGATGTGTCAAGAAACAAGGTTTGGACATGGCTGACCAAGAATCGGAGAAAATCTTCCACGCAGACACTATAACGGGAAGAGAAAGCTACGGAGAGGAATCGGGCCAAATACCTTGAGCAACCTCCCGGAAAATCGGAGTCTGGAATCGAAGCAGACGAGCTCCGGCCGTCCAGAGGCTAGGACACCCGGCCTCGCCACCACACTGGGAGATCCGTACAGTCTAGGAGAAGCGGAAGAAGAAGAGGCGACAGGGGACACGGCGACATCCATCCCCAGATCCGCCGGTCACGCGCAGGAAGAAACCAGTCCGGAAGAAGAGCAGAACGAGGAGAAGACGAGGAAAGCCCTAAAACGTGAACCAGATCACGGCGCAGCAATCCTCCAAGATGCAGAAGTTCGTCGCAAGAACAGGGAGAGCGAAGACGGAAGAGAATTTTCCTCGTATTTATATAGTAGCCTAGATTTTCGTAGTCACAAGTCAGGATGGTTGGTGCAATAATTACCCAAATACCAATAGTCTCCATCACATTGTAAGGGGTGTTTTAGTCATTTACTATTACGCCCGGACAGCGGGGAGATATTCCTGTCAGTGAATCTCCCCTGCGTCTTTCTTGCAGGAGCCGATTGTAGATCAGGTCCACCCAATCCAATGGCCACGATCTTCTGATTCCCGTCATTGGCCATTCTGACACGTCTCTGACCGTTGTCGCCTCCACCCATTGAAGCCACGTTTACGGTGCAGCCGCCATAGCAACTCGTGAACGTCGCGTGGCGGGAGAAAGATCTAGGACTTTCGCCACCTCTGGTGAGCCGGCGCCGACTAAACTCTAACAAGCTAATTGGGCCAACTCGCACTGGTCCAACAGCATCCGACCCAATGTACCCCAGCCCAATTATATCGTCTCTCTGGGCTATAACCAATACGATCAATTATTGGGTCTTCCAGTTAAGTTGGCTGTTTATGAGGATTTAAACATAAAATATCAGAATTATTCCTCGGACCGTCGCGATGCGGAGAGGACCACGTACGGCTCGGATCACGCAATCTGAATTGAGGACGTGCTTTCCCGAATCTACGGTAGAGAGAGAGAAGAGAAAGGATTTTGACTTCTACGGTAGGGAGGAGATCGTCGTGCAGAAACCGGACCCGAAGGAAAGGAACCTTCTACGTGGCTCGTTTGACTGGGTTCTCCTCATGACTCTAATTCATCCCCCGTCAACCTCCCCTCCGTACTCGAGAATCTTCACGTCCAGCTGGCGTCCAAAACTCTCTCCGTCTCACGCAAAGTATGAAGTACGTTTGAACGCGGGAGAAGCTACGGGATTCGAAGGATGTTGACTGTTCTAGCCGGACCTGATTACAGTCAGATGCCGGCCACGTCGGACCATAAATAACTTATTGCGTGGACTCATCACCTGGGCCGGGCCATATTAGAATTTTACCGGCTCAATGGCGTTTCGTCAGGGATAGCAGACGGATGAGAGAGAGAGTTGGAGAGAGAGAGAGAGTAGGTGGTCCTGTCTGATACAGTGCCAGCTGTACAGCTCGTAGGATAAGTTACACGTGTCAATGCTCGACGGTGGAGATGTAGCACTGGTTTCGATCCCCAAAGGCGGGGATATGCACGCGGCAGTTGGATTGGGGCCCACATCTTCACGGGAAACTACGCGTCAAGTCAGCTCCGATAGTCCTTTTGACTTGTCCTCCACGTCGAGAGCGGCGCTGTACCTCGCCGAGAATAAATGCCGCAGACGGGTCAGGCGCGTCATCTGCCAACGGCTAGTTTCAGTGACGCGGTGCAGTGTAATCGCCGAGCGGGAGAGGAGATCACGCGGAGCGGCGTCACCACGGCCGCGCCGCCCGGCTCCGGCTCCGTGAGGCGGTTAAATAAAGCGCCGCCGGGATAGGGGCGGTCCTTACCAGCTCGGACCCCATTAAGTCCGGCGGTCGGGCGGCGCTAGGTGGTCTAGCGAGCGGCTGCCACCGTGGATCCCACTTCAGCGCGAGGCCCAAGGATTCTTCCCCACAAGAAACTGCCGCTGATTGGTTCATGGAAGACAGCGGCTTCATCATCACCGAGGGTTGTCTCTTTCCGCCGCCTGGATTCTCAGTCGTAAGCAGGCTTGTAAGGTGGGGATTAGCAGTTGCAGGCTTCAGAAGCGCGTGGTTGGGGAAATCTCTCTCAGCGTGAAGGGGGTCCCCAGTTCAATCTGGGTACCCTCTCAGACGGCCACCACACTTTTCTTCTCTCATCCCGTGGCCACCTCTCTGGCTGTCGATAAAGAAGCCCGTCCTCCTCCCTCCTCCTAACCTTCCTCTTTTCCGCCCATGGCAGGAGAGAGAGCGAAACCCAGATGAGATAAGAGAGAAAGAGAGGTTGGAGGGGGGGCGCCATAGGTTGCTTGAAGAAGGCGATGAGGGCCATGGCGGGCGGTTCCTTCGTTGTTACCTTTCTGTTTTATGTCTTCCTTTCCATGGGTTCTTCTTCTGCGGTCGTCACTCTCGAGGAGAAACACCTTTCGATGGCCTTCGAAGAGGGCTACACGCAGCTGTTCGGCGATGGTAATCTGATGCTGCTCGGAGACGGGAAGACCGTTCACATTGCGCTCGACGAGAGGACAGGCAAGACGAGCGAGCCCTTCGTCTACCCTCTTCTTCTTCTTCCTCTTCTTCTCTTCGCTGCCTATTTCTAATTCGACGCCTTGGGTTTCGCTCTCAGGCGCTGGATTCGCCTCCCAGGACCTCTATCTCCATGGCTTCTTCAGCGCCTCTATCAAGCTTCCTTCCGACTACGCGGCCGGCGTCGTCGTCGCTTTTTACGTACTATTTCTCGCTACTCATTCAGCTATCGATCCATGGGTTTCTTCTGAGTTCCATTCGTTCTCACTTTCTTGTCCAAATCCGCAGCTATCTAACGGGGATGTGTTCGAGAAGACCCACGACGAGTTGGACTTCGAGTTCCTGGGGAACATCAGAGGGAAGGAGTGGAGAATCCAGACGAACGTGTATGGCAATGGAAGCACCGCCACCGGGAGAGAGGAGAGATACGAGCTCTGGTTTGATCCGACGGAGGACTATCACCGCTACAGCATCCTCTGGAGCGAGAACCTGATAGTGTGAGCTCCATCTCCCTTCCTATTCTACCTGGGTGGAGAGAGAGAGAGAGAGAGAGAGAGAGAGAGAGAGAGAGAGCTTTTACTCGTGCAGAGCTTCGCCCTGTTCTGAGCCAGCTCTGAGAGATTCTCCACGCTTTTGTTTTATTAATCTTTGCTTGGATCCTCCTCCCTGGTTTTCTTTTGAAATGAGGTTCATATCGATCGGCGGGGAGGAAGAAGAAAGTTTTTCGGCTTTCCTCTTTTTGTTTTCGTCCGAGTTGTGTGATCTGTCCGTCCCCGTCTCTGCAGGTTCTACGTGGACGGCACCCCCATTAGAGAAATCATCAGGAACGAGGCCATGGCAAGGGAGTTCCCCGCCAAGCCCATGTCTCTCTACGCCACCATATGGGACGGCTCCTCCTGGGCCACCTCCGGCGGCCGCTACAAGGTCGACTACCGGCGCGCCCCCTACGTCGCGGAGTTCGCCGACCTCGTCCTCAGCGGCTGCGTCGTCAACCCCATCGACCACTCCCCCGCCTGCGGCAGCGCCACCGCCCTGCGCCGCCGCGGTGCTCCGGCAATCTCCCCGGCACAGCGGCGGGCCATGGAGGGGATCCGCCTGAAGCACATGACATACTCCTACTGCTACGACCGGCAGCGCTATCCGGTGGCGCCGCCGGAGTGCGTGGTAGACCCCGATGAGGCTAAGAGGTTCGGCGGGCGCCACCGCCGCGGAAGCCGCCGCCGCCGTCCGGCCATCCCTGCGGGTCGCGCCGACGCAGCTTTCTGAAGCCCCTCTCTTCCTCATATCCTTCTTCCATTGCTGTACAGAGAGAATTCCACCATTACAAGAGGGGATTGCTTTGGTCTGTGTCATCGTCGTCATCATTGGTTTCTTGTACTCCCTAGCTCGCTCGGATTCTATGTGCGAATAAGATCTCTCCTTTTTGAGTAAGCTTCAAATGCCCCGCTGAAAGAAAAGGGGAAACAATCATGGCAGAGGGGGTCCTCCGGTCGTCATATGCGGCGGCGGCGCAGAAAGGCCCCATACTCTGGAGCGGAGGAAGAGGCGGCTTCGCGGTGTCGTCGTTTTCCCCTGCTCCGGCGAAGGCAGTGCTGGAGGATCAAATCGTCATCGTCGTGGACACGGGCGGTCTCAGTGTCCTGCACAGTTTTCCGCCATCAATGGTGGGTGCCAAGGTCTGGCGGCCGTCCTCTTTTTCTGCGGGCTCGACCAGATCTGCGGAGAAGAAGGGATAGGCAGAGTCCGGAATCTTACATCTACGGCCATGCAACATCAGCATATCGTTAGTGGGGCTGCCATTTCGCGTTCTCCAGGGCCAAGGTAGAAGAAAACGAAAAACCCTAGACGAGAGAGGATTCAGTCTTGGACAGGACCTACCTGTAGCCTGCAGCAGAAGCCATTCCAAACAAGATTCCGCGAATCGAATCCAATGATTTTCAGGCCCATTTTCCCCTTTGAATGGGCCCGGCCCATCTGCACACTCCCCCCTCGATGATCTTATCTACCATTCATGGCCGCGATTTTACCATCATAATAAGAAATATATATATGGATTTTATTTTAATTAAAATAAAAATATGAAAATATTTTTCTCATAATAGAAATAGAAAAAGGTGGGAAATTTTCCTGAAGGCGAGGGCAAGAAGGGCCAACTTGGAAAACGAGCTTCATGGGCCCGAACTGTTTAAAGAAAAGCCCGGCCCGAAGTCTCACGTACGTTTGCTCAAATATCGAAAATTTTAAAAGGTGAGGCTTTTTCTGAAAAGCTTAAAGAGGATAGATAAATGGGCTTTATGGGCTTGGACGCTCGGAGGCCCGAGCCTGCCCCGAAACGGATATGAGCCGAGTCAGACGAGTCAGTTTGATTGGGCGGTGAAACCGACTTGGATCGTCCGAGCCGACTCCGGACGCGGAAGGTGGGGACCTTTTGTCCTATATAATACCTACCCTAAAAGGAAACTTCTCTTTCATGGAAACCGTTCGGTGACGGTGGGCCAAATGGAAGCATCGCCACGTACGGCGGAGGTGATGTTGGGAAGGCGCCGGCCGCCGTAATTCAGGGCAGAGGAAGCCGTGATGAGGGCCCCGCCGGTGCCGGTGGCTCATCGGCCTTCGTGTCATCATGGTAATTCACCGACAGCTCGAGGCCAGACCGGCTACCGATCTCCAAAATGCCCCCCGGCTACCGAACCTCCCTAGGCGAGGTCTTCACAGGGCTCTCTGCCTCCATTGAGGGAGCATAGGCAGCCGCAGCTGCAGCGGTGAAAGCTTGCTCTCCAAGTCTTCTTCCGATCTCGACGAAGTCCAGATCGCCGACAGTAACTTTTGTCCGAGTCACTCTTCCGAGTCTTTTATCATCCATTTGTTTTTCGCCAGAGATCGAGGTTCTATCCAGATCTGGACATATCTGTTGAGGATCTAGAACCGAGGTGCGGTAACAGAGTTGCATTTTTTGAGAGAGAGGCGAGAGATCATCTCGACGTGGTGGCCTTCCTTATTCCGAGCTCCTGCAGTCTTTGCGGCAGCAGAGCTCCGAATTTTTGGCCCCGTCGTCGAAGATCTGCCCATCTCATCGTGCTGAAATACACGGCATCGCTGTCTCTTCTTTTAGCAGCTGCTGTACATTCCCGCAAACTTATATTTTCTTACAAGGTTTTAGGTGTTTCGATCTGGTAGCATTTGCATTTTGTTGTGTCAATCATCGTGTTGCTTCACATCGGAGCTTGTCAGACCATAGGCGAGCGAACCAGAGTGGTTAGATCATGGCGATATCATCTGCCAGCGCAATAGTCCCAGAGAAAATGCAATTCCCCAGGGGGACCGAGGTCCACAACCTCACCTACCAGTGGTTTCCAGATGAGCGAGATGGCTTCGTATATTGGCTGAAGGGAGAGTTTGGAGCGGCAAACGCCATAATAGACTCCCTTTGCCAGCACCTGAGGACTACTGGCGAGCCTGATGAGTACGACATGGTTTTCAGGAGCATACAACAGCGGCGATGCAACTGGGCCCCCGTCCTCTACATGCAGCAGTACTTCTCAATTTCCGATGTCAACCTAACGTTGCAGCAGGTGGCGTGGAGGAAGCAACAGAGGCGCTTCGATCAGCCGAAGGTCAATGGGAAAGATTTCAAGAAATCCAATGTTGGCTATAGGCAAGTGCAGAAGCTTGACAATAGGAGGGAAAATCAGAATTGTTCCACTCGTGCAGATGCTCAGAAAATAGAAGAAGAATCGGATTTGGGAGAGGAAATTCAGCGGAGAGCTAGCGTCCAAGTACCGGACGAGAACCTTTCACCTGAAGTGTCACAGAAAGATGGTAAAACGTTGATCTCTTTTCCTCTAGTTGGCATGGTACACAAATCGTAGGCTATTTCAATATAAACTGCAGATAGCCTTAATTAGATGGATCCTCCTCTGCCCTAACCGAATCTGATAGTCTGGTCGGCGCTTTCGTAGTGATGACATTTTGCCTTCGATGGACTGTGACATCTGGTTATGAACAGGATACTCAACGTCAAAAGTTCAATGGTGTATGTTCGTATGGTCTAAAGTCTCCGAGAAATAAGACACTTTGCTTTTGTATTCAAAACTTGCATTAACACTGTATATTCTTGCATCAGTAGTGAAGTACCTTCTTTTAAGGCTCATACTAAACTACTCAAAAAGACTCAAAGTTCCATTGGTGCTCAATGTGATGTTTGGAATCCATGATGATACATGATGATGGCATTTTGTTTTTGAACTGCTTGCTTCTACGGCCATCACATGATTGAAATATTCCTTTCGTTCAAACCTTGTGCTTTTATGATCCAACTCTCCCGAAAACATCTGTTTTTATAAGGACCTGTCTAATAAATTGATACCTTACTTTGGATCATCAAGAGGTAAAAATATAATATTTTGGATTAGAAAGAGTTTGCTCATAAGCCAGAAGTGGCGTGGTAAAGGGGCCTCTGTCTGGTGTTCTTGAAGACTTCCAACTGAGCCCTTCCAGTTCAAGGGCCTACAAAATTTGTCCTGTTGGCGATACACATAGAGATCATCTGAATTAGCCCATCCTTCTCCTCCAAATTTTCCATGCCCTATTTCAACCTCTTGTATGCACTTATACTTTATTGCATTGCGTAAATAATCCTGAATAATCTGGCATATGTGAAAGATTTGCTAGAAGTTATAGTCGGAAATAAAAACATCAGTTGCAATTGAGGGGGATCTCGGCAGGTACTCAAACGCATAACAACTCTGGCTTTGACTGCTCTTTTCTTTCTTTTTATTCAGGCCCTTGTGACGACAATGCTCCTAAGGCTGCTAAATTCTCGGCAGAAGCAGTTACAAACCAAGAGGGAGAAGATAAAGATTTTCCAGTCCCAAAGTTTTTTGTATGTGATGAATTATTCGATGGGAAGATGGTAAGTACTCTTAAACTTTTAATCTTGTATTGTTCTAGGGATGACTGCCTCCACATTTTCCCTACATCTGTCTTGTCATCACCGAAAGAGATTTTTCTGCCAGGTCAACCATTTGGATGGACTTAAACTCTATGAAGGCTTGTTTAAGGTCTCGGAAATTTCAAGTATGATATCTGCCGTCAATGAGTGGAGGATTGCCGGAAGGAAAGGAGAGTTTCAAGGCAAGTTATATATTTCACCTCGTCTATTCTGTTTTTCTCCTCCAGTCTTGAAGAACGAATATTATATGGTTTTTGTCCCAATCGAGGTTTGCCGAATTGATGAGGACAATTCGAGTAACATTTGCTCGTTCCATGAATATCATCAGGTCACTTGTTAGAAGGCCAAAAACATGCTCTTCTGGAAAACACAGTGAATGATAGCAAGGCGCTCGCATATCCCCCATTTAAAGAGATGGACTTTCTTCATAAATCATAAGACCTTCATGAATCTATGTGCGTCAACGCTTCATGAGTCTCGTGGGGTCTGAATCTACGTCATTTACTCTAGTTAGACGCGCTGCCGTGGAGACCTTTGGCGGCTATTCTAGGAAATCAAGAGCTTCTATTCTAAGCATGTGACCGCCCTAATTTCTTGGTCATCATCCATGGGAAGCAGGGCAGACTTACGTGGCGCTGAGGAGACCATCGAAAGGGCACGGAAGGGAAATGATCCAGTTCGGTGTTCCCGTTGCCGATGGAGCGCCAGACGATACCAACACCTCCGGTAACACACTTAAAAGAACCCTTTGGAAAATGGTGGTCCTGTGCTGACTCTTGAGCTCCATGCAGAAGGGAGGCCTGAGCCCATCCCTGGCGTGCTTCGAGACATCTTCCGCGGGTTGGTTCGTCGGCGGGTTGCCACGGACGAGCCTGATTATTGCGTCATTAATTTCTTCAATGAGGTGGGAAATAAGCATTCTCTAAATGATGACGTGGATGGAGGAGCCTGATCCGGGGTTTCCAACGTCTACAGGGTGATCACTCACAGCCCCACACGTGGCAGCCGTGGTACGGCAGGCCTGTCTTGAGCCTCTTCATGACGGAGTGTGACGTGGTGTCCGGGCGGGCGATAAGCACGGATCACCGGGGAAGCTACAGAGGGCCTCTCGAGCTTCTCCTCACCCCCGGGTATGCCTCCATCTCCAATACTTTCAAACCAAGATAAAATTCTCTGCCGAGTATTTGCTTTAGTTTTCTTTATGACAAAAACCACCCTCGAATGAAAACACTACCGAGAAAAATGGATACAAGAAAAGAATAAAGTATTCTGCTCTTCCCTTCCAAATAAATTGAACATAATACATACGAGAAAACGAAGCACTGCACACACATTATATATATATATATATATATTATAACATTCAACTCTGTAAATATGTGAACTTATGTTGCATGATCTGTTTGCCGATATATACGTATGGATGTATGTACGCATACGGTAATTTGGTAAATTATGGGAGAGCGCTGATTTTGTAAATGTGTACTTTTGTTTGCATGATCTGTTTCATGATATATTAAACGTATGTCTATGTGTATACATTAATCTTGTTAATTATGGGAGACCGACCGCTGACTGTTGCTGTGGACGATCCGCCCCTTGATCACAGATCACTGCTAGTCATGGAAGGCAGGAGCGCCGACCAAGCGAGGCACGCCATCTCCTCCTCTAGGAGGCCCCGCGTGGTCCTGGTCTTCGGCAAGTCCCAGCCGAAGGAGCCCCCGCCATTCTCCGTCGCATCACGTGCAGCATCGCCGCGGGTCAGCGGCCCGCCGACGACCATCGCTAGCCATCCATGGCCCTCGACCTGCCACCAGGCCTTCACCGCCGGCGGCGCCTTCAGGGCCCCTGCGGCACATCCCCATCGCCTTCTTTCGCCCTCCGCCGCGCAGCCGTTGGTCGCCCCTCTGGCAACCTCTGGGTGGGCTGGCGCGGTCCCATCGGGGCGTCCCGCCGCCGCCCGGCTCACCGTCTCCGGCACCGGGGTCTTCCTTCCGCCGGGTAACGCGGTGGCGAGTGGCGCCGGGCGGCCCGTGGAGAGCCCGCCCCCCAAAGAGAATGGAAGTGTTGGAGATACAGTGGAAAAGCTCCCTTCCTGCGGCAGAGAACAGAGCCTCCAGCTCAACGGGAGCTGGAGTGGCGGCCCTGGCTCGGGCGAGCGGGCGGAGGGGGAGGAACAGCAGACTGCTCGGGTTGGTGAGAGGGCATATTAGGGTGCACTTGTTATCCGTTACACAAGTCCGGAGTGGGTGTAAAGCGCGGCGGAGGGGTACCTAGACTTTTCCCCACTCATCTTCAATCAAGACTGAAAAACCGCCTCGACACATTCTAATGATATGTGAGAAATCTCCCATGAAAATCCCCTGAGACTTTCTCTCTATCTGTTTGTGATTGCTAGGCTTCTGGCCTTTAGTCCCCCGCAGAATTGCTGAACTATAAGTACATCTCTCTGTTTTTTGTAAGACACGTGAGGCTCAGATTACTCTCTTGGAATTCACTTTCTAGAGCTAACTGCCTAACAAACTTAGCAGTTCGCCCACCTGGTCTTAGCATAAAGAAAGAGAGAAGGAGACTATATATATTAAACGTGGAAGGGGAGGGACGAAGGATGTGAATAGGGAGAGGGAGAGAGAGAGATACGAAGCTGTGGAGATGGCTGAAGAGCGAAGGGAAGGCGGACCGGAGATCACGGAGATTGGGCACGAAGATGAAGAAGCACGAACCCAAGGAGAGACCGAAGAGAGAAGGAGAGTCGAGAGTGAAGAAGAGAGATACCGGAAGTCAAGGATCGACCGCGTCGAGGAGACCAGAGAAATCAGAGCCCCGGAGCCGGAGTTTGACGCCGCACGAGCAGTGAGGGAGAGACTTCTTGGCGGCCGGCGCCCCGAGTAAGAGCTCCCTGCCTTCTCCCAGAAAGAGAAACTCTCTCTCCTCTCTGTCTCCTCTCTGTCTCTCTATGCTTATAGAGATGTATAGCTTATCGGCGTTACCTGGTGATATGATGAGCATCGGGAGACGTGAAAGCCAGCGGACACAGTGGACGACGTGCCTCTGCTTGATCTGCTTGATGTTCGCGGCGGCGATAGCCACGACGCTGGCGGTGCACTACCTCTCGCCGGTGGGCTCGGCGAGGAAGAACACCATGGCCGCCGCAACGGTCCTCATCTGGATCGGCCTGGGCTGCCTCCTGTGGTCGTTGCCCCCACCAGAACAAGAAAGCATTATCAACCACCGTTTGTTCCACCGCCGCTGAAGCCCAACAACGCCGCTCGGTATTCTCCTCCGCTGCCAGCCGCCTTGTCCGTAGGCTCCATCGGTGTTCACTGGTTCCTCCTCTTCCTGCTTCTCTCTGCGGGGTGACGTCCGATGAGATTTTCTTGTAGACGGACCGGACCATCAATGCGGCTAATGATAGGCTCTCTTCAACAACAACAAAAAACTCTTGACAACGCAAAAGCGTGGGCTCTTTTTTCGTCTTTTATTTATTTATTTATTCTTGCTGGGTCCGAATGGGCTTGGAACCTAGAAACCTCCCACGTGGCTCTCCATAGCCGGGGATCCTCCAACTACGGACGACGACGATTCCTCGCCGGGGGGATCACAACGAAGGAAAAGGGATCGAAAACTATTCAGCAAGTTTGAGCGATTGCAGCAAACCTCGTCTTCCTTAGAGAGATGGTAAGCAGTGGCTCACTGCCACAGAGTGAGACTGCTAGATGGTTAGTTAGTCTTTTGTTACCTGGCAAGATGGCTCTACGTATCCTGGGCTCATTGTAGATGTCGTCGTCGGAACCAGTATATGTTCAAGAACTTTCCTGACAAGTTGCTCGACGTGTTCTTCTTCATGTGATGCGGCGAACTTCACTGCAGTGAGAAATTTCATGGGAAAAAATAGGAGAAATCAAATCTAGTTTACACCATGCCATTTGATTAAAGCCCCACAGGGCCCACAGATCAGCAAACTAATAAATTAAAAATAAATAAATTGGGCAAGATAATTCGGCAAAGAGAGAGAAGGAATCGATCGTGGGCTGATGAAGTAATGTAGCTTACCCCATGGGAGCAATGGAAACTCCCAACGCTGTTTGGGAACTGTGAGAATATATGAAGTTACCTGCACAAGTCACATGAAAACAATGGTAGTGGCTGCAAGTTACTGTGGAGATTGTTGTCGTTTCGGGGTCATACGAGTATAGACGCGGCAAGAGGACGAGAATGGCCATAAAGACTCGCCGCTTCTTCTGTTTCGTAGAGAAGGTCCATGATATCCATGCATGCATGGAAGCTGACAAGCTCCCCGATCTTCGACATAGCCCTGAAGTTTTACAGGGGAGAAAAAAAAAAAAAAAAAAAAAAGCTAGACAGAGTAAGACAGAATATGGGGAAACTTTCGAATGGATTGCACTCTTAATCAAGTAGTCTATATGATGCATGTGTGGTAGAGTAACCCAATGAAAGCTCGTCATCTGAAACTTGGGCCATCAATGGAAGAAGGAATCAAAATCCTATCCATATAGAAACATGAAAGCTCTTTCAGATAGGCGATAGAGGACATGAGTGCATCAATCGGAAATGGTTATCTATTGTGAAGGCCTCTCGAGTCTCCATTTTTACCAGATTTTGTAATTTTGTCGTAGAAAAGTTATTTTTATAATAAATCTAAAACAGTGACAATGACAAAGTGTCGAGTAATTTTCTCTTGAGAATATAAAACAAGGCCGTGTATCTTCGTTCATGAGTTGATTGTCTCGTCTTTAGTTAATCAAGCACAAATGAACAGGGAAAATAAGTCCATGCATAAAATTGCCTGAATTGGATCAAGAGTTCTTCCAGGAAAAGGAAGGTTACATTCGATGCTCCAATTTCATAATTCAAGACCTGAGAAAGTTGTTGTCGAGGCTACATCAGACTTCAAATTATGAGAAAAATGCAATTGTCCACATAAAGCTCCGTACCTCCATAAAGATAATCTCCTGAGAAATAGGAATCAGAGAAATTATCACCACAGAAGATTTGAAAATTCCATTGAGATATAATAGAATATGAGACGGCGAGGAGAAAGAGCTAGAACCAACAGTTGATTGAAAAATGGAAAAAACTCACAGCCTCAACAAAATCCCGCATGGTGAAATGCTGATCCTTGATGTGCCTATCCCCGAAGGACTTCAACATTTTTGAGGACATAGGGTATGTATCATGTAACTTCAGAGTGTATAAGGCAAGAAAATGCATTAGACCATCAACCATCACAATCTAATTCTACGGTACAGTAGAAAGAGCTTTACCTTACTTGATATCCATAATGAAATGAGAATGAAAATCTGCAACTTGCTCTCTGTTAAGGGATGCAAAAGCCAATTCTGAGCAGAATTCTCTCGTGAAATCCTGGTTTTTGACCAAAATTTGAAGAATCAACATTCAACATACTTCATATCATGGACGTGAAAGTCTAAATTCTGCGGAAACAGGAAACCTTTCGATGACGCTGATACCTAACATCTGAAATCTAAGATTCATGCCCTAAATCTGAATATGTTAACATACAAAATATTACAAAAATAGCCATCTAAATATTTTTTAGTAATATGATAACCTATGATATTGATTTGAACCAATGTTATAACTTCAGACCTCAAAGAAATATCTCACATTGACATTGAAGATAATATCACGGCCTCATACTTAAAAAAAGAAAAATCTCATAGATAATTAACCACGGATGTGATCTCATTGAACAACCTCATCAGCCTACCAGATTCATGCTCAACCTTAATGAAAATATCTAGGAGTTTGACAACAAGATTAGTGGGTAATACGAGATGTACTCAGCAACCGGAGAACAAAGGTTGGCAGGTGGGGTGATTGTCGGAGTACAGAGGGAGCACTGATCAGAAGAGGACATGAGTATTGGAACAGCCTGGACTGGATAAAGCCGAAGGGTGAAGAGGGATAAAGGGAAGATCATCGCATCCACCTTGCATAGATGCATTGTTTTCATCTAGGACGTTAGCAAACTTGATGATACCATCCGGATATTTTAAATTTGTCTCGTTAGATTTAACTATAAATGTTTATTCTGATTGGTGCTAAGAATAAGACAATCACTCGTTCCAAAATCCAAATAAGATACCAACTACGGAGGAGTATAGTTTTATATTACAAAAGACTATCTAACTACCTCTCCATTCCATAACACCTAGAATTTTTTGTGTCAAAAAATTCGAACATTTGAATTTAAACTGCGTTCCAACATCATAAGGCCATATTTATATCGATTACAACGGCATTTAAAAAAGAAGAAGAAGATGCTTCTTCAATGTGACTAGAGAGAAATGGATTAAAGATTCCGACAACTTGTATCCGCATCACGGTTTAGAACATTCCTGTGTTCCAGGACATATAAGGGTAATAAACTGGACAGTTAACCAGGTATCTATGAGTAACCACAGGGAATCACAGCGACATGCACCGCACATGAAGAAACACGGCACCGCCAACATCACAACCTCGTATCCTGAAAAATTGTTATCGGAATGAAACGAGTAGTACCTGGGCAGACATGGGAGGAATCTATCCGCGAAAAAGGACAGCGCCGTGTACTTCACGATCGGAGCGACGCCGAGCCACTTTTTCCCTCAAATTAAAAGGAGAAATAGACGGGAATATCGGAAAAAAATATGAGAAGGCTGGGGGAAAAGCCTAGGGGGAAATCTACGGCGAGCAGCCGCGAAAGAGAGAGAGCTAGAGCTCACAATACTTCTCAGTCGACTTACCACACAGGCATTCATCAGAAAGTCCAGCAATTGCCGCCTCCGTGGCTCAACGAGGAAGGCCGGCTCACGCATCGTAGAGGATACTTACCACTGGCCTCCACCTAAGGAAACGTACCAATTCGCCTCTTCCTCTGCATCCCTACTGCACAATGATATTTATACTAGGGGAGCGTTAACCAATCCACGGACGACGCTGATCGTATTTCTCCCCCGCCTATGACTGCCTGTGACGTGGCGGTCTGACCGAACCGGGCTCAGAGTGGTCTCCGGGCCGGAATTCTATAAACCCCGGCTCGGCTCGGTCCAGGGGCACCGCCTATATATTCATTCCATGCCATTTGAAACTGTGGTTCGTTCCCTCCACCCCGAGTCACAGTTCGAGAGAGAGAGAGGGGGAGTCCTTTGTGCTTCCTTCTTCTCCCAGTTGTTGGGGACAGAATCAGCGGAAGGATGAACCAACCACCCTTTCCAACGTTCGATATTGTTGTACTCGCTCCGACGGCTGTGTTTCTCTTGGCCGCCGTCGTCTTGTTCATAGCCGCGGACATTCAACCATGGGAGGTGAAAGCGGCCTTCATCGCCGGGGCATCTGCAGCACTGCTCCTCATCGTCTCCTTCATGGCCTACAAACACTGGCGTAATCGAAGGACAGCGCGGGGCCCCAGCCCTTCCGACAGCCGCGTCCATCCCGTTGCCTCTCCTCCTATTGCTCAGCAATGACGGCGCGGCGGCGGAGGAGGAGGCGGTGGGGCGGGCTCTTGAATCATTCTTTCTTTTCATTCTTGTAAGCAGAATGTTTCCGGAGGGCGAAATCTTGAAGCGTTCTCGCTCTCCATTCGGGGAATAAAACGCGTCAACTGCGTTCTCTTCTCCGCTGTTCATTTTGATCGAGGGATTCCGATGCAATCTTCGGCTTTCTGCTGTCATCCCTGAACAAGGAACAAGGGTTTCTGCTTCTTGTTCCTTCTGTTTTCCGTTTCTTCTTCTTCCGCTGATCGATCGACAGAGAGCGAGGAGACGGCGACGTACATGTGATATACTTCGGAGATTTTCCATAAAAATTAAGCTAATTTGAATAAAAATTAGGATTATTAAATTTTTATGAAATTTAAATGATTGTTTTCCTCTTTGTTTTATCCCCTTTCAGTAATTTCTGAAGGAATCACGAATTATTTCATAATTTTAATCTAAAATTATTCGTACGTATGTTTCAAATGGGCTTGGAAATCATGCATTTTTTAACAAACTTTGGAGCCAAGTCGGGTATGAATGGCTCCGATCGCGGTGGTGGCAGCTCCATGAACGACTATAATCTTGACCGTTGATTCTTCCAACTTGATCCTAGCAAGATAATCACAACAGATTCCCATCGGCAGCTACATATATCGTCATCCCATTCAATATCAAGTGGTCACCCCGCTCCCAGCGACACCCAGAGAGAGAGAGAGAGAGAGGGAGAGAGGATGGAAACAGTGAGGATAGAACAGCATCCGGAGGCGTTCGATCTGGTCGTGTTCTCTCCCTTTGCGGCGGTGATTCTGTTGGCCATCGACGTCTTCCTCGTGTTTCAGGACATCCCTCCTCGGGGACTCAAATGGGGCCTCATCGCCGGCGTATCTGCCGTGCTCCTCACCTTCATCTCCGTCTTGGTGTACAGATACTGCCGCAGGCAGAGGGCGGTTCAGTTCTCCAGCTCCTCCTCTAGCCCTGCCGTGCCCCCTGCTCCTGATCAACCATGACGGCATGGCGATGTTAAGCGAAGCAAATCACAGCCCGCTCTTCTATCCTTAGATTCTTTGTATTCTTCCTTTATTCTTTTCTTTTCGTTCTTAAGAGAGCGAGAGAGACAGAGACAGAGAGAGAGAGAGAGAGCTGCGTTCTTGTCGCGTTCTTTCTCTCTCATCTTGGAAAATAAAGGAAGGCAGGAACTCTTTCGTATGTCCTGCTGGGATTTCCTAGAGAGAGAGAGAGAGATTTACATTCTTCGCTGATTAACTCTTCCGCTCTTGCGGGATTTCGTTGTCACATTCAATCTTCGGGACTATGAACCGATTCCAATTTTATTGATTAATTGCATAAAACCATAATATTTAAATTATAATTATTTAAAATTGACCTATCTTCAAAATATTTAATCTGACTAAAATACGACAAATATATTTCTACGCGGTTAGATTCCTCATTTTTTGTCATTTTTTTTCTCTTTTCCGAGAAGCGTTGAAGATTACATTACAGCCATGCACTATTGTGTACTTTCAATATAAAATTAATTTAAATACATACTGCTTCATCAAACGTGGAAGTCGGGTCGCACCGATCCATAGGTGAGTCAGGGCAACGATTTCCATTGCATGATCCGAGAAATATCTCAAGAGGCTCTGGATCAGACGCCAATGGACCCCATTCTCTATATATACTCGCTCCTTCAATCCATCCGCCGTTGCAACAAGAGAAAGGCCAAAGGGGAGAGAGAGAAAGAAGCTTGGAAGGCAGAGGTGGGGGAGATGCATGTTAGAAGGATCTATGGGGCCAGGATGCGAGAGGAGCCACGGGAGTTGGATCCACTGTTGTGGGTTCCGATACTGGTGGCGATTCTCGTGGTTGTGGAAACCGCCTTCGTATTCGCGATAATTCAGCCGCTGGCTCTCAAGGTGGCCCTCATCGCCGCCGTGTCGGCGGCGCTGTTCGCCGCCTTCTGCTACATCCTCTACAGAATCTGGCGCTGCAGATGGCCTGCTCAAGTCCTCGTTCCCACTCCTGCCGCCGCTTCCGATGTCGTTCCTGTTGCCGCTGCTGCTGCCGCTCCTGTTGCCGCTGCTGCTGCTTGAGGACGATCATACAAGGGGGGTCTGCTGCCGCTCCTGCCGTTCTTGAAGATTTCTTTCGTCGCACGTTTATAATGTGAAAGTACCAAGGTTGGTCAGTAGACTTCTTGAGCGAGCTAGCGAGGGAGAGAGAGAGAGAGAGAGAGAGAGAGAGAGAGAGAGAGAGCTCCATTCTGGAAGCATTACGTGTTTCTGTTCCTTGCATTATTGCACCAAACGACTTTCTATTTCAATTTCTAGAGAGAGAGGGAGGGTGTTCATTCTTGAAACATTAATCCATCCATTCTTTAGGTTGTTGCAGCAGACGAACTTTTTTCAGTCAACTGTGTGTGTGGGACAGTGAGTGAGAGAGAGATGGAGAGAGAGAGAGAGAGGGAGAGAGAGAAAAATAGACGAGTTATTGGAACACTAGATTATTTATGTAGGATCTCAATAAGAAGAAAATTGATCATATTTTAAGAGGGGGATTTGACTTATCACTATCTTTAGTTCGTTTATATATTTATACTTTTTGGTTTAAATTTTAATGAAGCACGGCTAATTTCAATATAATAAATATTAATAATAGGCTTCCGATTTGATTAGAGGCCCCCTAATACAAGAGGGCCCACTAATACTAGCCTATTTATAGATGTGCATGTCTCTGGGAACTGTGGAAGCACACTTCAGCAGAAACAACAGAGGAGAAGAGATAGAAGAGGGAGGACGGGGACAGAGAAGTGAGGGTCGAAAGGAGGTGGAAGAGGGCTCTTGGCGGCAGTGAAGGGAGAAAGGAGGTTGAACGAGGGAGCAGCGCTCCAAGAACGGTACGTCGTATGATCTTTTCACCGCGTTGTTGCTTCTTTTTTTTCTGTCGCTGATGCGCGGAGTGTGGGAGGCAGACTGAGCAGAAGGATGGATCAGCCAGATATGAGAGGAATTTCGGAGGGGTTCGACCTCATCGTGTTCACTCCGATGACAGTCACTCTCGTGGTCGTTGATATACTCATCATTCTTCAGCCAATTCACCCGTGGGAATTGAAAGCGGCCATCATTTTCGCCATATCTTTGGCGTTGGTTGCTTCCAACGCCTTCTTGATCTACAGGTACTGTCGCAGTCGACGGGCGGCTCAGATCCCCTGTCCTGTCCAGGGCCGTGCCGTTGCTGCCGCTCCTCAGCAATGATTGCGCGGCGTCGACGAAGATGGCAGTGAGAAGCCGACCAGATCCGAATCGGCATCGACATCGTCAGACGATGTTCTCGAATCATTCTTTCTTTCGGTTGTTGAAAAAAATGTCGTATATCGCATCTTCGAAGGCCCTCTTTCGTTCGGTTCTTCTCTGCTGTTCGTCTTGTTTCAGGAATCTAACGTGATCGTCGCCTGCCTGTTCTTCTTCTTCTTCTTCATCTCTGACAACGACGAATCAACCAGAGGCTCCCGTCACTTCTTCTCTGAATTCACGTCACTTCTTCGTCTGTTTACGACGGAGAGAGGATCGCATGCGTAGAACTTCGAGGCGTCCGTCGAAATCTGCCTCTGAAGATTGCTAGATATTTCCAGAGATTCTACCAGAAAGGATATCTAATTACATGAGCTTGATATTTACACAAACATATTTATTTTTCTATTTTTTCTATTTCTCAGTTTTTCTCCGATCTCTATAAAGAATCAGTGAAGGTATCAACGGGCCGGCCCGCGCTTCCCCATTCACCCCGAGCCCAAACTAACTTTAATGGACCGTGTTTGTCCCATTTTTCATCCCCTTTTAACTCTCAGAGAGAGAGAGAGGGCTGGGCTTCGGACTTGGGGTATATTTAAATTATAAAATTAATTAATTAATATCCATAAAATGGCTAATTTACTTGATAATTACTAGGAAAATCGAATTAAAAGAATATGTTAAGGGGGTGTGGGGGGTGGTTCACGAGGTTCGGTGCGGACTCTAAAGCAGTCCCGGTGACGAACGAGTCGGGAGTAGCGAGTTATCCGACGATTCGGCGAGTCACGAGTTCACAGGGTCAGCCCGGAAGATCTGAAATCCCGTACCCCGTACCCCGTGGGTGAATATCGGAGGCTACAGGCGCGGCCGTCCTTCCGGCCGGCGTCAACCCCTCCTCCACGAAATGCCACCGCCCCTTCTGAGACCTGTAGCAGCCGCTGCGAGAAATCGCCTCCTCTGCCGCCATCTTTCACAGGTTAAATTCTCTCCTTCGTCTGATCGGGCGGCCTTCCCCTTCCTGTTCAGATGTGCCCCTGCCACAGCGGCGCCCTCGCGGCCCCGATTGTTTCCATGTGCCGGCACTCCGCGTGAATACTCCTCTTCTTCCGCCGGCGTCTCTGCGGCTGCCGCAAGGGACAAGAGGTCGCAGAAGACTCTCGTATATCTCGTCGGCGTGGCCTGCGCCATGGTGGGCGCATCGTATGCCGCCGTCCCACTATACCGACGCTTCTGCCAGGCCACCGGATATGGTGGCACCGTCCAACGCCGCGAGGTAAGCCGGCGAAGTTCCGTCTATGTTCCATGTTCTCTTAATTTCTTATTCAATCTGCGACATGATTGAACCCATGGTTTTTGACAAGGAATGACAGACCGTGGAGGAAAAGATTGCGCGGCACTCCCAGGATGGTGCGACGTCTTCAAGGTACTGTTTAGGGTCAACCGTTTCTTCGGTGAATGAATGGCTAACGATAATTGACTACGATCGTTTCTTCTTTGCGTTTTCGTGAATTTAGAATCATAAATGCCCTGAATATCTTTAAACGCTCAAGATCGAGTTTCTGTTTATCAGTTACCCTGAATTTTCATGGTATTCGCGCTTACTGTTCCTCCCTATATAGCTTTCGCCGGTGACAGAAGGTGAAAGATTCCTGTACTATTATCAGACATGATCCCGGAGCCTTTACACAATAGATTGCATGTCAAAGTGAAAAGCATAGCCGCGTTGGACTCTTATATCGCGTGAGAGGCTACAGTTGACTGTGGAGTCTCCATCGAAAGTGAAACCGCCCACCGAGTGAGAAGCTGTGATTACTGAGGGAGTATTGTTTTTAGGTGAATAAAGGCATGTTCCATTAGTGTTTGTGGTCACGTGTAGTGATTTAGTCGAAGAACTGAGCAGATCATGTGAGATCTTCTTGAAGATCGAGTGGAGAAATGGCTGTGCCATAAAGTTCATGAGGAATTCCACTGGTAAATGGGGCTGTTTACCGAACCTCTGCTATTTTTTGAGATGAAACAGTTGATCCTTTTAGGGCGACTTCTGGGAAAATCACGCAAATGCTAGATATTATTCCCCCTTCTCATCAGTAGTTTCCTGAGAGAAAGATCAACACATATCTGAGCATCGAACATCAGATTGATGAGAAGTCCTTTTTGGGCACATCTGTTGACCATTGAGAAGCCTGTTGAATCACAGTTCAGATGGGTCTGAGTCATGGTGTGAGAAAACTAACATCAAGGAGACACTTGGATGCCTTTGCTCTTATTCCTTATTGTGAATTACGTTGAGGTTCTCCTCAGCAACTAACAGCTGCAAAGAACCATCTGCTTTGGAGTGAATTAAACATTGTTTTACTGTTGCACTGATTTTATCTTTCTTGATGTATCTTCGTATTAATCAAGGGACTTCTGGTGTTCGATCTTCGTTTGATTCAATTCTGTTGAAATATGGGTTCATTTCCTGTTGTACTTTCAGGGAGCTTATCGTTCAATTCAATGCCGACGTTGCAGATGGGATGCCATGGAAATTCATCCCGACGCAAAGGGAGGTATGTTCTTTGGGGGACGTTGCAACTCTGTCTAGTCCTTGTTCATCATTTTTTTGTGATCATGTGGTTGATCCTTCTCTCCTCGTAGGTGAGAGTAAAGCCTGGAGAAAGCGCTCTTGCATTTTATACTGCTGAAAACCGGAGCTCAACCCCAATAACTGGCGTCTCCACGTACAACGTCACACCCATGAAGGTTCGATACCCCTTTGGCTTCGATTCATCATTATTCAAAGTACAAGCGAATCATCAACTTAGCTCCAGCAGACATTTCAATATTTTTCTTCCGCCATTGGTGGTTGTCGCATACTATGCATTTTGACATTAATTGCTCCAGGAGTATACGAATCTTAGGTCTTCTGGGTCAACATTTGTTGACTTTCTTGTCCCCCACTCCTGTTTCTATTCTACGGGAATGGTCATATGGGCCCAAACTTGTCTACATAGGGGCCCAAGTCATATGATCATACGGGAATTGTTTCTTCACAACTTTTTCTTTGGAGAAAGGTATTTAGATCAATCAAACTTTGGTGCTGAAAAATCCGGTGATCTATATACGTCATTCAAAGCTTTACGCTTAGATTTTTTTTTCCTGATATTTTTTAAAATTAAATGACATGGTACAACTATCTTTCCTGCTACGAGTCCGAAAGAACTGGGATGAGGTTGGGGGGAGAAAAACGCTTTCAGAATCTAGTCATTTGGTGACCCACCATGGATTCCTTCTTTGTCCGCAATCTCCTTTGACTTCTTTTTCATTTGCAATGCAAAACAGTTCGGTTAAGTTGTTGGCACCTTGTCTCATGGTTTCCTTCTATTTAAAGCGTATCAGAATAGTCAATCCCTTTGACACCCTGCAGGCGGCGGTTTACTTCAACAAGATTCAATGCTTCTGCTTCGAAGAACAGCGTCTTCTCCCCGGTGAACAGATCGACATGCCTGTAAGGAGTTGGCCCGTCTCTCTCTCTCTCTCTCTCTCGATTCTGCAACTGATCCAGATGATTCACCGGCATCTCCTGAGGCGATCTGCAGGTGTTCTTCTACATTGATCCCGAGTTTGAGACCGACCCAAAGATGGACGGTGTCAACAACTTGATCTTATCATACACCTTCTTCAAGATTGGTGATGAGTAGACCTCATCTTCTCCCCCGTTTCAGGTCTGGCCGCGGCTTGGAATCGATTTATTCTCTAAATATTTCTCTTCATTTGAAGAATGAACGCTGTTGTTTTTCAGATGGGTATAACTCCGATTGCGACACTTCTAGCAGGAGCCATGTATCTGAGAAGTCAATTGGCAATGAGTGTTATATTATCCAAGTTTCTATGAAAGACATGACTCCCCCCCTCTCTCTCTCTCTCTCTCTCTCTCTCTTTCTCACTCCCGTTTTATTATTATTTTTAAAATATATTGATTTATTCAGTTGGTGTCTCCGCTGTGCCACTGCCGCTCACTGTAGCTTTTACAAATAAGCGAATGGCACACAAACATTGGGCTGATGAGTGATATTGTTATATGCATTTGTCAAGTCAGCAAGGGCACTAGCCAGACTACGTCTCATGATAAAACGGGCGAAGAGAGCCCATCTCTCTAAACCTCTCCCATCATACATCATCTGGGGGGTTCGACCACAAGAAGAAAACCCTTCACCTACTTGGTCTCAGACAGACAGGGGAGGGAACCCTCTCCCTCGTAGAATCAGCAGAAGAAACCTAAACCTTGATGGTGGGGAGGGGAGATCCGATGGGCGGGTGGGTCGTCTTCCTCAGGGCATGCAGCTTCATCTCCTTGGCGGCGGGGTCCTCCAGCAGCAGCACCTTGTCCATGTTCTTCACTCCCGTCATGTGGAGGAAATCCCCGTCCTCCCTCTCCTTGCCCTTGTAGAGCAGCCTCTGCGCCGCCGGCTCCAGCCCCGTCACCATGGACAGCACCGCCTTTAGCTCCCCTGCAAAAACCCCATCGCCCCCGAAAGCTCAGCCCCTCGTAGTCTTCTCCGAAAGTGGAGGAAGAAGAAGGAGAGGGCTCACCGAAAGTGGAGGTGGCTTCGATGCAGACGTCATGCCCCTGCGCGCCGGCGGAGACTCTCACCGTGATCACCTCGCCGCCGCCGCCGCCGCCGCCGCCGTCGTCCCTCTTCTGCACTAGCATCCCCCCGGGGCGGAGCTCCCATTTAATCTCCCCACGGCCGGCGGCGACGCCACCGCCGTTCTTGGAGCTGCTGCTGCTGCTGCTGCTGCTGCTGCTGCTCTTGAATAGCCTCCTCGATCTCAGCTTCATCATTCTCTCTCTCGCAGGTGCCGGAGAAAACTGAGGCCTCTTATGTAGAAGAGGGGGACGGATGGGCTTTACAGGCGTGCGCGGGCGCCATTAAAGGACCAGCCGACCTCGGATAAAGAAATGGTCGGGAAGAAGGGCAGGGAAGGGAAGGGAAGGGAAGGGAAGGGAGGGAAGGGGAGGGCGTGCCTCCCAATCGTGCGTCCGTCTTTTGGGCGAGGGTGTCCTCCCGATGTCGGCTTTCTTAAGCTGCTCCTCGAATCGCGACCGTCCGACTTCTGCGGTTTTCGAAAATGGACGGTGCAGGGGTGGGGGCACAAGATCGGGAAAATTACTCCCAAGAGTGAGATTTTGGTGTTCACTCACGTCGACGTGAAAAGGGGGGCTGATTCAGGTGCCTAGTCCTCTCCTTTTGTGGGGCACATGGCGAGCAGCCCGTACACAACACTGCTGAATCTGCGGGCCGACCGGTGCAGGCAGCCCACCCCACCCCCCCTCTCTCTCTCTCTCTCTCTCTCCAATGCACGTGAGCGCGCACGGGCGCCACCTGCCGCCGTCCGTTAGCATTTCAACCGTCTCCCAACGTCCGGTCGAAGTATGTGGGACCCACAAGATCCACCGGTCCGATCAGCGGACCACGCCAAGCGTCGATTGCGAATTAGACAGCGGACATCCCTCTATTTTTACGGAATACCGGATGTGCCCTCATTCCCACAACAATGTTTTATTTCGTAATAAAATATAAACATCCTCAATTAATTAAAATAAATTATCGGAGAGACTAGCTATTGGGCAAATCCTTTGAAGGACAAATGTACGATTTTATTCATACGTTGATTAATAAAATTATAACAAAAAAACCCCATTTTAATTTAGGGCAGCGGACCCGACCAGCCATCTCCAGAAGGCAGCGGAGGAGGAAGAGAAAAGCTGCATATTCGTGCTGCCGGACAATGCCTGCCCTCCGTTGGCTCTGCTGCGTCAACAGATGTTCTCACACCGCCCAGGAAGTCACATGCAGCTACCCGCAGGAAAGTCAGAGAGTAGACAGAAAGCGAGAGAGAGAGGGAGAGACAGAGAAGGGGGGGGAGAGAGATTGTATCCCCTCCAACTCTCAGGGCCGATGATCGCATCGAGAGCGAAATCAGATAATCGAGTACTATGCAGATTTCTCCTCTTGACGGAGAAGAATGTGGGGTTTTGAAGAGGAAGAACCGGGGAGATTGGGGAAGAGGCAAAAGGAAGAATCTGTGGAAGAATGGGATGGGATGAGCAGGTTGATGAAGGATGTGTTTCCTGCAAAGAAGAGCAGCAACTGCGGCTATGGCCCCTTCCTCTTCGTCCTCCGCATGGATGGCAAGGGGTAATAGTATTTCCTTCTGCTATGTCGTCGTCTTCCTCTTGCGCATGACGACCTCGGTGTCGAGGCCGAACCCGTCGACCTTGCGAGTTCCCACCAGGTCGGAGTCGTGGAAGAGCGCCACCAGGGCCTCCACGGAGAAGAGGTCGTTCGCCGAGTAGCGGTCCCCGCGGCGGCGGAGGGCGACGTGGAGGACGCAGAACCCGCCTGGGCGCAGCGTCCGCTCCACCTCCGCCACGAACCTCGCCGGCAGCAGGGCGTGGTCGAACACGTTGGAGAACTCGAAGTCGAAGCTCTGGTTGGGGAAGGGCTGCCGGTGGAAGTCGCCGGCGACCACCAGTGGCGGAGCAGGGACGAGGTCAATGCCTAGGGAGTCGGTCACCCCCACGCGGCGAAGCGCCGCCACCTCCTGGCCCGTGCGGGCGCCGACGCAGAGGGCGCGCGAGGAGTTGCGGAGGAGCCCCTCCGACTGATGGCGGAGGAAGAAGGAGGAGAAGACGGCGACCTTGCGCTCCCAGTCGCGGGTTGTCCAGAGGCGGCGAAGACGGGGGTCGAGGGTCTTGTTCAGCTGCCGGGCAATGTACTCTCTGTAACTCCGGCTGCCAGGACGAATCCGTATGCCGCCGGCGGCGCCGGCACCGGAGGAGGACGGGGGTAGGTCGAAAGACAGGTCGAAAAGGGCGGCGCTAGGGTTATGCTTCGGGGTGAGCGGAGAGGTGGCAGAGCGGGAGAAGAGGAGGAGAAGGGAAAGGAAACAGAGGGTTAGGAGAAGTGCCAGGGGCTTGAGAGAGGAGAAGAGAAGCCCCCAGGACGACTTCGACATCGGAGATATATGCTCGTCGACGTGACGCCAGAGGAAGAAGACGATGGGAGACGCTCGAGGAGAGGGAGAGGGTCCTGGCTAGGGCTGGCGGTGGGGAAAAAGCGGCAGGTGTCCTTTTGGGAGGGCGAACCCTTCTTAGGCGGGAAGAGAGAGAGAGAGAGAGAGAGAGAGAGGTGTCATCGGTTCTTGCTGCATGGGCGTGTCCAAAGTTCTAGTGATCCGCCGGATCATCCTACTGACAACTGGATACGAGATGCCAATCAAATTCAATGGGCTTTCCTTTATTTTAAAAGGACAAAACATTCAATGTACAAAGAAATAAGTAGTGGCTGATCCAGAAATACTTTTAGAATAAAGATTATCCGTCATTTTAAATAATTTATAGGAACAGTATGACATTAATTAACACATATATAATGTTCATATTTTTAAAATAACATAATATAGTAAAAATATTAAAAAAAGAATTTGGGTTTATGAGAATAAATGGTATGGTATATTAATGGCCTAACTTGGGAATATTTACAGCCTAGTGATGTAAAATACGATAAGAGAAGCTCAAAACTAATGGTCAAAGATTCACGAAAAATGAAAGTTTGACTACAAAAGGGTCCCAAACCAGATTATGTTCTAGTAAATTTCATGAACAATGCATTAGAGCCTTAATTTTCAATAATTTTCATGCTTTTACCCCCTAAATTGACCTGATTTTACGAGTGTCATAACTGATTTTAACAAATTCAAAATTCAGCACATTTTAATCATAAAATCATCTTGTTTAGAATGAATTTTCTCATTATCTGATGTCTCTTGTCTTGTGGACTCAAACCAACTTTGTAGATTTAGGAGTTGCCTTAGTCAATCTTTTTGGATTCAAGGACTAAATTTTTTTAATTCATGCTGATAATAAGTACTTAGTTTCTAGCCCCCCAAAATATAAAATTTGTATCTTGTGGATTCAAGTCTCAAATATTCTATTTCATGCAACTCCAATTACATCAAGTGATATTGTAACAACTTTTGTGAATTTGAGTACATTATTTTGATCCTTGTAAAGTCAAATTTGTGCCTTATGTATTTAATGCTAAATTTTTTATTATTCCACAACTTTTTCTGCAATGTTCCACTTGATAAAAATAGCATGACTTCTATGTATGTTGTATGTTATAGAGGGCACACTACTAAGCCTAAATAGAGATTATGACTTCACATAGGTTGAATCTATTAACCATGACCCAATTTGTATAGAGAGTGAGATATGTCTTTTATGTTGTATATTGAATCATTAAAATTTATCATGGTTAAGTTATTAATTATTATTATGACTATTATTATTATTATTAAAGTAGTGTGAACTTCTATTTACACACACATCTTTTCAAGACAATAAGATACATATATATATATATATATATCATCTTTAGGTTCCAATTTGAATAAAATGTTAAAAATAGTGCCATGCGTATTGAAAAATACTAGATCAAAATATGACTAATTAGATCATAACGATGAAATAAAACAAACCACATAATCCATAAATTACACACATCATAAAGAGGGATATTTTTTTTTAATGATGTTGTCAAATCTGAACTTGACAATACTTTCTAAGTTTTCATTCAAGTAATTATCCACAAATATTCACTTATACCCATTAAAGATTAGTTTTATCAATATTATAAATAAAAATCTTTATAATTGAGTTGCCTTCAAACAATGTCCCTTCAGAACTTGCTGGGTTAAAAGGTTGTATATGATATAATATAAAAATAATCACGAGAATACTAATAAGTACCATAACACAATTTTAGTTGTCCCCATGATGGAAAATATTAGCAAAGAAGAGGTGCATGGTTTTTTTTCAATGAATGCTTGGATGGCCCACCAAAATTTGGGTTTATATGGATTGGGCAAGTCAACACGTCAAGATATGTTAATTCATGCAAGTCATTAATTCTTTAATAGATAAATGACACGTTGGTTTTCATAGCAACTTGAATTTTTATTTACTCTACTTTTTGAAGGGAACCTCTTTTTGATTCAACAACAAACTCTCCATATTTTGTAGTGAAAATATTCTAATTTATCATTCCATCCCTAGATTTATGACTCTTGTTAACTAGTGACAAAAATGTTCAACATTCACTCATTGGTTGAGATTTTTGCCATTAAATATGACTAATACACATAGTGAACATACTACTATTCACAACCTATGCTATTATGATATTTCACAAAAAATAAAATTACATTATTTATTGTTTTAAAAACTATATACTTTTTGAAATATAAAGTTGTTGACCCATAGAAATTGAAAAGCTTGATGTTTTGGTGTAGACATTTAGTTCTCACTTTTTTTCTTCAAGAAAATATGAATGCTTAATGGTTGTAACCTTTATTCTCTTCATTGAGGAGTCACTTTTTTAGATACATGCATGTGTTGATGCCTTTATTTTTGATACTTCAAGTAAAAATTTATTTATTAAATATTTGATAATAAATAAATAAATTTTATAAAGACTTATATTAGAAGTCTAACATACTCAAGAAATTTTAAAAAGATATATTGTTGATGCTTGAATAATCATGTGGCTAACAAATGAATACAATGAGCTATATCCTTGATATATTCATATGTAAAATTTAATATAATGTCATATAACCTGTATATAAGAACATAAAATCAGGTTTCAACACATGTGAGGAAGTATTTGGAATAGTAAGAAATATGAAAACATCACTAGGTTTTGAACTTAGAACATGAGTGAGGAACTGTTAAAAGTATTAATAAGAAAATTATCTGAAAATCAAACAATACAAAGTTAGGTGTAGTAGGATTTGAACTTAGGACCTAAGCAACATAAAGGGTGAACTCTCAAAAATTTAAATACTTACAAATCAGAGAGAAATAAATTCACTTACATAATTCAAAATTAGAACTTAAATGATGGTACACCAAAGAATTGATAAAAAAAAGAAATATCTGAGCATGAATATCTCTAACAAGATTCAAATTTGAAACCTATACCCTAATAAATTTGAAGTATTTGTGAGAAGCCATCAAAAGGTCATGAAAGGGGAGAAGTATTGCCACTCATTCTGAATAGTGACACATTGACATAACACATTGAGATAATTATCAATCAAATAGACTTATTTAGACTCAACCTAAAAGTAATGATGATTGTTGATAAATCAAGAATCTTTAGACCAAGTTTCAAATAAAATTGATGTGAGAAGACATGAGAATATTGAGAATAAAAATACATAGCTTACAAAGAAAAAATAATAATTTTAAACAAAAGATATATCTACTACATTCATTTGTACTTAAAGGAACATTCATCAAAGTCAAGTTGGTACATGCTACAAAAAAGAACTAAAAGCTCCATCAAGTATCTCATTCTACAATAGTAATTTAAGCCAACACTTACTTCAAAGGTTGACTCTTTCTTTCAGGTCCCAAGATACTTGAGTAATGAGTGGAGAGAATTTTGAGCTAAGGCATGTGATATTAAAAGCCTTGCACTGCTCATGAGGGTGTAGTATCTAACGAGACTTGTGTTTTAGTTAGGGCATATGATGTTGAAAGATGTCTGGTACCTATGAAGGGTGTGATATTTATAGAGATCAAATTTATGTGATCAAGCCATTGATCTTGTGAAATCAACTTATATTTTCTAAAAGAAATAGTAAACTTTGATATGAAGTATACTCTTGAGTTATACATAGTTTAATGAGGAACAAATCACTGTAAATTTTTTGTGTCCTTAGTGATGGTGAGAGAAAGAGACTATAGTGAACATACATAAAAAGAGAGATTATTTTGAGTAAACTTGTACTGATAATAGAAAATTTATGTGAAAATATGTGTTAACACATATACTCATTGATAAAGCAAAAAAATAGAACATAAATCGTAAAAAAATAATTACCTCTTGCTATTCCACTTAGTCTATTAAAGAAGAGAAAATAGTTAATAAATCAATTTTATTTAACTATTAAATAAGAGAAATATGATAATGGTTGGTAAACAATATGATAACTTTAGGTCTATTCATTTTTTTAATTTTGTGTATCATGTTGCATTTGCTCACTATATATAGACCAACCCCTTTGAGCTATGCTTGTATATAAAAACTTAAGCAAAACAAGATGTAATTTATTTGATCATGATTTTTATTAAACTTTCAATAAATTTTAGAGTATAATAGTACTATGTCTAAGTCTTAATGTTAAAGATAATTAAATGGTTTAAGAATTTACTTGTAAACTATTTTGTCAACATGGATTTTTTTTTTAAAGATAGGTTAAAATAATTGAAAACACTTTGAGAAGCCCAAAGTATCTATAAAAGATTGAAAATTCATGTGAGTTTTATGTGCACAACCCTTTTAAGGTTTTTGATTTTGACTAGGAAACCTTGTCATATTGAAAAAATGTATAATTTTTGACTACATATACTATTTTTATCAACTAAGGTATACATTTCACATTTTATGTGTTTTTATAAATTATGAATTTTCTGTGTGTATGTATATATTTATATTAATATTTTTATAGTCCGAATATTTGAATTTATTTTAAAATTAAAAATTAATATTTTAATAAAAAAATCAATGTATGCTTATATTTATGAAATATTTTTTAATTTTCAGTATTGATATATACATCAATGTAAATCAATGTATATATCAATTTTTAAAGGGAGTCGAGCTAAACACTGAAGAAATGAATATTATTTATATTTTTTTGTTGTAGCCCAGCCAACGTTTGGTTCTGCTTGAAATCCATACTTTAGCGGGCCAGTGATTCATTTCCTCTATGTGACCTGATTTATTTATTGAAGCCCATTTTTGTATTGCGTCAGATCCGTCTGGGCCAAATTATCATAGTGGACTTCGGGTCTTTTGATGGCCTGGATCCACCAGAAACAAATTATGTCGCATTATGGTCCTAGATTAGGCCCATTAAGAGGATTCATCCCCCAAGATTAAGGAGGTTGGGCTTTAACCCACTCAGATTTGGGCTTATTAGCCCACGATCAGATCCTCCATGGGCCCACTTCCCTCCGGTCATGGGCCGAAACTTTATTGATTCATTGAAACAGCACGAATCCGACGTATCAAGGGCCACATGATGGTGATGAGACAGATAGATATGGCTCATCTTTTACTACAAAGAGAAACATTCGTTGGATGTACAGCGACGATGACGACCTCCGATCGTCAACCGGACCTCATCCGGTTGATCTGGTTCAGCGCCGGCTGGAGGATGTTATAGAGCACCCACAGGATGGCGGGGACGAGGGGCAAGAGGAGGGCGAGGCCCCGGTTGTCCCCGCCGGCGGCGGCCTCCGCAACGTCGGCGATCTGCTGCAGCGCCGCGGCGGAGGGCGTGGAGAGGAACCCCGCGGCCGCCATTCCGCCGCCGAGCCCCACGCCCACGACGAGCCCCTTCTCGCTCGTCATCCTGTTGATCTGGTTTAGGGCCGGTTGGAGGATGTTGTAGAGGACCCAAAGGATGGCGGGGATGAGGGGAAGGAGAAGAGCCAGCCCGCGATTGTCGCCTTCGGCGATGTCAGCGATCTGCTGAGCCGCGAGGGCCGCGTCGGCTGTTCCCAGGGTGGCGAAGACGGCGCCGGCGAGGGCCGCAGGCGCCGAGAGCCGCTCGGCGGGGATGCGAAGAGTGAGCAGGCTCTTGGAGAGGTCCCTGATGGAGAGGGCCTGCGGGGGAGGCCTCGTCGCCGGCTTGGGCGGCGGCGACTTGGGAGTCGCGCACCTGGCGCCGAGGAAGGCGACAGTGGAGATGGCCGCCATGGAGGAGGATGAGAAGGTGGCGGTCTGTTGTTGCTGAGACGTCTGCCTGCGGCAGCGGGGAAGGGAGAGGCGGCCGTATTATCCAGGAGGACGTCCTGCCATGGCTATTCTTTTCCGTGGATTCTCTCCTTATCCTAAGACGATAGGAGCCTCAGATTTCCGTGCCCCACTTCCGGCCCCGAGTTTGTCTCCGGGCTTTTTTTCCCAGCCTTTGCCTGGTCCGGGCCCGAGAAGAAAATGACCCGGCCCGACCAGGCCCATCTGCTGAAGACTGCAATAGGAGGCTATTTTTGGAATCATCAGTTCCGATTTTTTTGCCCAACGACTGGTTGCACCGACCCTGTCAAAATCTTGACTTGGTCTCGCTCCTCACTGGAGGATAGCTATGTAGCTTGGGATATTATTATTAATAAAAAAAGAAGAGGGTATGATTTAAGGGAGAGGTGGGGGAGGGGGGGGGAGTCTTTGACCCGAAGATAGAGCGGGTTTGGCTCATTTTTCCCGAATTTTAAGTATGTAGATGAAAATAAGTATGGCCCGATCTCTACCCAGGAGAGTATAACCCTGAATAGGGATTGACATGAAAAAACACAGTCCCTTCGTCTTATCATGTGGCCGTCTGCTATCACCCATATATCTCTCTCTCTCTCTCTCCGTCTTCCCTCCCTCTACGGTGTGTTGAGCTTACGGGGCTCTCTTTCCCTGTTACTCTATCTCTCTCTCTCTCCCCCCCCCCATCCCTCCCCCTTTCTCTCTCTTTCTCTCTCTCTCTCCCCCACCTCTCCCCTTTCTCTCTCTTTCTCTCTCTGTCTTCCCCCTCTCTCTCTCTCTCTCCCCTCTCTCTCTCCCTCTCTCTCTCTCTCTCTCTCTTCTCGCTCCCTCCCCCCCCCTTTCTCTCTCTCTCTCTCTCCCTCCACACGAAACAATATCATTATGAGTCTCTTTTCAGCTCAGGTAAGCAAAACGATGTGTCCCAAGGAAACGGGAGGATGAGGAAGGCTTTAGGAACATGAAATGAAATGCAGCAAAACTGAGCAGCAAACTAAAAGAAAGTAGGTGGAGTGGACGACCCACAAGATCCTCAAGGTAATTACGAGAAGTTGAAAAAATGACACAATTTCTAACTCCGCCTCCTCTCTCTTTCTCTCTCTTTCTCTCTCTCTCTCTCTCTCTCTCTCCCTCTCTCTTCCTCTCTCTGCGCCCCCACTTCTCCCCTTTTTCCTCTCTCTGAGGGCCTTTTCTCGTCATTGCCCCTCAAATGGGTCAAGGAAAGGGGTGGGTCGGCTTTAATCGGTGGCGGTGGTGTTGGTGCCCGTGGTCGTGGAGGAAGACGTCGAGGAGCCTTTGTGGTTATGTATCCACACCTTGAACATCTGTCTGGTAATGCCAATCTCCCGACAGAAGCTCGCGATCTCGTCTTGTCCGCCGTCCTTCCGCTGCACCTTCCAACCAATCTTCTCTGCGAACTGCAGCATCTGCTCCTTCTGCTCCGACGAGAACTTGGTCCGCGTCCTCTTCTTGCCGTCGTTCCTCTCATCGGAGGCCGACGGCGGCGAGAACCCCACCATGAAGCTGTCGCCGCCTGCCCCACCACCGCCCGTTTCACCGACCGCTACGTACTTGCGGTGGAAGCTCCGATGGCAACCGCAGGCAGCACACTGCAGGCCTCTGGGGCTGGAAGGGTCGGGGGTGTACTCGCCGCAGCCGTCCACGGCGTAGGTGCCGAGTGTCGCCGCATGGTTCCGCATGCACTCCCTGTATTGCTCCTTGCCCTTCTCTGGATGCATCCTCTCTTTCTCCCTCCCTCCCTCCCTCCCTCCCTCCTGCTCTCTCTCTCTCTCTCTCTCTCTCTCTCTCTCTCTCTCTCTCGCTGTCTCTCGCAATCTCTGGGTCTCCCTCCCTCTCTCCCCAACCCCCACACTCCAAAATGTCGGCTCCTCTATCTTCCAGAGTCCACAGTGGTCCCGCGAAAAACAAAACTTGGGCGTCCCGCTATAGCACACGATGAAATGGGATCCCGATGGCAATCATGAGACCCTAAATACAGGGCGTATTACGTTCTTGCCATCCGGAATTGGGAACTCCGTTTATCGGTGACCTAAACGGCTGGTTCTGGAATTCTGCGCCTGAAGTTGTCACGACGCAGTCTCGAAGACCTTTCTGCTTGAACACGCCTCGCGGAATCGATTTTTGCGTTTCTGATCAGGGGGATCATTCAAACACGATTTTCGGTTATTCGATTGAAACACATAAAAAATATTGCGATTTGAGAATGAAATAGTCAACTATTGTAATTTAGTATTTAAAACAGTGGGAGAGAGGAAACAAGTAAAGATAATTTGTAAACAGGTAACATCTTCTCCATAAAACAGTGGGAGAGAGGAAATTAAATATTTATAAAGTATTTTAATATTTTTGATATATTTATTTAGTTAAATGAAGCCCATAACATTCATCCACGAATGATATGACGTTAAAGATAATCTCATAAATTATTTAATATTATGGATTATGTGTATTTTTTCGCAAAAAATCTTATAAGAAGAATCGTCAAGCATAGAATGGATCTCAAATTCTTCGGTGATTTTCCAGGACACGTGTCAACTATTTCAACCAATTGGGAAGGTGACACTTGAATGAGGAACGGTGAGGGGATAACACCCTCTGAATAGTCGACCTTAATGCCATAATTGACCCCAACGATTGAGCTATTAGTATAATAGGCTTCAATTTCCAGTATCACACTGTAAGTCTTGAAAAAAAAATGCTCCAGTCCAGCTGGCTCGTCCTTGTCTCAGTCAGGTGTAGACTTTGATTTGGTCTGATTAAAAGTCAGTCGATTTCTTTCTCTCACAAAATGATTGACTTGCAATTACTCTCTCTCTCTCTCTCTCTCTCTCTCTCTCTCTCTGTTTGGTGCGTATATTGTTGCGAGAGGAGCTAATGCTTCATAGCAGTCCGGCCCTAAATCCTTTTTCGGAACCTTGGTTCTGAGGCATGTGTAAGGTGGTCAGACTCGGCCTGAATTTGGCAATGCAAGGGCCTATCTAGCTGACACCCAAATACACAGGAGGTGTGTTTCATGCCGACTGTCCTTTCTATCATTCATGGGCTAGCTCGCCGGTCCAGCCCATTTTACTACCTGCCCAAAATGGGAGGAGGACGGGTCTCCATCTCAGTCTAGGTCCCGCACAATGTTGACAATTGCCTCCTTTTTCATGGGAATGGTATCGCATATCCTTAGGAAGGAAGGACTTAATGAGAATGTCTAATGATAGTGGCACAACTATGGTTCGAACTAGTACTCGTGAAAGATCCTTCTCTCTCTCTCTCTCTCTCTCTCTCTCTCTCTCTCTCTCTCTCTCTCTCTCTCTCTCTCTCTCTCTCTCTCTCTCTCTCTACACAGACACACAAATATGTATATATAGAGATATATATGCATACCCATCTATCTATCCATCTATCTCTTTGAGAGTGTGAGAGTGACCCATTGGGGGAAGCATGTAGACCCTCTTCCCATTTCCCTTTTCTTCATGTCAACCCTTTTCCGGAGGTCCCCCCAGGAGTCAGCCAAACCCGTGGATTATAGATTCACCGGGTAGCTCAACCACGGGAGCCCGTCCAGTTAGAACCACCATGGAGAGGCCTCTCTCAGTCTTTTGCTAATGATAGAGATGCCGCTGGTGGGAGCAACAGAGCTTCCGAGAACACGTGCAACCGCCGTGAACATGTACTTGGGCTCGCCGCCGGTGAGATCTGAGGATAACGTGGAGACTGCCTGTCTATACCTAGGTTCTAACCTAGAGCTCGAAGGGGACGCATGTTCTCTGAAAGCCTGAACTCCGGCCGCCTTGTCAGAGACGATAACGCCGAGGCCAGATGATGAAGATGCCCTCCGGGGAGGCAGAGGCGACAGTGGATGAACACTTGATTAGGAGAGAACTCTTCAAATGGGATTAATATTCAGTGGGGAGGAAGAGCCGTAATGTTGTCTGAAGGATGAGAATCCGACCAACTTAACACTGTCGCGGGGTCATGCTGGCCGTTTCTCTGCTCGGAGATTACAAGCTATGGCTGCAAGTGTTGCCTAGGTAGGGGGCCTAGGCTTGTCTGTTTCTTCAGCTGGTTCAATAGTACTTGCACATGGAGGACCCCACGGCTATCTTCTTGTGGGAAGCGTGGTTCGGGAACCCTTCACTTCGTTACTGTGGATAATGTTGTGGGGCATAATCCGTTTTGAACAGTTTTAATGGTATTTCGATATATTCTGATGCAGAAAATTCTCTTTCGATTAATTATCAATAGTGCATCACACAATTGACCCATCGATTGAAAAGGGCCGCCCTTTATGCTCCACTACCTGGCCAACTGGCTAGCAATGATATTTATCCCTAATTACTGCCAAATAATTCAAATGACTCTCGACCTAAGCATACCTCAGATTAAAAAAATATATATATACTGAAAATATGGTGATTTTTTCTCACATGTAATCCTCAACAAGAGTTGATTCTTCCATTCATTTGACTATCATATGATTTGGGCTATTACTTTTATTATAGGTGGACAACAGATGCCCTCAGCACATATTTCGTATTGCGGAGAGTAAAAAGAAAAACATGCTCTTTCCTTCGATATTTGTGGATTTTTTTTATAACTCTTACAACATATATGATTAAAGCGTTGGGCATGTGATCTGATTAGCACTCGCACTGATTTCATATTCGGTTAAACTCGAAATACCTAGAGCAACTATCCACGGAAATTCTTTCCTTCCATAATGCAAAATTGGTGATGTTCTATGTTTTTTTTTTTTTTTTGTGAGAAGACATGATTACGTATTATATTAAGTCATGCTCTAGTCATAAAATTCAAGTGTCTCCAAAGGAGATTTTTCCATCTTTTCATGCATTAATTAAAATTAAAATTTGATTTTATTATGTTTCTTACTTCACACTAATATGCCATAGAGCTTAGTGACACACATATATGTCATAAACCATCTTTATTAGTTTTTTTTTTTCCTTTACAAAGGAATAACTCAATTTCCCTTTTGCTTTTCCTTCTTTTTTTTCAAGTTGTTCTTTAGCAGTATGTTCGTCAACTTAGTCATTGCCACAGATATGATTTTTCAAGATAGAAGTATGCAATACAAGAAGCACTTAATATTAGGGTGGGTTTTGTAAAATTCTATGTAAAGCTTTTAGGTAGTGGCTGAATGGTGCTTCTTGAATTTAAATAGAATTTATAATAAAGTAGGACACATTCGTCCACTGCTCTGCCAAATAAGAAAATCTATGCTTTACCTTCGACGATTTGCCTCAACTCCCATTAACATCATTCAATCTTGTGATGAGATCCTGTTTAAGATGATCATGCAATCTTCGCTCACTGATCAAACCTTATCCATACCAACAAGGCTAAGGTTTCATCACAATGTTGGAGAATAATGCCAAGATAAGAGTAAAAATAGGTTTTGCTCTGGTTTTTAAGCATGGAGCTAAACTCTCACAATCATTGGTCAGCCTTGGCTCAACTATCAGTTTCGCGAATAGGCTTTGCTTAAATCAGTCGAGCAATTAATTATGCCAAAAATTGTTTTTTAAAGAATGAAAACCGTGTTGCTGCAGCTTAGCTTGGTAAGATTTCAGTCGACAGAAGCGACTTGGTACCCCTAGAGATAGGGCGATACACAAGCCTGTGATACTACGTTTCAAAATGAGCTAGGTAGATGCCTTCACTTATGATTGGATACGATCTTGAATGACTCAAGAATATCACACTTGAGACTTAGGTCCAGTGCACGCGAGTACTTGTCTAACCTACCTACTTCTTTGATAGCCAAGAGTGGATGGAGAAGGGAAGATAATAGAAAAAAGACAGCACTAGGCCACGGCGTGGCCGTGATGGGAACTCGAATTTCTGTTTTATGCTTCAATGATTGTATGTAGGAAGGAAATTATTGTCATGGATCTCTAATAAGATAGACATAGACACATTTGTCTTTAATTGGAACAGTCTCTAAATACCTCCAACCTTGTCCGACAGGGCCCCATTTCGTCAAACCAAAGACGGATGACCCTGATTGGGTCTGGACTTGAGCGGCTCTACCAGCTTGAAAGAACCACGTACATGGACAAGTACGTTTTTTAATGAACGAATTATATAAAGCGAAGTCGACAAGGAATCAATCTCCATGAAAATGGCGATACAGAAGGAAAAAATTAAATTTGGTGTGGAGTTAAAACGTTGTCATCCTCGCCAACCCGCATTCTCCGCTATCTCTTCAGAGTATGGGAAATGACCCCCGGCGCCGACATCCCCCTATCTCCCAGAGAGAGAGAGAGAGATTGACAGATACCTTTAGACCCACCTGATCCAACTCCTGCAGCGAGGTCACCACCCGCCTGCAGATAAGGTGCCTGAATAATGGCAGAGTCCACATGGATCTATGAGCTCTTCGTGTCCTTTAGTCGCGTAGACGGGGGTAGTGGGGGGGGGGTAGACTCCATTAATTAGTTGAAAAGACAGTTCCTGATGTACCCAGCGAGAGTTCACTCGTCTTTGGAGGAACTCATCGGGGAGGACCTGCACAGCATTCCTTATTCAAGCACTTCTGGACTTCATTTCAAAGAGGACGAGGGATCTACTGTATTAACCAGTCCTTGGCGGCATGTTCCTCCACCACACAAGGGTTGATGCTCGAAAAGTTCCCCACCGTGATCTCTCTCTCTCTCTCCCTCGACACTCATGTAAGGAGGCCACTCTTTCAATACACGGGCACTTGGCAGATGTTAGGAATGCCAACGAGCTGAGTAAGGCTGGAGCTTGACATGGCTCGGGCTCCCTTCTCTGACTTACGCCTCGGAATCTCGCGGATTTAAGAATAAGATAGGCCTGGCCTGGTTAACAGAAACAACAATCTGGAACCTGGATGAGTCTAGATTCAAAGCGAGGCCTTACCTCGTTCCTTTTTCATGTGGCATTCCTCTCTCTCTCTCTCTCTCTCTCTCTCGCTCGCTATCTATCTATCATCTATCTATCTACCTATCTACCTTATCTCAGTGGACCAGAAATCCAGCCTCCGGCTGTTTGGAAGCCACCTTTCCGAGCTTTTCTCCAGACTGACCCAGGTCTGGGTCTTGTGAAAAATTTACCGGGCCAGTCAAGCTCCGTCCTGACCGTTTGACACCCTGACTTGAAGCCTCCATAATTTATAAGACTACAATTTTCACCGAGCAGTAATCCGCTGGTCCAGTTGTTTCATCAGCTTTGATGACTGAAAACTTGATAGAAAAACGTCACGTTCTGACCCGAATATCTCAGGCCATGAAGACGATGGCGATCAGGAACCATGAATGCCGCCTTTAACAGCGCTATTTAAGAAAGAAACGCGTAGTCGGTCAAAATAGACTAGTCTGAGGCCAACTCAATCCCTGATCTTAAATAAAAGTCTGGAGAATTGTCTTATAGGTTCTGCCATTGTGCAGCTCGGACCCAGCCCCAACGCGCTCCGCATGCACTCTACGTGTGTGTGTATAAGAGAGAGAGAGAGGGAGAGAGAGGGAGAGAGAGAGAGAGAGAGAGAGAGCGAGAGACGGACAGAGACGGACACAGACAGGCGGCCATGTGACTAGAAAAACGGGGTTTTGGAGCCAATTGGAGCTCAGAACCGGGTCAGAAGGGAACCCGAGTGGGACCGGGGCCTTTTTTCTATTCATTTTCAAGGCCCATGCCCCAACAAAATGTATTGGGCCAGCTCTGGACGCACCGGCCCATTTTCCGGAAAAGACCTAAATTCTCAATCTTTATTCTCCCTCTGGTCGATATAAATTGGCTGGACCCAGATCAATACGTCTTGAGCCAGATTCAAAAAGATCTGAACCAGAACCCCATATCCTCTCTCTCTCTCTCTCTCTCTCTCTCTCTCTCTCTCTTTCCCTCTCCGGAATGAACGAAAGGATTCATGCAATCAAGGCCCGAAGCCCATTTTCCGGGTTTTTATCCCTACCATTTTGGTGCCAGGCCCAGCCCGGCTCGCTGGCATAGAAGATCTCCCGAGGCTGATGCGCCCTCTGGAGAGGTTGTGGCATATTTAATAATAGTATCTACTCATCATAAATTAGAGGTGAAGCAATAAATTTTAGTGGATAGGGATTTTCTCCCCTCCCCCCCCCTCTCTCTCTCTCTCTCTCTCTCTCTAGGGCTCCGCCATAAATTCCTTGGAATGCCGGTCTTCCATTGCACTACGTCACGCTCTTAATGAGGGGGGATTATGAAATCATGATATTCCCTTTGGGACAAAAAATTGATGGCCCATAAGACAAAAATACCTCGATTTATTTTAAATGTTTTCCTGCCTTTTCCTCCTCATTAAAAAAAGATCGCCACTTGCTTAATGGGTGTGGCAGTAAATCTCCTCGGGCGAGGCCCCTCTGCCTTGCAAGGCCCGGACTCGCCCAGATCCCCAGAGAGAGAGAGAGAGAGAGAGAGTAATATGGTACCGAAGGGTGAGCACTGTATGAATAGATAGGGGTTGGGGGGGCCCTGCCGATTTCAAAGATATTAAGTTTGACTGGGGAAGTCAGAGCATTGACATTCCTTGGGGCCGGTGAGAAATTAGCTTGGCCATTAAGCTCACCTCCGGAGCAGCGTATCCAGACCGGGATGGGGAAGCAACCGGGAGAATGCACACGTGCCCCCGGGATGCCCAGCCGGGGCCGTTGGACACGCCACGGCACCCGGGATATCCGGGGGACACGTGCGAGAGTGGACGGCCGGCCAAGGGTCATAGGTAATATTTTGGAATAAGAGGGGCAGATAAAGAGAGCCCATTAAATGCGATCGCACTTCGGCCCAACAAACACCCGTCCGGCGGCCATAATGGGCGAGTAAATACGGGGGCTTCTGCGTGTACGGCCCACAGCGACGGCCACGAATCGGACCGCCCTCAGCGCCTCGGGGTCCGCGCCCCGGAGACGAGACTAAGAAATTTCAAATTGGGCCGGTGCGATGTGGTTCGGGCCCAATATCCGAACTCCCCTTGGGCCTAGGCGACGAGGTTCTAAATTAGGTGCAGCCATTAATGACGGGGTGGGGGCGGGTCTACCGAGTGGACCCGGTGGGCCCCGCTGACCCATTCCCCTCAGCTCCCCGTTCTACCCTCACCCTCGCCGCGACGGCGCGGGGGTCAAGCGGGGCCCAGCGATCCGACGGCTGCCTCCGTGCGATGGATTCCTCGGCCTGTTTGACCTTCGGGAGACGAGCGTCTCCTCCTCCCTCGCCACCCACCGTTTACCACCCCCTGTAGCAGCATGCAGTGAGAGAGAGAGAGAGAGAGTCTCGAAGGAAGAGCAGAGGAAGGGGAGGGGAAGAGAAGATTCAAAGCTCAGCAGAAGGGGTGTGCGTCGGTTACAGCTGCGGTTTTCTCTCTCTAGAGGCTGCGGCTATATATGGAATGATATCTTCGTGACCGGGGAGGGGGGAAGGCCTTATTCTCTCTCCTCGGCGGTCTGCTTCACTTTTCAATCGGAAGGAGGAGGGTCACCGCCAGGATTCATGCCGATGCCCCCGATACGCGCCCGGCGGTTTCCCGTTCGGCCGATCGCCTCATCTCCGCCTGCCGTACCTCCGTAATGCTGCTGCGGTAGCAGAGGAGGCATTTAGAAAAGGAGGAGGCTCGAAGGGCGGGGAGCCGGCATTTAATTGCGCGGGGGAGAGTGGAGAGACTGTGGGAGGAAGGTGGAGGACCCATTTTTTCTCGTCCTCCGACGCCGCCGGGCCAGCAGCGGCTCCGCCACCTCCGTGCAGGGCAACTTGCCGTATTTTCTAGCGGCGGTGGCGCTCCCCTGCTGCGGTTTGACGGAGGGACGACGCCGGCGGGGGAGCTTTCTGCTCCCAATGGGTCGCTGTCATTGATATAACAGAGAGCTAGGGCTAAGTTGTCGTCGAGAAGCGTAAGAAGAAAACCAGGGACGGAGGCGGGGGGAGTAGGGCTCTTCCATTGAAGTAACTGGGGTGGGGAATAACGGGCCTAGCCGTGGTAGCCATGGATTCCGGCGAAGACCCAGATACCCCCGATGCGCAGAGGAGGAAGAAGCGGTATCACCGCCACACCCCGAAGCAGATTCAGACACTCGAGGCGTATGCTCCATCTTCCTCTTCCTCTTCCTCCTTCCATGCCTTGGGCTAATCTTGTCCTGGTTTTGGCTGGCTTAATAACCTGTTGTCGGGGATTTCTATTTGTTCTTCGAAATTTTCAGCATGTTCAAGGAATGCCCTCACCCAGACGAGAAGCAGCGGATGCAGCTGAGTAGGGAGTTGGGGTTGGAGCCTCGCCAGATCAAGTTCTGGTTTCAGAACCGGAGGACACAGATGAAGGTCTCTCTCTCTCTCTCTCTCCTCCTCTCCCTCTCTTTCCCTCTTTTCCTATTCGTTGTTACAGTGGATCTGCTTCCTCCGTAGGTTCAAAATGAGAGGTCGGATAACTGCTCGCTGCGGGCGGAGAATGAAAGGATCCGCTGCGAGAACATCGCCATCAAGGAGGCGCTGAGGAACATAATCTGCCCCACATGTGGCGGCCCTCCGGCCGCCGAAGACTCCTTCTTCGACGAGGAGAAACTCCGAATGGAGAACGCCCGGTTGAAAGAAGAGGTCGGAATCCATCTTCCTCCCCCATTTCTTCCGTAAAGCCTCGAACTCTCTTCGGCATCTCAGGATTTCTCTGCGGGTTTAAGGTCTTTCTTTGTCTTCTTCACGCGGAATTATCTCGCTGACCCGATGCTAATTATGGGAACGTGCAACCAGCTTTCTAAGTAACACTTGCGGAACACGATCGTCAACTAGTTTCAGCGTTGATCCTTTCACCTTCGTGGATTTCTCGTTTCTCGATCTTAAAGACCTTGCCTGCATCTGAACATTTTAGTTTAATTTAATGGCAGCTTGATAGAGTCTCCAGCGTCGCCTCCAAGTATCTCGGAAGGCCCATCACTCAGCTACCTTCTATTCAGCCAATTCCCGCTTCCTCGTTAGATTTGTCAGTCGGGGGATTCAGCTCTCCGAGCCTCGGTCCTTCCCTGGACCTCGACCTCCTCCCGGGGAACCTGCCGTCCGTCCCGCCATTGCCGTTTCCGCCGGGGGGCATGTCAGAGGTGGAGAAGTCTCTCATGGCGGATGTTGCGGCTAACGCAATGGGGGAATTGATTAGGCTGGCTCAGACCGACGAGCCGCTGTGGATGAAGTCTGGGAGCGACGGCAGAGAGAGGCTTAACCTGGAGAGCTACGACCGGCTCTTCCCCAGGTCTGGAAACCAACTGAAGAGCCCGGTCATCCATTCCGAGGCGTCGAGAGCCTCCTGCGGCGTGATGATGGGCGCCACCTCGTTGGTCGACATGTTCATGGACTCGGTGAATCCCTCGGCCTCCTCTGGTTATCATCTGATATGATCCCAATTCCCTGAACTCTAGCTTATATAATAATCCCGTCTCCTCTCTCTCTCTCTCTCTCTCTCTAATTGCAGAGCAAGTGGATGGAGCTTTTTCCGACGATAGTGTCGAGGGCTAGGACTATCGAAGTCCTCTCACCCGGGATGGGAGGAAGATCCGGGTCTTTGCTATTGGTATGCACTGAACTCAACGTTGGCCTCCGGGTTTGGTCAACCCTGAAAGTTCCTGTTTTTTGTTTTTACTGATTGAACGCTGGATCGATTCAGATGTACGGGGAGTTTCAAATCCTCACGCCGGTCATCCCCACCCGGGAATTCTACTTCCTCCGTTACTGCCAGCAGATCGAGCAGCACCTTTGGGCGGTGGTCGATGTCTCCGTTGACATGTCCAGGGAGAACCTGTTCGCTCCGCCGTCCCGGTCGCGGCGGCTCCCCTCCGGCTGCGTGATCCACGACATGGCCAACGGGTACTCCAAGGTGAGCCGCCTTCCTCCCTTTTGCGCCGCCGCGCCCCTCCCTCTCGCCGCCGGATTGACGTCGTAGCTTGGATCAGGTGACCTGGGTAGAGCACATGGAGATCGAGGAGAAGAGCCCGATTCATCATCTTTACAGAGGCCTCGTGGTGAAGGGGGTGGCCTTCGGCGCCCAGCGATGGCTGGCGACGATGGAGCGGATGTGTGAGAGATTCGCGACTCTGATTATGCATGGCAGCTCCGGCCGCGACCTCGGAGGTAATAGATCGGATTGGGGGTTCGCCGGCGGTTTGTTTGCCGGGGAACGGGATAATCATGCGGTTTCTTTCATGGTGGCTGCTGCAGCTCCGACGATTCCCTCCGCCGAGGGGAAGAGGAGCATGATGAAGCTCGCGCAGAGGATGATGAGCAACTTCTGCTCGAGCATTGGCGCGTCGACGGGTCACCGGTGGACGACTCTCTCGGGAATGAACGACGTCGGCGTGAGGGTCACCGTCCACAAGAGCGTTGACCCCGGCCAGCCCAGCGGCGTCGTCCTCAGCGCCGCCACCTCCATCCGGCTGCCCGTGTCGCCGGAGAACGTCTTCAGCTTCTTCCGCAACGAGCAGACCCGGTCTCAGGTACTCCTGCCGTTCTGGGTCAACCCCACCCTTCACCTCGCCGGCGCCGCTCTGCTGACGAAGCTCTTTCTTTTCCACTTTCAGTGGGACGTCCTGTCCAACGGCAACTCGGTGCAGGAAGTCGCCCACATCTCCAGCGGCCAGCATCCGGGGAACTGCATCTCCCTCCTCCGGGTAATTGATTTCTGCAACTGGGTCATCATCATCTCCTCCTCTTTGGATATGGCATGGGATCATCAATCACTCTGCTTGTCACTCCCACTCTCATGAAGCTGTTATTAGAAAGCATCAATCTGAATCAAGAAGGCGGCTTGAATGCCTTTCTTTTTATTACGAGCCCGCTGGTCATTATTGTCGGAGGAAGAGTTCTGGGTCCTGATTTCGTCATTTTTTCATGGGTTGCGCAGGCGTTGAATTCGAGCCAGAGCAACATGCTGATACTGCAGGAGAGCTGCACCGACTCGTCGGGATCCATGGTGGTGTACGCCCCCATCGACCTGCCGGCGATCAACATCGTCATGAGCGGGGAGGACCCCTCCTACATACCCCTCCTGCCGTCGGGGTTCACCATACTGCCCGACGAGGACGGCGCCGCCGCCGCCGCCGCCGCCGCCGCGGGAGGGCCCTCCACGAGCTCTAACCCCGGCAGCGGCGGCGGCGGATCCCTGATCACGGTGGCGTTCCAGATCCTCGTGAGCAGCCTCCCCTCTGCAAGGTTAAACCTAGAGTCAGTGACGACTGTCAACAACCTCATCAGCACCACCGTGCAGCAAATTAAGGCTGCCTTGAATTGCCCCACCCTATGATCGCCGCCGCCGATGAGAGAGGGAGGGAGGGAGGGAGGGCTATTCCGCCGCCCGCCCCCCCTCCGTCGTCCTCCTCCGCCATGACTCAACTGCGGCGTCGCAGGTGGACCGAGACAGCTCTTGATGCGGGGCATTGAAGAGGCCTTTAATTGGCCCCCGCCCCCCCACCGGGAGGGGGTTGGTTGGCCTTGAATTCCCACCATCAAGAACTGTCGCAGGGACTGCAGCTGCTGCCTCTTATGACGGCGCGACCCCCATACAACCCTAAAAATTCTTACAGGAACACCCCCTCTTCCCCCCTCCCCCATCCCCCCACCCCCACATTTGTTTTCATTTAGTAGCCTTTAAAGAGGGAGTCAAGAACGCACCATAGCTGTCCTCCCTCCCTTCCTTGCTGCTGCTGACCCTTCTCTCTCTCTCCCTCTCCCTCTCTCTTCTCTCTCTCTACAGCATGGTCAAATGGTTCGGGCATTGACTCCTGTTAAACCCATCTGCTCTCCTCCCTGTTGAAGCAATCCGCGTCTGTCTGCATGATTGCACTCCTGTAGTTCCAGAGTTTCATATTTATCGAGGATGGCGCATGTGGTCCCCACACCCTCGGCGCTTTAATGGGCCTAGTGGGCCATACTCTTCGATCCACCAATTTAATGGCAAGCGGACACGGTTGGGCCGGCGTTTAAACTCCCATGTATGTATGTCGCTAGGTTCGCCGCCAAACCTCCGGGTGGGGCCTATTCTCTGCGGTTATTCCCTTTTTTTTACGGATCATCCCCGTCATTTGCAAAAGTTGCAATCCGGCCCTGGTGAGCCCGGGCTGTCCGCGTTGACCTGCCACTCTTACAAGACGAGCGATCTCACCGGTCTTTCTTTTTTTACCTTTTTTCACGGTGATATTGCGCGTACCCTCCTCCATAAGTTTTGCAACAGAATATTACCGATAGATCCTTCGATCTTTGATTAAATGTCATATGGCTCCTCTCGATACATAAAATACATAAAAACACCGGAGCATCACATGAAATATAATAATTATATTTTATTTGAGAAAGATCATTGACAACGTGCTGCACTGCACCATTTTCTCCGATAAAATTTTTGAAATAAATTCCTTTAATTGAGTACATTTTTTAAATTATAATTATTACATTTTTTGATGGTCCCATTTCAAAACCACAACTGAAGAAAATAAATTCTTTTTTCTAAAAATATTGTGAAGGCAGAGATTGAGTGGATTTTAAGTGATTAATAATAACATCGGGAAAATATTGATGCGAATTTAATATATTTCAGAATTTGTTTTTCGATACGCTGTTTTTTGTGGAAAATAAAAATATGTGACCGGCAAAATAAAATTTAGGCTCCCGCCTACTCTCTCTCTCTAAGCGACAGACCCTTGAGACACTTCGTCGTCGTCGGGTCTCTGAGATAAGACCTCCAGCTTCTCAGTTTCTTCTGTCGCTTCGGTCTTCGTTCAGCATTCCGGTTTGGGCATCAGTCATCTCATGTTTGTCGGCATTGGCAGTCTCTCATCTCCGCCGGCATCCGCACGGCGATTTACCCCCGGAATCGCGCAGAGGCCTGCAATCTCTGTTCGAGGGCGTTGTTCGATAATCCCCAGTGGTTGGGCTTGACGGGGCTTCTCAGGTCATTCTGATCTGTCTTTCTCGCTCTAGGGTTTATTACACTGTTCTCTGGTCTTCTGATTCTCCGTTCTGTTTCCTATGGGTATTCGATTTCCTTGCGCTAACTCAAATTCCTTGTCGTTCATGTTTTCTTTACTCAGGTAGCGGAAGAATTGTTATCGATGCTCTAGGTTTCTGAGCATAATCATTTCTAAGATCACGTTCGTTTGGCTGATCTCTCCACCGTTCCCCGTCTCCGTGGTGGCGCTCCGTATTTTGTCGCATCCCTTCTCTGTTTTGTGTTCTCATGGACGGCAATGGCGGCTTGGGAATGAGGAACTGGGGAGAGTACTTCGAGCAGCCCCAGAGGAAGGGAGGACTGAGTCTCCAGCTAGCGTCAGCCGGAGAGCGAGAACCGAGACCTTTCCTCTCCAGGCGGGCATTCCTCCACCGTGATTGCATTGTCCAGGAGCCTTCCATTCCCACGGACTACATGCGCGAGGGCTGGATGTACCCCTGCCGTGATAACAGCAAGATGCTCCACGTTACGAACCCCAAGCATGCTGTTCCCTTTGATGCCCAATCTGCAGGCAGTGTTCACACCATTCAAATGCTTAAACAATCAGATCCCTCGGCGTCCAAAGAGGAGGAGAAGGCTCCCGCTGTGAATGGACTAAGAAAAAGGTCACGAGGAATGAACTCAACCAGGGCGCAGAAGCCGGATAAACCGAAGAAAGCTTCTGCAAAGAGGGGCGATGGCATTAACAACAATAGTACTTCTGCTTTGCCCGTCAAGGGAGGCAAACGGAGCTTGGACGTGGTCATCAATGGCGTCGAACTGGATATCTCGAGGCTTCCTACGCCAGTCTGTTCATGCACAGGCACTCCCCAGCAGTGCTACCGGTGGGGCCTCGGTGGATGGCAATCGGCATGCTGCACCACTGAAATCTCGATGTACCCACTTCCGATGAACACCAAGAGGCAGGGTACGAGGATACCTGGCCGGAAGATGAGCCATGGCGCTTTTAAGAAGGTCTTGGAGAAGCTCGTTGGTGAAGGGTATAACCTCTCTACTCCGATCGACCTTAGGGCTCACTGGGCCAAACATGGTACCAATAAGTTTGTGATAATCAGATGAGTAGGTCCAAGGGACGGCATTTGTTGTCTATGCCATGTGTACATAACTAAGGTTGCCTTCTGCGTTTGCTCTTAGATAGCTTGTAGTACTGAAACTTTCTTGCCTTTTGGTTCCATATCTGACAAGTATGTCTCTGGGTGAATGCTCATTTGCGTCTTTCCAAAATTATTGACTTTTGGCTCAGTTTATCAGGATAGTTCTGAAATGAATATATACTCAGTCTGCTTCTTGCAACATTTGTTAAACATGGATCTGTCTCTATTATGCACTGTGCCCAATCTAGCCCTAAAACAGAGCTCATTTTCTTCCTTATCATTGAGATTCAGTGTCTTGGGTACTTAGATAGGTTCCCTTACATTGAGAATCTTTTCATCTGCTAGAATTATGGTGAACCTTATGGTTATACTTCCTGATGTATACATCAATACACTGCTTGATCTTCTTCTATATGTATAGTTTTATAACATTGCTTATAATTCGCCGGTTACAGAACTGTAACACATCTGGCTTCATGCCATCCTCTGGTGTATACCTTGAGGTATGGTTTACTTCTGTCATGTATTATCTTTCAGAGAACATTTAATTGTTTGAACTTCATTGATTACCGTATTATTTTGAAATAAACTCCATGTTAAGGTAAAATAAAAATGATGATTGTCTGAGTAGCTCTTGTCTCCAATGTGTATTATTCCTCCAGTGAGTGACTGACCGAAGGGAAATTATGGAATTATGTGGCCTTTTATTGCTCATTTTTTATTATATTTCTTCAGTGATTCTGCATCAGTTTCCATATCAAGTATGACGACTGAACGAGGCAATTTTTTTGGTATGTATTTTTATGGATGCTCCTGTGATTTAACGGACGGAAGAATCTTTGATTGGCTACCAATTTAGCTTGGACAATAAACTTCTGCATGCGAGAATAAGCGAATTATGCTCAATATCGTTGTTTATATGTTGTTTTCTTCATTATTTTCTTTGTTGGAGCTGATGGAGAAGATTACTTTTATTCGCTGAAAATGCCCGTTTTCGTTGACTTGTACACTACTACTCTCTTCGTCCGTCCTGTGGAAGCCATCTGTTATCTCATTATTTAAGGTGTGTGAACGGTCAAACTTCTAGTTCTCTATTTGCCTGCTGCGCCATGATCATTTGGAGTCGGAATCTCTTGGGGTAGGTGTATTAGTGATAGCTTTTTGATCCCCGGTATCGAATAATATGCTTAGAAAATGATAGAAATTAATGATTTTGATAACAAGGCTGGTGCCCCTTTTCCATGCTGATTATCTTGATATTAATCTTGACGGAGATTGAAGCTGAATCCTGTGTAATTAGTTAAGTTATGAACTGACGAACAGATTCATTGTTTAGGACAGAGGCTTTAGCTTTCTCATTGTTCCAGCCCGGCTATCCCCATGAGAGGATGAGCCCAGAAGACGGGCTTACCTTGGCCGTTGACTACACCCATATGGACCCATCTCTGGCTGTTAGTTTTTTCTTGATTCATGGGCATGATTGACCGCTCGATCAATCATATATGGGTTCGAATCCTCGTAGGGAATAAAATATGGCGCGTGGAACCGATACAGTCCCCGAATGCTCAGAGAAATCTCTTTCTCTTCGATTTAGGAGGGTCTCTCTCTACCGGGATTTCTCCAAATCCCCAAGAACTTGATGCGTGATGGGGCTTTTTGTCCATCAAGTGAAGTAATATTATCTCTTGAGTTCATAGTTTGACCAAGATCTTATTGGGAGAAATTAATCAGCTTTTCTAATTGATTTCATATTATTTCCAGGAAACAGTGTAGTCAAATGCTTCCTTCATACGACGGCAGGAAATTGCAATCCTTTTGCCCTCTCTCTCTCTCGCTATAAAGGAGAACAGAAGAATAATGAAGTACGCACAGAGGTGGCCACAGCCAGGTCATAGGAAGGAGTTTCCTCTCTTCCACGGCGACGGGCCTGCGGGCTCACAATGATCTCCGCTTCCCGGCGGCGGGCGGGGATGTTGGTAGATCATCAGCTCCTACAGGCCATTCTGGGGCGGCCCGAGAAGCAGGGGCTCGGCCCAGCAGCTGCATGGGGCGGCGCCGCTCGGCGCCGGTTCGTCGTCAAACACCACCCAGTTCTCCGTCACCACCGTCCCTAACCTCTTCCTCCTTCCGTCCTCTTCCATTCCTTCAGCTATTCCGCCACCGGTCTCTCCTCTGGACGCCTCGAACCACAGCAGCATCTCGAGATCCTCGATGTCCTCCTCGGGGATTCTCTCCACCGGAGGCAGTTCCGCCGCGTTGAGGACGCCCATGCGCCTACACAACTCGAAATAGGCCGCCAGTTGCGAGCTCTGCTCCGCCGCCCTCCGCAGCACCCTGATCCCCATCGCGCCTTCCACCGCCTTGCGCTGCTGTAGAGACGGTGGCGCGGAGCAGGCGCCGAATATGCCGACGAGGCCGCCGGCGATGCCGCTACAGACGGCGCTGTAGACTTCAAAGATCTCGACGACGACGCAATCCATGGCCTCTAGCAGCAGCCTTGCCCCCGCCCCCTCGTCACCGTAAGGCCTCACCTGCATCAGCAGCTCCATAAGGTCCTGCGTTTTCTCCACCCTCCTCATCCCTTTTTCCCGGTGGGCGTCGGTGAGGAAGATCGAGCGCTGATCGAGGAAATTGAAGTAGGCGCGGACGAAGGCGGAGAGTCCCCACGAAGATCGGTCGTGGAAGCTCGACAGGTCGAAGGGGAGGCGGCCCGCGGCGGCTGCGGTGGGCCGACAGCAGAGGAGGACGCCGTGTGCCAGCATGAGGGACTTGAGCGCCACAGCCCAGCTGCGGGTCTTCCTCACGCGCCGGGAGAGTGCCCACATGAGCGGGCGGAGGAAGACGGAGGGCGACGTTCGCGCCCAAGCGAACACTTTGCCGGCGCTCTTGTAGTCCATGCGGGTCTCGTCGTGGCTCGTCGCCTTGATCACCGCCGCCTCCAGTTCCGGGTGGTGGCGCAGCCTGGCGGCGCCACTCCCCCCCCCGCCGCTCCGCTGCTGGCGCGTGGGCGGCGGGCGCAGCCGAGCCAGGCATAGACTTCTCTTGTCTTTGACCGTCGCCGCCGCCAGCCTCCACCACTTCCTCGGCGTCGTGCTCATCCCTAACATCGACGGCATATTCTTCCTTCTACTTCTTCTCCCTCGTCCCTGAGCTCCGTCATCCCCCGGGTTAGATTTCCGGAAGGAGGACGAGAAGAAGCATCATGGGTCGAGGAGAAGATCGGGCCTCATAGCGAGGAACAACGGTCCCGAAGGCCGGCCGGCGAACGGGGGAGGCGAGGCCTTTCTGCGATTCTTGAGCCCTCGTCTTCTTCCTCGTTGAAGCCTTCGCCTCGCGCTGCTGCGACATGCAGCGTTCTTCCGTTCTACTTGGTCCTGTGGTGGGGCGGGTGTGCTGTGTCGGGGCAGTTGGCCCTTCTTTTCCGGGCCGTTGTGTTTTCGTGGTGGCCGTCTTCAACGCTCAAAATAGCCCATGGACGGGGCCCATTAACGCTCTCCGGGGATCCTCCACTCCCCCGGTCCAGTTTGGAGCGAGAGATCATTACGGTTGACCATCTTAGAGAAGACATCGAATCAGTTGTATACATTTCGAGGGCCTTTGAATTGATAGAAATTGGGGAAATCACCATTCGATTTCGCACGGGTTTCTTGCGATTCAGATTGTCGATTCGAGGCTATCGGACTCGGTGGCAGTAGGTCTAGAAAAGAAACAGAACTTAGCGAATATTTTTTTTCATGCACTGTTGACCAGCGCTGGATGGTCAAAATATTATGCTGAAGCTGAGAATAGCTGATCATATCGATCTAAAGACATGGTACAGTCTCCCGAATCCGTTAGGAGAGAGTGATGATCGTTTCCGAGAACATCTAAATGACATTATTTCTTATTTTTACGTGTAAATTTCAGCTTAGCTCAACCGAGACATTAAATATTTAGTATAAATATTTTTCTTCTCCCACCCAATTTTTCTATGGAACGTTGTCGCATGGTGGGAGCTTGAGCTCTTCACTGTTAAAAGATCAAGTCAAATGGGAGGAGGTGTTGTATCGATTACCACAATGTCAACGCGTTGTTTATTGTGTCAATAGAACTGAGCAACTGGGTGGGTGTGCAACCAGGCCATTTATCATGATATGCATCTGAAATGTGACCACAGAGGCCAAGAACTGGTACCCAAAAGGATCACTATGGCCAAATCCAAATTATGTCTGAGCTATAAAGAGTATGGAGGGCAGAATACTTAGCCAGAAAATAGTGCTCATAACCCTCCTATTTCGTCTTACCACCGACTAATAGACAAAAAAGGCATGGATATCCATTTTTGTGGAGGAGCAATGTTACACTTTGAGTATTGGCATTTGAATCAAATTCTATCAGTCGTGACTCATCTACCATCGATCGGCCAGTAGTTGTGACCACGGACACTATCTATCGATGTTTTAAACGGAGCATATATTAATCGTGTTTCATCTTACCAGCTTGTTTGAAACCTATGGTTCGTATCTTATTATTGATCACATTTTGTGTGGATTGTTAGATATAGTCTTGCTACGTTTATGGGCTTGCCATATGTTGGTTTCTGGGCTTGCCATGTCTTGGTCCTTGCTATGTTTATGGGCTTGCCATATTTAGTCCTAGTAACATTATGTGAGGGTTTTACAGGGCTTGGCTTAGGGTGGCCTTTCGTCCATTCTCCCTCTCTCGTCTTCCTTTCTCGCCGCCTTTCTCTCTCCCTTGTTAATATGATATCGCCACCTTCTTATTTTCTCTCTTTCTTTGCCAACATGATATCAGTTCTACTTTGTTACCGTCTCTAGCTCTTTGATAACATTGTATTAGGGCAATCTTATTTCCTTCTATCTCTTTTTGTCAACATGGATCACGTTGGTGGGCAGCCTAGGAATGGCTGGTAGCCAATAATGTGAACATTTTATGGCATGAGTTCGCTATGGTTTCCATGTATTCTAGTCACTTGAAATTTGTGTCAACGAGTCAGGTCATGGATCAATAAGTAACAGGCCTTAGAAAGACATATACGCACTTTTTTTACGAGGATAATGATCGTTTTGAAAACAACGAACGATAATTTTCCATTAGGTATGTGACTGAGGGTTGACATCTGGAAATCCCTAAAAAGGAAATAGAATGAATCACATGTTGAGTTGAAACTGGGATGTAGACCAATAAATCCCGAGTGGCTTTCTCCCCCTTCGTTAAGAAATACCAAGATCTAGCAAGCTTACTCCCAGGAGGAATGGTTGAATGCGGCCAAGACATAGTGCATCGACAAGCAGGGAATAATGAGAAGGTGATGTTTTTAAACTCTCAATGTCAATGTTTTACGTTTTCCTTCGCAAATGGCAGGACCCTTCACGAATGCCGCTAATTATTTAGGTCATTGCGAGTTATTGTATGAAACAACTGAATGAAGTCATCTGAGGACAAAAACGCGAAGGTCAAGAGGGAGAACGTGCTCGACCATGGTCGGACCTCGAGATGGCCGACGCCCAAAGCTGGTCGCAGTTCTTCCGCGTCTCTACACTGTTCTTGACGACTTGCTCGAATAAGGCCACGGTATTCTCATCCGACTTCACTACATGTCAATGTTGTGCGTGAGAAGACAAAAGGGAGAGGGACTATGCTACCTCCTCCGGAAGGCAAATGCTCATGTAGAGAAGAGTTTAAACACGCCTAAGACGGGGTTTGTTGGGGTGTTTCGCCCTCCCATAGAGTAGCCAGGCTAGGGTAGTCGTCTGCGAGACGCCCATGAGGAGCGGGGCTGCATGCCGCCCACTGTGCAACGACGAGAGACCGGATAGGAAGGAAGAAAGAGTCCCCGAAAGAGAGCTGGAAAGTGGCCTCCATCAAATGACCCATTGGTCGACGGAAAAGAGAAACAGGAACCTATTGGCTCAGTGAACCCCACTCTCTCCCACCTCTCTGTCTCTTTCTCGCTCTACGCCGTTAAAACTGTCTCTACATCTAAACCCTCATCTTTCTCATTTTCGAAAAATCGCAGTTTACACGGATAAAGGCCGAAGGGGGGCGGGGGGGGAGGGGGTGGGGGCGGGGTGGGAGGGAGAAGTGACGACAGGGAGTTCCACTCGTAAAAGACCACCAGTATGCTGTCTCTTCTTTTATCAAAGATGCTCGCCCCTCCCTGTCACTGCCTTTCTCGCAGAGGCGTACATGTTTATTTATGCGTGTGTATGTGTGTGTGTGTGAGATGTGTGTGTGTGTGTGTGAGAGAGAGAGAGAGAGAGAGAGAGAGAGAGAGAGAGAGACAGAGGTGACAAAGCTCTGTCTCTTGTAGGGCGGCACTGAAAACCATGGCACTTGGTTGTACTGTACGTATTTAAGATTTTGCATATATGTTGGCGTGCGGGGCCGTGCAGATCTTCATTGAAGAGAGATGGCCACACTTTAAATCTCTCAGCGCGTATATGTGCGTGTGGACGCCGCTCCTCCACTAATGGGAACGGCTTCGCGTCTCAGAGGACTACTGCTGTCCACATCTGCCCGTCAAATAATGGTCAACCTCAAGACAGAAGCCCTACAGTTGTTTGTTGTTCACCTCCGCACCCTCCTCCAGCCTCCTCAAACAGTAGTCGCTTATAAAAAAATTCCTCCTACAATAGTAGGAAGGGAGGACGAACTGGGAGAAGCAGATTCACGTTTGAATAGTCCTCTGAATCAGTTCCATCAACTCGGGAACCCACTAGATAACGCTCAAGACAGAATCACAGTGGGTGAGTGAGAGCGAGAGAGAGGGTGTGTGTGTGTGTGTGTGTGAGAGAGAGAGAGAGAGAGAGAGAAATAATCTTCCTTTGTCTGGAAAACCTCCTTAAAGATTCAAACAATACCTTGTAAAATGTCAAGCGGGAGAGAAAAGCGAGGAAACATTGTCATCAAGATCCGAGTCGCCCTTCTTTCAACTAGGGTACTGCCAGGTAATGCTCAAGGCAGAATCAAGTATATCAATATATATATATATATATATATATATATATATAGAGAGAGAGAGAGAGAGAGAGAGAGAGAGTGAGGGAGAGGAGGGGGGAGGGAAGGAGGGAGGGGAGGGAGAGAGAGGTATTCGTGACACCATTTTCCTTGTTACGACAGACTTCTCCAAAGGTTGAAAAAATGCTTGAGAAAATGTTCAATGGAAGAGAAAACTACGAAAACATCATCATCAAGATCAGCATCCCCCTTCTTTCAAATAAATAAAAAAATTTGAAATGAGACGAGGAGAAGATCGCGTGTTACAAATAAACACCTCGTTCATCAACCATCGTCGGCACCATACCTGATTACAGTGATCATGGATAACGAGAGATGGGGAAAAAACGACGAGAAGAGGGAAATGAAATACTCAAAGCTGTGAGATTATTGAAACAAGAGAAACTGTTGTATCGAGGGAGAGAGAGAGAGAGAGAGAGAGAGAGAGAGAGAGAGAGAGAGAGAGAGAGCTATGCGTTGGTGGAGATCTTCCCCTGATGATTCCTGTTATTGTTGTTCTCTCCTTCACCTTCGGTCATGATGGATGACATGTAGCTGACAGCAATGGAGTGCTCCTCAGGGGTCACCACTGCCTTGGCTCGGAAATGCTGCTTGCAGGACTGGCAGGTGATCTGCAGAAGCGTGGAGTTTATCTGCTTGATGGCATGGTCTCTGAGAACGTGGGCCTTGTTGAGCTCCGCTTGAGCCTGCTGCCGGATCCGCTTGGCGTTCGCGAATTCCTGCTCCGCTAGCTCTATCTGCCGCACGGCCTGCTGCCTCGCCTCGTCTGCCATCGCCCTCTCTACCATGGCTATCCGCAGCTGATCGTGGACCTCCTCCTTGAGTCTCCCCGCCGCCAGTGCAGGGTCGTCAACGGTGGTGCCGGTCGGCGGGATCGCCGCCTTTTCGTCGATGGGTCCGACGCTGGAGCCGATGGAAAGCTGAAGCTGGGTGTCGTGGGTGTCGTCGGACTCGGGGGAGGGCGCCGAAGGGGAGACGGAAGAGAGGACGTTGGACGGCGCCGAGGGCAGGAGCTGGAGTTCGGGGACATGAGCCCGGCGCTGGTACTGGTAGTCGGACGCTGGAGATATGTTCTGGTCGTGCTGGTGCAAGAAGATGGCGGTCGCGGGGAGCGGCATGTGGAGGGACTGCCATGCAGCGGCGGTGAATTTGGTCTCACTGGAGGGACTAGGACTGGAGGCGGTCCTCGAGAGACAGGCGGTCTGGGAGGCCTGCAACTCCGCCCGCGCTCGGCTAGCATGGCAAGCGTCTTGGTGTTCGATGAAGCTCTCTACTCTGCAGGTTGTAACCAGCTTAGTCGAATGCAGAAGTGATTGAAAACTGAATCGGGCTTCCCATCAGATAACACAGAAAACAAGGAGAAGGCCGATAAGAATGAAAATGATCTCGGGAACGAGATCAGATAAGGAGAACTGAATGGGAGAGGAGAGATTAAATGAATCAACATTGGAGTCACCCGATGTATATTGTTTCCGGGAATTTCGACTTCGATTGAAAGATGTGAAAGCATGACGAATCGATCAGACGCGCTGAGGTGATCAAGACTCAGCATAGCAAACCCAGAAAAAAGGTTATAACTAAGGTGTGCGTGTGTGTGTGTGTGTGTGTGTGTGTGTGTGTGTGTGAGAGAGAGAGAGAGAGAGAGAGAGAGAGAGAGAGAGAGATCTGATAAACTTCACAACTAAAATCAGCGAAACGCATATTAAAGAAACTCCATACTTGAAAAAGCACACCACTTTGCCTAGACCAAATACTGACGATTATCAAAGAAAAAAGAATTAATAAGAACTGGTAATGTGACCGTGTTATCTAAGATACTTTGTGTTTTGGTGGGTCTATAATCATATTACGGTTATGGGCACCTCAATTCGATTTAAATTCCGTGTTTGTATGGGAAATGGGAGAGAATATACAAGAAAGGAGTTAAAGTTTACGGAGGAAGGAGGAGACGTCGTGAAGGAGGATCGGACCGGGAGAAGACGCGGCCGCAGTCGCATGAGTGGCCGCGGGTACCGCAGGTCTTGAGGTGAGCCTTGTAGTCAGACTGGACGGCGTAGGCCTTGGAGCACTTGCCGCAGACCCATTGCTTGTGGTTGGAGTGCTTCCGCCGGTAGTGCTTCTTGATGCCGACTAGATCGCCGAGGGCGTGGCAGGGGTCATGGTGCAGACAACTGGGCTCCGGGCAGACGAAAACCCTCTTCTTCACCTCCGGTGTCTCCCTCTTAAGCAGCTTCCATGGTACCTTGTGCCTCCGCCGGTGCATCTGCAGGTTCTGGTCCCTCTGGAACCCCTGGCCACAGATCTCGCACACGTACCGGTCCGACTCCAGCAGCGTCTTCGGCGACAGCGACACCACCTCCGCGTCAGGGTCTAGTGATATCAACATCAGATGGTCAGGAGATGATCATCGGCGTCATTATTTTAAGTTCAACTGAACACCAATCGAATTCACAGCAATTCGGGGATTCAAGCGTGTGCAAGGAAGTACCTGGAGTTCCGGCTGGCCTACGCTTCCGTTTGCTGCCAACGCCGCCTCCGCCGTTGGTGGGGTTGTTGGATGCATTGTCCAGGCAGGCGAAGGGCTGAGGGGGCACGGAGGAGGAAGACATGGTGGCGTTGTTAGTGTTGCCGAGGAGGGATGAAGCCATTGACGGCGTGGGGGAGCTAAACATAGAGGGAGAGAGATCTTGGGTTCTCGCAATTTGGGGGTAATTCAAATCTCCACTCCCCTATGTCTAAACGCCTTGCCTCACCCTGTTCATCTGCATCTGTTGCATCAGCATCTCCCTTGAGGTGAGCCGGAGGAGGGTTTCCGATTTCCGTTCCCCGACTTTACCGAACGTGAAGCGACGGCGGGCTGCGCAACAAACGTTTAGATGTTCCCAGAGGAGAGGATGAAGGTAGCGGGAGGGGTCTCGCTCTCTTCTCCTCCCTTTCCCCTTGCCTGAGCCCTTCAATATTTCTTTCTCTCGATCGTCAGACACCCACATAGAAAGCTCGAAGAAGAGAGAACCCAGATAAAAGGAGGACGGAGGCAGCTTTCTCCGAGCCTCGGGCGGGCAGCTTTCTTGGGGATTTTCGTGGAGGGACTAGTGAGGACTGCCGTGGTGTCTTTCTAGCTCCGACGGACTTAATATAAATAGTAAATGGGATCAGCAATGACAATAATGGTATAATTTCCCTCCAAGTGATTGCGGTAAGGGAAGGGTGAGAGGGGGGCGGGGGAAGGAGGCGTCTGACCCAATCACATTACTCGAAACTTGAGCCACCTAGAAGAGCCAGTGGGACAGGAAAAAAAGACATCCCCACAAAGAAACAAGAGCCGCCATAATTTCATCACCCTCTTCGGTAATTTGCATTCATTTATTCAGCCCGGACCCTCTCCCTGTTACACGTGAGCTCTCTCTCTCTATCTCTCTCTCTCTCTCTCTCGCGCAATCTCTATTTCTCTGCGCCACTAGTCTGCTTACTGTTCTACAGGCAGTCTGTCTTCTATTATTCTCTCTCTCTCTCTCCCGCTCCAAAGTTTGCCCTTGTACAATACCTCCATACCTTCGGGCCCTAACGTACTCTCCGTAAGGGAACAAAAGAAAAGAAAAATCTTTTTCATCATGGATATCATAACGCGAAGTTTCCTAATGGGGTCTGCGGTCACCCACGTGCGGACAGTGCGGCTTTCCCCCCCGCGGGTCCGGACAAACCAATGGGGCGAGGGCCGGGGGGGACGATGTAAGGAGGCTGTGAGAGTGACCGCATCTCAGCTCCTGTGAGGAGGAAGAAGATGAAGTGGAAGTGGACACCCGACAGTGGGCGTGTCTTGTTTGGTGACTGCTAGATGCAAAAGAAGAGGGTTAGGGGGTGGGGGGTGGGGAGAAGCAGCTACCCACCTTCATGAACAGCGCCGTGCAGATGGGAGCATCCATTCTGATATTTTTTTCCTCTTGAACCTTCCCCCCATCTTCCTACGGGATTAGTAGCTTAAGCACGCCTCCGACTGGCAAAAAAAAGGGTACCTTTCTGTAAATCTCTCCTTCTGCAGGGCATTAGCTGCGCCCAGAATCAGAAACCGAAGAGCGAGTGTTGTGTAGTAATAAGGGTGTTCCGGGTCCTAGTTAGCACGGATCGCTCGTCAGGGAAGGTTTTTTTGGTTCGGAGGGTGCAATAGGGGCGTTATTTTTTCTTCTCTAGCCTGAGAGGAAACTGCACTTTTGGCATTACATCCAAGCATGTTCGCGGGAAGCCACGCTCCTCCCTCGTCCCTCCTCTATAAGAAGATAAACAACCGGACAGTCATCTCGTTTACCTTGATTTTATTAATGGAAGATGGCTTTAATGCACGGTGTCATATCGTAAAGCTTAGTTTCTTTAATGGTCAAGAGAGGCGTGGAGTGGGGAGGGGGGGATTCCCTACACATGCATCGGCTCAGGGAGAATGTTGACGGCAATCATTCCGAATCTATTCATCGCGGTCTGAGCCCAATCCTGATGGAGACACTATCTTTTCTTCTGTTTTCACTAACCCATTTATTAACATTCCAAATCTATTCCTTGTGCTTTACATTTGTAGTGCCTTTCTCGCTAATGACTGGGACGAAACAACGTCTTTACGCTATTCTAGCTTGGGGATGATGCTACGAAGCTTGGGTTGGTGAAGGAAGGTCTGCGTATGCCCTCTAGGACGATTTAAAGACTACAGCTTGGAGCTGGAAGAACCTGCTGGGCTGGTATTATCCATTCCAAACTAGTTAAACTGTTTTAATATATTTAAATACACACATCCAAATGTATTCAGAGTGGGCTTCTAGTGTCATCTTCTCATTCGAATTCCTCAAGGATTTCTCTTCGAGTAACTAGATAAACACTACCAAATTTCATGAAATCACGAACAAGACAAGGAAGATCCAAATTGAAGAAAACGAACACATCCATATATCTGTTACTCGAAAGGGTTTAGAGAATTAGAGATTTCAGCCCTTGGCTAAGGCTAGATGAGATCGAGTTTAAGAGGGAAACGTCATTATATTCGGCAAGGAGGAATCAGGCATCTTTCTTCAAAGGCCTTCGCATGCGGCTTCTTGTTTTCTTAGGAGCCAACGTTGTATGCCTCCCAGCGACCACGTTTCAATGCTCCTCCGGCTTAAACTGTGCCCCAGTGGAGCACACCCGTGTCTCCTTTTCCCAAAGCGAACCACGCCAAACAGGTCTACTGTTCACGTATTAAATGTGTCCTGACACGACGTATAAACGTCGGGTACAATACCTCGCGTACCCTATTTTGCCAGGTTTTCTAGCTTCGGACGTATATGGGCATCGCTATTCACGTATATTATATATACGTATATAACATATTCTAGTTTTATAATGCCGAGGAGGATTGGATAAGGGCACTCTCCCGAGGACTAGTTCGATTTCCTCGTTTTATTTTTGCACTCATGCATTGAAAAAGAACAGGATTTGACTCTGGTCATCTTCAGAGATACGAGCAAAAATGGAGGCCTCGACTATGCAAATTAGGAGGATTACAAATGAAGATGGAGGCTCACAATATGGCAACAATCCCACTTTTTTATGATCATTTTTGCTCATTTTTTGGAGAGCCGACGATTTTTTTAAAGATGGGCGGAGAGGTGGGGGCGGGTAGGGGAAAGGGGGAAGCTGACAACAGGTAGTGATGGAGATGGGCGATGTCGGGGACTGAAAAGCCAAGCTTCCTTCTTCATGGAGGAAAAACAAAAAGATGGAGGGTGGGAAGGTGGTGGGTCACTACGGAGAGGGGAGGGGGAAAAGGGTTTGCAGTTAGGGCTGGATACACGGAGAGATCGGTGGATACATGGATCCATAAGATGCCACTGTTCTCCAGAAGAGACAGCCAGAAGACACCCCCCTTCCTCCTCACCTTCCACTCGCACTGGACAAACGCTACGCCCTGAGCTGCTCGTAACCTTCCGTGACGCCAACAGAGAGATCCAGCCGTGGGTTTTCCCGAGCGGGGACATACTTGGATCCGCAATTAATTGATGGAAAGGAAGAAAATATGATAGGGAAACGAAGCCTCCTTTCTGAAGAAGCTGGAGATACTGCCTGGGTGGTCTGTCGTCGCCATCGAGCCTTCATCTTGGCCGTATCCCACTTGTTAGCTTACCCGGATGGAGAATATAGAAATTCCGCGGTACCCACATGGAGACTGCAATAATTAATCATACGGTATGTTGAGGAGCTTTAATTTACATAAAAAATGAAGAAATATTCTTAAAACATGGCCGCTGCCATGATAAGCAGCACTCCCCGGAGGGAATATGAATGATCATGAAGACACCCCCAATATCAATTATTGGCTTTGTCTCTCACCACAGTGGAGTTCACCGGAAGGCATGTAGACAACACAACTCCCACGCATTTGTGCGACAAACCATGAGTTCGAGTACACTAAGTGCACAATTATTGACTAGCGAAGGCGGATGGACCAATCTAATTTTGAACAATGCCGTGGAAATGATGAAGGCGAGGGTCGAGGGAGAGATTCCACGTTGGCTCTGAGAACAACGTTGCGGATCAACACCCCAGTCCCCTTGTGGACCAGTTAAATCTCACGAAGTTAAAACGCGCATTATTATTCCACAAGAAATTCATACACAATGATCAGGTTGGAACCCGTCGTGTCAACGCACGTGCATAAGGTTCGGATTGGTAGATCCTGGTTGACGAATCAGCTAGATGATCCGACGAGAGCTTGCCGACAGGGCGATGCTCGACGCCCGGGGGCACAACGAAAGCGGTGGAGACCTTCGTTCTCTACGTGCCCATGCAAGCGCCGTAGTATCCCACCCTCTCTGCAACCCCGCGTGCGCTGAGCCCCGAGAGCGGCCTGAAAACGGAGGCTTTGGCTGGAGACTTTGGCGATCAGTCATGGCACATAGAGGCATACGGGTGTGTGTGGGGGATGCTCCTTTAGTATGAGAAAGGGAACGCCGAAAGCCATGGTCCCAGAGGGGCAAATAATTCCGCTGAAAGTCGGCCATGTGTAGCCCTTTTTGTTCCGAAACGCTTGTCTAAAGCAACCGGAGATGTCAGCATTAGATTCCATCGACATCCAACCATGCATGAAACTATGGTCGCTCCTCACTCTGATGAACTTCTGGACGAAGGGTTCGATCATAAACTATGTTGAAGAGTTCAGATTTGATGTGTACACAATGAGCGTGGGAGAGAGCACTACAAAGAGGGTTTGTGCCCCAGAGAGATGAGAGATGGAGATCGAGAAGGAGAGGGGGAGGGACGGGGGGGGGTAAAGTGCGGAGTAAAACAAAAAGGCGAGTGGTGATGACGGCTGAGAGGAGGTGGGGGAGAGAAAGTGCAGCGACAGTAGACCCGTTTTGACTCTGTCTTCACACTGTCCGGGGTCAAAAGACTGGATTTTTTTGTTTCCTTCACCTTTTTCTTGTCTTTTTTAACTTTCTGCCATCCTCCCTGCAAAGCCCTCCAAGTTTTTTCACGCTCGAACAGTAAAAGCAGGAGACAAGTGAGAGGAGGGAGAGATAGAGAGAGTGGACGGGTTGGTTCTGTTCGCACGTGTAATGCAAAGCAGAGATGCACATGGGCTACCGTGGGAGAGCCTTTTTATGTTGTCCACGTGCGAGGAGCATCTGATCTCTACCCATCCGGTATGGGAAGAGGACAGGCGGCGGTCTTGTCACCGTCCGGTGGGTTGATCTTCGACTACGTTACGTGGTCAGTCCCTCCCACCCCCCGGGCACATATTCTCCTCCGTTTTCTTCTTTTCATGGCAGTGGAACCTCACCTGCCGAGGGAAACGAAGCCCTTCCACCGCGGGCCGGCGAATGCTTTCCATGCCCGCCATCAGGATGACCTCATACATGGAAGAAGCTCTCGGAAGGTAGCGGGGATATCTATTTCTCTATCCTCGGGGGGCACACGCAGGAAGCTTCTCCAAACCTCCGGACGCTTCTTTCTGTTATCCTCCCATCTTCGGACCCTCCTCCCATCATGAAGGATGCTCTCTCTCCGTGGAACCCTCTCAAACCCTCGCCGGAGGAAGCTGCCTCCGACGATGGGAAGCTTCCAAAGGACCCATTAAAATGATCGGTCCCGCCGTGCAATTAGCGAAGCTCCCCCAGGCTCTCCAGTGAGCGTTGCGGCGGCGGGTCTCCGGGGGAGTTTCGTCCAACAGTTTCTCAGTGACAGGCTCCGCCCACTAGCCAACAACAGAAGCTCCCACTTATCCTTTGGGAGAGTGACCGTAACCT